TAATTTACTTTCGCTTTTCAATTTGTTATGTTACTGTATATGATTTTTACAATTAAATTGTCGGTTTCGTCTTATGTAAGAGGGTTTTATTAGTGAGGGTGTTGGAATTGCTAGATGAGGCTGCAGTTGAATGATCTTTGAAATTCTAGGTATATGGGTATACCGATGAAATAAACCCGGGAATATAGTATCGGGACGCGTTAGGGATAAGGCCGCTATAGTATAAGTGATATCTAGCTAATTAGGTCGCATCGTAAAACTCTAGCGTTATCGCTATCTGTTACGCACGTAGATCTCGAGGTAAGGGACACGAATAATCTGACGTTGTTGATAAATAACTAAAGATGAAGAAGAAGGAAAGAAGCTAGTCTACATCGGATGGAAGGAATAACGTCCTTATATGCAGTGCCAGATGGGATGATGACTGAACATGCATGTGATCTGACACATGTCTGGCCACGCCATGACATTACCCCCCCCACCCTCGAAGAAGATTCAGCCCTAGAGTCGAAAAGAAGAAATCAACGCTGTTTTTGGTGTTTTGAATAATGAAAGTAATGACATGTGAATGAAGGGGACCTGACAATTTGGAAAATAAGGAAAAGGCCCGACAATTTGGATGGGTATTGATATGTGAAAAGGAAAAGTTTTATCTCAATATTTAGTGCGGCTCCTATATGCTATGCGCTTAAGTTTGCGCTCGAAATCCGGTTCCGAATTAGTAGAATGGTCGTATCTAAACTCGTGCCTAGAATTATTTGATTTATCATCTAATGGTTCTTCATTAGACGAAATCCCTTCAATGAGGTTCAGCTGTGCCCGTGACGACGAAGGTTGTCCCGAATGTCCCGACAATCTGGAAGGACCCGCTTTGGTTGATTTGGTTGAAGATGAGGCTTTGGGAGTAGCTTGGCTAAATTCAAGAGACGAGATGGAAGCCTCGATTACATTCAAATCCATGGAGTCGGGATCCTTGGCGTTCTTATAACTCCTAGTGAAGTGGATAGAGTTTAGAGCCTCTTTGAGCTGGGCTACGAACTCTACGTACGTTGTCGGTATTGGCTGGAGTTGTAGGGCTCGCTTTCGGGTCTCGTTGTTGAGAGTTTGGCGGAGGATGAAAATCTTGGATTCTTTTGTCTACTGGTTAGCGCGGGATTTATAGAAGAGTCTTTTAAATTTGGCGATAAAGATGGCAAAAGCATTATCGTGTTGCTTAAGAGTAAGGAGAGCATTCTGAGCTTGCTGGACTTTGTTGGGATTATTGAAAATCCGGTTCAACTAGTCAATGAGCTCTTCCGGGTTGAAAGAATTAGCTTCGGAAGCTTACTGAAGTTAAGGTATAACTAGGGTTTGGATCTTATTATCTAATTTATTATAGACATAGAAAAACTAAGCTTCACTATTACCAATAGCGTCTCTATTAATGCGGAGCTTAGCACGAAGGTTAGGCAATCAGGTTTCGAAGGAATAGTTAGCTCCGGTGAACTTATCGATATCTGGAAGAGAGGGTTTTGGCTTCGGCTTTTCTTTATCTTTCTTGCCAATAGTCTTGAAAAGAGAGGAAAGTTGACTGGTGAGATTGGCAACGTCGAATTTGAAGGTATTAATCTCGTTACGTTGAATCTTAATTTGAATGACGGTTTGGTTAATAACTCCTTGCACCTCTGACAACTCGTTGGAAGCTATGTCCTGGAAGTCCGAAGGTTCCCGATGATGATGGAGATGATGATAGATGTGAGATCGGACTTGATTGAATGCAAAAGGAGATGGTCCGATGTCGAAAAGAAGAGATGGAGGGTGATTAGACCCGATTGAATGGAAGCGAAGCGATTTGCTAGAACGCTGATGCAGTCCGATGTGAGGTCTGATGTTGAAGAGGATGAGAAGAAGGTTGTTGATGTTAAAGATGATCGAACCCGATTGAGTGGAATGATCGACCGCTAAGATAAAAAAGGAAAAGTGTGGTGTGGGGAAGTGGAGTAGGGCCCGGGTTTAGGGCACCGGTTGTCGCATAGACCTATAAGTATTCTTTAAACTCCGTCGGATCCGTTGGGGCGCGGTGCCTACAATTGAGATGAAAAAACCCTAATGTAGTGATAGAGTTTACTAAGCGGTCGATGGGGGCTTCGGCGTTTAATTACGATAACGAGCGGTCCTTACGATCGGGTGAAAAGGTGGGATGGTGTTGTACGATTTGCGACGGTGAGATGAGATGAGAGGCCGTAGCGTTAATTAGATTAGACTGAAGAAGAAGGATCTTTAGTTACGTGTGACGTACGTAGATTTCGAGATAAGGGATACGAATAATTTGACGTTGTTAATAAATAGCTAAAGATGAAGAAGAAGGAAAGAAGCTAGTCTATATCGGATGGAAGGAATGACGTCCTTATATGCAGTGCCAGATTGGATGATGATTGAATATGTATGTGATCTGATACATGTCTGGCCACACCATGATACTATCGAAGGTTCGATTTAAAGAGTATTGTTTACAACCCAACTAGTCTCTATCGAAAAAGATTAATCTGTGAAGGAACTTCTTATAATATCACGGCGCAATTAAACGGTACGAGTATAAGGTGATAATTGTACTATTTAGTTAACTTAGACTAAAGATAAGAAGTTGAAGAAGGAAAAAATCCCAAAAGGGAAGGCTCGATGGGAGAGGCGAGGTTTTATACCCTAACTGGGAGGCAGCTAGAGCCAAGCCCAGAACCTGCACTATAAACCATACCTGTAAATGAGACTTGTGATGGTATGTGACAGCTTAGCGGGTACTGGCCATTATAGGAAGACTATTTTTAGCTTCTACTTAGTTTGTCAAATAATAGTAAACCTGTTGTTATAAAAGAAGAAAGCAGTTAAGTCATTATGGCATTAGAAATATGACAATCGAGTTTGGAAAAAAAAAAGAAAAAAAAAAGATGGGGCCACCCGGGGATTGAACCCGGGACCTCTCGCAACGATGCTCAGGATTGAACCCTAAGCGAGAATCATACCACTAGACCAGCGGCCCTTTGATTTGTGAAATCCCGAGGCCAGATTAGACCCCCATATACGCCGACATGTGAGGCGCTCAGTCACACGTAAGTGTTTTTTTTTTTTTGTGATGTTGCAAACCATAACAAAGAGCTGTGCATATATGGAAATCTCAAAGGTTACCAACGTTATTGCCGTAGAAATAATCTCAGACAGGGAGTCGCCATTGGCTGCACTGCTGTAGACGGGAAGTGGGAGGAGTGCACGTGCTCAGGCACTCAGGGTCCATCTGGGGGCAACAGGTGACGTGCGTGCCTGCCAAGCAAGCCAAGATGAGCTGGGACCGCGACCCCTGTTGTGCCGGCGGTACCTGCTTTGCACAACACGCCACCAGCAAGCCACCGGATGTCAAGGGTCGAGATGTGCGACGGGATCTGCTGATTAGCTACCCCTTTCCCAATTTTTATATTTTCTTTCATTCGTGTGTAGGCGCACGTTTCTGTTGTTTACATCTGCTGCATGCATCGGACGGATCTGGAAAGATGGACGCAGCTTTGGAGATTCTCGATCCTCTTGTGCTGGACAGACTATACGCATACCTGTTGCCAGCTGTAACGACTCCCACGGCCGACGGCAGCGTGCTGGGCAATGGCTTCGACAACAGCACGTCTGCATTTTCAAAATCGCCATCGCAGAGTTCCTACGGGTCGGCATGGCCACGGGACAACATCCTTCGACAATGCGCCTCCATCCTGGTGATCACCCAGGTTGGTGCTACGCTCCTATACTGGGTGTTCAGCGCCTTCTCGTACTACTTCATTTTCGACCGCCGTCTTGAGTACCACCCGCGCTTCCTCAAGAACCAGGTGCGCCAGGAGATCATCTCATCCATGACCGCCGTCCCTTGGATCAACATCATGACCCTGCCATTTTTCCTGGCGGAGGTGCGCGGCAAGAGCTTCCTCTACACCCGCGTGGATGACTATGGCTGGGCATGGATGGCCATCTCAACAGTGCTCTTCATGATCTGGAATGACGTGATGATTTACTGGATTCATCGACTTGAGCACCACCCCAGTGTTTACAAGTACATTCACAAGCCACACCACAAGTGGATTGGTAGGCGCACACCCTCTGTACGCTATCCCAGCATTTTCCAGCTAACACGACATAGTGCCGACGCCGTGGGCAGCTCTGGCTTTCCACCCAGTCGATGGATATGTTCAGTCCCTCCCTTACCAGTGAGTTTCTTGCTTCCCCTGGGCTCCATTGTGGGCGACCTTTTAACGTGGTGATAGCGTGTTTGTCTTCTTTTGCCCGGTGCAAAAGTACTTGTACATGGTCCTTTTCGTTCTGGTGCAGGTCTGGACGATTCTCATCCACGATGGTGACATGATCTCGGGCCACTGGCTTGAGAAGTATATCAACAGCCCGGCCCACCACACACTGCATCACATGTATTTCACTGTCAACTATGGACAGTACTTTACATGGGCCGACAACTACTTCGAGTCGCATCGGGCGCCTCGTCCCGATTTGGATCCGCTTCATGACGCACTCAAAGTCATGAGAGAGAAGGGGCTGGTAGACGAAAAGGGACACCCAATTCCCCAGAAGAATAAGAAGGACGAGTAAATATGGTGTGACGGATGACGGAAGATGAGGACGACCAGTAATGGATGAGGTTGTACATGCGATTGATGTGTTATAGCGATGGGAGACGAGAGTACTCACGTACTAGGGAACGCCTGCCGCCCTTACAACAAACATATAGCTGCTACTATTGGAGCTAACTAACTATAATATTTGAATACTATTACACGAAAGGTCCTTACCTGACCTCTATATATCAGCCACGTCTCAGCTGCTGTGCTTTGTCATTGATAAGATACTGGAGACCTTGCGCGTTTGTCGCTGAGGATTGGAAAGAGGATGACCGAGCTACTAACAGTTTTATGTGCTAGCTCCGTATATCCTTGTTAGCGTATCCCGCTTACTAAGACGCGGGCCAACAAGCGTTTGCGCCATGAAGCTGCAGGCAGGCACCTGCTTGCATCTCTTAACACCAGCACCTGCACAGCACCGACTGACGATTTATCCATCAGCACCATCGTACACGCACACGGACATTCAGACGCATCCTTTATGGAGCTGAAGTAACAAACAGCAGCACTCTGCACGTCTCCGGCCATGCCACGACAGCTTCCCTGGAAAGTTGAATCAACCCAGAAAAAGTCCAGCGGGAGAAGCGTTGCCGTGAGGGGTGGGGTAGCTCAATCGACATCTACTGCTGCTCCCGACTCAGAACCCAGCGCATCCTCACCCTCGGCTCGGAACGCACAATCATCAAGCAAGGCGACGCTGAAGTCGAACACGGGCGCAGATGGGCTCAATATTTTATCTAGCAAAACAGCACGAGACTCAGACACAAGTCGTCGTCCACATCTGTCCCGGTTCCCATCGACATCGCCGCCGCCTGAGCCTCTGAGAGAGGAGTTCATGATTGAAGGCCCCCGCTACGATGACAGGTATCGCATGGTGGAGGATGAGTTTCTCGCCGTGGCCGGCGAGTTCACCCGTCATTTGCACGCCGCCGAATACCAGCGCCTCAAGAGCCTTGCCAGCTCCAAGAATGCCGAGACAATTGATAACATCTCACGTCCTGTCACTGGCGCACCAACGGATGCTGTGAGGCAAAGGCATGCCAGACTCGAGACAGCGGCCAGGCAACAGAAAGGGTTAACCAAGGTCTTGGGGAAACGGGTTGACCACGACTCGGACTCTGGAGACAAGCCATGGACAGGCACCTCGCTGCAGGGCCTGATGGATAGCCCGAGGAAGAAGAAGGTCCCATTAAATCGCTCATTGAGTTCCTTAAGCGCTCCAGCCCCTGGATTCTGTCAGAAAGCACGGTTGAGTGGATTGATTCAACGATAAAATGGGTAAATCTCTATATTGTATGTGTATGTCTGGGAAGAGCGCTGTGGAACCAGAGTTGGGGGCTCCCAGAATATTAGGGGGGTCTACAGCCATTTGGGGAGGCTGGGAGGCTAGTCCTCTTTCAAAACCCTCTCCTTACTAGCTGGATTTAACCCTCCAAACTGACAGATTCCGAGCTGCAAGACGGCCGAGTCCGTCGCTGGATCGGGCCGTACGTATGCAAGGGAGAGTAGGCAATCGAAAGCCACCAAGTGAAGACGAGGGCGACGACAACGAAGATGATGACTCGGCTTTGGATGGGCACACGGCGTGGTCCCCAAAGCTCCATAGGGCTCGAGTTACCGAAATGTCGTCAGTCTCAACGCTCTCTGCCCGGAATACCACCGAAAGTAGACCGTCTCAGACACCGGCGCATGCTTCGCGTGCCTCCAGTGATCAAGGCACGCGGTCAACGAGGATTTCCCTTCCTATTGCTCGTTCTCACAAACAGACCAGCAGGCTCAACAGGAATCATAGTTCCAGCGATCAGGATGAAGAGGAAGACGACATTGATTTGTTCTCTCGAATCCGTTCCCGCAGGGCAGGCCAGCGACGAAGACCCGGCTCTCCAGTTATAAAAACGGAAGTCAAGACGGAGGACAGCCAAAGTGCCACTTCATTGCACGAGATACCGTTCCTCTAATACACCACAGCTCTCTGGATAGATCTGACTTCATATACAAAACAAGCCCGCTAAAGTACAACACAAAGAACAACCTCAAAAGGACAACGCTTCTCGGATATCGTCAATACAAAGCCACTCCACTCCTTCACCCAGCCTTTAGGCCTTGGCCTGGAACGGGGTCTCATACGGCGTCTCAGCCTGGGGGGTGATTCTGGCCAGATGCCTCCTCTGGCCGTCCTTCCAGTCCACGAGTGCCGAGTGCTGAGTAACCCGGTTGTCCCAGACGACGACGGTGCCCTCCTCCCAGTGGACGCGTGCTTGGAAGTCGGCACCATAGGCAAGATGGTCGTACAGGAACTTGAGAAGAGTATCCGATTCCTCCTTCTTGAGACCGACAATCTCACGAGTGACTGCAGGAGCGTGACATGCAGATTAGCTTCTGTCTGGAATATGTTCTCGACCTCCGCTAGGCGTTGAGAGCAGCCGGGAGCAGAGGGCGACTTACACTGAGGGTTGACATAGATAGCCTTCTCGCCCGTGGCGGGGTGTGTCCTGATGATGGGGTGCTCGTTCACAACAGGCTCACGCCTCTTGATGCCGCCTCTGGCAGCCGCCGAGTTGACTTGCTCGATACCAGAATGAGTGGCCTTGAGGCCGTGCAGACGCTCCTGGAACAAGGGGCTGAGGCGGTTGTAGGCCTCCACGGCATCGACGAAGAGGGTGTCACCACCGGTCTCGGGCTTCTCGAGGATGTACAGGAAGGTAGTACCTGGAGGTTGTTGCTCATACGAGACATCCGAGTGCCAGGCGACGGATGAGGTGCGGTTGGCGAAGAAAAGGTCGACGCTGTTGTCACCGGCGCTACGATGGACCAAGTGGACCTCGGGGAAGCCTTCAGGGGAGCCCGAAGTAGGGTGGATGTGATGACTGCGTTTCCCAATATCAGTCAAATTACTTTCCCGGGTTGAAGCATGATCAGAAGATTTCCAAGACCTACCGGCCAAAGTATTCGCCAAACTTAAGGCCTTCCTCGATGGGCAGATCGGCAAAGTCCTGGCCACGGAAGGCGACAACCTTGCGCTCCGCCACGAACCGAGCAAGCTCGTCCTTGCCGGCGTTGGTCAAGGCGCTGAGCTGAATGCCCCTTACCTCGGTACCAATGGTGGGGGTGAGGTGAGTTACGGTGGTGCCCTCTGGGAGCAGGTTCTTGTACGAGGTGTCGGCATCCTTGCCGTGCTCGTAGTGCTCGAAAGGCTCCAACGGGGAATACTTTTGCTCTGGGTTCCAGGTAGGGAGGTAATGGGGATACTGCACAGGACGATTAAGTCAGCACTGGCTCTATGGAAGAGCAAAATATGTCCATCCCTGCCGTCCGCAGGGCTTGATATGTCGTACCTTGGCGGCCTGGAAGCCTTTCTTGCCAGACAATTCGGCCTCTTTGTCGAAGGCGACAGGGGCGAGCTCCTTATAGACGCCTCTGTGGTGCGCAGACTGGAGCTTCACGGGGTTCACTTCGGGAACCGGGACGATGACGGCCTCGACAGCGGAAGGGGCCATGTTGTGAAGGTTTGACTTTGTCCGACGTTGTTTGTTGGTGTAGTGTGCGGTGAGTAGTTTTCTGCTGCCAATCAGGACGGGTGCGGATTCCCTTTTATACAGCTCGCCATGGCCTTAGAATCCATCTTCTCGAGCTGTTCATCAAAACGACGTCGGTTCATTGTTTGCGGGGTTGATATGCCCATGATGAAGGGCATGGATGATATTGCGTGAGCAAGCTATGTTCCAATCAAGGATGTTGCCGAACATGAGCAATGCAGACACGGGTTTCGATTATGGCCCGTTGCTTTCGACTCTATGCGAACCGGTGCCGATCCGGTGCCTTGTTGGAGGATATGGGCGGCTACTGAGTGGTGGTAGAGTGTGAGGGGAGCGCCATGATGCTGTTATCTAGGCCTCTAGAAGCCAGCCCGCTGAGGAAGTGCATTCGCAGGCCGTTCAACCGTCCTACCAAATCGGCATGATATGCGTCGTCAATCAGAGTGTCTCGGGAGCAAATGTCGCGTGTTGTAAGCGTGCGTATCATTGGGCATTGGTGTAAAGGTGGTGATGTGAGACGCGGAGTGGATCACGCAATCGCGTCTAGTGGTGACGGAGTAGGGAGCACGTCATGGCCTTTAACGATAGACAACACCTGAAAAGAGGCAAGATACACTTATCGAGAGTCGAGATAGCCCGCGAAGCTGGCGCTTGGTAATCAGTTGTCGATGAGAAATATTTGAGGAACAATGACTTCGTGAAGTGAGTAACGGTTATGTGGGATAACTGACCGCCAACTATCATTCATTGACCTATATGATATTACAGAGGATATTCGTGGAAGCAAATGCCAAATCCATGATGAGACCTCCCTGCATCTTCTCAATTTGTTACTGAGAATCATAAAATGATCGCAAAGCCAGCTGCTATTAGGTATAACGTGCTTTATGGTGTCATCCCTCCAATTATGGTGGTGAAGCTGGGCTTCGGGAAAGGTTTGGTCGGCGGAGGGGCCGTATAACGGGATAATGATGAATGAACAGACGTCCCTTCGCTTCCAGCGCTTCTACTGTTGCGGACTAGTTCGACCTCCCATCATGTTGAATCCGTAATTAATAAGACAGGAGCGTGTTTTGACATTCGATTGAGTTTTCTAGCGGTTATCTTGTCCTCACTTGATTTTACGTGATGTTAGCTCGCTGTCACGTCACCTAGCATTGGCTTGAGTGTGATCTGGCACATCAGAAAAGTGTATGCTAGAAGAAACCAAAGAAACTTGAAGGTTTGGTCGGAAACTCTGACTTGCCTTCAACTCAAGGTGTGTGTAATTCTACTCAAATACAACGAAAAAAAAAAGTACTGTTAGCTTGGGAGTTGAAGTCGCTGACCTTGACATTCGTCCACAACTGAAGACCGCTTATATTGCGCCCAAGATTTCAGTCTGGATCCACCTCACTTCGAGCCTTCCGGTTGGGATAATGGGATCCCTCGGGTCCCTTGGTAAGCTACTCCCACACGCCGCTGACCAGTTGAGCCGCTAACCAGGCAACTCGTTGATGTGCTGGAGATGATCCCCACCGTACGGTTTGTATGTATGTCCCATAGCATAGCCCTGACCTTCCGAAGCCTCGGATATCAGCGGGGATGGCTGGAACGAGGCATGACTTGTGGTTGCTGGAGAGAAGGCCGAGGGTGATACCGTGTTTCCGTGTAACTCTGAACGCAGAGACCATGGACGGTCGGTCTGGGGGTCGAGTTCACTGATATTCGGGGACGCATGGAGATCTTGCGAGTTTCCCCCTGGCGAGATTGGCGACTTGGACTCCTTTCCTAGCACATCATCGGCCGTGTTTGCAGACCCGTCGGTACCAGACGGGCTGTGATCATCCTCTGCTCTTCGTCGGCGGACTATGAAGAAGATGGCAAGGCCAACCAGTACCAAAATGGCGCAAAAACCAGTTAAAGAGATGCCCACGATGGCACCGGTGCTGAGATTCGAGGAGTCATCAGTCGAGGAAGTTGCTATTGGTCCAGGTGGGACAGCAGATGGAGTAGACGTGGAAGAACCCGTGCCAGCCGTGGAGGTTGCCTGGGAGCTTGCTGAATCCAGAGAGGAAGTGATTGTTGGGGTCGAAGTGGTGCTGGGCGTGTGGTATACCGAGGATGGGTCGGATACGAGCCAGTTGAGGCTGCTCTTGTCCAGATCCTCAGGAAGCTTGACGACGTTGGATATAACGCTGGCAGTGAAGGTTGAGAGTGCAGGAGAGACGTCGGTGTTGGGACAGACTTTGTCCTTGTCGCATTTGGCTGGGTTTTTTGTGATGTAATCCGGATAGTCGTTGTTCTGGATGCACGGCATCCACTTTTTGTCACCGTCACAGTAGATAAGGCCGGACCAGACGGTGGCATCATAAAACTTTTGGGGGCAGATGGGATCTTGGTACTCTTTGTCTGTGCAGCCAGCGACGTAAGTGGTGACGAAATCTGGGTTGAAGCATGCACCTTCCTCGAGACAATCTGTCTCGCAGAAAGCCATCAGTCTTCATCCTCTCACATACATGATCTCAACACCTCGCACACACCCGTCCTATCCGCCCTCAGGATGTTTCTTTGCCATATGCCTGGTGAGGGATGTGAATGAAAACATCTGGCCGCAGACCGTACACTTGACCTTCACATTATGTTCATCTCGGTTATGCTTGTCAAAATCCAGCTTTGTTGCAAATTTACCTTCGCAGCCAGGCACCGTACAGTTGTATTTCTCATGTATGCGCTTGGTATGTTCGGTAAGTTCACTCTCTGTTGCAAATGCCTTACTTCTGCAGCCAGGCACCTCACACTTCAACTTGTCCTCAGGATGTTTCCTCACCATATGCCCGGTGAGGTGCTTCTTTCTTGCAAATGTCTGGCCGCAGAGCGTGCACTCGACCCTCACACCATGTACCCCTCGGTTATGCTCGCGAAGATCCTTCTCCGTTGCAAATGGCTTACTTTTGCAGCCAGGCACCGTACAGTTGAAAGGCCTCAAATTCTCATGTGTGCGCTTGATATGATCGGCGAGGATTTTTTCGGTTGTAACCTTATCGCCGCAGACCTTACATTCGAACCTCAAGTTCTCATGTTCGGTGTTGATATGCCTGGTGACTGAACGTTCATCCTTATATGTCTTGGGGCAGCCAGGCACCGTACACTTGAAAAGCTCCGAGTTCTTATGTACGGTATTGGTATGGTTGGTGAGGTGTCTTTCTATATTAAACTTCCAGCCGCAGCCAGGCTCCGTACACTCGAAAGGCTTAGGCTTAGGAGTTTCCCAGTATTGTTTGTCCTTAGCCGGTTGGTCCGGAGATGGCTTGTTTACGCTAGGTTGATCCGCAGCAGGGGGGTCGCTATATTATTAACGACAATGGTTAATCCATTCCCCAATGCTATCGAAATGAAAGTTGTATATTTCGTACTTGAAGTGGGCTGATATCTCTTCCTTATAGTCCGATATCTATAAACTTAAATCCAGTAGAGGTATAGTAAATCTTGCTACTGGGGGTCAGGGTCCGGTACCGGTAGTCGTACTTTTGCTTACCCATCTGCACTTCCCTAAAGAATTATCCATTTGCTAGAGGGGGGTTTGTACCGGTACTATACGTAGGAGTGTAAGAAGTTTGGGCCAATAGTCGATACTATAGAAGCCTATCCCTATATTAGTAGCGCTACTGTCTATTGTGATTATGTATTTCGTAAGGTTGAAATCGCTAATAGGGTTGAAGGCTATACCGTCCGGGTGAGAAACGAGGCTGAAAAGCATCGTAATACTATGCTATTAGACGATTAGCTTGGTTCTTTAATATATTAGTATGGTTTAGTATTTACGTCTTGCTTTTTGTAGAACGACGCAGAAAAAATATGGCGCATCCATAATACAATGGGCAAACCCTACCGGTCTACTAGACGCTAAGTAATGTCTTCTATTATTTTAGCCTCGCTAGAGTCCTTAATCTCTTTAATCTTATCATATATCCAGTATGTTATCCAATAAACGACGCGGCGCTTGTCTATACCCATCTCGCCGAATCCAGCCTTCTCCCTATAGCAGTTGCAGGCCTTTCTTAACCGGGAAAGCCTCTTACTCGCAAAATTAAACAAAGAAGACTAATCCCAGCCAACCTCTTTTGCTAAACCCCTTATCCGATACCAGAATAAATAGAATACTCGAGCACCAGATGGGGAATCAACGAAGTATAGTTCGTCGAACTCGTCGGGGCCTATAGTATACGCCGCTACGATCTTCTTTATATTGTTGTAGACCTTGGTCAAATTAATACCAGCCGTTACATGAATTCCCCGTTGATCTATAGAATAAAAAAGCTCCTTTACCCCAAGCTAATCTAATTCTTCTCGTCGCTCAAGAGTTAAAATCCCGGTTCGTACAGTATTTACCATTTCCTTAAGCCTGGTACTATCCCAACGTGACCATTTAGCTTGCCTATTTTAATAGGTACCTCCGAAATAGAAGAGGCGGTACATAGAATAAAAATTATCCGCCGTATTGAGAGTCCAATCCTTCTACGACTTATCCGTAGTATTCAGGAACGATAAAATAGTAAGTAGAACTAGTATTACATAATTTCTCTTAAGCATATCGAGAAATATTATATCTATAATAACATTCGAGTGTACGTAGTATTAAAGGCGTCCGCCTAATATAGTAACTAGGTATGTAGCTTCAATCGAGTAGTAGCGTAGACCTAAGCTCCAAAATATTACTTAACCGGTATAATTATAATACCGCTTTTAATAATCGTCGTTACCCTCTACTATTATTATAATAGAAGTTAAGCGTAGAATAAATTCTTCCGTAAATTTGCTAATACTTTCTTTAGTAGTATTAGGAAAGGATTCGTTTGTAACTCTTAGGTTACAACGGATATTGGTCGTTATTTCCTAAAGAGCCAAGTATTGTAGAACGCTCTAGACTAAATAAGAGTATAACTTTGGGGGCTGCTTCCCGACGTAGAAGAGGCCTTCTATATCCGGCGTTATTATTAGTGGTGCCTCTGCTACCAGCGACTCGACACTACGCTCCTCGTCCTCAAATAGCTATTCGTCGTCGACGTTAAGGAGCTATGGATCGATTAAATCAACGTATTCGTCATTGAAGCCGATATTCTCGTCGCTACTACTGTTACTATTAGAATCGTAGCCTAGATTATCCTTAACGCGCTACTTCTTAGCCGATCTTTCGGTAATGGAAGTGGATGAGGTGAAGTTTACAGCTATTAGTAAGTATGTTAGCAATTTATTTACCCGCGGAAACTTATATAATAAACTTATATCTCTTCTTTGATAAGGAGAAAGAGGTTTTACCATTTTGCAAGCTGGAAACGGTAGGTCTACGGAGAGCTTCGAAGTAGTCAATATAATCGTCCGCTGTTACCTCCCTATTATTCGAATTACAAATCTATATAATACCTATAGCGGCTGTAGTATTATTATTATTGTAGAAATTAATTCGTCCGCTCCTTATTAAGCAACTAAATACTAAATCTTACTTATAAACGCCGTACTATAGTTATAGTATATTCGCTAGTTGGTCGACGCTATAATCTTTATCTAATAGCCTAACGCCATTACCTATAGTTATATGCTTCTCCCTACTAGCCATCTCGTCACTCTGGGTGATAATATAGAATTCTTCAACAATAAGAGCTATTATACCACCGAAGTACAATTCCACGCTACAGCTAAGAGCCCATAGGCCGCACAATAGGCCTTCGCTAGAAACATTTTCGCGTTTATAACTGTTAGGGAAGCTATAGTGAAACTTGGCGATTATTTCTTTAAGTCTAGAGAACTCTTCTTTGGTAGGACTGTATTGTAGTGGGCTGCTTGGGGTTGTTGAAGTGCCAGTGCGTATAGTGCCGGAGAGGGTGGTAGGAGTAAAAGATGTGGCAGGAGTTTTGGGGGCTTCAATATTAGGCGTATATGAATCGTTAGGGCGCCCCTTATTCGCGTTTCTAGTACTTCTGCGTAGGGCCGGACTCTTCTTGCCTTTTGCCATAGTATTTTGAGAGAGAGCGGCTAGTTCGGATACTATAAGCAGTCAATCTCCCGCACTGGTAGTATAAGAGGGCGTTTTACTAATAGGAGGGGGTCTTTAGTGAGCGCCGTATGGATCTTTTGGTAGTAGAATCTGACTTGTTGGTGCTAGCTGCTAGCTTGGACGTACGTCGAGTACTGTAACGGGTCGTAGTAGTTTGTAATTCTTCTATCGTAACTGGTTTTAGGATGACGATCCGGAGTGAGCCTTCAAGGCAGCCGGGCACTTAGAGCCCCGCTCGTAATTAAGGAAAATATTCCCCAACCGTATTCGGAGAGTAAATGTGGCTCTGAATATACCGACGACCTCTTGAAACAATATTCTAGAATAAGTCAACTATGGAGACAACGGGAGCCCTCGGGATTACACGCTCGATTCGTCTTATTTAAGAGACTTCAGTGGTCTTCGATAGGGTCTTCGGAGAGGCGATGGCACTATAAGATACAGTACTCCTACGATGAAGAGAGAAACGCGAGAAAACGAGGATTTGGATTTGTGGGCGGGCATCTTGACTTACCACAATCTAGGGTAACCCTATAGGGGGAAGGAGCAGTCGTGGTCTGGCTATGGGCTGCGAGTGACCAATTTTGATCGTGTCCTGGCGATTAGAGGCGGAAGGAGCAATCGTGCCTGCTTGGTCTGGCTATCGCAACATGACCCAGGTCTCATGCTGTTTCGCTCGCAGCATCGAGTGAATCTGGTCCAACATGTCGCTATCGTCATTCTATTAATGCTTTTTTCTGGCTTCAAGAGAGCAAATGCCGGCTCACAGAGAAAGGAAAAACATTGTCCTCGATGGTCCTAGACGTCCAAGTCTTCGATAAGTTCCAGGTCTCCTCCGATATGTCCACTGCCTCCCCCGACAAATCTGTCCATTCGGGATGCTCCGGGACGGAACGGTATACATCAGAGTTGTATTAACGGAACGGTCGAAGGCCGAGGAGGTCCGTTGAACTTCGGGAAGCCAGGTGGCAGTCAGGGAAAGCCAGCTTATACTAAGGGAGCGAGGGCATGGCTAAGAAGAACGTAGGGCATAGGAAGGCCATACCAGTTGGTTGACTGACTGAAAGAGAAGGGGGTACTCGAAAGTGTCAAAACCGTAGAGAAAGCTGGTTCCATGGATAAATAAAAAAGGAGTGAAAAAAGGGGTGACAACCGACAACTTGCTGGGTCTCCGACTGACTGGCAGAATGAGCAAGGGGGTGAGCGAGCTGCTGACTGCCAAGGAGGGCAGATGAGTTGTTTATAAAAGAAAGGCAAAAGCAACGGCCCAAGCGGAGACCCAAGTCCAGGGCATGAGGTTGGCGATGTGGATGCCTTGGTGTTGTTGTTGAGAGAACCGGTTGGTTCATGGCTGTTCAGAAAAGCAAAGCAGGCAAAGGCTGCCCGCGGAGAAAGAAAGAAAGCAACGACCTCGTCGCTAAGCTGACAAAAGAGAAGCTATCACCATATCTTGGTTGGTTGTAGACCGATGGGGAGCAAGGTGGTCGCTTGGGGAGGTGGTGAGTGCTACTGAAAGCTCGAAATCCGACAAGAAAGTATTATTACATGGACAAATCCCTTCAAGCTGCAGAAGCCACTGCAGTGAGCTTAAGGCCTGTTCGGTTCCGCGTTAGAGGTTTGGGCCTTAACCACCCTCTTACTATGTAGGGTCCGCAGCTGCACTCTGCAACATTAAGACAGCGTTAAGGCATGCCAAGACCCCCATAATAGCCGTCTTACTGCGTTGTGTTGGTTAGTACTAGTTTAAAGCGATACTGAACGCCTAGCGTAGTAAGCTAGTAAAGTCGTGATACTTGGTATGGTGTTGAGGTCCCTGTTTCTGTTGGTATGGCTTTGATTTAGATGAATATAGCGGGCAGATGACGAAGTCCGTGTTGACTAAGCTGGTGTTGACTAACTACCCAACACTAGGGCATAGTGTGGTTGATTGACGTGTATATAAGGGCGAGGTTTACTGTTAAATCGATTACATCTTTCTCTTTCTTATCATCACCCCCCAGCCAGCACAGCCAACAACACCCTCAACGTTATGGGCCGTGTGGCCAAGAACACCAAATCCCCCCCTTCTACTTCCTCTAGAGCCAAGGTTACCGCCAAGGGTAACTCCAGCTCCCAGAAGGAGGTGCAGTTGCCGGTCCGTGGCAAGGCCACCCCCAAACACCAACAGACCCAAGCCTAGTCCCAAACTATCCCCTCCTCTAAGCCGTCTCGTTCCTAGACCGCGCGCGCTAAGCCTAGCCGTTATAAAGATGATATCTCTGACTACGAGAGCTTAGAGTCCGAGGCGGAGGAGACCCCAGCGAAGGATTCTGATGACGAGGGCAGAGGCCAGGGCCAGGATCGCATCTACAACTCGGACAGCGAGGAGGATCAGTCGTCTGTTGAGGAGGATCACGGCCTGGATGACGGACATGGAGGAGCTGAGGACGAATTTTGATGAGGGCGTGGATGACGACGACGACGACGACGAGCCCAAGAAGCCCGTCAAGAAGAAGTGCACCCGGGCCAACTATCCCAGAGAACTGAGGAGAATGGCCCTCGATGAGATCCTCGTGGCCGACGGCTTGGGATATCGCCATAACGGTACCTTCAAACCCTCAGTTTACATCCGGGCCGCCGATAAGGTTAGCGAGAAGTTCCCTAACTTCGAGATTACGACCAAGAACGTGAAGTCTATCGTCGAGGCGTACAAGAAGAAGTATCGTGTCTATCAGCGCTTGGGTCGTCTGTCTGGGATCGGTATTCGGATCGACGCGACTGGGCAGCAGTACATCTTGGACAACGACGTTTGGGACAAGCTGATCAAGGTTAGTATATATCTATGTAATGATATTGGACTGGACTAACCATCATCTAGAAAAACCGTGAGTACGGTCAATTCAAGGGCCGTCCTTTCCCGGAAGCAGGGGTGTGTGAGCGGCTCTGGGGTGACGTGCCCACCGCCACTGGCCAACTTGCGAGCTCCAGTGCCAACCCCGCCAAGCGCAAGGACAAGGATGGTGATGGTGATGGTGCTGGCGACGGCGACGAGGACGACGAGGACGGCGACGAGGATGGCGATGGTGACGGTCCGTCTGCTAAGAAGCAGAAGGTTAAGGAGACCCCCCGCAGAGAGGCACTGCATGCCCTGGCCGGCATCTCCAAGAGCCTGGAAATCCAAGCTCTAGCCTCTCAAACCTTGGCGGAAAGTCGTGTCAAGCGCGACGCCTTCGAGCAGGAGAGATTCAAGGAGGGGTATGGTGAGCCCGGTTACTGGATGCGCAAAGCGCTGGCTCTTCTCGATAATCAGCATCGTAACCAACCCATCCTAGTGACGAGGGAGCTGTTCGTCCTGTGGAGGCAAGAGGCTGTGGCCATGCAGTTCGCTCTGATGAGCAAGTCCCAGAGGGTCTTTTTCTTGAAAGACACTGTTGATCGACTTGTCCCGAAAGCTGCCCCGCCGTCTGCCCAGCGCGCCCCCGCGGCACCGATGGGGCTCTTTGTTGATGACGACGAGACCCAGGATGATTGGTGATCTCGCCCTGGTTGATCACAGCGTTCATGTTGTCAGCCCTGCAAGCTTACTCATCTCACTTCTTCAACCTCACTCAACCTCATTCCACAGAGGACAGCTTAAAGCTGGTTCATCTCCAGCGACTCAGGAGAAATTGCCAAATGGATCAAATCCGTTGCCGACCTTCAGGGACAGTCTCACAAACAGAGGACATCACCGGTGCAGGCAAAAGCTCTATGATCAACGCCGTCTTGGACCAAGGTACGCACCACCCACCACCCTTCTGTTCATTTCATTTCCACCAGTCACTAACCCCTCCTCACCTCCAGGTTGCCAAGGAGAACCCAGAGTACAGGATCGTGCCGTACGATGAGGAAAAGAAATCCATTACAGGACCAGCAAGTTGCCTACCAGACCTACCCTCGTCTCGCCCTCTCGAAACCATACTTTCTTCGCCTACCTCGGCCTCTCCACCCTGACCTTTTCCATCGAGGAAAGGACGTCCCTTCATTTCATGATGACACTGGGGCTTCGGCCCAGGACATCGGCGCTCCAGACCCCAACCACCAACTCTTCCAACATTCCTAGCGATCAAGTCAACAACCACGTCGCCAAGCCGAGAAGGTCAACTGCCAAAAAGGCTAGCTACGTAGAGCCTCAGACGACCACGGATAAGGACGAGTCGGCTGCGTCTGTCGACTACGACGCCTTGGATGACTCTCCCACCGACCACCTGGCTAAGAAGACGCGCACCACTCCCATCAACCAGCGCTGCAGCCGCAACAAGCAAATCAAGACTGCTTCTCGAAAGCGGCATCTTCAGCATTCCATCACTCCATCTGGGGTGGTGGCTGAAGATGCTCGACGTCAAGTCCCCAGCGACCCATCAAGCTCGGCGACCAGCGAGCGAGGACATCAGCGCTCCAGATGAAACCATCAAGCGCTTTAGAGGATGGTGGTGTTACATCAAAGTGAGTTCATTCTCATTCAATTATCTACTTCTACCCTTCTCCCTTCCTCCATTTCTCTCCCCAAACACAAACCCCCACTTGATCACATCCTTCCTCCACCCCCTAGGTTGCACCTCTGAACCATAAGTCGCGTGTAAGACCTAAACCGATGGAAGGTGCCAGAATGCCGCATCAACACCCCACTGCCCGCGGGCAAATGGGGATATGATCCGAGCCGAGGCGGGCAGATAAGCGCAGTGCCATGTGCCACAAACCCAGGGATTCCCCTTCTGTCTTTTTACCTTTTTTCTTTCCTTTTCCCCATGGCCAGTATGGTTGTTAGTCCAGAGTAAGACCTTAACCCGACGGAAGGGTAAGCTGGTACCGTGTCCTCTAACCCACTGCCTGCGGGCAAATGGGTTATGATACAGGTAGAGGCGGGCAGATAGTGCATTCCCTACTTGGCCATGGGGAGAAAAAAGAAGAAAGGAAGGAAGCAGAAGTTATGCCTCATCACCTAGTCCATCTCCAAGCCCATGCTTTTCCTACCAATCTACTCACATATAGTCCGCAATCTCCTTACGAAGACGGTACATTTCATTGGCCTCCCCTACAACCAAATTATCCCTATTGAAGTCATTTGGCTAACCCTCTTCTTGACCCGGCGTGGCTACAGTGATCAACCTCGACCGAACCCGAAATTCTGTCCTAAATTCTTCTTGCAACTCCTTGTACTCGAGCCTAAAGTTGTAGAGGCCAGCGGTAGCCAAGATAATATCCTTCTGGGTCTCGACGGGGTATTCCTGATCTGTGCGATGGATGCGGAACTTCCTGACCAGCAAACCCTATACGATTTCGATATTGACCCGAAGCGAGCTGTGGCGTTTGTTGAATAACAACTGTTTGTCTCGAAAGGCGCCATGGCCCTGTTCCGGCACATGGTATCGAACACCACGATATGGGACCAGCATCCTCTTCATCGCCGGATAACCAGTATCCCCCAAATAATACCAGCCGTCAGGGATTCGGAAATCGTCATTCACAGCATCGTGAAAGACGCGAGAGTCATTGGCAGAGCCTTCCCAACCCACGCACAGATACGTAAAGCGCCCGTCCGTATCAACAGCACCCATCACGTTCTGGGCAGTGAAGCCTTTCCGGGTAATCCATGCCAATATCTGGTCAGGGCTCACACGTGTGGCAAAGAGCTTCCCATCTACTGCGCCGAAGCAATTCTGGAAGTAGGGATACCATTTCTTGGACCGCCGGATTCTGGGTTGGACTTCCGGATCGGGTTGTTTGATGAAGACAGTCGCCAGCTTGTTGCCATGGGAACTGCCAGGGGTACTCGTCGGTTAGCGGAAAGGCTAGCTGGGTAGTCCCAAAATACGATACTTTGTGCAACGGCGGACGATGTTCGCTTGATAGGTTTCGTTTCGGGTTGCTTGCCAAGTGGTGTAGCGTCGGTGTATGTGTTTGGCTTGGATTTGAAGCAGGATGTTTTGTTTGTACAAGATATTTATATTAGATGTATGTATTATTCGTGCTCGCTTACGATGTCGTCACACCGGCTCCGGCACTTGCTCAGCAGTAGTAAAAATGGACAGACGTTGAGATTCAATCTGATAGGCGTATATTTATATATTCAAACTCGGGGTAACATCTAAACTCAAGCTATTAAGCCCCCTCAAAAATCAATATGCTCCTCGTTGTATAAGTTCCCCCATACACTCAACTTATCGCATTCAGTGAGGAAATTAGCCCGCGACTCCCTTCCTTCGCCTTTTCCTCCTCTACTAACTTCTTCTCCTCTTCTATAAGTTTCTTCTCCTCCTTTGCAAGCTTCTTCTCCTCCTTTTCCTTCTCCTTCTCCTCCTTTTCCTTGATCTCGAAGATCCGCCCCTTCTCGTTCAGCTCTACAAGTATGTCCCGGAGTGCCTTTACTTTACTGAATACCTGCTCCCCGTTCTTTTCGTAGTAAACCTTGCCCTTGGCTACCTACTTATTTGCTTGGTTTACTTCCTTTTTCGGACCCTCAAGCTTACTGGTAACGTTTTTATCTTTAACGATGAGGAAACCCGACTTTTGACGAGTCAATATAATGTTAAGCCGATTTTCGTCCGAAACGAAACCGGTGCTAAGACCTTCCTTAGTACCGGTAATAACTACTGAGATCGAGCCCTCTCGGCCTTGAAAGGAATTAGTAGTCTATATAGGCAGTATACCTTCCAGCTGCGGGAAGCGTTTTAAGATTTTGTTGCCATACTCTATATTCGGCTTGTAGGCCAAAATGACAACAAAGTCCCTTAGGGATACGCCTTTGGAGCACTTAACGAAGTTAGAGAGCAGCTTCAAGGCGCCCTTCACCTACATCCGGTTAAGTTTAAACGTTCCAACCGAATAGACCTTTGTATTCAGCATATGGAAGAACACAAGTAAGAGGCTACCTACCAGGCTCGGAGTCAAGGATTACTAGCAGCCGGCGAGGTATTTTTCGAAAGCCATACCTACGGCATAGCTAGTATAGGACGGATCACACGACTCGCTATACTCTATTTTAGCATAGTCAGAGTAGAAAAATTTATTCGCTAAATTGAACATATCTTTGCACATCCTCAACTATCGAAGTAGCCGGAACGTTAGGATCCCCGCAGCCTATAACTAGGCCAAAGCTGAAATACGACCACATATTACAAAACAGTTTATATAATTACCGTTCTCGTCCTTATTTTCGAACTCTATTATTATCGGCGGGAATTGTTTGACGTCGCTGGCAAAAATAATAGGCCTCAAAGTATTACCCTAGATCGAATAGAAGTCGGCCTTATACATATAGCCTACCTCGTCTATGGCGATAACCTTAGTTGTAGCCTAAATTTCGTAGAACTATAGCGATTATACTCCGGCCGGGGTGGTTATAATAATATCCGCGGCGTTAATAATCTATTGCAATTATTTCTCTAGGAAGTATTTGGCTGCTATAGCCTTATTGCAATAGGCCTCCTACGTTAGTTCGCCACGGGCAAACTATATAATACGAGCCACCAACCTATCCGTCCCGCCCAACGTATCGATCTCTTTCTAGAGTTTATATAAGGAAGGTACGTACTCCGGAATTAAAGTTTTGACGATACTAGCTTCCTTACTCTATTTAAAAGGCTTAGACCTTAGAACAGCTAGTAACTAATTTAATAGCGATAGCGCTAGCCGCTAATGAGGCGTGTCGTTCGGGTTTGGGGACTTGTATGTTGTGTCGTCCGCGACTTTGGTCTTGAGGATGTTTTTGAAAGTATTTAGCTTAATCTTATTCGAGTATCTGCGTACAATAAGAGGATAACGATACTGGGGGGTTGCTATATTAGATAAAGGTATGTCCTTATTGTACTTTTTGGCGACGGTATATCCCCTTGCGTAAATTCGTAATGCGAAGTTGGTGATAGCCGTGTTGGTAGGGCCCGACCCGTAGACCTTCCTACTGCCTGAATAATTGAGACTTCCGAGCATTAGAGTATTAAGGGTTGTCGTTTTCCCCGTACTACTAGGTACGCTAACTAAGGCGACGTTATAATAGCAGTTGGTTCCGTAGTTTATTATCCTAGATTTAGTATTGGGGAGTGCGTCATTTAAAATAGCCTTCTTGAGGACTAAATTTCTAATTTCGAAGAAATTGAAGATAGGAATAGAGTAGAGGGGCTTAGTCGGTCTTACTTCGTTAAGTATTAAGGTATATATTGCTTCGGAAAGGGGTTCGTAATTACGGTTTGAAGTATTGTAAAGACCCGTACCGCGCATCAAATCCTTATAGATAGCTATCCTAAATTCGAATTTAGGGCGATAATCTTCCGAAATTTTAAATAATGGGTAAAATTAATTATTAGGTAGGAAAATCTTAGCAATATTAACCTTATACTCTAAATTAGAGAGGTAAATAATAAAATTTAGCATAACGTTATTTTATTACGCTGCACTTATTTAGTAGATAGTTAGTAATTCGTTACGTTCTTTAATATATAATAAGAACGAACCTTAAATGCCTCTTCGGCCTCAATACACTCTTCGAAAGTCTTTAAATTATTTCGGTAATTATTTAATACTGGCACTTGAATAATAAGGTCGAATTCAAATTACCCTACGATAGTATACTAATTTTCGAGAGCCGGTAGAGTCTCTAGACGCTATATAATTCTATTTCGGAGATTATAATAGTTAACGCTTTTAAAATTATAAAGGTTAAGGGAAACTAATCCGTCCTTCGTCAAGCGGCTCTAGTACGACTTATATTAGTCGCGAAACGTTTTAATTAAATAAATTATAGCTAAGTATATAGTAGTGTCCAAATCAGCCGGCTCCTCGTTATACTTGTGAACGAAGTATATGGGCACTTTATTTTATAGATGTCGCGCGAGGCCTTATATAATTAGTAAGTATCTATAATGTAAGCTAAGCTATTACTATAAATACTCTATGCGTCGTTATCAAATATATAAGTAGGCTTAAATCGTTCTCTCTACAATAGTAAGAATTAGTAATTATATACGCAAGGGATACTATATGTATATACTTTATTCTTCTTAATTATATCTCTGAATGATTTAATATTGAACGATTGGCTTTCGAAGAAGAGGTAATCGAATAGGTAGTGGAATGGCGTTATTATCTCTCTTTTTCCGAACTGGATGGACTATTCGGCCTTATTAATAAAGAAGGTAAAATTATAACGACGGAGGAAATTAAGGAGATTTAGGCTGCTAATAATCGGCGTATTCTAATTGATCTAGCCGTCGCTCGGATGGTTAGGGTTGGCGAACGGCTTTCTGAAGCCCTCGATTGAGAACTTGCCACCATTAAGAAGGTCGATGTATACGTAGGTGACCTTAGAAAGTATACAGATCAGCTTAGGAAGTTCGTTATTACCTAAGATATCACGCTTGGTAATTTTGTATTCGTCTTTATTATTGGGGAGTTTGACCTGATATAAGGTTTAGTTTTATAGATATAATAGAAATCAATTATATAGGAGTAAGAATTTACAACGATGGTGTGTTGCCGATTAAGTTCGAGACGGGCACTGTCTGGATTTGCGGTATTGGGTTGATAACGGACCCTAAACCCGGTGGCCTCGTTAGTTGCGCCGTGGTCGAAGCTCAATTCGAAACCTTCCTAGGCGCTTTTTCCAGTAGGGTACGAGGTTACAAGGGTTATACCCACGTCGCTGCCTAGGTTACTGCCGAGAATGAACGCTGGCTTCGTATCTTTTTTATTACCTGGTGTCTTGTAACCGCCGATGTATGGGCCACTCAAACCAGACATGTAGATGACGGTTTGGGCGCGTGTTAAGGTATGGCTAGGGCGTGTTCCCTTTTCCTGCCCCGAAGCTATAGCTGCAGACATTGCGAAGGGTATCTGACGGTGTTGCTGGAATGCTACTGAATCGGACCGGACTACGTAGTTCTCTCACTGCCCGGCACTCCCCGTTCCGCTCACCCCGATAACACCTCGACGCGATGTTACTACCAAGACCCAATATCTTGCTAAGCGATTAAATACTCCCCAACCGGAGTCGGAGAGTCAATACTGAGTCGAGGCGTTATAGCACCACGCAAAGATGATGCTGAAGATCCGCAAAAAACAAAGGAGGATGGGACAGCGAGAGAAGTTTCGAGAACGTAGGCAATACTGGTGAGCATTACCTGGTGACAACTGCGTATGCTGGCGATATGCTGGCGTGGCTGGTTGTTGCGTTCAAGTATTGTTGAAGTTGGTGGTTGTAGTGTCTTGGACCAGAGGGAGAAGACTAGAGAAGAAAGGGAAAAAGAATGTGGGGGGGCTAAAATACGGGGGCATGGACCCACAGGGCTGGACAAGGTAGGTGGGGACATGACCCACCCGATAAGATAGTGTGAGTGCGGCCCTGATAAAGCGACTGTGTGCGATTCCAAGCGGCTTGTATGGGGACGCCCGTCTGACCAATAGCAAAGGTCAACAAACACCCCCAGCTTGGCATCCAGTGCATCGTCGCTCGCGCTGTCGGTGTCAATTCATCACCAAATGCGCACTCGAACATCGCGACAAAATTGCGACAACATCACGACCACAACATCGCAACAACAACGTCCCAATGAACACTCCTTTACAACGTAAAAGATACACTCTTACGCGGGGGCTTCTCACTAGCTCCCTGCACCCCCGGAATTAACCCTAATACTAACTTTCTGAAAGGCCCGATATAACTCTGCCATTGGTCTGACAGGCTCCACATAGGCCGTTTGGGGTGTGATCTTTTTCAGGCTGCTAGAGCTGCGCAGTTGGCAGGTGGAGCTAGCCGTTGTACCTTTTTCTAGACTGCCAGGCCTGGCTGCTTCACATTGTTCGGGGGAGCTCCAGTGTGATTTCAGCAGTCTGGCAGCAGTTTGGCACATAAAGTCTTTATTTGATTAATTGAACTTTAACGTCTTAGCAGTGTACAGTCTGACATTTCAGCCACACTTACTCCATTTGCCAAAGCCCTAGTCTCTCATAACAGAAGTTCCCAAAATGTCAGCCCCTATTTTTTCCCCCTCCGGTGGACCGCCCCGCAGCCACATGTGGCGCGTGTCTTGGAGCCTGCGGGTCCCAATGGTGTAACATCATGATTGGTGGGTGGGGGGGGGGGGGGGAAGAAACCAGGGGCCGGTGCAAGTGGCTGAGCGAATGAGACCACAATTGACATCGTCGCGCGCGCTGTCGGTGTTAATTCAACACCAAGTGCCATTACCCAGATGCGCACTCAGGTCGAACATAGCAACAATAACGTCCAAATTAACGTCCAAAAGCTCCCACCTCCCTGACCCACAGTTCCCATGGCCTGCTGATTGTGCCGGATAACGTTTCTGCTGCGTTCCAAGCTTCTGATCGATTTAGGTACCGAATGGCTGGTGACGGCGAAAAGTTATTTGTTGCGGCCGATGTTGCACTTAGGGATAACGTAGCTGACTGTATAGCGGCATTCTTCATGGTGTAGATGGCTCGAAACACGGCGTCCTCGATGGATGAAGAGATAGCAGTGAACCCATGGCCACGCATCAAGGTCACAACGTTTCCACCGTCGAAGGACTTGGCAAGACTCCTCCCCAGATGCTCATGACGGACAAGCATATCAGGAATATCGCTGCGGAGATAATGGTCGGCGATGTCCCAGACAGGCGGTCCATCGGTGCTGAGGAAGCCAGCCATGTGGTAACAGGGACGGAGAGGGACGCCTGAAATGGTGAAGGGGATGACGGCATCCGCATGGGCATGGACGACGGCAGTGACTTCATTGTGCCGCTTGTAGATTTCGGAGTGAATGAGGCGCTCGACGTACCCTTGCGGAGCGCCCTCCTCGACAGGCTCAGCGTTTTCGACCCAGTATTGAATCAAATCGTCTTGCGAGGAGACGGCGGCCGGGGGCATGTTCTTGGCCATAACAAAGATTTGGGGACGGAGTGGATGACGGAAGGAGAGGTGACCGTAGGCGTCGACAACGCCATGATAATGGAGAATATGACACCCGTGGATGAACTTGCGGATGGCACTCTCCACAATGGCAGCAGCTTCTGTGGTTGTCATTGCTGCTGTGGGCATTGTTGTACCAGTCAATCACTGATGCTACAGATGGACGGTGGTTATCATCCTCCAGCACACTCAGTTCAAAGGAGACACACGGGGTATAAGACCGGTCAAGCTCCCTTAGAGAATGAGAGTCATGCCGGAGAAAAAGGCATAACCGTAACACAGGTGGCTCTTCGTCTCGGGATGTTGGTCAGTCGGTGGCGGGAGTACGAGGCGTCGTGGTCGAACAACCTTTTCGGTGATGTATGCCAATCACACTTTCGGGTGGGGAGATAATCGAATCTGCAAGAGGAATGTTTGCGTTGTACTTCTAATGAGTGTGATGCGAGTTGTGTGCCCATTCGATGCACAAAGTGGTGATGTGGTTGGTAATGAGAAGTCAGGGAAAGGGGAGAAATGGAAGGAGCGAGGTCAGAATTTCCTGTAACTTGAGCATGAATGCCATACAAGACCCTAACCCCGATCTACTTCCTTTCCTGGCTGGACCAGCGACGTCAATTGCGGGGTTGCGGTTTGGCGATCAGGAACCCGGCGAGCCTAGAATCCACTGTTACAGGCGGTAACTCCACTAAAAATTCACTGGCGTGTGCTTGGCTCCACCCATGCTCCCTCATTGTATCTTCACCTTTGTATCAACCTCAACTTCAAGAAGTTGGAAATTTTGGAACTTGAAATCCCTCGAGTTCAGAAAGACTATACAAGAGGAAGAAGCATCAACCGGCCCGACATTGATACCGGCATCGTTAGTCATGAGCTGATCTTGACGGGCATTGTTCAAGTTTTGTTCTTGTCTCTGCCTCTCAAGTGCACCAGGGCGTCTCGACGACAAACCAAATACCCAAGGGGAACGGACAGAGACGAAAGGCCAAGTGCTTTTACTCATCGACATGGCTCGCCGAACCACAAGAGGCATAAAAAAGAGCTACGTCGAGGCTCCCATCATTTTCGATGATGAGGACGAACCCATCCCCGTCACATCCAAGGACTCGGATGATGAGGATTTCGCTGCCCTGGAGCCAGCTCAGGAGGAAGAGGAGGACAAGGATGAAGAAGCCGACATGGCCGATCCCACCAGTGAAGAAGACCAGGCCGAGGACGAGGACGATGAAGATGATCGCGACGCCGACGGCAAAAAGAACGATCCGTCCTCCCAGCCCAAGAAACACCGTAATACGGGCGCTGGCATGATCCAGAGCCGCAAAGGATTTCATGACATTCCTCATTATCCCCTCGAGACACGCATTGTAACCCGTGTCTACGCAGGTCCCTTGAGGCGATATGCGCGGTATAGTGCCCTGCGCGACTCCATGTACGGCCCAGAGTACAACCGTATCAAGATTATATGGGACTTGGAGATGCGATGGGCCGAATTTCCCGCTCTGCCACCCAGGTACTTGCCTCACGAACCCCAGGGCATCTGTCCCAGTCCATGGCTCGCGCCCGCCTTCGAGCGGACACAGGAACAAAATGCTGCTCGATGGTACAGCAACTGCTACGCCAAGAGTCCCGAGGTACAACAATCCCATTTGCTTTCCAGCCATGAGGGAGAGCATCTCATTCCTCAAGCCGGAGGCGACCTTGTTACCTTCATTGGGCCCTGGGATCGCCAGGCAGAGCTTCGGTTTACCCAAGGCCAAAGTTTACCGATAACGGCTTCTGGTCTCCCCACGAGCACATCCGAAGACCAAGAAAAGAGCTCGACCGGCTGGATGCTCGACATTGGAAGTATTCCACTTGCCATGGGCTGGGTTCCATCACTCGTCAATACCAAGCAAGTTCTCGCCATAGCAAGCATACCCTTCGCGGATCAAGAACCTAGGAAACAAGAAGACGGTGCAGATAAGCACGAAGCCCCCGATGCTATGGCTGAAGGCTGCGTCCAGCTTTGGGAGTTCACACCCAAAGAGGCAGGCAAAACGCTGGCTCGACCTTCCACCACCCCAGCGCGGCTGATCAGGACATTATGCTTCAACTGGGGCCGGCCAAAGCGACTGCAGTGGTGCCCCGTGCCTTACGAGTCAGTCGGTAGTTATGGGCTACTAGCCATACTTACAGGAGATGGAAAGGCGCGAATTATTGACGTCAAGATGGTTGAAGAAGGGAGCGCCCCCATTTACGGTAAGTCAGACGCAGTCAGATCCTTCTTCCACCCCGTGTTCTCAGGACTTGCTGGCTGATAGAACATTTATGTAGAGTGGGTACAATCTCCCGTTGTCACCCTTGGCATCGATGATGATTACAACAACAAGGTGACTTGTCTAAGCTGGGTGAATATCAACCGCATCGCCCTCGGTCACTCGGATGGTTCTGTCACACTGTGGTCCATTTTCCCCCGGAAGATGCTACAAAGGGTCGGAGTACACACCACGTATGTGATCGATATCTGTTCGGCCTACCCGTCGAATCCCTATTTGGTCGCCTCGATTCCCGTTGGCGGATGCGCAACCTTGACCGACCTGTCGCAGCCAAGCTCCGAACTCACATACTTCCCTGTTCCCGCTATCAGCTTCCAGCCGAACATGCTTTGCTGGAACGAGTCCATGCAGGGTTTCATGGCTCTCTACCCGTCCTCCACGCCCAACACTACCATTGCGTTCCTGCACCACCGCTTCTTCTGCCAGGCACGTAGTATTTGCACGGGTCCGAACACCATCACTTGCATTTCTGCCGGAACAACGCATCCGTTCGTGTTGGCTGGCTGCGCAGACGGCTCGTTGTTCTCTTGCAACGCGCTGCAGAAGCTCTTCAAGCAGAAGGGGGAGCCTTTGCAAAAGATCAAAGTAATGGAGCACGAGTACAGGCCGATTAGACGTCCTGAACTTCAAGGAAAAGACAGCGCTCGTCCCGTCAGAGGTGCGGTCCGGATCTTGCAAGGTTTTCTACCGGAGCCCAATGACGATCCCAGGACGGAGAAGCGCAAGGAGCTCGACCGGAAGAAGAAGCTAGAAAGAATGAAAACGGCGTCTGGCAAGAAAAAGGGCCGACCAAGGAAGAATGGAGGCACCGTAGAAGATCTGAATCGGGAGGCCGAGCTTGACGACAAGCTTGCTTCGCGCGTGGTCACTCATGAGCCACTGACCAGGTTGACGACGATTGTATGGAATCCGAACATGCAATACAGCTGCTGGGCGGCATGTGCAATGGCTTCGGGTATTATCAAGGTGATGGATCTTGGAGTGCAATAAACTAAGGATCTGTCGATTTTGACTAGCCACGGAGCGAGTAATGCCCAAGAAACAAAAGCGAGAAATGGCTATCACACGATCAAAAGCGTAACATGGGTACTATGCAACAATCCGCCGGACGGAGAAATAGGGTATGCACTTGGACTGAAGAATACATGTCAAACTCACAAGTTAACTCCGAATCATGACAGCGCCAATTGTATCAAGAGAAAAAGTCGGCTTCTTGTTACACATCTCGATTCGCCTCACTTGCCCTGGGCAGTGTCAGTTTCGGAAAGATGATTGAGTCTATCGCATCTACCTAGCTACCTATCTATCTATCTTTACACGCTCTATGTTTCTAGTGTGTATTGAACATGCGATACTTGTGCTGGGTCTCAGCAAGTGCCTCCCATGACGGCATGATGGTAGTCGAAAGCCTTGGCCATGCCATACAAGTGGGTGGCTGCGGCCAGGACGACAAAGACATGGAAGATCTGATGGGAGCTGCCCCAAATGTCAAAACGACCGGGATACCGGCATTCAGGCCATCGAACCTGGCGTTTACTCTAGTTAGAAAATGGCAGTGACGGTATAGAATTATGGAAGTTGAAGACTTACAGCATACAGGAAGGCACCAAAGATGTACATGGCTCCCTGAAGCATGACCCATCTGAGTCCCATGCGCTCATCCAGTTGACTGAAAGAGTTGAAGGTCAAGGCGTGAAGGATGGGAACGACTCCGGATGCGCCGAGACCGACGAACATCATGGCGCGGTAAGGGCGCCAGGCGGGAGTGCGGAAGTGCTCAAACCAAGAAACGGTGATGCACCCAAGACCCAGGAGACAGATCTGCGAGCAAAGAATGTTTTGTTAGTACCAGCTTGACAAGTGTTTCACTGTCATCAAGACTTACCATGCTCAGGTAAAAGGTCAATAAGCTAGGATAGTAAAAAAAGCCATAGTACATGGTTGGCACATAGCTTCCGATAATGAGAAAGACGATTCCGGTGTAATCCAGCTTGTTTCCCCACTTGGCCACCTCGGGGCTGTGGTTTGACAGGGTATGGTACGTAGCGCTCATACCCAGGCAGCAGAAAGCGCCCAAGAAGAAACAGGTGAAGACGAGGACGTCAGACTCGGAGGCGGACTCGTATCTCGGGGCAATGACGTTGTAGAGGAAGAAGCCGCCAAAGGTGAATAAGATGGCGCCCAGGAGATGAGTCCAGATGTTGACAAACTCATTGTGCAGGTAGAAGATGGACCAGAAGGACTTCTGATAGCTGTTGGAGGTGCGGCGGTAGCCCGAGTGGATGAAGTGGTTGTCGCGACGCCATTGGGGGAGTTCATCCCACAGCATCAATAAGGCGTCCTCGATCCGGTGTTCGACATCCTTGGCGGTTTCCAAAAGGGAGTCGGCGGCGGAGGAAAAGACTCCGGAGGCGGAAGCGGTTGAGGCGGTCGAGGGCCGGCGGCGTTCCCGGAGTGAGACGTCGGGCTGCCGGGGGTCGGATCCCGAGTCTCCGGCCGGCATCTTTTTTTATCGCGGTTGCGCTTGGATGGTGTTCGTTGTTGTGGCTTGTTTTGTTTCCAAGTCAAAACAGTGGTTGTAAAGGATTAAGATGCAGGTGAGATGAGAATCAATTTGCTAGCAGAGCTACTTGTAGCCAATGTTTTATGCACATGTCAAAAGGCAGATTCCAACTTTCTGTTGAGCTGGCCTTGGTGGGCTGTCATGTTTCCATGATCCTCAACTATTTCCACCATCACAGATCCGGACGGAGGCAACGGGAAAGATTCAGGCCAGGGTCCCCACTGCTCCGCCGAACCGCCGTGTTAATCCAGAGGAAGCTTGCAGTGGCCGCTACAAGAAAGGAAGTACACTTGGCGACTTACACCACCTTACAAAGCGATAGCTTTACAAGCTTAACTGTAAAGAGATTCTGGTCAGGCCATTTGACTAAAACCATTGGTATGTTGGATCACTTGCTTTTGAAGAAAGAAGCGCTTGTTGGGAAGACGTATCGTTGTTTGGTGTCCATGGTAACACTTTTGATGCTTTCATTTTGTGTTGGCTGCTTTGCCCGTATTTTTGTTGGGTTGACACTTGCTCTCTTTCACAAGTCAGAGCGAAAGAGTCTTGGCCCGTTGGCCGAGGCATGGGCTCTCAAGGTCTGACAGCTGTTTGCCGCCTGGTGACCGCCTGGCAGCAAGGTGCTTGGGCGCTGTAGTGTGGAGGAAGGAACGCTGTCTGGTACGACCTTGACTGGAAGTGATTGAGGAAAGATCGATTCACATTGGAAGTAGAAGCGATTTTTCTCTGGAATCTCCTCCATCGCATGCCCAAGCGGACAACACTCCGTCGCCGTTCCCTATCTGGCTACCACCTGCCATGTTGCTCCTCAAAATGATGGGACCAAGTGTGCGATTGGCTTCAAACTCTTTATTGTCAATGCAAGTGCATAAAACCATTCACTAACGATATCACATTTCTTGCCTCTTTCCCAACGACGGGATAGGAATGGGCCGTCAATGGCCTGTTCCTATTTCTGTGCCTCTCGGCCCAGACTTCTGCAGTCAGCTCAAGTGCCGATGGGAACATGACATTCCCAGGTCAAGAGAGGCACAGACAACATGACAACACTCACGGAGACACGAGGTGAGAGCTCAAACCTACCCGCCATCGTGTTCCTGGCAGATTCCCATGTGCTGTGCCGTACGAACAGCTTTCCCCGGAAAAGTCAACGGCCCCAGATAACACCGGAGGGGAAATGGAAACCAAACTCTATGTTTACCTGGATGAGCTCGAGAAAACAACCCACACGGAGCAACTTTATCTCTATTCTTGGAGACAAATTTGTGTGATCCTCAGTCTCGGCCCTTCTTCACTATACATTTTCGTTATCACATTGGCTTGGTTGGTCTGCGTCTGTTCGTCTCTGATGATGGGGTGGTGATATCTTTATCATGTTTGAGAAGGACAAGTGTCCGTGGAAAGTTCAATGGCACCTTCAAGTTCGGTTAAAAGACGCCATGCGCCCACGAACACCCAATTGCGTTTAGGCGGAAGAACTACTGATCAAGTGTCGAGACGATCCGTGTCTACTTGACGAGAGACAGCTGAGGGCTGTTGGTGAAAAACAGACAGACAGGTCGCCGACTCTCATCACTTCGGCATCATCAATCTCTTACAGAGCAAAAGTGTCCCAAATGCAACGCGGTCTCCATCTTCCAACTCCTGGGACAAATTTTACGGGTCGCCGGGAGTGTGCGCTGCAATATCTACCATCATTTATACATGAACCACGGATGGGAAGCAGCACGTCGTCCGCGCCAAGTTGGGTCAAGGTGGGTGAAAACACCACGTCAGTCCAAAAATAGCCCGTCCCCTTGCCCCTATCCATCCCTTCGCCTGAACCCCGACCAGACCACAATACGGTTGACCGCGGCCTTAAGTCGCCGCTCGACCCAAAACTGCATGCTAACGTCGACTTCAAAATGTCAGTCTAAGGTTCTGCATGTCCAGCTGCGAGTCCGGGCCACAGGTCAACAAAGCTTGGGACCTTGTGCCCTTGGGTGACGATGCCGGCCAGCCGGGTAAATAAAGCGGTTTATATCACCACCGGGCCTTCAACACTTGGGATTTCATCTATTACATATTGCCTCGATATTGTCGCCACCAAACTTCCATCACCATATCGCCATATCGCAACATGACCCACGTCCCATGCTGTTTCGCCCGCAGTATCGGATGAATCTGGTTCAAAATGTCGCTATCAATATGCTATTAATATTTTTTTTGAGATTTAAGGGGAGGTTAATGACGGCAACAATGGTCCTTGGCATACGTCGAACGACGAGCAACCGACGACGCCATGTCTATATCAACAAGACCAAGACCCGTGCGTCAATCGTGCTCAAGAGTTGCTCTCTACGGACATGGACTTTGCCCAGATCTGACGGATACCAACAACAACTAGCACCGGCAGTCCTCCCATTCCTCCGCCATCATGGTCGGATCAAGCCTCACTCTGTCACTTCTCGGCCTTGGTGTCGTCCATGCCTTGCCAGCTTCCAAGAAGGTGGAGGAGCGCCAAACCCTCATAGGAGGTGGCTGGAGCGACTTCCATCCCGGTGACGGCAAAGCCCCCCCAACCTGCTCCATCAACATCCCCATCTCTCAGCAAGCCCCCTGCATCTTCTTCCCCATTCCGGGCACCATCAGACCCGGCAAGGAGAAACGACAAGTTCTTGGACCCGGCTATAGCGACTTTCATCCGGGTGATGGCACCAGTATTCCCCGGTGTGAAATATCCCTTCCCATCAGCCAACAACCACCATGCTTCTTCTACCCTATCCCTGGACAAATCATACCAGGAAAGACAAAGCGGCAAATCCTTATCGGGCCCGGGTCCGGCGACTTCCATCCCGGTGACGGTGACGAGATCCCTACCTGCGAGATTTCTCTTCCCATCAGCGAACAACCCCCGTGTATCTTCTTCCCCATTCCGGGAGAGATCACGCCAGGAAACGGCAAGAGGCAGACACTTGGTCCTGGCTGGAGTGACTTCCACCCCGGGGATGGCAACACCATTCCCACTTGCGAGATCTCGCTGCCCATCAAGGAACAGCCACCCTGCATCTTTTTCCCAATCCCGGGGGAGATTAGGCCAGGAAAGCGATCTTTCAGCCTCCCGGCGGACTATGCCACCAACACCAAGCAAGTTATCCTTCAGCTTGAGAAGCAGCTGGTGGCTCTCCAAAACAAGAAGAACAAGACTTCCGAGGACATCGACGATATTCGCGCCATCAAGGCTGCCCTCAAGTACTTGGCAAATATCGATCAGATTTCCGCATCGCCTGGATCCGAGACTGGCTTCACTCCCGGCAAGCGGTCCTTCTCCCTGCCTGGCGATTACGCGAGCGACACCAAGAAGGTTATCCTGCAACTCGAGAAGCAGTTGATTGCCCTCCAGAACAAAAAGAACAAGACTGATGAAGACTTGGCTGATATCCAAGCCATCAAGTCCGCACTCAAGTTTCTAGCCGGCATTGACCAGATCTCTGCGCCCCCAGGAACTGAGACTGGTTTCGTTCCCGGAAAGCGCGATGCCCTCTCCGTTGGCGCTTACGCTTCAGTCTGCCCTGGGCTGGAAGGTGCTGAGATTGCTCTCGAGACTCTCTTGCACAAACCCAAGCCAACAGTGCAGGAGTACATCATCATCCAGAAGTTGACCAACTTCCTTGCCGGATGTGGCATCGCCATCGTCAAGTCTCCTGATGGCACATGGACTATCATCAAGCCCTCCGACAAGAAGCGAGGTGTCGATACCGAGGTCGCCGTTGCCACCCTTCCACTTGAGAGCAGGATGTAGTTGATGAAAGGGATGGAGTTTGGTAAGAGCTTATTGCAAAAGGGGGGGTACAGCGTTGGTGCCCGAGAGAAAAGAGGTTGCCGGTGATTTGGGCGCAGTGGGTAATGATGAAGCACCATAATGGGAGCAGCTCACAACAGCAGCTCATGGAAGGATGATGATACCTGTCGGTGTTTACCGCCGATAACCTGGGTGTGGAGGGAGAAGGAGACCTTGGCCACTCCTTTCTCATTGTGTCAACGCCGGCCTTTACTACTATTTGTTCTATCATTTCCCTTCTCTAAGACGAAAAGTTTTCTTGTATCTTCTTTTTTTTCTTTTTTTAAGAGTACCACCAAAGGCTTGATTGATCTCTTACCTCCTGATCCCAAATTGCTGTGCCCCGTGAGCTCGTGCCTTAGTCCCAGTGGAGTGTCAAGATTGTTCCTGCCCCGAGATAGCAATGTAGTCCACGACGGCAACTAGCTCCAGGCCGGAGATGGTCTCCAGGCGGTGCCGTGTGTACCGCCATTCAGCGCTTCCGTCAGTAGTATTGGACTTTGCGCCAAGCTTCTCATCACCCCAGGAGCATGTGAGATTCACATCTGTACTTGTCGGAATATGTCAAAGGTCCGTTGTCCCAACAAGTCACTTCGCCGTGGCCATGAAAGATTGCGGTAGCATCCGAGAATTGCGAATCTGATGTCATACATGATAGTCAATTTTGCTTGCCATGCGATCGCGGATGTATATGCTCTCGGGATAACCGCTTACTAAGACCAGAGGTGCAGAAGGTCAAAGCAGCGTTGTCGTCCGATGGATAGCAGAGCCGAAATTATCAGCCAACCTTACCCAGTAATGGCTCGTAACACTGGAAAACACTTTTCTCGAACTACCAAAGGCCGCATCCGATTAGTCAAACCCTCCTCATTGGGACACTCGGAGCATTCTGGCGCACATGTTGGAACGGTTATCCCAGTTACGACGATACTCACCGGGAGGCTTGACCATCTCTATTCGTCCCGAGCCTTCGAGGAACACATCGGATGGTTGCCCCATTAACATCCGCCCAGGGGACCCAGCAACCTGTCCACTCTCCAAATTCCATAGAACAACACGGTCGATGCGCCCACACGCTTGCTTAGCCCACTCGGAGATAATCGGAATCACAAATCTTCTCTCAGGCCTCGTACCGTCCATATGGCTACGGCTGCCGTCTTCGCTGAGCTGAGCGTCTGTGCGATTCCGGTGGACCTGGACCCCGAAGCGCTCATTATGCATATACTGGTAGCGTATAGGATTGAAATGTGATATTATTCATCCGATGGTTGACTTCATGTTTCCTTTCAGACACGGACTCTCCACGGTGTCTCTCAGCTCGGTGAGCAAGGCTAGAGTCAGAACTGATATCAGCTTGACTATCATATGAAACACTGAACCCGTAACGACGTAGTGTGCTTTCTTCCATGCATAAGACATGCGTCAGAAATTGATGGCCTTGACTTGCATTGCTAGATTAGTTTGCTTCGCATACCAAAGCGTCTAACCTGACTACCCTTTCTAGAACAACTACAAGACGCATGTTTCAATCTACGGCTACGGATACGGAAACTCGTATGAAAGACGGTATATAGACATGGTCTCAAGCGCTGGTAAGCCGGTGACTACCAACCGTGATTATCCATGCCTTGAACACCATCAAATTCAATCCGTCGTGATCATCAACTGCCGGACTCACACCTCGCCGAGGGCGCACTACCTGCCGTATTCAAACAAAGACGAGGTTTGGCTTCGGCAGTGATCGTCTATAATTGTCTCACTTAGCCGACCGATTGAAGCTTTCCCATCGTCCCGACGGCACACATATGACCTATGACATAAGATATGGCGCTTGAAGTCGCTTGCGCCGGACGGGAGCGGTTGACTTGGGCTTTAGTGCCGAGCTGGTAAGAACCGGACTTTTGGGAGTCATCGTGTTTCCGTTTCGTTTCCGTGCCTTTTCGGTGCGCCACGCTCGGTCATATCGTACTGGCTCTCTTTGTTGTCAGTGAAAGTACTTCTAGTCACTGGCGAAATTCGACTGTTAAAGTGGCTGATCAATAAGACCAAAGCCGAACCAGAGCGGCTTTACCTGTCTCCCTCATCTTTCTTTGTCTTTTTCGCTTGTTCGGAAGCCACCGCCAACGGCTCGGACTCTACCATTGAGGCAAAAGAGCCTCGTTCGATGCGTTACGCGTGTTAGCCAAGTCTAAGACAGACATGATCAGCGAAACCGAGACCACACAAGAGAGTTAAGGGACTACTTGTCTCGAGTCCGAGACTACTTTAAATTATCGAGTGAGTACATGACTATCCACGAACTATACTCCAAACGCGTACTACCTCCGAGCCTCGAGACACACCACCGTTCCATCTCGTCGTCTAAAACAAAGGCATGGAAGAGGAGGCCAAAGCCCATGACCGAGCCGCTTCGGTCGACTCTCAACCGTTGTTCACTTTCCCGTCTCACGGCTCGGTGGCTTCAGCCTCACTCTACCGTCATCCGGGATGGACCAAGCTCGGAAAGTTTCTTGTTTATGCCTTGCCTTTGCCCTGCTTTATCTTAACACCTCTCAGAACTTGGTAACCAACCGAGATCGACAGTAATACGCAGAGTAAGCCGGCTGCAGATCCCGCCTGCTAAGACACGGCGCGGCTGAAGTTGGGCCTTACTGCCTCCTTCCTCTCCGAGCCTCCGAGACAGCGGTAAGCTGCAAGGCCATGCTTGTTTCATGGACGGGACCACGGCCTTGCATGGCTATATGGGTTTTCACTTTGTCTAGGACTTCAGTGAACCCTACACGAGAGCTGAGCGTGCCGCTATAGATGGCGTAGAGGGATCATGCCATTGGTGGACGTAAAGAATTATAGACACGCAAACACACAATATCTGACCACTGAAACATCATCAGATGGTTGCTCCATGGGGGTAAGAGTGAGTGTATTGCTTAATACTCGGTGTACGTGAAGAGGAGGATCACCTCAAACATATCAGCATCATATGTTGCAATCAGTTCATGCGCCTTACTATCAACAAACCACCACAAAACAGCTGAAGTTACCAAGATTGAACGTGGTGTACGCCTCGCTGCCATGCCTTCGTGGGAGGACTGATATTGCTTGTGCATAATTGTGCTGCTCACAAAGAGGCACAGTCCACACAGAACACAGAGAGCCTGTGTGCGTAGCCCAGTGCATGTGCTTCCTTATGCCGTGACTACACTCTTCGTTAGCCAGAAGCAAACGGTGAGGAGGTGGAGGACGAGGCCGTGAAGGAGCAGGAAAACGGACAAACCGGCACACCCACCTAATCGGCAGCCCGGCCCTTCCGTCCCCTCCCCGCCGTCCACCTGAACTGCACACGACCGGAAACGGTCGAGACTGACTGGAGACAACCCTCACAAGCCGGGAGCCGAGATAAGAACGCCCAAGGGGGGAATGATACGATAGATCACCCAACCCACATCTTCCGGGGGGAGGAGGAGGCCCTTGCCCGAGTCCATCAAGATCAGCTCTTGAGGGTCCGGACGGGGATAGATGGAGGGGTGAGACACGGACACAAGCCAGCAACGACAAGCACCAGTAACATGATGGTATCCGTAGTCAGTAACTCTCATGAGACGGGGCCCAAAGGGCTAGACTGCCCGTCACCTCCTTCACCGCCATGTGAGGGAGCATTTCCCCTCTTCCTGTGACAGATGATGGGGAGTTAGCGGCCGAGTACCCAGCAGCAGGAGAGAGAGCTCCAGCCAATCCTGCCGGAAAGGTAGTAGCACCGATGAGATGCGATGGGGTGTTGATGGATCACCGGGCGGAGGCTTAGGGCGCAGCATAGCGGCCTTCTCTCTCTCTCTTTCCCTCTCGTTCACGCTTCACGGTACGCCCGGGCCAGTGGGGTGGCAATGCGAGATGCATCTTGGGATGGACGGTTTGTAGGTATGTGGTGTTGACGATGGTGGTTGGTTGTTGGGTTATCCAGTCCCAGTTGTATGCACGACAACAACTGTTGTTCATGCCGCTTGTCGGCTATCCCACCCAACCACCACTCAAAGTGCCTTCACACCCACGCACGCCCATGGCACTCCATGCTCGCAAGGTGCCGCATCACGATTGGCTGACAACCCCGAGGCACGATGAAGGCCGGCCAGTGTAGCCGACTGCTTGGTAAAGTACGTAGCACCCAGCAGGATGGAGAGAACGGCCGGCGACGACGATGGCGATGATGCTGAGACAAGGACGGGTCCGATCCAGTGCAGTCTCACTTGTTGACTGGACGAAAGGAGCGGAAAACAGACGCCGTCTCCTCAATCCTTCTGCCACCGGCCCCAGCCCCAAGCCTTTCCCAAGCCCCAAGATAATGCGCTAATGCAAGCACTTTAACAGCTTGATCCATGAACGCGCGGAGCTAGGGCGGCGGTTGCTTTCTTACCCCATTTTCCTGATGCGGTCCAAGCTCCAAGCTAACCCATGTACGTCGGCCCAGTTTGCTAGGTTTTTGTCGTCCGAGGCATCATGGTTTCAGGCCCTTTTCATGCTTTCGTGGTCTTTCGTCTCGTCTAGACCACTGCCGATCAATGATGTTCAGTGAGATGGCCCATTGGGACCCATTGGGACTCCGAGATCTAACAGCTATATCGGTAACATCGGCGGTTTTTTGTTTGAGAGATGGCGATCCGTTTCGTCCGTCCCCCTTCGGAGTCTCCATCAAATCATGCCGCTCTGGCATGACTGCACAGAACTGCTGCGTAGCATGTACGGGGAATGCAGGACAGCGTAGCAATACGAGACCGGTGATCCCGTAGAGCGGGCGGCACGAGAGCGGGAACAATGCCTTGGAAGATGCTCAAACATCCAGGCACGGAGGCACGGGCAGCTCAACAGGCCTGGGGCCGGATTTGGTGATAATTCCCGGTCCGGCAGGAGAAGCCGCACGCACGGTCCTTCCGAAATATTGTGACGGACTTCCGGCCGAATAAGTTACTGACACAGCCGAAAGTTTCGGCCCAAATTCAAGTGTTTGAAGGTTGCTGAATAGGCTCGACAAAGAGACAAACATGCACTCTACACATGGCACTGGGGGCGGGAGAGGCGCGGGATGTCCAGATAGCTGGGTATCTCATCGGTTGTTGGAGGCTCAAGGGGTGGAATGTGCGATTTTGTTTGGTTGATTTGGTCAAGATGTTTGATAATGAGAGCCTGACTTACAAGTGCCGAAATCAGGTGCTTCTGTTAGCGTAGAGCTGGTAGCTTCATATTCACACTAACACAAAGTACATGCGCTGTAATCGATACCTAAGCCGTGGAGTGCTTGTTGCCGATCTCAAGAGTGAAGCGTTAACATGCTACCGGCAACCGAGCATCCGGAAGTCCAAGGAATGCCCGACTGTAGTGCCGGCAAACAGCTACGACGCCGTCGACACGGCGTGGAACTCGGGTACTGAATGAGCTGAAGACAACTGTCCACTGCGCTGCAAACGACCTGCAACGCTGACTCTTGCGGTGAGTATCCTAGTGGAGGAGAAGGGACGATGGAACAGCTCATCAGTTCTCGATACTGATCACAAGGATTGAAGGAGTTTCCACAAGAGCCAAACAGTTGCAGATAGTGGTGAGAGCCTTTTTCTGAATGGAGACATGGTTGCAAGGACAACACAATGCCTGATTTGGTAATGAGAAAACAAACACGTTGAGGACTGACAAAGTCGATTGGCCAGAGACAAGAGCCATTTTCCTGAAAAGACTCTGTGAGTGGCTACCGTGAACTCTTCACCGACTTTCTGTGATATCAGTTGCTGCAACAGCTGCTGGCTTCTGGAGCCTCTTGCTAGTCAGCAGTAGTGCCAGCTGCCAGCCCAAAGTCGATGCAGCAGCAGCTTTTTAGGCCCAAGCTGGAGGGGTGGTGATCTCTCAGTGGATGTTTTTGTGAGTTGGGCGTTGGAGTCTTTGGAGAGGGCATCAACAAAACTGGAGCCCCTCCAGAGATTCTCCGTCTCCGCCCCGGAGGAACGAAACAGGTCGGAAACCGATGATCGATCAGACCGACCAACGACAGGGGCATTCCACTTTGTGAGATAGGAGTGGATTCTCACTGTCTGGCAGAGTGCCAGTGGGGTGCTTCTGGAACTCTCTCTTCGGCAGCCCCTCCAGCTCCTCCTCTGCGGCTTTTGCCAATGCCATTCCTTCTTCCTTCTTTTTTCGTTGTTTTTTGTTGATGCTTGGCTGGGAATTGGATCGAGGACCCCTGGCTCTTGTTGATGCCCCTGACCTTGTCGTTGTGACAGTCAACAGTACACAATCCACACTCAACCGAGAGGCCCAGCCAGAGGAGCCGACCGGCCGGCGTCGGCAAGATTTATCTTTTGCTCTTTTGGACCATTTTTCCGATATCTCATGATGGGTGGCCATGGAAATGGCGAAATCCTTAGCTGGATAGACTCAAATCCATGCGTGGATAGACTAAACCCACTTTTTTGGGCGCCCAGCCAATCTCTGGCTCCCAACCGCGCCCATCAACCTCACCATACCGCCAACCAAGTGCAAATCATACACACCCTCATGCTGCAATTCATTTGAAGCTATCGTCGTCTCCGTCGCTATCGATATCGCTGTCGCTGTCGATGTCAGTGGCAATGATGTCGTTGTCATTGTCGTTGTCTCCATTATTATAGGATTACCCCAAGTGCCAAGTGCTTTTAGTAAGCTGAGTAGGAGGGCGTAGAGGGCGAACTTCCAGCACCCTCCCCGGCACTTACACAGTACCTAGGCAGCACTAACAGCGATGGCTTCACGTGCAACACCCGGACCAAGGCAGCGTTCAGGTTTGAGACAGCAGTACCTCTATAGGAGGCGACAGCTTTGACGACACTGAAAAACTTCACAAACATCGTGGATTTGGTAATGCGCCCCGGAAGGTCCATTTTGCGGTGCTTATGGCTGGGCGCCCAAAAAAGTGGGTTTAGTCTATCCACGCATGGATTTGAGTCTATCCAGCTAAAGATTCCGTGGAAATGGAGAAAGTGAAAAACGAAGAAAAGGAACCCCACTGTACCATCGTTTCGTTAGGCTTGCTCCCCACTGTGAATCCTTCCCGCTTGCCGGCCCACGCCGTCGTGTTCCAGCTCCAGGGCAGAGGTAACAGAAGCGAGTTTCCACAGTTGGGCAACTTTCCGGTCCCAGAGTCAAAGACCGTCCCAGCAATCATCTCCCTCGCTTGCGTGCAGTGCCGTGAAGTTGTGCACGCACATGGCCGCACGTACGGGCAAGATCTTGATATCCCGAACAAGGATATCCACGTCTTGTTTGATGTGTGATGATTTGAAAAAAGACAATATCACAACGTTGGAATGAACCTTCTGTTAGAAACACGCAGATTAACTTCCGAGAATGGCATAGTGGTCCGAGGTTAACAGCCATATTCGTCAAGGATTATCGTGTGATTGTTTGGTTGAATTAAAGTGCTGAGAGTGATGATGATGATGGTGGTAGTGGTGATGATATTGATGATGTTGAATGAAGGGGCCCTGTGGGGATCTTCCCAACCACCAAGCCCCTTCCTCCTCAGAGCTCCTCCTAGGCATATTGCCTGGAGGCTGCACTGTGCCACAGCAATGATGATAGATGACGACCGTCAGACCGTCATCACCAGCTCGGGAAATTTGTCCGCGAATTTCTCCTTGCCGTGGTTGTTGTTGATCCCGCTGTGATAAAAAGTCGGATAAAATGATGAATTCCCATATTGGGATGGATGGATGGAGGGGCAGATGGGATGCTCGTCGTCGAGGATGTCACCTGCTTCTTTCCATGCCTTGTTGTGTGGGAGTCGGGAAGTCATGATGTCTGTGCCGTGCCGAGCAACGACGATGATGCCCTCGTCTCCAGCCTTTCCTCCCACTCTCACAGTGTCTTCCCTGGCCTCCCAAGGAACCCTACCCAGCAACATATCCAACCAATCATCAGTCTAGATGAGACAGCCAACATGCGAAGCACGCCTCACTTTTCCTTCTGATTCGTCCTCCCATCTCATCTCAATTCTCAACTTCCCTCACGACCCAGGCGACCAGGCGCAAAGCCAGTGTGAGAAATGCAAGTGCCCGCCCGCAGCAGCACAGACTCACACCCACCAGCCCACCCACACCACACACCTTCTTTCGTCCCTCTCATTTTCACTTCAGCACCAAAAAGCAGGGCGAGGTGGCACCAGCATGAATCAACCAATCGCCATCCTTCACTTCAAACAGGTCAAGATGTTCAGTCGTCGTCTTCGCTCTCTTGCGGCTTGGTTGCTTGCGCCCATTCTTCCCAACCACCGACACCAACAACAGAAGACTATCTGAGACTACCAACGGAAACAGTGAGAGCAAACATTGAGAGCAGAGACAGAGGGGTCCCTTCCTTCTTCCTTCGATGGGACCCTTTCTTTGGCGGTAGTGACTGATAGTAGCCGTTTCGTTCTATCGCTCGGCTCGGTTCAGTTCAGTTCCTATTTTCTGTTTTCGATATCGTGCATGATCCAAGGTTGAGACACACACACGCTCAAGATTTCATTCTATACCTGTTCTGGTTATATCCTGCAAACAGCTGCGACGCTACTGCATACTACGCTTACAGGAATGTATCCTTCTTGCTTGATCTTTGGTATCCTTTTTGCAGAAGAGTTCAGAGGTGCAGTGAAGTGCAGCAAGGCAGACAGGCAGGCGCCCGCTCGATGCCATCGGGCGATACGCATAACTTCTAGCGAGCGGTAACAGGGACGAGCAGCAGCAGCAGCAGCCAGTGAGGTTAGGTGCATACTTGACTGGTAGGGCATTGTTTACTCCACATTTGAGGGCGCAGGGGCATCAGCAAGCGGTTAGTTGAGGTGTTAAGGCAATATCGGATCCTCCGTCGTCTTGTCCGTCTCGAAGTCCGTCGGGTGACGGGTCTGTTGTCGCTTCCACTACTTGCGACGATAGCTGCAGGAGAGTGGATGATATTCCACTTGACTGCTAAAGTGGTGGTGGTGAGTGCCCTGCCACCACACAAAATGCACCTGTACCTTGTTTCTTCTGGCAACTGCTGGGCGCTGTTGGAAACGTTGGGAACATCTGATAGTGGAGTGACAGTGGGTGGTGTGGGTATTTGTTAGTGAGTGATTTGTAACCTTGTGTGAAAGATTGCATGTGTCACTGGGTGCAAAAATTCGTCTGCGTCGTGCATCTCGGCGTCCACACCTTTCGCTGCCAACCCCTGAATGGGCCAGCCGGGCACCAGCAACCGGCCCTTTTGCCCACCGGCACTCGTTGCCCGGGTGCCCAGCTACGGTACTGGGTCGGGGAGGGCAATTCAGGAGTGGTAAACATTGGTGCCATGCAACTATCACCAGACACCATCTCACTGCAAAAGTGCACAAATGTGTGTGTTTGGTGTGTCTCAACCATCATTTATTTGTATTTCTCTCCTCCCAAGCAACCGAGATAAGCGCGGCTGCAAGAATGAAAGCTGCTCTACCAAGCAAATTTCTTGATCAAGACAGCTCATTCCTTTTCCACTCCGTCCGTATGTACATGTGTTCCAGAGTGTATGTAAAAACGTATTTGTCTTTGCGCGCCAGGACCTCTTCCAAAGTCGCGCAATATAGCACAAAGCAGGGCTCTTGACCCGAGTAAAGTTCTAAAAAAATATGTTCGTATCCCATCATTTATGTCATTCATCCATGTCTTTTCGTCAACTCCATCATGACCCTGAGAAAAAGAAAAGAAGAAAAAAAAAACCCCCAAGAAAACAGCCGAAATTCCACTTGCCAACCCCAGTTTCGAGAACTTCAAAAGATGTACAACGGGAAGTGGTATCATTCAGCAGAAACAACGCTCTCTAAACACCACTCCGTTTCTTTCCCGACCTCCGTTTCTCTAAACAGACTTTCTGTCCACCGCAGAAAAAACAAGAGTAGCCGACAACAAGGCAAATAAGGGAATAAAAAACACATGTCTTCTAGACCCCAAACAGAGCGTAACGTTGCGTCGTGAAACCTCCAGATCTTTATATTCCTCCCCGGTTTTGTTTTTGTTGCGCCGAAAACGGAAAAATGGGAGTCTTTTCGCCCCAAAAAACCATGCAAATAATGATGGTCGACTGAAATCGACCCAGTTTTCCTTCCCAATCCCCCCTTTCCACATGTAGAAATGCGGTTGACAAACCCCAAACTCCAAACAGTGTATCGAAAAGCACAAGAGCCATCCCACCCCATCTTCGTATGTGTACAATAATACAGGTTGTTCTTTCAATGAAAACGTATAATAAAAACGGAAACAATTCCCACTGGGAAAACTTGCCGCTCCTCTTTATCCCGGGCTCCTGGGTATCATAATCCGGACAAAGACCATCTATGTGGTGGGATATTAGTTTAATCGCGAGGGAAGAAGTAACATGAAATATCTCCGGCGCCCGTGTTTGCCATCGGCCGTGGCATGGAGACATAAAAAGCTGAACGAGGTATAGCCTTTCGGCCAACCCCAAAACGTATTGCAGAATCTTGCGACCGACTAATAACAGCCTTGGATATGCGCAAAGAAAGGAACCTGGTGGAAGGGAGCGTGGTGTGAATGCGTATAGTACTTGATCGTTTCCCAAAGGTTTCCAGATGGGTACTTTGATGGTGCATAGTTCGGCTGGACCGAAATGGGCATCATCGGCTGCTGGACAGGTTGCGGGACCGTTGTTGGGTAAGGCTGCTGGAAGTAGTCGTGTTTGTACTGCGTCATAACGTTGGGATCCTCCAAGGGTTCGAAGATCACCGGCTCTCTTCCCTGCAATGGCTGCTGTGGCGGCGGTGTCTTGATCTCCGGAATATCCGAGACCAAGTCATCATCATCGTCCTCCTCCAAGTCCTCAATACTCGAGCATGCCGAGGTAAGCGACCCTTCATCCGAGGAGCAAGTAGAGCCCTCATCAGACATGGAGTCCGACGAAGAGGGTGACATGGGCGACGGGTATTCCTCGGCGTCAACATATGTAACTTGCTGCTCAAGTGATGCGGGCGACTGGGTGAACCTGGAGCAAGCAAGAATCCGGCTTCGCAGCTCGGGCAAGGTAATCCTGTGGTCAGGATTGGGCGTGAAAATCCTCCCCAAGATGTCGTTCAGTTCGTCCGACACCGGGAGAATGGTCTTGAGGAAATCCTTGCTTTTGACGTAGGCCCGGTAGGTGGAGTCCTCAAAAGACGCTTGCTTCCATGGGTTACGTCCACAGGTGAGATTCACCAGGATGACTCCAAGGCTCCAGACATCATTCGGCGCGCAATAATAGAAAGGCCTCCTTGCTGTTTGATCCAGGCACTCTAAATGAACAAGAAAAGAAAGAAGTCAGTTTGTTGTCCAGGGGATCGGATGGAAAGTGAGAAATGAGAACGAGGAATCGCATGGCCGAGATGGGCTAGGGGAGATTGACATGAGAAAGTTCGCAAAAGCATGAAAACCTACCTGGCGACATATAAAATGTTGAGCCACACCCGTAGTCCATAGATGTTGCCTGTTGTATTGCGAGGCCGAAATCTGCCAACTTGACAGTTTCGCCGTTGTCAGAGACGAGGATGTTCTCTGGCTTTAAGTCCCGGTGGTAAATTCCCCGGCTGTGGCAGTGTCCTACGGCATCCAGGATCTGGAGGAAAACACTCTTGGCGAGCTCATCTTTACCAACATATTGCCCACGTTCGGTGATATTATAGAACAGATCACCCTCCGGGCAGTACTCCAAGACAACGTAGATGCAGTCATGTTGTTCGATGATCTTGACCATCGAGACTACATTAGGGTGCCCCGAAGCCTGGTGGTGCAAACGTATCTCCTGGCGTTGAAACGTAATCTGGCGAGCATCCAGCGGGGTCCCATCGGGGTTGAACTTGCTGAGGCACTTGACGGCATAGCGAACATTGTCCTTCAGGTCGACGGCTGAATAAACCACACCATATGCACCAGACCCCAGGATCCCTGAGAGTTGGAGCGAGTTGGTGATGAACATGCCTAGTCGGTCTTCGGCTGGCATCGGGACATAGTGATGTTGCTGTAGCTGGTGAGGTGGGGGGAAGATATACTGCTGGTCGAATGATGCTGGTGATGCCGGCGGAGTGAGATATCCAAACTCTGACACATGATGCATGATCTGTTCTTGCTTCCTTGACTCCTGATACTAACTCCTTTCAGGCCTGGTTTAGGCTAAGCCGACGGTGGATGGGCGCAAAGTTAAGTCCGGAAAGGAGAAGAAATGGAAACAGCAGACAGGAAGAGAACAGAAAGACTGGATGGATCCTGCTCCTGGTTGGGTATATCCTCAAGAAGACCAAAGAAAATGAAAGTCCGGGTAACGTCCTTTTGCTCCTCTGGAATGGATGGAATGGCACTGGCTCGAGCTTTGTCCTGATGGGTTGATTGTAAATCCTAAAACGTCCAGGCTTTGGGTCGCAAACAATCCAGATGTTGACTTCGAGTGAACGGGTCAACAAGTTTTGGGTGAAGAAGGCGTATGTCTGTAAGTCGTTGGTTGAGAGTTGTTGTTTGAGTTAAGAAGGACGGAATATCATGGGAGTCGTTGACGGAGTTGTTGTGAAAGAGGATAGTCTCCACGGACACTGGACCTGGAAGAAGAACGGGGGAGTAGGAGGTGAAAAGAAGATGCCAAGTGAAGTGAGTGTCGAAAACGGTGACGATGTTGAACGAAGCTAACAGCACGAGGCAAGAGCGTAGCAAGATGCGGACCGGAGATCGTAGATATTTGACGATGCTCTCTTTCACTGGCTGGCGGGCGAGCTTACCCTGCCGCCCCGTTCTCTGTCAAAGGATGGCATGGTGCAATGCGATCCTCTTCGGCTTGCGTGGTCTGGGTGGCTTGATTGGTCCCCAAGTGCCCCATGTCAGGCTGGCTGTCCATCCACCCCCGAAGTCGTCCCAAAGACTGTGTGCAAGGGTAGGAGAGTACGAGGATACCGCGGTACATGCAGGGTGTGGTCGGTACGACGGTAAGATGGGAGGTACGAAGGCACGGAGGGTGTGAGACTTGGGGGAACCTCTGAGGAGCACCGATTTGCCCACACCCACTCACCTCCCTCTCTCCTCGCTGTCGGTACCCTCTTTTACCTTTCTCTCTGTTGCTGGACGCTGTGGCCACCGCCCGGCTCAAACCAGCGCATCCTTGCCGTGAGTCCCATGGGACCACAATGCACCATCCTATTCTTAATCTTGGGTGGACGGCACTAGAGCGGAACGAGTATGGCGGGAATGAGGGTGGATGAGGGTGAGGGATTAGAGGCGTGTGGGGCGTCTTGGAAGGTTGCGAAGGTCCATGGAGCACCAAGGAATGGCCCAATGCCTGCTTGGGGCGCCCGCTAATGCGCAGCAAGAGTGATTTGTGACGACGAGCAATAACGAGGACAAGGGTTGTCTGACACAGATCACTCAAACGCCCTGTGTCACATCTTGCCCATGCATGCGGACTAACGTCCAATGCTCATCATACACACGCCCCCCTTTCATCCTCATGCGCCCCCAGGCCGTTGATTGCTCATCAAAGAAGCAAATGGGATGTGGAGGATGATGAGATGCTGTCCTTGTCAGAGAAAGAGGGGGGTGAGCCGAGCTGCTAGTTATCAAGACGAGCACTGAGTGCAAGACGGAAAGGATCAGAGCGGCATCCACCATCGTTCAACAGGAGGACGGCGAAAACTGAAAAGCAAAAGAGCCCAGCCCAGCGCGCGTGACAGCGTGTGACGCACTCTGTTGTGCCCATTCCCGCTGTGTGAAGGTTTGCAACTTGCCCTTTGTTGTTGAGAGCAATTCTTAGTCGGCCCGTGACTTTGCGATTCTTACGTTTTCGCCGTTTGGGTGATGAAAACGTGTTTTATGTCCGTTTACACACAGCAGACGTTCTTCGCAAAAGAACAGCGGAAACATGTACGCACACAGCCATGAACGCAGACGCAGACACCTACAGGCTGCACATGAATTTCAGTCCCTGAATGAGTCCGACTGTTTGTTACCTGTTATCCGATGATGCCGTGCACTCGTAGCCGCGCTGAACCGCCGCCTTTAGGCCAGTACTCTTCAGCAAGGCGTTGTTCGAAAATAATGCTGTTACTGATACGCGTAGTGCTGATAGGAAGTGGCAAAAGGTGAACAACGGGAGGGAAGTTTGTGATTGGCATGCGGCATGTTTCTGACGGTTTCTGAAGGCAGCGCCCTTGTAGGGGAATAAGTTTCAACGCGACGAGTTGCAGCACAATGCGGCCAAGCGGCTCCAGAATTCCGATGATGTCGGGGCTCGCGGGGCTGGTGGAAAACATGCCTTTGTCTGCTGACGAATGCCTCGCCTTCAAGCCGTACCTACCGTATCGTCACCGCAGTCACCTGGACGCCCCAACGCCCCTATGGCACCGTTTAACGGAAAAAAGATGGGCGGCCTTGCGGCGGTCATCATTCATGCCTATGCCTGTCTTGCCCTGGTTGATTCGACGAAGACGTCTTGACAGATCCATGCCTGATTGGCTATGCAGCCTTCGCGGCCCTGATTCGAAACTTGATCTGTGGCCATTATGTATCTCGGCTGAAGTGCCAGTTCTGAATTGTGTAGATCGGTTATGATAACGCCTGCTAAAACCAGTACCAAGCACTATTGGACTTGTTAGTGTACATAATAGCAACCTCAGGACTCTTTATGAGATTATTGAACATCCGCAAAGTGCATGTATGGTACTGAATGGGACTGATACTGGCACGTCCCTCTACAATAACCGTTTCAGCTCAACTTGTTGTATGCCTACGGGTACGGCGGTATAGTCTCTCAAGGCAGTAGAGGATGCCAGCCGGTCGAAGCAGGGAGAGAGCCAGTTCCGACATGTTCACGCGGAGATGTTCAAGTAGATGCCTACGAGTAGTTTGCCTAGATATCGGACGACTCGGTGGGCGAGGCGTGTCCGTCCGGAGCTCTGTGCTCATATGGAATTTCAGGTAGTGAGGCTCGGGGCTTCCATATTGGGTATATAAGTGGTGAGCCAGTCCGGGCTCTTGGTTCGATGGCTGGAGATAGGTTCTCTTGCCCGAATCTTCGCTCTTGCCAGATGCTTTGGGCACCAGGTATTGCTGTATCGAATCGTATGTAGTCCGTCATACGTTGGTCACGTCTCCTGTGAGGAGGGCGAGTCAAGCTCGTCGGGGCATGTCTAAGCTCCGTTAGAGTTTTGAAGTCGAGTCAAAGAGTCGAATCTGAAGGGTCTGGATGAGGCAATGGTTGCAGTGTTTTAGCGTGGTGGATTTTCAGGCTTCCTGGACGGGTCTGAAGTTAGCGCAAGTTGCGGCTGGCTTCCAGTGGTACGTAGAGGGTGGTAAGGTGGGAGGACATGGACCAAGGGCTGGTCCCAGAAGAGGAGGGTTGCAATTCCTCCATCCTTCTATCGATTGCGGACATTAGACAGTGGGCGGTGGATGGAGATGATCGATGGCCGGAAATGAAGGCAATCAAGTGGAAGATTATCACTTGGTACGTTGTGACGGTTGCGGATTGGAAGTTGGGAATGAAAGTGGATTGGTCAAAAGAGTCAGGACGGGTGAAGAAGGCTGAGAGTTTGTTGTTGCTGTGTTTGCTTTGTGGTTGGTGGAAGTCGAAGAGACTGGAAGAAAGTTGACGCCGAGTGTCAAGCCTTGTGTTTGAGTGACGTCTAAGTGAATGCCGGCCGATAACAGTCTCGCTATGGATTTGCAGCACACTTTGTTAGTGGATGGCAGGAGCTGCACAGACCTGTGAGCCATTCCCACACTCGAGCGCCTTGTCAGTTGCCAAGACTTTGCTAAGCTGGCTATAACAACTAAGCGAGAATATATATATATATATTGTAAAATATCGTCTTTTTACATAATTTCTATATAGAATTAAAGCGCTACATAACTTCTTTTATTATACAAAGTAAATAAAGCAATTATATTTTATTAACTAATTGAACTATCGTAACAAAACAATGTCTCCTAAGTCGATCTTAAAAAAGAACCAGAAGCGGACTCGTCGCGCCAACGTTACTTCAATCTACTTCGACGAAGATTAAGGTTCGAATCCAATACGCACCTCCACCCGCCCTACGAAAAAGAGCCGTATTCTTATTAAATTTAAAGAGGGGGGAATTTATCGCTAATTTATTTAAGAAGGCTGCCCCTAAAAAGGCTACCCCTAAGAAGGCTACCCCTAAGAAGGCTACCCCTAAGAAGACCGCCCCTAAGAAGGCCGCTCCTAAGAAAGCCGCCCCCAAGAAAAAGGCTACTCTTAAAAAGGTTACCCCTAAGAATAAGGGGAAAGGGAAGGCACCCGCGCCAAAACCTTTTCTAAAATTAGCAATAGCGTTTCTAAAGCCCGAAATTAAAGCTACCCCCATATTCTCCTCCCCGCCTATACAACTAGCCCCTATCAAATTCTCTAACAACCCTAATAACGACCTCGATAGCGAACTCAATAACGACAAAGAAGAAAAGAAAGAAGAAGAGGAACAACAACTCCCTAATTTTCTTATCTGCTTTACCATTAAAAAGAAGGCTATTAATATATTATTTTACTTCTTTAATAACAATAAAAACGTAATATCCCCAACCTAACCGTATATTTTAACCTAACTACGTACCCGCAAATAAATCGTATTAGTTCCTAAGCCCGCTCTCCCTTCTTATATTTAAATAAAGTTTACAATAATAGGGTTATGCCCTACTACTCTTAAAATCAAACCTCCCACTATTCTTAACCGCGGAAACTATTAAAAAATCGAAATCGAATAAGAAAACGGTAAAATTTATAATTAACGGTTTAAGATAACCGTATTTAGTAAGGTCCTTCGTTTATAAATAAAATATACCTAAAAGATTATCGCTAACGCAGCCGCTGCTAAAGTTAAATATTAAGTTATCCTTTATAATATTACGTATACTACTAATATTTATAATAATAATAAGAAGAATAAAATTATAATTTATATAAAAACTATTATAATTACTTAATTCAATAATAATAATTATAACTTTAATAGCGAAGGTATTATAAAGGTATATATCTGTAATAATACTACTTAGTACTATACTTTTACGCTTGCCTTTACTTTTACCTTCGTCGACCCGCTTATTATAATATTAACGCCTATCCTTATTATTAACGTACCCTTTACCCCTACTCCCTTTCGTAATATAATTAATCCCTTTATAACTATTACACTACAATTATTATTATACGCGTCTAATACTTCTAAATCTAATATAAGGAGGAAGAATATAATTAATATGATATTAAAGGAAATTAATAAATTTAATAAATAAGATTACGAGTAAGAAGTACGCGGAGAGTATAAGTCCTATGGTACTACGTACTATAAATTCTTTTAAACGTAGAAGTATAATATTAGGTATAATTATAAGAATTATAATAAGGGAATTAACTATTAAATATATTACTTTATTAATAGTAATAAAATATATTATAACTTCTCTACTAAAAATGTAGGTAAGTAAGTAAAGGTTATTGCGGCTAGGTATATTACTATACGAAATCCCTATATTTTAATTATTTAAAAGATAATTATAATAAAGACCGCTGCAGTTAGTACTAATTCGAATAGCGGGAAATATAGCAGTAATAAACTCCTAATATACATTAATATTATTAATATTATTAATAGTAATAATAGTAATACTAATATAAAATCTATTAATAATCTTTTGTAAACAACGTTAAAAAGAAAGAGAGGCTATTAATACTATATTACTCCCTATACTAATTATACCTATACCTACTATATTAGTTAATATATTACCCTCTATATAGTTACTTTTATTACCTAACTCTCCCGCCTCTTCCTCTTTTCTCTATTATAACTACCTCTACTATTACTATACCGGCACTGGGTACTATAATAACCCTACTAAACGCCGCTTTAAATATACTATTTAATTATTAGATTATTACGTTCTATAATTACCCTATTAATGATAAAATCCTAGTGGTTAAATATAACCTTCTACCCTCATTTACTATATTTATACAAATACTCTTTATTTTACTTTTAATTATACTTCTAATACCTTTTTAATTATACTACCTTTTATCGCCGACGAAAATAAATTAATATAGCCGTAATCCCTTCTAATTCCTTCCTCCCCACTACCGCCCCCGCTATATAACCGTACCCTAAGCGAACTCATTATTAAATTCTTCAAAACCTTCTGCCAGGAATATTATTTTAGGAAAATTATAGTAGCAGCACAAGCATTGCGGGTTCTAATTATACTATAGGAAGTATTTAAAAAATTAAACGCCCCCGTTACGGATATTATAGCGCTCAAAGACTAACTAATCGAATAATTTATAAAATTAGGTTTTATAATAAAATTCTATACTTTCCTAAAAAATAATATTAAAACCTTCTTTAAATAAAAATAATTAATAATCGCCTGAGTAAATAGCTTCTATAATATACCCTCTACCCTTTAATTAATAAATTTAATTAACTATTATTATATACTAAACTCCCAATACGGCTTCATAATACGACCGACTAATATTACCACCTTCGAACTTAGCCTTATAAGAGTATTTACTTCTCTAACGGGTAATACGACCGCTAGCGGTAGCGTACTAAATAAATTATAACGAATCAATATATAATAAAAGAAGTAAACTATTCTAATTATAAGGAGGGATTTTATATATTTCTAGTACTTTTATACACTCTTTTTATTATTATATAATTAAATACTACTACTCTACTTAATATTTCTAATATTTTTAGCACTTTTAATACTTCTAATACCTTTAGTATTTTTAGCATTTTTGGTACTAGATTATAGGAAAAATCATACATTAACCCTCATATTACCTAGTTACCCTCCCTATCTACCCTCGCCTAATAATATTACTAGTCTTTTTAAATTCTTCTAATTAGCTAGTATATAAAATCGTATAATTTTTATTAATATTATTAATACCCTTTATAATTAATTTCGCATTCTTAAAGTAGCTACGGATCTATTATACTCTATACCTAATACTTTTAATAATTCGATAGAGGAAAATAGGGAAATCTTTATTAGCTATCCTATCGCTACCCTCGTCGTTATATACCCGCTTTATATACTTCTTAAAATCGCTAAAGTATACATCGATCGGGTTAAATTCTAGGGAATATAGCAATAAATACTAGAATAATATACCTATACTTATATACGTATAATAGAATCTATTACGTAAATACCAATTCGTATTATCTATTACTAAAATACTATTACGACCAGGAAAGGGATTTATTATAGGGAGGAAGCGATTTCTCAACTATTTAATAAACCCCAAGGCATTTATCTATCCCTTAAAGACTAATATTTCGAGTACACTATCAACCAATATAATTAAGAGAATATAATACTACTTACTATACTTAAAGCAGCTCGATATTATTATAACAGTATTACGGGGAATCTAACTAATATAATAAGCTCTATCACATCGATTTATACTAAATTTATTATAAAAAACGAATATCTTTATAATAAATAATAATAATTTTATTATCTACTCTATTACTAGCCTAGGCTCCTATTATACTACTTTAAACGCTAGCTTCTTTTTCTTCTAACGCTCCTAATATAGATAGCGCCGTATAATTTCAATCAATACGTATACATCGTATTCGTTAGCTAAGAAGCTATAAATTTCGTTGAAGTATAAGGATAGTTTCAATATTAATAACTTTATAACCTCCTTTACGATGTTAATAATAATATAGTGATTACGAACGGTTACTATAATTACGAATATATTTCTATAGCCTACATAGGGAACTTTCTAGAATTTTAGGACGCTCGAAAGGGTAGTATTAACTTACTAGTAATACTAAAGTTGCATTTATATCAATATATTATATGCTCGTAAACGCTAATAGTTATAGTGATATCTTTAATAGGTTTGTTGTTATAGAGTATTAAGTTTACGACGGTTCGCTAATTCGAATTAAGAAAGTTTACTATATTATATAGCATAATAAGAATAAATATAATAAAAACGCTAAATAAAATGATAGCTAATATACTAATATTAAAATACTAGTTTTTTGGTGCAGATTTCAATATTTTACAATGCAATATAATTAATTTACGTTAATTAAAACGGTTAAATCTAATCAATCTATCAAATTTATATTCAAGTCGGTATTGTGGCCAACTCAACACAACTAGCGCGCCAAGACTGATAAGGCGTTTGAGTGTGGGAACATCGATCAGACGCCCCAGTGCAAGTTAATCGAAAGATGTCCCTTGAATCGGCAGGTGCCCCGCATCCCTTGAACTTCAATTACAAAACACCAGTGTTCGCTCCTGCCATGTACAACTGCAAAACTGAAGAGTCTTTTCAATTGTAATATTTGATTGGCCAGGCAGCCATCATGAGCTCTTCAGTCTACGCAGGCAGTACCTCTAGGCAGTAGGTCCTTCCTCCTCATCTCCCCGCTAGCAGGAGGTAACGTAGAAGTCCCATCTCGATTCCTTCTTCCTCTTTCCATGAACCAAGTGATAGGATGCAACCACGCTCGCTCTTTCACGGTTCCATTGCAGCAAATGATGCGCAGCTTCCTGCATCCCTCATCTGTCAACTCTCAACCCTCCCCCCATCCCCCTTCTCGAAATTTATCCTTTGTTGGATGCTCGACGGCTGGGCGGGCGTCTAGGTAATTTCACCAGACTCTCCCAGTTTGATATCTCGAGCCGCTTGCAACATGGCCGTCGAAGCCGTGGCCCGCCGTGGCCGCATCCCGACAAGCTTCCAAGGCCTTATCCGAGTATCCACGAGTACAACAGATATGATATCTGCAAGACCGTCAACAGGTGCTCATTTCAGGGCCTGCCTATTTTAGGAAGCATCGACGACGAGCAGAAAGAAGCAACAACAGAAAGCTCCCTGGTGATCCAAGTCTGCAGTATAGGGTTTCATTATTGGCCGCCTCCCTGCAATTCCTTCCATTCGAGTGCCATTCGACTCCCACACTATGAGAATTGGCAGAATGCACTCATCACACTGACGGCACAACAATTGGTGGACCAACAACCTTCTCGTCAGCCGAGGCCACCCCTTCTTCCTTTTCTTCGACGGCCATAACCACGCCCACGCCCACGGTCCCACGGGTGGCGGCGCTGTGACGGCGCTAACTGTGGCAGCTTGAGACGGTCCCAGAACCACTCCGGCGGCATGTTCCAGAAGGCCGGGTCCCGTTTTGAATCTCGGGCCAAGACAGCCTGGTCTGAGCGGCCCACGATGACGACGGGCACGGCGACGAGCATGGCTTTATGAAGATCTTCCCCGCCCATACTACAGCCGAGCACATCAACTAGTCCCCGCATAACGCCCGTCAATCACGGCTCACAACATCATGCCGGCGAGTCCATGGGCTGCTGAGTCAGACATCAATCTCGCCATAAGTACGCTTGCTTCGAGAACCCTGGCCGAAGGATCCGCGAACACCAACGAATTCTACCTCAAGATATCCAGGCGCCTATCATCCCCAAGAACACTTTTGTTGACGCACCGCGGTCGTCGATCTCGATGGAAGCTCGTCACCGTCGTTAGGAACAGACAAGGCGGGGCAAATTACCATCCTGGACATTTACATCATTTGCAACCACTCACAAGTTGCTCCCTTGGAGGGGAACTACAGCCGCACGTCATCGGTAACGGCCGATCTGTGACCATCCACTGACTCTGCATGGCGGTGATCAGAAAATAATTTGGGCTAATCGTGCCAGCTTCCAACCAAAGCCTCCAAACGGAAGAAACGATTCCGGATTCCCGTCTAAGCCAGCCATGACCAACTTCCAGCTACGCCGACCGGAGCCACCGTGATTGTCATCTTATGCTCTTCTCGCTTCCATGTAGGGCCTCCCCGTATCATAGCAAGGCTCTATCAGCTATGGTCCATGAATGGTCATGCTGTCTTCAAAGAAACGGAACAAGCTTCATCAAACCCAATCGAACCCCGTCAGGCGTTATGTCAGGCATGAATGGGTGGGGTCTAGATGGATTCAGTGTAGAGGGCGCGGCATATGTCTCTCACATCATCCAGCATGTCTGTGTACGCACGTGTTCAGGCTGGTGGAAGGAGGGCTCCGTGGAAATGCAAAGCTTCCACTACTCCCTCCTTCTAGGTAGCCCAACCATCCAAGTGGCTCGGCCTTGGGAATGGGTTGGCTGTGTGCTCATATTTCAATAGCCAACCGCAGCATTGGATTTGATATAGGGTTGGACGAGCCACTAGTGGATGGGCAAGCGCTCTCGCCAACATCACGATACTAGTTGTCAAACACGGCATGTACAACCCCGTGACTTCCAGGACATGCAAATCAGCATAGCCGCATTTCGCGGAGTTCGGAATGCCATCTCAGCGAGGGCCAATGCGAAACAATGATCGCCGCCTACCATGATCTGGCTCACTCGTCCCTTCTTCGACTTGGGGCGTGAGAACTAACTCGTCGTGTATCCTTCACCTCATATTTTTCCATCCAAAATGCGTAAGTACGCAGGCTGACAGGAAATTACTTCGTACCAACAAGAACACCTGAACAATTCTCTTTTCACCTAGCTAGGAGCGCTGCCATCATTAAGTCTGAGGCATTGTGGTACGTCTCTTCTGGTCAACTCATATGAGAACCAAATATTCGGCAGGACCACGCGTTGAGCACGTCAAAGCCTTAATAAGTGCCCTGGTATTTCTTTTGCTTCTTGGACCCGGCCACCTCCGATGTACACAAGTTTCCAATAACAAGCAGCTCGTCATTTCACAACAGTCCTAAGTCAGTATCAGCAATTGGCAGCAATATATCCACAATGGTGCTCCCATTATATCTTCAATATGATACTAAAAATGGCATGAGCAGTACTTTCAAAGAAATGCAGCGAAGAGAAGTCAATCAGCTAGGAACACTGTACGATGCGAAATGAATATCTGGGCTCTGTCACAACGGTGCAGATGACTGAAAAAAAGGCAGGGCGAACTCTGAAGAACTTCTGTATACGGATATTCACACCGACCTGTCCGCAATTGGACTCAAAAGAAGGTCAATCTCCACCGAAACCCGGTAACGCTCGTGGTCGCCTCACAAAACAACGGAATAATACGTTGGAACCCCGGTGGTGACATCCTACTGAAGTGCATCGCAATTGTACGACTTCGTTGGTGCCGTTGATAGGGGCGGCTCTTCCTGTTTGAAGGTTCAAGTAAGGCGCTCCATCCAGTGATGCCAGGCGTTGAACTAACCTGGTCATCACATCTCGATTTCATCACTCATCGATCACGAACTCACCTTTAGCTCAATCCCAATCTCGGTGGCCCTGCTTCTTCATCAGGCCTGTTGCGCTACGCACACACCTACAAAGGCCTCATATCGGCGTGTATCTGTGCCCTACGACGACAGCAATCGCACATTTTAGCTCGTGGCACAGTCGGAAAGGGCAGCGTCAACTCAACATGACCGATCCCTGCCAAGAATTGGCTCCGAACCAACAGCAGCATGCACGGCAGACAGGAGGGAGCACATAGAAACGCGGTGGAACAGTTGAGGCCGCCGCAAGATCCTGTCGTGATACGCGACACTCCGCTCGAGGGTCGAAGAAACTGGACACATGAACCAACCAACTTCACGGTGAGACTTGCGAGATCGGGTGGACGGTCTTCAGAGTCGAGACAGCGAATGGTCTTCTTCACTAATTTCGATGCTGTGGCCTTCGGTAAATGGGGAGCAAAGTTGCTAGCAGTTGTCAGTTTATTGATCCAGGCCTGTCATGAAAACATCAACCAGAAAGGGGCCACCACCCGTAGCAAAGACAAGATATTGACTTCTTGATCAAGCATATCAAGCCGGATGAGCCCAACTTGCTGTCCACGCTCGGGGAGAAGATCTGAATGCGCAAGAAAGGGAAATGAAAACTCGATTTGGACCTACTGACATTTTGGGTACCTCTAGTCTATACCCAGCTTGACAATTCCAAGTTGAACATATCCTTTCCACAGACAGCACCCTCCTACTTCTGTGATCTCAACGCACGGCTGAAGGAATATCAGAATAACCCTTGTACGGCGACACCCATTATGTAGCTACCCGCTCACAAGCTACCCGCCGTCCCGGGGTGATACTTCCAGCAGCAGTAGCAGCACTTGAAGGCAGGGCGGACAATCGACTCAACAAAACATACGAATCCGAAATCGCATACTTACTTACACCTACCTCCCTTGCGCTCAATATCAGCAGTTCCCGCTGGCAGGCGTCGACCTGAATGGCGTCCCGAGCGAAATAGCGGCCTATGCAGTCATTGATCTGCCATCATAGCCTCCTTAGCGGCACCCTATCTCCAAGGGCGTCCCGATGTGTCACACATACACATCCACGCACTACATTTGCACTACTTGGCTATTTGCCCTACCTGACTGGGTTTTCGCCAGATGTACAACACTGACTGCCTGCGCACAGGTATTTCCCGGGAACTGGACGACGTTGTGTCCGCGAAATTCTCAGCTTCGTCGGGCCTGTCATCCGCCTTACCAGCCGACTGACCTAAAGCCGTGGGTCTGTACGCCGCAGTATGCCCCGTATAGAGGCGGGCTCTGTACTTGTGAGCCGGCGGGAAAACAGGATGCGTACGCATGCTCTACGTTTTTGCTCCCTGCGGGGAAGAATGGACGGCAACAGTAACACTCACTTATCGGTCGGGTCCGACTCAGGATGAGACAAAACCATGGTTCTCTATAGGTTAGACACTGGACGCTGTCTGGCTCAGTGGCTGAGTGACCTTCTCAGTGTTATGTTGAGCTAGATTACTGACATCCGTCGCATATTGTGAGCAACGAGTCTTTGCCACAGTTGCCATTACGTTGCTCTTCATAACTGGCTTGTAGGGAAGTCATTGCATGTTCCGAACCTCCGTGCTCCTAGAATGGATGATCTCCAGTCACATAACCCTGTGATGATAGCCCTCGTGAAAAGGGCCAAGCCATTCAAGCCTCTGGAGTTGTCCGTGCCACCTGTCGAACAGGAGCCTCCGGTTTATGACCTGTTAATAAACACTTAGCCGCAACTTAATCAACGCAGCAAGAATTACTGTTTGACCCATATTGATTTAGCCTCATGGAAATACCACCTCTAATGGAGGACTCGTTCTCCGCAAGAAGGGGTCAGTTTCACTGGTAAACAGTATTCCGGGGCCTCGCCACCGGCCTTGGACACTTGAAACACGCCCCATAACCACGTTTACCGTTGGTACTCATTTCAGCGTTCATTAACATAGATTAAATAGTCTGGCTATAGAAGCCGTATGGCGGCGCCTCATCTTATAGATCTCCAGCTCCGTCTGTCGTCTATCGCAGGATGTAACACGACCGAGCAATGACTGTCTTATGGCTAGGTTTTGCTCACTCAAGGGTTACGGCTTACAGAATGAATTCTGTCACTTCTTCTCATTACGGGGGCATTGCAATTGAGGCCAGAGCACACGAATCGCCGCCTCACTCGTGCACGCCACATCTGATCTCACTTCACTGCTGATGAGCATTTCACCAACGGCACAGTTGTCTGCAATTCGGAGTTTACACGGAACAGACGATTATCGAAGAAGTTGTTTCAGTGTACGGCCAACCAATAACGGACAAGCAGGCGGATGAGCGGTTGATCACCACAACACCACAACGGGAGATCTCCCGCGGCTGATGATGTTGGTGGCGGGCATGTAAAAAGACATGGCCAGTGGTTGGTTCGTCAATCCCAACCAGCCAACGTCAGGTGCGTGGAAAAACGAAGGCAACTCTCATCATCAACGTCCTGGTACATGGTCAGTCCAACGTCAAAGAATAGACACCAACGCCATTGACTGGCTGTGTGTTGACAGAAACACCACAATCCGGCTGTATAGGATGTTCCATCCGGACAGCATAATCGTACAAGTATCACACAGCCAGCAATGGTAAGGCGGATTTACTTTCCCGTAGTATGCTGCTGTGCACTGGAAACACAAATGGGCCCAGGACTGGAAGAAAGAGGCCCGTTACCAGACGGTCAAGTGCGCCCAGGTTATGTCCATTGCTGTGACTACAGGCCCCTTTTCCCACCAGGCAACTTTCCGCTTGATCGGATGGTGATGAGCCAGCTTTGTGCACCACTCGATCTTTCAGAGTTGGATATGCTGGGGTGGTGATGAGGATCTACCGTGACACTTGATATGGCGGGGGGCTCACACTATCCCGTAACTCCTTGCTCTTGAATTCGCCTAGCCACTCGCTGCATCCTATAGTGAAAGGTTGCCAACCAAGCACGACATCCCTCAAGGCAAAGAGGATTAGACCACCGGATGTCTATTCCAGGCAATAAACCCCGAACGCATATCGACCTACTTGTCACCAACCTCAATTACTAAGACCAACACAGCGTCAAACATGGTCACTGCTCCCGAACCAAAACCTGGACTAAACCCAAACCACATACCCTATACAACAAGAGACACCGAGAGAAGGTCTTCGCGCTCCTTTCTGTTTGACGATAGATGGACAAACTTTCGAGACCTACATCCTTCGATACATAAAACAGAACCTCCACATCCACTGCTTCACCAGTCACCACAAACTGAATCCAAACGCACCGAACCGAACCGGCAGAGACACACCGAGGTCCGAAACAGGAAGCGCCAGAATAGTTAGTAGAGCATTACTTGGAGTATCCCAAAAGCGCACAGGTGCTACGGAGAATAGATTGCGATGTGCTACGGTACGGTGTCAGTGCGGTCGGTCGGTAGATGGAAGGAGCAATGTTTTACTTTTACCACAGAGCAAGTGAGCCAGTGAGTGAGTGAGTGAACACTGAAGCGGGTAAGTGAACACTACCTACCTTAAACACGGGTCCTGATTGAAGTCAAGGTAAGCAAGTAAGAGCAACTAGAAGTGAGCAAGTGGCACGCCCCGGCCGTCCGAGATGTCTGAGGCGGGTAACTACACTGCACCTTGCTACACCACATGAGAGACAGAGAGAGACATAGCAAAGCGGCTGGCTGCCGGTCCGGTAGCCGGGACGCACGCGCGCGGCCTACCAGGCTGAATGACTTGACTGAGTGAGTAAGTGACTGAGGCGCGAGGAGGCGACGCGGGAAGAATTACAATACACACTTTCGGGTTGTGATTGATCACTTTTTCTGTGTGCAAGTTTCAAGCCAGCAAGCCAAACTCCGAGGGTGGTAGTGAAGCCTCATTTTCAGGACAAGGTCCAATATGGAGGCGGGTGAGAGTGAGATTGTATCAGATTCAGATTGTGCCCTGGCGAGAGATTGGCGGCTTCCCGCTATGTTTCCAACAGGTCCGGAAACGTAGAAATATGCATGGAAAGAAGGAAGGAACGGCGTGGGGTGAGACTGTAAGTGACTTGAAGAGATTTTTCTTGATGGACCCTTGATGTGAGGGGCACTTTCCTTGAACATTTTATCACGGGTGATGATATTTTGTTGCGCAGTTCGCGCCTTCCATAATTCGAAGAATTGTCACCAGTGCTTGCAAGATCAGACCGAGACTTACGTATGACTTCATGTCTCCGCCAGAAAGAGCAAATAAAGAGCGTCCAGTCCGAGTCCGGTCTTCATAACATTCATTCCCTCGTCCATTTTGCTATTCCAGTCCCGCTTTCACCATGTGGTATCTTACGTATTTCCAACCTGAAATCAATCCCACTCAGAACGAAGAAATCGGATAGCACCAACAAATGCATCAAGATGGATACAAGTATCTACACCGTTTCGTCATACACTACCATGTACAAGACACTTGACGGCCCTTGAGGCTCCTCAAACTCAAATTCAAAGGGACCTGTAGACGGCCTTCATAGAACGACTCCCCTCCCTCCTCTTCCTTCCAGGGCGTTAATTTCCATCAGGAATGTTAAAGTTACCAACGGACATATTCAGCATAATATCAGCACAGATACACGTACCCCAAGGCAGAAAGCAGAGTTGGTATAACATAGGTACCTGTTCAGTCAACCAACACCACACACTATCACCAAGGCAGAATGTCCACCACTGCTGCACTTCACTCACTCCTTCGTCCTTCACGCCTCTCTATCCCTGCTGTGCTTGCTTGTTCTCATCATTCGGACTTGTTGGTGTTGGTCCGAATCTCCTGTGATATGAAACCAAGCAATGTTGGAAATATTAGCCCGACTATATGTTATTTTGTTGACCTGTCATTTTTTATACCCGCTCCCTCTCGGCTCCCTGCGGATCCAAATACAGGCACTAACAACACAAGTTGGAAAAAACCGAGTGAATGTGTGATGTGATGTGACGTCCATCGGGATACGCTCCATGCGGCTTCCCGGCGAGGCGAGCGAGATGCTGCTGCTGCTGCTGCTGCTAGTTGGGACGGGAAGCGGCAAGGGGAATTTGGAAATATCAAATGTGTGGACGGGATACGCAACGAGATGACGGTAAAGCATAGCACAGTATAGCACAACACACAAAGTATCTTTTAGTGGGAAGAGAAAGGGAGAGCCAACAGACAACGACCATGCTGTTGGGCTGTATGGAAGATTCAGCTTGAATGGATGTGCGGAAGAGGATGCATGAAAAAAGTAGTAATGAATGCAGTTAAGCGATTAATTAACGCCGTTCGCCTCCTTCTTGTATGTGTTTTATCTCACCTCACTTCACTGTGTGTGTACAACCGCTCTATGGAAGTCCCTATCGTACTTGTCGCTCACGAAAGCATCATACCTATGCTCAGCCTTGCCTAACAGCATATGCCTAGTCATATACAAAAATGATACCTTGATAATATAGTATACCGATATACCATTCACGGCCAGCCACACGTCTGCCTCAAAATATGCCCATCTAAGCTCTGGCATGACCCGCCGTGCGCTGCGCATGCGCATGAGCGTGGCCATGTGAGAAGTGACTTGAAGCCGACGGACCCGCTGCCGTCGCCGCCACCGCCTGGCCGAAGAAGGGATGCTTGAGGGCCTCCAATGGCGTGATCCTCTTGTCCGGATTGAGCGCCAAACAGCGTTCCAGGAGGTCAATAAAGTGGTTGAGCTCCTTGGTTTCCGCATCGCTCATGCCGCTGGAGGCGGCCAGGAGACGGGCCCGCAGATCGCGGGTCGGCTTAACGGTGGCCAGGGTCTTGACCGTGGTCTGTAGCAGGAAGGAGCAATAAAGTTAGTTTGATGCTCGATTCGGGTAGGTATATTTGGCAAATATTGTTGGAAGAAGAAAGGAAGTGAAAAGGGGGGATGTGTGGTCACGGAGTGGAGGTGTGAAGAAAGCGTATCGAAGAAGCAAAGCGTAGCAGTCGTTTCCCGCGTGCCGCCGTCACAAGAAACAACGACAACGGGAAGGACTGCATGCTCTCCAGTTGGGATAGGGGAAGAAGCGCCACGATGCCCCGGGGGTATGCGGGTGGAGTTACATTGCCAAGCGGTCAATGTGAAGACGAGGCACAGCACGACGCCCACTGGGGATGTCATCAAATCCTCTCTGTCCATCCCTTCTCTCATGCACGTCGGAAGATTGCTGAGCAAACCAACCACGCGGGATGTCCACATCGGATCTAGGATGCAAGCCGCCTAGCCTCATCATCCTCTCACATCAGATCCTCATGATGCCGGAAGACCGAACCAACAAGAGAGGGAGAGGATGAGGTGATACTCAGACAACACCGCAGATGGGGATGGGAGACATCATGCCGGGCCGCACACAAGCGCCGTCCCAATCAACCGACCTCCGCGTCCAGACCAAAAAAAGAAGCGCGGCAGAGGCGGCCAGAAAGGTCCGACCTGATGCCAGGGGCATCTCCGGTCACCCATTACCATCTTCCGTACCACCCTCCTCCATAAACAGAAGCGAACATGGTGAACTCGGATGGTGACGGTCGGGGAATATCATCTCATGGGTTGGTTGCAATGTGATTGCCTCCGTGCCCCGTGCAGATGCAGGACGGAAGCGCTCAGGAAAATGAAAACAGACAAAAAGGAAAGAAAACAACGTACCTTTCCAAGGACCTTGTCCCGCTCAACACTGAGGAAGTTGCCCATGTCGTCCCAGTGCATGCCCCATAAGTCACCACGGCGGTACAACTTGGCGTTCAGTTTGCCGCGAATCTCCATGATGGTCTTCAACATCTGGTTGTTGCTGTCGCCCGTAAATAGAATCTTGCCCGTGTACAGCTCATATAAGGTGCAGCCAATGGACCACATGTCTACCGAGTAGTCATATGGTATGCCTAGGATGACCTCTGGCGCGCGGTAGAATCGACTGACGAGATACGGTGTCACCTCCGTCGAAGCCGTGGCCGCGTCAGACCGGTCGATCGCCGTACCCAAGTCACAGATCTTCAAGAGATTGCGTGCCTCATTTACCTACATCAGAAGTTAGCATCCTGTCTCTTCATCGCAGTGTGTTCGAGAGGACCTACCAGGATATTGTCAGGCTTCAAATCAGCATGAATGATGCTGCAGTTGCGCATATGCGCAAGGGCAAGGAAGATCTGGTAAGCGTAGACGCGTGTGGCACGCAAGTTGATGCCAACGTTGTTTCCGAACTTCTTTAGCACCTCGCGGAGGTTCATGCTTAGATTTTCAAATACCATGCACAGATGGCTCTTGTACTCGAAGGATCGCTCAAACCTGACGATATGCTTCTTGTCCTCAGGATCAGCTTCATTCAGCTTCTGTAGAATGGCAATTTCGGTAAAACCGCCCTTCCGCAAAGCGTCGTTGTTACGCATGATCTTGATGGCGACAGTCTGCTGCGTCGTGAGGTCCAAAGCGCGGGCGACTCCCGAGAACATACCACGACCGAGAGCCGTCGACAGCTGGTATCGTCCGTCCAACAGCTCGCCGGGCCTAATCTTGTAGTAACCGTCTTTGTCGTCACCTTCAAGCTTACCGCCGCCGCCATTAGCCTGGCCATCGTTTCCAGCTTTCTTCGAAACTGCAGGAGCCAGAAGCTTCTCTTCGTCGAAATCGTCTGCGAACATATCAAACTCGTCGTCGTCGTCTCCGCCCTTCTCAGGCTGCTTCTCATCATTTTGCTCTTTGGCAGCATCTGCCAGAGCAGGATGTTTAGCTTCTCCATGCAAACCAACATGTCCGTGGCGCAGCTCGTCACGACGCTCGTCTTCCTTCATATCAGCGGTAGGATCATAATCAGCGGCAGAGGGGCCATCAACTTCCACTTTATCGTTTCCGTTGGCTCTCGCAAGATCTTGCTCAGCCAGGAAGAAGTTGAATGAAGAAGGGGACATGGCGTCTGGCACCTGGGCGGGTGACTGGATAGGCGACGTGGTAGCATTTGCTAAAGATGGTTAGCGGCTGGAGTAGACAGGTAAAAGAAGGACTTGGAGACTTACTCGACTTGGGACTGCTGGGCTCTGTCTTCTGGGGAGCTGGAGTATTGAAGCGGCTCGACGAGGGGGTGGGCGATGGCTTATCACCTTGTAATGACTGGACACTGGGGCTTGCCGCACCCAGACCACGCTGAAGAGCAGCCTGTCTAGCGCGTCTCCGTCGCTCGATCTCGGCTTGGACACGGGCTTCCTCGTCCATTGCCTCAGACGGGTCCCAGTCCATGTCGGGTTCGGGCTCTTTAGATGCCTCCTGTTGATGTTGACTGTATGTAATATTAGCAAGGTATTCGACTAGTAATGAAAATGACAACAGAATAACCTACCCGTCCTGTGAGATAGCAAGTTCCTTGACGCCTCGTTCAACCGGGACACCCTGACCAGATTTAGCATTTTCCTTGGTAGAATAAGAAGCCGCCGTGTGAGCATTTCCTTTAGACATTTCTTGTCCACGCCTGTCATCCTTGCCATCTTGGTAGGTTCCTTCTGGTTGAAAGGTAACGACGCGGCCCCTATTATCACGCCGTCCTCTGTTTCGGTTATTGCGAGGCCTCTTGGTGGAGTATGAGTCGTAGTCGCGCTCGCGGTCGTAGTCTAGTGGCTCGCGGCCACGGCCACGGTCATCTACACGGTCGGCGGCCGGACGAGAGGGAGGAGGGGCGTCCCTGGCTGAGGCGTACCGGCTACGGGCCGAAGATGACCAGTCGTCATTATAAGTTGTCGAGCCGCGCGAGGGCGGACGGTCTAGGTCGCGGTACCGGCTACTACCCCTATCATCGTCGTGGTGAACGCGGAATTGTCGGGGATCGCGGCGGTCCCGGTCCCGGTCTCGGTCTCGGTCATGGCGATCATCATCGCGCGGACGCTTGAAGCCCCTGGGCGAACGGGGAGGAGGAGGAGAGCGTGGCGACCTGCTGTGACGACTGAAGGAGGCGACTCTTGGTGACTGACGATGGTCAGGGAGCTTGGAGGGTTCGGGAGTGCGCTCGAGTCTGGCTCTTGGTCTGCCGGTCCGGTCAATATCACCGTTCAACTTAGAGTGAGGCAGGGGAGTTGCCTCTGCGATTTCCCCATAATCCAAGCCACCATCGGGAAATGCCATTGTGTGCAAACCGACCGCTTGAATGTGAACGTCCGACTTTAGAGAACTAACGCAAAAATAGCCCGTCTGGTTGTGCCAGCTTTGAAGAACCGAGAGAACTGAACAAGAAGCGATTTCGCTGCTGGCTGTTTTGGGGGAATGGGCAGATGGGAGAAAGTGTCAGCTTCTTGATCGATAAGCAGTGATTTCGTGAGACGGAGAGCAGAGCCCGACCAGTTTAGCTTTTCAACTTCGTCACCGAAAGTGGTAGCGTTGAAGATGGAGTTGGAAAGTGTGTTGTAGGAGACTTGGTTGGAGTGGCCACTGAAGGCCGAAGACGGTGCTGGATGGAGACTTTGGGATCATCTGGCAATGGACGATAATGACGGAACGAGTTGCAATCCAAATGCACTGAAGTCAGTCGCGCTTCAGGGGTTACGCAAAGCCTTACAGCATGCTGCACTAACAGCTGACCCTATTCACTGCAGTGCTTAGCTGTTAGCGGCCAAGCGCGGCCGAAGTTCAGCCGCGCCACCGCCCAGTCGCAAGGGTGCCTTTGCCGTTCTAGCCTTCTTATCGGCGGCCGCTTTCACCTGTTGATCGGTGGGGCACTTTGTCTTTCTCGCCTGAAACCATTTCCCCAAATCGTCAATTCTTCTCTCTTTTTGTTGTCGCAAAGACTTCAACGTCCCACCAATAAACAGCACCTTCTTCCTCTTTTCTTACTCTCTATACCAACCGTAAACCGACAAAATGGGTGGCGCTGACAGAGCTGGTATGTTTTCTCCCTTGTCGCTTATTGGTCATCGCTCGCTGTGCTGTGCGACGGCGCTTACTCTGGTGATCAACGAAAATCTGGTGACAGCCTCATGCTGACATTATTTCCTCTCTAGGTGGCAAGGCCAAGCCCCTCAAGGTGCGTTCTTTCGTGTAACGATTTAAGACAACGAACTATGGACAAGAGCGGACGACACTCGATATCACTGAGCCGCGACTACTGGAGGGATTAAACACTTGCTGGCGGCTCTTGCGGACAATCATCACCATAGGAGGTCGCGGGAAGCCTTCACAGAGTGTCCAAACTCTCCTTAGCCACGGCCCAGTTTGGCGGAAATACCACAGATCTCCGGCGACGCAGAATGAAGGACTGACTCTGGTTCACGAACAGGCTCCCAAGAAGGACAAGAAGGAGCTCGATGAGGATGACAAGGCTTTCCTCGAGAGGAAGAAGGCCGGTACGCAACGCACCCATCACATCTCCCTCCCTCCCTCCCTACAGCATCGCATTGCATTGCACCAGCATACCGCATAAACACTTCCATCACTTTCAGTCTACAACCACTCTATTCCCACCACCTACACAACCATCAAAACCCCAAACACCCGAGCAAACAAAAACACGAGGCTAACATATTCCACCCCCAACAACAGAGGAGAAGGCCCGCAAGGATCTCGCCGCCAAGGCCGGCGGCAAGGGCCCGCTCAACACCGGTGCCCAGGGCATCAAGAAGTCCGGCAAGAAGTAAAGAATAAAAATCCATCTATCTTCATTACCACGAACCGAACCGGACCGAACCGAACCGCACAGACAATAGGAACGGACGGATAAGATGGACGGATGAACGGACATGGAGAAGCAGAAAGGAAAGTGCAGTGTTGTTACACAACGGCGTTTTTACAGAGCAAAAGGGTTTAACGGGATGTTTTTTGCGTGTCTTCCAGAACGCAGTCTTCCCTTTATTGATGAGTTAGAGCATGCAGCGAGGAGCGACAAAAGATGGGATACCAAATGGGAATATATATGAATGGCACGTACAGTTTTGGGTATATTTCGCGTGTTTTTGATATTGGTGTGACATGTGTTGTGTGATGTGTTGGTGTTGGTGTCGAGCGTTTATACTTAGCCAACCGAGGTGGTTATTTGTTCGATGTGGCATTGATCCTCCTCTGTTACAACTTTGGGAACACTCAATGTCCATCAACGAATTAGTATACAAGTATAAATGGTTTGTTCTAAGTACCGTAGCTCATTCCCGGCAATGTATGATGTAAAGCGTCTAATTAAAACATATTATGTATATAAACGTTTTCTTGACGCCTTCTTGGGCCTGCTGCTGGTCTCTCTATGTCAAACTGAGAGTTCATATAATAGAGGCACCAGCCCATCTTTGCTTTTGCTATCCAAAACCCAACAACCCTTCCAGGGCATTTTCAGATTCTGATTCTCATGATCTATCGTTTCTCACATACCCATATCAAAACGCCGAAACAATGCTTGTTAAGGGACCTAGAATGCCCATAAATGCAAACTGCCCGTCCTAAGTCTCTTTCAATGATCCCCGTTTCCGGGAGATGGGGAAGCCAGCCGTTCATGCTCCAACTCGGCAGTCCTCCTCCGCATCCAAAACTTGAGGATATCCCTCTTCCTCCCCTTATTCAACGAAGACGACTCAACGCCTTCACCAACCGTCCTTCTCGACCTCCCTCTTCCAGAAACACGGATCTTCTAGTTCCCGCCCCAGAAGCTATTTCCGCTCACGCTCCCATTTCCACCCCTACCCGGCGCACCAGGCGCAGGTCCCTGCCGCCTGTTCCCCCTGAAATAGTCATACTGCATGGGGTCGTTCTGGCCCTGATTCGGCTGGAAATGTGGGCTTTGCATCGCGTTCAGCGGCGTGTGCATCATGTCGTCGTCCGTTTGCGGCACGTTGCCGTAACCATATCTGGAAGTACCCAGCACGCCTGGCGCGCGTGGGTTGGGGATACTAAACCCGCCCAGTGCACTGCGAGACCCCGGCCTGGAGCTATCGAAGCTCCGTTCCCGGTGGAGGCCAGCGTCGGAGACATCGACACCTGCTGGTGTTGAAGTCGGCATGCCCGCCGCGTTATAGACGAGGTTGCTCGAGCTATCGTTGCCGTTGTCACCCATGTGATACAGGGGGCTTCGGCCTCGACCGGGCGCCTCGCCGGGACCTAGCGTGGGTGGTGAGTAGGGCGCCTGGTTGTTATACGAGTATTGTTGCGACGGAGACATGTATCCGCCACCATAAGCGGTGTTAGCCATATCGGACTGGTTCGAAAAGAGTCTGCGGTTGGTGCCAAAGCCCATTCCCCCTACTGGTGTACCTGGTCGAGAGTTGTTGTCGGATCCCGTAGCTATGGTTCCTGGTGTGTCTGGCCGGACGATATCAGATGCATGTCCAAACAACTCGCCAGCACCATGGTCCGCAGCAAATTCGTCGCGATTCTTGTAGAACTCAAAGTCCAGTCGGGACTCGGGGACGACCTCGAACCCGGGCACCGTGGACGACAGTTTCCCGACCTTTCCAGAAGCCATACTGTCCAGGGCAAAAGTGTCGCTGTACCCGCTCACAGACATTGAGTCGCCAGGGCCTGCATCACGGCCATCGGATAGCCGGCCCTGGTAAACGCTTGCCAGTATATTCTGAGCTTTGGCGTGTACCATGGGTGTGATCAGTGGCTTGTATAGGGCAGGGTGGCCGAAGCGCGAGGCAAGACGATCGTTTCTGGGGGCTTGTTCTTTTAGGCCGAAACCTTCCTCACCGTTGCCGTGCTTGATGATGCGCGTCGAGTAGTACGTGAGCTTATTATCGTACATCCATGAGCAGACAAACTTGAAGATGATCATCAGAAATGGTAGCGGGACGACGGCGTACGCTTGAGTTTTGTACCCAAAGCCTCTAACCCACACTACAAGGAAGACGACCAGGTGAGATAGCATCAATCCAAAGAGGATGCGGTTGAACAATATGCGCCAGAACATTCCTCCGCTCTCCGTTTTCGTGACAAAGACGTACATCAGCAAATACTTTTTGAGCGCAACGTCAATGGCGAAGTACATGCCTGCCGCCGGGAGAACAAGCGGCATGATGGGAGCGTAACAGAGGGCGGCAGTGGCGTAGAAGAGGAAATAATTATAGTAGCTAGCGTAATCGAAAGGCGGCGGTGCCGTGAGCTCGATCAGCTCTCTGGGAGTCGGATTCGTGAACTTTCGCATAATAGAGCCGTAAATCAACTTCCAAAGCTGCGATAGATCGATGGCAGCACCTAGTTGACGCTGAATGAGCCAAACAACCCAGAAGGGCGAAATGGAGCAAAGCGAGACGAAGACGGTGGTCCCAAAGTCCGCATCAAGGATAGCTTGCCACGCATCATGATCCGTGGCAGTGTTCTTAACCACCGTGGCCCCGAAAGACCAAAGAGCGCTGAACAGAGAGAACACAAAGAGATTGTTAAAGACGAAGAATGAGTATAGTTTGGCGACAACGTGGCGTTCTCGACCGGTCTTGGTCATGTCGCCGGCCTTCATAGATAGCCGCCGGAAAATGATGGGGAGAACCATATAAACCAAGGAAGTCAAGGCTGGAGAAGCAATACCCTGTACAATAGCCCAAAAGTTTCTGTTCTTTTCCAGAGACTTCTGAAAGTCGGGCCAAACACGTGCGAGATTGCTCAGGTTGACCAAAAAGATGGCGATCATGGCGTTGGGAGCAACCCATACCACGGTGAGAACAGTAATCCATAAGTTGTTCCACAGTGTCCTCGTAAAACGAGAGGCCGAGCTGAGTGGCATATTTTCCCAGACGATGTCGTTAGGCTTGGGAGCGAGAGTAACTCTTGCGCCTAGTGGTTTTTTGCTTCGGCAGAGATAGGCAATTGCATGCGCTTCGCTTATATCAGAATAAGACGCGAAGCCGTACGGCATGGAACCTCTCTTGTCTATCCGTTGGCGAACCTCCTTGATCTCGAGCTCCAGCAACTTGATCCGTTGCGTGAGATAGTCGATAGCATCCAGTTTCTTGTCCTTCGGATAGGTTGAGAATGAAGGATCTTGCTTGGAGGGCCGGCAGACTGGCCTAGTAACTGGGAGGTTCTTGGGGTCCTTGAGGTACTTGGCTAGCACCTGTTCCAGCTTCCGGACGGTCTTTCCGTGCTCCTCGATCAAAGTGGGCAAAATCTTGACGTCGCGTGCGACAGCAGTCCTCGAGAAGGATGAGCTCGGTGCTGCGCTGTCAATGATTCGAGCGATACCTTCATCTGAAGTCAAATTTTTGGGGATGTCGTACAACTGGTAGTCGTTTGGTTAGGACAGAGAAACGATGTGATGGGGGACGGGTGTAACATACCATGAGCGTACGGGCGTGGAGGCTCTGCTGGTACTCCTCGCTTTTGAGATACTGGATCCTTAACTGACAAACCTTGCTGTAGTTCCACCAGAGAAAGAAGCACACAATCAGGGTAGTTACCCAGGACATGACGACTGTGGCCCATTGCCACTGGTTCCACACGTTCATGGGCGTAACCTTTTGCAGCCAAGGCGACTGAGGTGCAGCGTTCTTATACCAGTTTATGGGAATTTGAATGCAACAACACAGGACGGCTAGGCACAAGAAGATATTGCGACACATCCTGGTGAAGCGCATGAAGATGGTGGCGTCCATGCCAACCAGCCTCACCAAATCCTGCTCCGTGGTCGTCCACAGCGGCTTGATCCAGGAGAAGAAGCCCTTCCCGAGCTGGGGCGGGGCGTGCTTTTCGTCGGCATGTTTGAGTTTGGGTGCGTATACGACAGTGTTGAGTGGCCTAACCAAGGAGAAACCCAAGGCGACGGCGGCGGTGATGCTCACGGAAGAAGCAAGGGCAGCGTAGATGGAATTGGAAGAGAGCTGAGAGCGCAGTTGCATCAGCAATCTGTAGGTACGAGCATGACATGACTACATATTTTCTGGATAGAGGCATGACACGTACCTGGGCGGCAAAGGGATCCTGTAAGAGTTGGAGGAATTCGCTAATAGGGTCACGGCTTTGGAGCACGTTGGCCTTCATGCCCAGCATTTCCACCATGTTGTTTGCCAGTAACGAGCCCAACCAGGGCAGTCGGAGCAGAAGTTGTGATCAGAGCGACAGCGATCGAGGGGGGGTGGGTTGTAGTTCGTCGAGATAGCCGTGTTAGCGCAGGCCCGTGAGTCGTCTGGTCGACAAAGCGCGAGTTGGGATGAACTGGTTTTGTTCCACGACTTTCAGTTGGTTCGGCGGATTCGAAAGACACCGATAGATTCAAAATCCCTTCCCCGTCTGCAGTTATCGCCAAAGAAAGATGTTTGTTGTATGTAGGCGTCGAATGCCGGTTGGAGGCGTGCTGTTGATGGCGAACGTGACCGGCTCTATTTCAAAGGCGTGTCGCGCAACCACAAACAAAGAGATCAGGACTCTCTTTGGCGCCGGCGATCAAAGAGAACAGTTTCGTCGTATGCTGTGCGCATAACAATTGGAACCGAACGATTGTCGTCGTGTGTAACTCGTGCCGGGGCACTCGGACAGAATAGGGTCAATAGGGAAAAAGACCACCACGATCTGGAACGAATGTGACGTATGGTGGATGCCAAGTCCCAGCGCTAACAAATTGATTCTGGAAAATCCGTGGCCGATCGGGACTCTGCCGCCAGTGCTGAATAGGAGGAGAGGGAGCCCAGTCAGTAAGCGAGAGGGGCGACAAGAGCCGGTATTAGTGAGGGTATTCTAGTAGCAAGGTCTTGAGGGTTGTTGCTTTGGTCGAAGGTTGGGTACAGTGGGAAAAACGAAGGTGGTGGTGGTGGTGGTGGTGGTGGTGGATGATAAACGAGCGTCCAAGTCGAGTCCATCAGATCGGGCCCATGTCATTGATTGATGGGGATGGATGATGATATCAATTCGGCCACTTGTGCACGCGTGTCGGAAGATCGTCAAAAGGATGATGGACAGCGACAGACACTGCACAGGCAAGCAACAGGCAAGTGACAGCCAAACGATTGGGGATGGACGGGTTCTGGAAGGAGGGATGAACGGGCCAATAACTGCTTTTGCCCATCTTTGTGCATCAATCATGGGGAGGCTTCGGGCCGCTAAGAGGCTCGTGTGGTGGTTCCTCCCCCTGCTCGCATCCACATGCCGTTGGATCTGTGACCGCCCGTGGGGCCGGATTGTCAGATTGGCAGTGTGTGTGCGCGTTGCAGCGACTGCAGTGTGCTAAGAATGGAACTTGGAACTCGTTGCTTCCCGTTCACAAATGGAGTTCAGGGTCTTTTACCTTAATTAGCTCCCACATCTTCACCCCATATTCAACGCTTTCTTTTTCTTAACTTCTCCGTCGTCCATCTTCAAAAGGGTTCTTCTGTTGATCAAGGGATTCCATCACGCTCCAGTAGTTATTGGCTGCCCCTGACATAACATAATCCACCAAACGGCAGCAAAGCGGCTCAAGAATGGGCCTGGAATGGACACTCCAAGACCTCACCCAAGACCGCCGCGCCGCAAGGTTGCCGCCCTGCCGTCGTCAGGCATTGGAAGTGGAAGCCAGGGAGGGTTTTGGCATCAGCCTGTAACAAGCAGACGACCCAGTCAAGATCCAAGCAGGCCAATCACCGGTCAGATAAAGGTTGTCATGTCACACGCTGCCAACTGGCCGCTGTCAAGGGTGTCAGTGTGTGTCTACTGGCGGCCATTTGAGCATGTCAGCATGTCCCACCACATTCCATTCGAACGCTTCAGAGAGAAATACGAGGATTTGGATCCCTTTGACGATTCCGTACATGAAGATCTGACTGAGAACGCGATGCAACAAGTCAAGATCTTCACTGTCCAGGTACCAATGCAACATTTCCATACGAGACTGAACTTTTACAAGACTGTTCATCGGCTGCCTCTCTTTTTAGTCTTTGCTTCTTTCCATTTTCCACGACTCCAACGATACCGCAGTGTCCATCCGGCATGGTTTCCGCGTATCAGACTCTATCCGCTGCAAGACTGTCGCATCCACAAACAACTCCTCAGGACATGAACAAAGACCCATCCTAGAAGAGATCGGCGCAATATTAAGCAGGGTCGTTGACTCGTTTCGTCCTTCGGTTTAGCACCTGGAGTTTGTTTGACCTTTCTGGGTCTCAACAATGGCATCTATGGATGAACCTTGGGCACTTGTTCCTCGGCCTATCTGTTATCGCTGTCGTTTCATCAAACAATCTAATGAGTCAGGGATCACTTCAGCAACGGCGAAACACCGTCGTTTTCAGTTGTATAAACGTGGACGGAATCCATTTAAGGTAACTATCATTGAGCGCATTCATTCCAAAGGTCGAGAACCGATCACCGTCAGATCCGGCTAAATGTCCGAATTTCCATATCCATCACAATAAACTTAAACACAGTGTAGCGAACTGAGGGCGCTAGGGGCGGGCAGAAGACATATATACACCGGCCCCTCAGAGACAACTCTCGAGCGACTCCGACACGAGTTTGTTGAGTCGAAATACAGTCTCGTAAAAATTCACCGACACAGTGTCATTGTCTATCGAAGTGGTCTTTCAGCTAGCCGCTGGTTAATACTCATCCCCTCTTTTGATATAGAGACTCATAGAGACACCACTGCCTCGACTTGGAATGTTGTGCATTGAGAAAAGGAGACAACGTCTTTCCCGATTCAGCTGGGTTTGTGTGCAGACAGTTTCCGGCCTATTAGTCGAAACTCATTCGCAATGCACCACTAAGAGGATTCTACCTTGAAGTTATGGACGGACAGACCCATGATGTCGCGTTGTAACTATAGAGAGCTCCAGCAACTCGATGTGTTAAGTTAGTTGGTTCATTTCAGTTGGAACTACTGTGTATGGACACAGCACATCTGTCCGCCTGTCCGTTCTTTCCATCGTAAGTGGTGGCTGGTGATCATGCCTACCTCAACCCGCCTCTCGTTGGTCGGTCCTGCCGTTAAAGGACGTAAACCTCTTCTTCCCCTCTATGATATCTCGACTGATTAGGAAGAGTACAAATGACACTATAATCATATTGATCGTTTGTGTTAACGAAAGCCACGAGCACATGTAGACCTTATCAAGTAAGTAACCCGATCTCTTCAGTTTGTAGGTCGACAAAGTAGGACAAGAAATGTCAAAGGAATGATCCAGAGGCTGTTCAAGTATTTGACCCATACCCTCTGTTCTACCTCTCTCCGACATCACTCCCACTCCTCCCAGAAGCAACTCGCCATTGACCAAACCAGAAAACATTTGGAGTAATTAACATATGCAGAGGAACATACATACCTGTATCCATCCATATGTTCCAGGACCTCAAGGGGGCTATTCAATAACCTCGGGTTTAGGCGACTCAGCACGTGAGCTCTACTAAGTATTCGCCCTCTTCCTTGACTCCGAAAACCCACACGTTTCAGTTGCAAAGGAGAAAAACAAAAAGAAGATCAATTATATCCCATTGTCATCCGCGGAAACACGTTAGCGCGCCGCCAAGTCCCCTGACCCTTCAATTTCCCGATTCTCAAACCCAACTGCTAAAGCAGCATCATCCCAACTCTCCCTCACAGAGGTTGCAAAGTACAACCCGCCAACCATTCCAAAAGTAACTCGGCTACATAAGCAATGGAACTGCGCAAAACAAGCACATACGACCACAGATGGTAGAAAACTCGGGATCCCGTCCGCTCTCCCATAGATAAGCTACCAATCGGAAGATTATCTTTGGGAGTAGTTTTTTACAGGGGTTTGGATGACTGAGGCAAAAATGCCGCCGCCGTGTCTAGAAACGTTTTCATCGCCTTCGCACACGCCAAGCTCACCGTTCCACCCACTCATGCCAAGCCCAGCTGAGGCCATGAAGCAGAGCTGAACGTAGGGGATGCCGGATTCGTTGGTGCACAGGCTCCATCCAGCGGGGTTTGGTAGCTTATCCTTTTGAGGGATGCTGCACGAACCATCGGGGGAGTTAATGCAATATGACCATTGTCAGTCTGGCAACCTGCCAGACATCAACTCAAAGCACTAAGCCTATGACACCCACGAATGGGCGTGGAGCCACTGAAGACTTGTTCACTAGATATTTCGCCCCAACAGAGACGTAAATTTAGAAAGGCAAATGATATCGCAGATCGCTTCAGAGAAATCTTTGACTGGGTTATCATCATGGCGAAGCAAGCGAAGCACTGGTACGAGGCGGGCGCAAACACCAGGCGTTTGGACACCCCCAAAGTACAAGCCGAGCGACATGGTGTTACTAGAATACGACTGTGACGGCGTGGCCTAGCCACCACCGTGCCTGACACTGGTTTAACGCCGACCTGGTATGGCTTGTGATGTGTGTAGTTGCACAAGGGGAGGAAAGTGGGAGTGTATGCCTAGCTGGGAATAAGGGCACTAGTATATCCTACCAAGGCACGTAACAAGTACGTACAACGTATACTGGTAATTGTATTGGGACCACCAAAAGGCTTCACAGCTATAAAAAGGACAAGAAGACCCAGCTAGCCAGATAATTCTGCAGTAAGCAATAAAGGTTGTTCACCACCGAGAATAGTATCTATAATTCGCAAGCGATACTCATTTTATACCTTTTGGCTATACCGAACAGCACCTGATAGTCTTTACCTTCAGCTATCCCATTTAGGCAGATCAGACCTGCCGTTCGTCACACCCGTAGATGAAATCCCTTGCCTTGCTCTTGTCACCATGTTCATAAACTCCTTTCCATCATCAATGCTAGTACTTTCGACCCATTCTGGCATGTTAACGTAAGATCTCTTATCTATAACATACCAACTCCACTGCTCATCAAAGCTACCTCGCAAGAGAAATTTGAATAGTGGTTCAACAAACGGCCTATTAAGAAGAGTAGTGTAAAATTCCTTATATCTTCTTAATAGAGCCTCTGCTAAGTCGCCTGCACGTTCGGATTCCAGTAACAATGCTAGGGCCGTAAGAACGTCGTTAGATAAACTGGACTGAGCTTGCAAGATACGTAAGGCAGCCAGTCTAACAATCCTGTTCTCGTCTCCTAAACGTGCTATTACAGCCGTAATGAGCTCGTCGGATAAGCTCGACTGGGCTTGCAAGACACCTAAGGCAGCCTTTCTAACATCCCAGTCCTCGTCTCCTAAACGTGCTATTACAGCCGTAATGAGCTCGTCGGATAAGCTGGACTGGGCTTGCAAGACACGTAAGGCAGCCAGTCTAACATTACTGTCCTCGTCTTCTAAACGTGCTACTACAGCCGTAAGGAGCTCGTCGGATAAGCTGGACTGGGCTTGCAACGCAAGTAAGACATCCCTTTTCCCGGTTATAAATTCGCCGTCTTCTAGCCAAGAAGTAACCAGGATGACGATGGGTGGCGGGATCGTTGGTCGTGTTGCTACCCCCTTCAAAATTCTGATCTTTTCATCGATCCCTACTTCCTGCATGGTGTCCAACAAAGCTGACTCTGGAAATTCCACCTCGCTTGCTAGACGTGTTTTGCCTGTGAATTTGTATTCAAAGAGTAGCCACTCTTTTAGCTTGACTTCCAGCCTCTTTCGCAGTGACATCTCCGTCGACACTTCACTCAAACAATGCATAACCAGCCGTTGGTGCGTAGGACCTAACAAATCATGCGGTTCGTCCTCGATCGCTTGGAAGAACTTCTCTGCCTTGCCCTCGGCATCAAGCAAGCCGGCAACAAAGCGCCATAGGATGTCGTAACGGGCTGTGTATTTGTTCTCGCCAAGAAACTGGATAGCCTCGATGGGAGTAGGATTTTCATTCTTCTGACCATTGAGTGCCAGGTATTCGAGGGGCTTGTTAGCCTTCCATTGCCGTACAAAATACCTAGCCGCAAAGTATTCTTGGTAGGTCAGATGTAGAAAGTGATAGGTTCGGTGGCTGGTTTCCATCAAGAAATCTGATGTTCGGAGAAAGGAGAGGTGCGGCATGGTCTTACTGGGTAAGAAACCGGGTGAGATGTCGGCAAAGTGGTGCAATATTTGGCTGAGATGTGTTGAGTCGAATTCAATTGTATCATTCTGCAACCCAGTAAAAGCAAGGATCTCTAGAAACAAAATCTCGGTTGAAACGAGATTTTCAATTTCGGTCCAACCAGACTCTTGGATGTAAGCTGCTTCCACTAGCTCGTTGTCGTGCTTCTTTCCTAACCGTAGGATATCCTTCTTCCATAGACTTTGATCGATGGCTTGGTAAACATCCGTCATGGTGTTAAGTTCCGAGCTGGAATTAATACTTCCGTTCCAGGCGAAACAAAGCGCATCTAGCTGGATTGGGATCCGCATAAGGCCTTGGAGAAGGCTGCGAGCTTTTAGGAATGACTGAACGCGGACAGCTGTGTCTGAGTATTTGGTGAAAACCTTGTTGATATAAGCCTCCACTTGGTTTGGATAAAACCCGATCGTTTCCAATTCGAGATGCAGGCCAGCCAGAGGCTTGCCGTACGGCCGGGAGGTGATGATGACATTCGGCTGATCTAGCAACACATCAAGGAAGCTAGACATACCGCCTTCGCTCAAGCCTTGCGATACCTCATCTAGGCCATCAAGGAGAAATAAAGTCCTGCTCCTCTTCTCCGGTGCATCGAGCAATGTGTTGTATAATGCTTGGGCAAGGTCCTCTCTGCAATTCGACATGGAGAAATATTCATGAATAAAGAGGTCGGTAAAGCGGTAATCAGCCCGGCGTCTGTCTTCCAGCTTCAGATTCCGCAGAGGTACCCAGAGTACGCGGTCGAATAATTCAGTCCATTTGGGCAATTCGCCATGCATGAATGAATAGACAATCTTCTTACACAGAGTAGTCTTCCCTACTCCAGCGCGTCCTCGAATCAATATTCGTCTTGGTTGTATCTTGCGACCGTCAGGTTCTTCGCGTTCCTTGAAGAGCGATGGTAAGTCGACTTGAATTGTTGCATTTGGCGTTTCCACTTTCAATGGAGTGTTGAGTGAAAACGGGGAATATCGCGACGTTAACTCCGTTTTTGTTTGCTTTTCCGAACGGTCTTTGTTTTCGCCAGTCGACTCTATAATGGAAAGGTTGATGTAACACTGATCCATCGACAGTGACTTGCCTGAGAGCCGTTCAATGTTAAGCCTTTTCTCCGTATAGACTTTCTCATGTATCCAAGCATCTGCTTGCTTGAGAGGCGTTCCATTACGGATCTTCTCAAGAAATTCTTCAATTTTTCCAGCAACAAGTTTATAATCAGTGCATTTATTGCTGTCGAACTTATTCATCAGAACATGGGGCCGACTGAGTGGTAGTGGATTTCGAACAATGTCTAGTCTTGCTGAGGAACTATCAACTAGCTGGCAAGCGTTAGTTATAGTACGGGAGACGGTGGTACTTTAGGATTCTTACCGGTTTTCCTTTGAAGAACAAAGCCGGTAGCCAAGGGAATAACTTGCGCCACAAACTCGTCCTTCCAAGTTCATAAAAGTTGAATACTAGAAAGGGCCAGTTCGGATGCTGACACAATTGTGTGAATTCGGATACGAGTGTGCCAAGATCAGAGGTCGAACCCTTCACACTGTCGAGTAGCTTGCTCACTGTTCGGCCGCAGATGAATGCCCATGCGGTCAGACCTGGATCTGCCCAGAACGCTACATCTTCGAACGAAGTCCCTCGAAACGGGGTAGCGAGGAAGATAATGCCACGTGTTGCTTTCCTGAGGCAATAACAGCTCGTGGTGCATTCATGATCGGCGGCGGTTGTGAGAGCCCTCATTAAGATGATTCCCCCAAGACAAGAAGCGATAAAGAGGATCGGTCTGTCTCTTGTCTTGTTCTTTGCCAAGAGTTCTCTGTCGATGCCATCAATTAGGAGCGTAACGATCTCGCCATCAAGCTTCGGGACTAAATCTGAGGGTTGAAGTAGGTCGGCAGGCCAGTCCAAAGTAAAGATACGTGCCTTTTCTACGTCGACCGGGAGCAAATCGGCTAGCCAATTGACGCTAACGTTGGGATTCCGCCGATCCCGCCATGTCCACGTATCCGGTGATTTTGTATCGAGGCCATGGATAGCAATAATGTCAATGTCGGTGTCTCCATTGTCCTTGTTGACTTGATTGAGATGGACGCCTCGCTGCGTGGATCGTGTAGAATCTGAAGCAGGCTTCGCTAGAGACGACGGTGCGGTACCGGAACCCGCTGGCGCATAGAACCAAAGCCAAGCGGCGGTCGCACAGACAAAAAGACATAAGACAGTGGTCCATACCGCCAAAGAAATGCCTTCATTAACGTCCATGGTAATCAAGGTTCGGCTACCGGGAGAGGAGCTTGTACGGCCACGACTGAGAATGGTACTAGTATATACCCGTACGGCGGATATTGCGTATTGCCCTTTGACAAACGTTAGCGGGGTTACTCCCAAGTGGATATTGCTTTGGCCTTTGTGTTTAATAGCGTACATAAAATGTTTGATAGCGCAGATGGAGTGTTTGATACCGATCGCTTCTCGTAGGCAGAGGCTCAAATGCTTGGTGTTAAAAGTCGATATCTCGATCTGAGGGGTTAGATATGAGGGGTTTGGTGCCCCCAATGTTGACTTGGCTTATGTGCTAGGCTGGAGCCTTTGACTGGGTGTATGTAACCATCGAGACTAGCTCGGTTAGGTACACTTTTGGTTGGCCTACCAACGGCGCCAGTAGGTTAGCGATTTGAGACTTGGAGGATTGGTTGTGCCCTATGGTGCATCTGCTGCTGTAGTTGAAATGATAGCGCGATGGGCTTTAGGCAATGAATTAAACTTTAATGGGCTGGAGGTCCTGTTGCGCGGGTAATGGAGGGTATTTGAAGGGGATCTTTTTATTTTTCTTTTGGTATTACGCTCTATCTATATATTTTCTTACTTTTATAAAAGCATCAACCGCGCAGTTGAAGTTCTATTGCAACTACATCGACGTAGCTACCACCGACTGAAGACGGGAAACGGCACGAAATACCAACGCCGCGAGCACGATCATTATCACCATAAACGCGATAGCTCCTGAGCCGGACATGGACCAAAACCCCCCATCAAGTCCAAACCGGATAATATCCTCCGACAGTTCCAAACCTCAAATCCAAATGACGTACAGAACAGTACGTCCTACCAATTGCCATCCTCATCATTCACTTCCACTTGACGTCCATGTCCTCGCCGAGCATTAACAGTCCATCCTATCAGGTATCATCAACTCCTTTCCAAACAGCCCTCTTTCCCCTCTCCTTTACCACCCACTCCACCATCCATTCCACTACCCACCCTCCCTCCTCAACATCCTACACACACTTCTTCCCAGCCTCGCACCGCAACATCCGCCCTCATGAAGCAATCGACGACCTCGAATCGCTTTACAAAGGCCCTTCGCCCTCTTTTATCGCCCGCGAATTCGACCTCTCCCGGCTACACTCCATTCGCCATCTGCTCTGGCTAGCCGGGCGTCCGGTACCGCCCCACCCTTTGCACCAACAAGTGCTTATGAATCGGGAGCCGATAGTGACTAAAAAGCTCGACCAACACTTAGTATGGGGAGGAGGCAGGGTGTTTCTGAAGCCTGTCAGCAAGTTTTTGTTTACGAGGGAGTTTTGGACAAGGGAGTTGACATGTAAAGGCAAAGGGGGCTGTTGAGGAGGAGTGGTGGAGCTGGGTGACGGGGAACGGGAAAGAGAACGGGAAGCAAACGACAATGCACGAAAGAAGGATGACGCGGGAGTATGCAAACGATGCGAAAGCCGGCAAGCAGCGCTTGGGTTTTTGTTCAGTTATGTTGGTCTGGTGCAAAGGGAGACCGACTTTGATCTCGCCACCGTCAAGGGCCTCCTCCCGCGCGAAGTAACCTGGGGTCAATGGCGTCTCTTCGTGGACGAGCTGCTCGCCTCGCCAGACGCGATATACAAGAACATCGCCGTTCGGTTCATCTACGGCGAATTATGACTGAACCGACTTAACCTCATTTACATGTTCACGCGGGGGCCTTTGTCTCCATTCCCTACGGCCAACACCTTGGGGCTGTTGGTGTCAGCGGCCTCCCCGGCTCTACGGAAGATTCTCCTGGCCCAATACCATCGTGGTTACACTTACGGTCACCATCAAGCCCCGCCGCCGACTAGTCATAAACAGTACTTCCCTGCCACAGCCACTTACGCGTCGGCTCCCAACCCCTACAGCGATCCTACCGCTATTGGTGTAGGCAGTCAAGTTGCTGATTATACGGCAGCGGGGTACCCGCCGGTGCATGCCATGGCTCATGAGATTGTGGGTATGGTTCCTAGTTGGGGTTCTAGAACAACTACTCCTTATGGCGGTGTATATATGGACTCAGCTCCAGAATCTTACGGGGGATATGGCAGCTCGAGCCTCGTCCATTGCCCGGCACCCTATAGTGGTGCCCATTATGGCCACGGAACTCCTACTACAACCGAATCCCAGTCCCCCAGCTTTTCCTTCTCCGGTGCTGCGTCCCTACCTACCACTAGTACCGGCGCCGGTCGCTTATTGCCAAACCCCACAGCCGGAACCGGTACCTCCCACTCCTCCCTCCCTTATGCCGGCGGCACAGCCATGAAGACCTCTTCCCAACCAGGAGTATCGAGCCCCCCCGCCAATGTCGCTGCTTCTGCAACTGCCTACGGCGGCTTTGATGGTCTTCCCGCGTCTTACGGATCAGCTAGCACCGTCAGTGCCGGACACACCTCATTGGTCCGCCCCCACTCTACTTCTATGAATTCGTCTGTTTCGGAAACAAGCACAGGCGCCGGGGAACCTCAAAGCACCTTTGGCAAAGAGGGAGGTCACTGACCATTATTTGCATTCGTATCTGATAAGTGCAGACGATGCGCATTCGCGAGGAGGGAGGATGGGGGTGGTAGGAGGTAGGATGGCCGGAAGGGGACAGTTCGGGCGGGTAACTGGCCCAACTCGTGACCTTAATTCGAGTGCCCTCAATAAGTTTTGGCGGCATCAATGGTCGGTCTCCAGTCTCAAACCTCTTTGTTAGCCCGTTGCTTGACTGTCTTTGGCTTTTTTTGTCCCGCCTCGGTTAGTTTGGTGAGAAAATTTGTGTTGAGAGGAAGGTCGAAATAAGAGTCGGATAACAGCATGACAGGAAGGCGCCCGTCTCTTCATAATCTCGGCGTCAGCGCAGGAAGGCGCTGTCATCTATATGTTTCTAGGATTGTGGAAGGAATAATGGTTAGGAACAAACTGTTTAAATGATATCGAACAACCTTAACTCCTCGTCCTGCTCCTCGTCCTGCTCCGGGGTCTCGGGAGGTTGACGCGGACAAGCATGTCCGGTCCATGGACATGGAGACGGGTACTGGGTGCTGAGGCCAAATCTATCCGTATCTGATCTACCCGTCGTCCACTTACACCCACTTGACATGAATTCCATCCTTGCGGTTGTTACGGCACTGGCGGACAGGGTCTGGGATAGCCAGCACTGGAACTGCTGCGTGCACGTGGAGGATCCACCGCACTGGCCGCACAAGGCTCTGGGTCAAAACCCTAGACCCTGCCCACACCTTTGCACGTTTTTCTCTTTTCTTCTTTATCTTGTGATTCTAGTATAGACCTGGAATCAACGTGTTAAGCTTGTCTCTCGTGACCACGTCGCTCGTGACAGCGGTGTTGGTACAGGTGCTCATCAGGGCAGGTTTTTGAGTTCACTATAGAAACCCCATACTACGTTTCAAAAAAAAGTTTTAGAGCGTGCGGCTTAGCTTACACCGCGAGTGTAACGGCCATGACGAGGCTCGACTAGGATTGGCAGGACTGCGACTTATGCAGCCTTGTATGATAAGATAAGGATTAGCCAAGTTGGGTATGACTTCTACGCGTCCTGTACCAATATTAGCGGCAACATCCCAACACCCTTTTAGAAGCTACGGGTAGATCCGACCGTCCCATTCAGGCACCAGGATGTGGGGCAGCTCTTGTCGATTGGCTTGAGAGAGCTGCAGGCTGCGAAACGGGGGTAGCGTTGAGAGCGACGAACCAACCACAGCTCTTGGATCCGAAGCCGGCAGCCTACAACTCCACTTAGAATATGCACGTGCCCGACTTTTCACTTGTCTGCCTTGACCTACCTCCTTCATCTTCCTGCCGTAACCTGCCTGCATTTGGCTGCCTCTTTCATCTGCCTACCTTGCCCTACTTCCTTGGTCCGACTATTCGTCGCTCGGTAAAATCTAACGCCCGCCAATGAGTAGGCTGGGCAGACAAAAGTAGCTTCGGCGTAGATGTTGTAGCCGCGCTGCTGTTGGTCGTTGGCACCTCCAGACATGTTCAGCGCGTTGGCGCCGGAAAGACCGTTCGTTTCAAAGAAGGGGAAGATCCTTGTTGTTCAACTCCTTCTTCAAATGCTGGATGTAGATGGTGATCTCTGTAGTCCACCCCATGACCTTACCAAACATGAATTGATATCACGGGGCGAGAGGGCACCGTTGAGGTATGGTAAGATATGCGTTGTTGTGCGAAGGAGAGGAAAGGAAGATGTGCGTGGAGGACTGGCTATATGGGCGAGAGCCCCAGACAGGCCAGTCCGTGCGCGCGCACGTGCAGCTGCACGTAACTGCTGTGCATGTAGCCAGTGCGTGCATGGCTCTGGGCCATGGCACCAGCTCTGGACACGGCACATGAGGCAGTCAGTGCAGTGCGACAATGTCACAGGCTAACCCTGTGACAATTGAAGAGTACCTTCAAGGTCTTGGGTAAGCATGGTATAGAAGTATGTTACGATCCAATCAAGGATCACTTATGTAAGCCAGACTAGGTAGAACCAACAGACCAATTAGGTAGGACCCGAAGCGTTCGGGTCCGATATATTCGGGTCCCTGAAGGCCTAGTATATAAGAAGGCCCCGGCCTTCTTATATAGAGGGCTCTTCAGCAAGCAACAGTTTCTACAATCAATCAGTACCTTTTGGCTACTACTACCGTTGTTCTTATTCCCAGCGATATACTCTTGTGCTTGTAGTGGTTCATCACAAAGTAGAGACCAACTTCGTACAACTTCTTGTCCTTGGACCATAGGGAGACAGAGACCTACAAGTATCCCGTAGTTAGAGTCTCTGGGATAAGTAGACGTTGTGGAAGCGGAGAACTTACCTTATAATCCTTCGATACTATATTTACAAAACCTGCCTCTTTCATTACGTTTTCTATCATGTTGTTACTGTGCAGATCAATTTCATACCCAGTCTTCCTCCCACCCTCCTGCCACATGGGGCTCCATTGGCTCAGGGCATGAACCTTATTATTCAAGGAACCATCGTCCGAGAGAGCAGTACCGGAGGCGTCCATATGCTCAATGTAACCGCCTAGCTTGCAGCACCAGTAAGCCTCCTTATAAAAAGCAGACCAATCCTTGACCGTACCACTAATCCAACGAAGGTGGATGAAGTCGAAGAAATCAGACTTATAGGCCCATTCCTGTCATGGCGGTGGCAGACCACTACGCTAGCCAGCCCATGTCCCAGCAAAAGGGTACAAGTAACCGAAGCTGGCAATTCGGTTGCTCAAGTGGTCTTATATAGTTGCGACGGATGACCAGGCCGTCACAATTCCTTATTGTAGTTGTTAATCTCGAAACGGAGATTGGGAGGTATCTAACTGGGTTGGATGGGCGAGATATCAGTGCCGATGACGTTGCAGTTAGGGAATTCATCGGCAAAATCGATTGCCCACAGCCCTAAATGTCGAGTTAGTATTTAAGGAACAACTAAGTACCAAGACAATGCAGAAGGGGAACAACCACCACGACCGTGCAGAAAGTCGGCGTACCTGTGCCTGTGCCAAGATCAATTGCATTCTCGGGATTTTTTGGAAGAGGGGCATCATAAAGCCTGCCATCCAGACAAATGGTCATCGCATGATGGCTAAGGTAGGCAATATTTGGTCAGCTGTGAAACCGATGGTGGGAAGCATGTTTCATTCACAAAATATCCAGCATTTCATTCTGCTTGTCGTCGTTGGGGCCCCTGCATGAATGTTTCGTTAGCGTTGGCTGTTTCCTTCCACATGCGCAGTGCTTCATCCATACTCGTCTGGGCTAGAAACGCCTCACAAACCCAATGCAAAGGTCAGACTGGGCGCTTCGAGCCCTGACGAGTAATCCCAAACAGACTTACCAGTACTCTCCATCCGTTACGCTGTCGCTATGGTAAGTACGGCCGTTCATGGTACGGTATTTGAGGATACTCGAATTAATCGAAGCAGTCGAGCTCTTGACATCACTTCCAAGGGTCGAATTCCCATCATCTCCCTCCTCTTCCGGAAGTCCCTGTAGCGCGTAAGTAACCAAGGTATGTCAGTAAAAATTCCAATTATGATTGGGCTTGTGACCGGGCAACGGGGAACGTGAGAGGGCCGTACCTGTTCAGCTCAGTGAGATCCAGGAAGAGGGCCAGTCGTTTCAGCAGCGGGAGATGCAGGAGCAGGCGTGAGTTCTCTCGCAGCAGCGGGAGACCGGGATGCAGGACTGGGCGTGGGTGGTTTGGGTGCTGGCGACTGAGCCTTTTCCGCCGGAGAACTCATGGTCGAATCTTGGATACCTTATCTTCTACCTGAACTTCAAGTTCGGGTGAAGAAGATGGAACGGCCAAGAAGTGGTTCGGGTGCCAGAGCCGTCCCATTTATAGAATGTATCATCTACCCCTCACCACTTAAATTGGTATTAGTCTAGGTAAGGAAGGAAGCATCCTACACAGTATGTGGTATAACCGCAGCGTCTCACCAAATAGAACACAGTCGCTTCAAAATAGTACACAGTCGATTTATCAGGCCCAAAGTTCGCCGTAATGAATATTGTGCAATATCCTCACCAAAAAAAGTCGTTGGTTCTTGCTTCCCTTGCCCTTCTACCGCCCTCGCTTCCTGCTCTCTTTGGCTCGCTACGATCTGTACCCTACTTTTGGCCATGCTTCTACCACCCTGCACGTACTAGTACTCTACAGCATCTTGGTAGAGCGGGAGGCCGGGTAAGGCTGAAGGCATACGCACGATCTGGGATCTACCCTGTTGAACAATTGCGAAGGTCACCGGAGGATTCAACCACCACGTATGTTGTCATGGCAGTACCAGACATGTGCCAGATCACATGCATGTTCAGTCTTCCATTTTATCTGTTATTGCAGACAAGGATGTCATCTCTCTCATCCGATGTAGACTTGATTCTCCTTTTTTCTTCATCTTTAGTTAATTACCAACAACGTCAGATTATTTGTGTGCCACGGCCGCTAGATCCACGTGCGTGACACATGTCAGACTATGTACAGAAAAAGGTATGAAGCTTGTCCCAATCCAGCCGCCTATTGTGATAAGAACAACCAGCTCCGGCCGGTGATCTCGTCCAGCCACACCTCAATCCTCAGCATCCAACGGCTTCTGTGCGTACACCACGCGGAAGTCGATGAGCCCGTGAAGGCTCATATTCTTCAACTCGGCTCTCAAGTGGGCCAAGTAAATGGCAATCTGCTCTTGCGGCCAGCCCATGACGGTGCCAAACATATACTGGCAGAGGCCCTCAAGATCTTGCGTGTAGACGAGGTAAAAGAATTGGCCGAACTCCTTCCTCTTCTCCTCCTTGGGCCATTGCGAAACCGGGATCTGATATGCAACAGATTTTTCTGGTTAGCTTCTTTCGTTGTTCTTAGAGACAAGTCCTTCAAACAGCTTATGGGATGAGAACAAGAGATGTACAACTTACCGGGTAATCCTTCTTCGTAACATTTACGAAACCGGCCTCTTTCATGCCCTGTTCCTGCAAATTCCTTTCGAGTAGATCAACTGGGTTTCCGGATTTTCTTCCAGCCTCCTGCCAAATCTTTCCCCATTGAACCATAGCATTTTCCTCATTTATAGTATTGTCCTCCGAGTAGATCGTACCCGACGCATCGATGTGTTCGATCCAACCTCCAGGCTTCAGGCAGCGGTAAGCCTCCTTATATGCAGCAGTCCAATCCTTGGTAGTGCCAGTAAGCCAGCGCATATGGATATAATCGAAATGGTTAGATTTATAGGCCCACTCTTTAGTATAATCGTCGATGTCGAAGCGTAGATTAGGGGGTACCCAGGTAGGCTGAATCGGCGAAATATCGGTACCGATCACAGTGCAGTTGGGAAACTTGTCGGCAAAGTCAATAGCCCACAATCCTATACACTGAGTCAGTACCTCTATCTGGTTACTCATTTCTGGGGATCCTTGAATACATGGCTTACCCGTTCCAGTGCCAATATCAACAACATGCTTAGGGTCATCTGTAATTGGAGCCGTATACAACTGACCATCAAAGACAAGAGTCATCGTATGATGGCTAAGCGTGGGTTAGTAAGCTACCACAGAATTTGATTGTTGACGTCTACTCACTAGATGTCCAGCATCTCATTCTGCTCCTCATCATTGGGGCCCCTGTATCATGAAATGGTAGTTAGCTTCAGAAGCGCTACAACACAGTTCCCCAGGTCCCAAAAGAGACTTGCCAATACTCTCCGTTCGTAACAGTATCGCTGTGATAAGTGCGGCCGTTAAGAGTACGATAGTGGAGGATACTCGAAGCAATCGAGGCAGTCGAGCTCTCGGTATCGCTTCCTAGGGTTGAGTCCCAGTCACTCTCTGGGTTCGCTGTCGGGAGGCCCTATGAGGCGTGTGACACTTGTGTCAGTAACAAGCCCGGCAATCTTAACCGTTACGCAAAGGGTGGCAATGGGCACAGAGAAAGAAAGCATACCTGCTCCAGCCAGTGAGCGCCAGATAGAAGCTCAGGGATTTCTGGTGCCGGCGTGGACTCTCTCGCAGCCGTTGAAGTTGCGGGAGCAGGTGTGGGTGATTTGGGTGCCGCCGATGATGCTCTCGCAGTAGCCGGGGACGCAGGACCAGGCGTGGGAGAGTTCGCCTTTCCCTTTGGCGAAGCTGCTTCGGGTGCTGGCGACTGAGCTTTTTTCGCCGGAGAACTCATGGTCGGATACGCGATGACTTCTCTCTGAAAAGTTAGGTATGGTTGAAGAAGGTAAAACGGCCAAGATGTCCTTCGGGTGCCAGAGCCGCCCGGTTTATGGAATCTTGCCAGCCCCAAAATCACCCGGCTCGTTACAATCCTGTCAAATGTGACAGTGGATGCGAGCTAGAGCGGTCAACCACCTCAGTTCGTTTTGATAAAAAAAAAAAAAAAAAAAAAAAAAACGGTGCTGTCTGATAGAACAACAGTACCTAGCCAAATGAAGACGTATGTGAGCTATGCTGGTTGGCTAAACGGGGTACTACACCGGCCTACCAACCTTGTTTTGGATTAGTTACTCTTCCTTATCCTTGAGCACTTTGCCCTTATCCAAAGTTGCTATGAGCAAGGGTTGTGCCTATCCGGAGTTATCTCGTCTCAGTAAAAGCCGTCCACCATACCAATTTCCACTCAACGTGCATGAGATGCCGGCAGGGTCACAGCACTATATTGTGACCCGGCAGCACCTGACCAGTGAGAAGCAAGACCGTTCTAACCCAACTGTTTGGCCACTATAAATTCACGCTTTTTATGGGCAGTTGTTCATTGCCGACATGACCAGACTGGTTCCGGTATCCGGTACCCAACAAGGGGTCGTGGCGTGCAACCCCTGCGAGACGGTAGACCCCGCTCGGGGTACAGCACACCGGGAAAGTGTTCCGCAACCCCCCTGAAGCCGATTTTGATACACGGCTCTTATTTCACAGTCCGGTTGAGTGATCTCGAGTTGGTGGTGCTATGCCGTCCATGTCGGGCCGAGGTGCGCGAAACAGAGACTTAGCTCAGAAACAGTGGCATGAAACAAAGCTTCCGATCTTTGTTGCCATCGTCAGCATATGCGCCATACCTGAACATTGGAGGGCCCAAAGTACCCTCTCGATATGTGACCACTCGGAAGAAAGCGACGCATGCGCGGGGCACCATGGGCGGCCGAGTGGCTTGAAGTATTGTCTGTCCCACATGAGAAGATGAAGAGCGGAAGGGGATCGGACTTACAAGAGAAGGCATGCTGGGATCTTGGACAAAACGCCATCAGCGATAATTGGTTACCGAGCAGCCACATTGGCTCGAGATTGCGCCACAAGGACCTGGGAGGGTGTGAAGACGGCCCCAAAGATGTGAGAGAAGCTGGAGGGGTTGTGACGGCGCGGCTCAACCGCTGGTCAGCATTGCTCCCATGGCTGCATTTAGCGCAGTGGCTCCACCGGATCCACTGCAGGGTTCTTGGTAGCGCACAGGATTATATCCTTTGCGCCGCAGCTATTCTTTATATTCTAGTTCTTCTTTTTCCTCATCTTTCGATCTTCATACAATAGTAGGGTCATTGTCGCTTTGTCGCATTCCTTCTCCGCTATTTGCCATGACAGGTATAGGCTATATATAAGGTACTGAACACTACGCAGTAAGATGGCTATTATAAGAGTCTTAGTATGCCTTAACGCTTGCATTAATGCTGTAGAGTGCAGTTGCGGACCCTGCACGGTAAGAGTGTAGTTAAGGCCCAAACTTCTAACGCTGAACCAAACAGGCCTCTAAGGTTTTTGACAGGAGTAATACCAAAATTACATTCGGTTAGACCGGGTTATTTAAGTAGGTTGTGTAGCAGTTTGGGCCCATTTAGAAGGCTAGCATCGCATTTCTAACCGCCAAGTAGGCTGCAGAGCTGTGGTAGATGAAGGGGCTAATAGGAAGGGCGGTCATCTAACACCCTTGGGGCATGCGGAAGTGGACAGATCTTAACTCTGGTTATTGACACAACATCGTGCTTATAGGACAAAGAAACGTCGCAAAAAAGCACATACGACCATATATGGTAGAAAACTCGAGATCCCGTCCGCTCTCCCATAGATAAGCTACCGATATAGTAGTTTATCTATCAGAGTCAGAAGGATATGAACCGGGTCTTTTAATCACGTGGTAGGGTCAAAAAACTGAACAACAACCTCCCGTATCTATATCGTTCGGATGGAAGCATTATGGTGAGTGGGGAGCCGGCGCTAAAAAGATGAATATAATTGGGCGGATTACGAGAAAAGTTGACCGTCCTGACACTGCGGCTAGCCCCGTTAACGTTTGTCAAAGCGCAATATCCGTGGTATAGGTATACTAGCACAATTCTCAGTCGCGGCCGTACAAGCTCCTCTTCTGGTAGCTGAACCTTGGACTTTAACGAAAGCATTTCTTTGGCAGTATGAACAGCTGCTTTATGTCTTACTGTCAGTGCGATCGCCATTTGGCGTCGGTTCCATGCGCCTACAGGTCCCAAAGGAAATGAAAAGTAAGGTATCAATGCATTGTCTGCTTAAGGACACTAGTTATCGCAACGGCTTGGTTGTTGACAGCACTGGCAGCCTAGGCTCTACTGCAATTTGCAGGTTCCACTCGGATTTACAGCCCTACCCGCGCCACGCCCCCATAAGTGATGCAAGCTACCAGGCCGCTGCTGGTACACAATAGCCAACCCTGTAGACCCCGTGACAGAAAGCCACGACCCTCGCCCAAGTCGAGTTTATTGATTGGCGCCCTGAAGTCTCTGGGCCCAGAATGCCCGGCCTCTAGAAAAGAAATGTCCTTTGGGCTATTGGCGTGTAGTTGGGAGGGAGCCGCCAGCCATCCTACGCCTAACAAGGTGACAACACAGAAAGCCCCATGCTCCATCATGGCCTCGAGAAAACACAGTGTTCTAGTTTCTTTTCCTTTTCTTGTCCTAGATGGTAGGAGAGAGGAATTCCCGGCACTTTCATAAACTCGATTTATTAATCATCAACCATAGCATCCTCACCGCAGTCAAGACGTTCCTTCCTCAAAGCTACGATGCCTCGACGACTGCGCTCATGGTTCCAGACGCATTTCAAGCGACACGGAAATGCGGAGGATAGGGAAGGTTCTAAGGACCAAGAGCAGTCTCGCCCTGCACCTCTGCTCGAGTTGCCGACGTCTACACAGCACATCCCCGCCACTCCCTCTACGTCCTCCCTCCCCCTCACGGCCGCTCTGGCTACCGGTTCTACCGACGTAGAGACGTCCGCCTCACGGCTTCGAGTCGCTCCGGCTACCGGTTCCATCAACATAAAGACGTCCACCCCACGACCCCCAGCCGCTCCAGCTACCAGTTGCACCGACGTAGAGACGTCCGCCTCACGGTTCTCAGCCGCTCCGGCTACTGGTTCCGTCGACATAGAGACGTCCGCTGGTACGGATGACACCACTACCAGCTTACCTGTACGACTCTGGGAGTGTGCCTATAATGAGCTTAAACAAGAAGAGGTCAAATTGGTGGACGCATATGAGAAGATACTGTCCCGACAGCTACAGGATAGCCCCGGCTCAACGGTGCCCGAGTCCCAGTCGAACACCATCGCCCAAAACACCTTGGACAGGCGCCGCCAAATGACCCAGCTTATCAATGCTGGCCTAGCCAAGACTGAGAGGGAGGTCAAGGTGAAAGAGAGCCTTGGCGTGGCCGTAGATGTCGTTCTATCTGCAAAGAACACTATAAGTGCGGCAATCCAGGCCGTGCCCCAAGCCGCGCTCGCTTGGACCGGCATTTGTATCGCTTTAGAGGTATGTCTACTTGGAGCGTGATACTTCACATGCTAACTTCTGCAGATATTCATCAATCCTATAAAAGCGACCGAAGCCAACCACAAAGGGATCGACTACGTTGTTAAGAGAATGGACTGGTATTGGAATTTGTCGACTAGCCTTCTTAGGGATCCCATCAACAACATCAGCGAACTCGATGGAATGAGAGGCGAATTGGAGATCCAAATTGTTGACCTCTACAAAGCACTCCTCTCTTATCAGATTAAGAGTGTTTGTGCTTATTATCGCAACCGCGGCTTAGTCTTTCTGCGGGATATAATCACGCTTGATGACTGGAAAGCTGATTTGGGGGCTATCCAAGACGCCGAAAACTGCTTCCAAAACGACACCCAAACATACACCAATCAGCAAGTGACGTCTCGTCTCGAGCAGCTCGTTAGCTATACAAGGCACCAAGAAATACAACAAATGTCAGAGAAGGACCAGCAATGTCTAAAGCACGTACGCCTTACCAATCCTCGCCACGATAAAACCCGCATCGAACAGACCAAAGGCGGCCTTTTGCAAGACTCGTATCGTTGGGTCCTCGATAATGCTGACTTTCAGCGATGGCGTGACTACCCGCAGCATCGATTACTATGGATTAAGGGCGACCCCGGCAAAGGGAAGACTATGTTGCTGTGCGGCATCATCAAGGAACTGGATCAAGGCGATACTGCCAACGCGCGCCACTGCAATGTGGCCTACTTCTTCTGCTAAGCTACCGACTCTCGCATCAACAATGCAACCGCCGTACTGCGCGGCCTAATCTACCTGCTTATCGAGCAGCAGCCATCTGTCCTCCCACACCTGCGGAGGGAGTATGACCGTGCAGGCGAGAACCTCTTCAAAGATGCAAATACGTGGGTCGCCCTATCGAACATTTTCACCGATATTTTACAAGACCCAAGCCTCCGAACAACCTACCTAGTCATTGACGCGCTTGACAAGTGCATTACAACAGACCTGCCACAGCTTCTCGACTTCATTGCTCAGCAATCATCATCTGGATCTCGAGTCAAGTGGATAGTCTCAAGCCGTAATTGGCCGCAAATTGAGGAACGGTTGAAGAAAGCCGCAGATAAAGTGAAGGTCTCCCTGGAGCTAAATGCGGAATCCGTCGCAGCGGCTGTTAATGCGTTTATTCTGCAGAAGGTGGATTACCTAAAAGAGCTGAAGGAGTACGACCCAATTACGAAAAAGACCGTTCAGGACTACCTGTGCTCTAACGCGCAAGATACCTTCCTTTGGGTGGCGTTGGTCTGCCAAGCGCTTGAAAAAGTCCAGAAAGGATTTGCCGTAGAAAAGCTACGCATGTTTCCATCTGGACTGGATGCTCTATATGCGCGGATGAGAGAGGATATGAGTCAGTTCGATGAATCCGATTACTGCAAGCACATTCTTGCTGTTGTCGCAATTGTTCGCCGGCCAATCAGCCTTCAAGAACTAGCCTCTCTCGCTGAGTTGCCCAATACCATTTGCAACAATCTTGAATCTCTAAAAGATATTATAGGGCTTTGCGTTTCATTTCTAACTTTACGAGAACAAACCATCTATTTTGTTCATCAATCAGCCAAGGACTTTCTATTGGGCAATGCTTCTGATAAAGCTGGTAACCAAGCTTCTCTGGAGACATTCAAGTGGATTTTTCCTTCTGGGAAAGAAGATGTGAATTATACCATCTTCTCCAGGTCACTTAAAGCCATGTCTACAGTATTGCGACGCGACATGTACGGCTTAAGCGCACCGGGATTTCCGAGCGACAAGGTCCAAGTACCAGATCCGGACCCGCTAGCGATGGTGCGGTACTCGTGCGTCTACTGGGTTGATCACTTGTGTGACTCAGTTTCTGGCACGAATACAAAACGGCATGATCCTTTACGGGATGAGGAGATTGTCCAGATATTTCTTAAGACGAAGTACCTTTACTGGCTAGAAGCTCTAAGTCTACTCCAAGCTATGCCTGCGGGCGTTGTTGCTATTAGAAAGCTCAAGGGCCTGCTAGTAAGTATAAGTCTAACTCCGTCCTAGGAACTTGGTCTAACTAAAGATATAGGGAGGTAATGATCAGTCGCAGTTATCAAAGCTTGTTTGAGATGCTTACTGGTTTGCTCTATCTTATAAGTCAATAATAGAGCAAGCTCCACTTCAAGCATACATATCAGCGCTTGTATTTGCTCCAAGCGGTAGCTTGATAAAGAGGAATTTCAGGGCAGAAGAACCTGAATGGATTCGAACTAAGCCGGCTGTAGAATTGGATTGGAATGCATGCCTCCAGACCTTAGAAGGCCATAGCGACTTCGTTACCTCAGTGGCATTCTCGCCTGATGGCCAGCGGCTTGCGTCCGGTTCGGCGGACAACATGATCAAGATCTGGGATCCAGTGTCGGGGAGCTGCCTCCAAACGATTATTACTAGTACTATGATGACCCATATATCATTTGACCATACTAATCGCTACCTACGTACTAACGTTGGACGTATTAATATAGTTACAGAAACTACCAAAAGCCAAGTTGTACTAGATAATCCAGAGAGCCATGGCTATGGCTTGGGACAGGATGGGTCTTGGATTACTTGCAACAGCCAGAACGTACTCTGGCTGCCACCGAATTACCGACCGTCTCGTTGTGACCTCCAGCAACGGATGATATCCATCGGCAGCGTATCAGGACGGGTTTGGTTTATTGATTTCTCACAAGACATATAATGTATTCCATGTCTTTCTCAATTCCTTTCCCTTTGTTTCATTTTTCTAGCGTGCCGCCAGAAAGGTCTGAGGGGATAGGCAAATTTATAGGAATCTTGTAAATTCTAGTAACTTCTATTAATGTCAAGATGACGTATTCCATTACGAAGAAGCAAGACTATTCCATCCCTTGACTCTCCTTTTGCAGGTGCCTGTGCGGTCCAGATGCCACGGGATTAACCCGTGACTGCCCAGTCATGGCCAAGGTTGGTACAACGGTAGAAGCCTCGATTCTCCTCGATCGGATAAGTGGTCTCTTCCTTGGTGGTGCTTGGGTGAGCTAACACACTTGCAGTAGCTTCGTCACAGCTACATGGTCTTGATTTGGATGCAGGGAATCGCGGTTTAACCTGTGGCTTTATACCACTGACTAGGTGTTGAAGGTACTCCAAGACTGACTTCACACTAGGTAGTAATTCGGCTCGTATAGGTGACGAAATGCTATCCCTCTTTCTGGATTAACCATGCTGACTGATGGGAAGAAGCTCAGTCTTGTGAATGGTCGTTACTGCCACTCCGACATCTCCGGTTCAGAATTCCGCCTGCGGCTTTGAACTTGGTTGTGATAACCCAGAATAGGACAGCGAGTTCTACAACTTTACGCCCCCGCCGCTGGAGGATAAAGTGAGGAACACTTGTGATCTATTGCGCGGTGGAGTCTACTATAGGCCTAGGTTCTTAGGTTCTAGTCGGATTCGCCTGCCCAAATATCTCGGGTTCTTACGCTTCGTAGTGTCGGCGGGGACGTTTTAATTGCGAGAAGGACGGCTCCCAATCTATCGTTCTGCGAGCGTAGCTGAGGGATGTTGCAGTAAGGGCAAAGGGAATAATGGTTGAGTATTTCTAATCGTCGGCCTGGATTTTGTATCGGCTGTCGATGCGCTGAGGTTGAAAGATGCAGCTTCACCCAAGTGTGCGACGTGTCACGGTTGAAGCATCGTAGGTATGCGCCGTTACAACTATATGAGACCACTTGAGCGACCGAACTGCCAGCTTCGGTTACTTGTATCCTTTTGCAGGAACATGGCCTGGTTAGTGTAGTGGTCTGCCACCGCCGTGACAGCTATCAGTGTCGGTTGCGGTGATGCCCAAATCAACGTTGACAGCAACACGAAGGATACTAATACCGATACCGATATCGAATCAGGTCGTCAACTCGCAAGCCTGACGATAGACAATGATGCGATCTTGCGATTCATGTCAATCGTATACGCTTGGGACAGTGCGGACGTCACATTGAAAAGCTCGTTCGCCTCGAGAAAGCCTACGGACGAGTTGTCAACTGCTAAGCACTACGATAATCTACGACGAAAAGCACAAAATCTCAGTATTTTGTACCCCGTTTTGGGCATGTCAGCCAGTTTTCGGCTTTCCAAAGTCATGAAAGAAAATCAACATCGACATCGAGCAAGCGGAAGTTGTATATCAGCTGTGTTAGCAGGTCGTGGCATCGAAGACACTCCTAAAGCGAGGAAGGCATTCGCGAGGGAAATATCTGAGGCTCGGAAGATCATGAAGATGGTAGAAGGATACGATGGGCTTCTCTGCTTTTACCCCTTGGGTTTGGTAGTGGGTTCACGTTAAGAGCTTTGACGAGGTTTTCGAACAAAGACCTCGAGACCTTCCGTGCCACCATTGCTTGGTATAAAAGCCTAATGTTGTTGAGTGAGGTGGGCAATGAGTTTCTACTCTCTGTTTGGGGTGAAGGAGAGTTCAAAGAAAGATTGTTCCAAAGGAGACAGCTTGGCGAACTGCAAAACCTACCCAACGAAGACCTCATTAAGTTTCTGACACCCATTCAGCCCGAGGATGGTATATAGGGTAGTCTCATAAGGCTGGACATTGCGTTCAAAATAAGCAGTATCAACCGTAGCTGTATGATTTTTTTTTCTGCTAGTTTTTGTTCTTAATCAAGTCCCTCGTGGTACAGTTAGCGGGACTCGAATCCCGAACACGCAAATCAGCACTGCGAATCTTGTACGATAGGTGCCATAAACACCATCGTGAACGCAATTGATCCATAGAATCGCGTAATGAAAAGATGCCCAGGATGTGCTTGGTTGTGTTCGCCTTCTAGTGGAACAAATCCAGCTCCGACAACTTGGACGTTCGCTTTGGAAGCCGATAGTCCGTTTATTGAAGTGTCGGGTGCTCCATAAGGTGTTGAATATTCCCCTTCTAACTCGTTTCATACGTAGGCACAAGAGAAAAGTTGGGACAGATTCCCGTTCCGGGCTGAGAAATGGCGTTTGCTCGTTCTTTTCTCGCATCTCTTTAATCAATCAATCCTTCGAGAGAGGTGCGGAAATGTAGCCGATAGTGATTGTGGGGAGCTGTGTTTCTAGATATGGCGGTCAGAACCCTAACCCTAGCGCTGGCTGAGCCAGAGTTAGGGTTAGGGTTCCTCAACCGCAAAGAAGAAAAGGATGTTACCCCACAAAACAGGCATGCCGGGCTTGATAACTATACTATATCTCAAACATTGATAGGGCCTGCAAGCGAGAAAAGCTAGTAGCCAGAGAAGGGGTGGGGTTAGAGTAGCTAGGTACTTGGTGTGTTTGGCCCTAGAATGATTTATCACAGCATAAATGATAGTATTGCATATTAGGAGGAGTGATGTACAAGCGCCCGATGGGCATGAGGTCCTTCACCTATTCCCCGAGAGAAAACCGTAGAGACTTCTGTCGAATGAAAACCGCCGCCCCTTCCCCGGCTGTAAGGCCGGCCCCTACATTTCCTACCGTAACGTTGCTTCACCCACCGCCCGGTGAATATACACAATTAGCTTAGTATCTTCAACCCTGGTTTCTACGAGTTTAATATCTATTATATATGAGTTCTGATTTCTTAGAAGGACTTCCCACTAAATTACACCAGCTCGTCCTATTCAAGAGCGAAACAAAGCTTCTTTTTAGGGTTCTTGGGTCGCGGCCGACATAGGTCCAATCCATAGCGCATGTCATGTCAGCACCGAGGAAGCGACGCTGATGGACTAACTCAAGAATATCATCTGTGCAAGCGGCAACATCGTTAAGGAAAATAACAGTCATGTTTGCTTCGGCGGGATAGAGCTTCGAGTCCTTAGGGTCGAGCATGGGTTGCAGCGCCAGATTGCGGAGTTCGGCGAGCTTCTCAATGCGGGCTCCTTGCTTCCGGTTGATGTCGTTCGATTTGAAGTAGTATGCTGTGGTCAGGGCATCAAGCTCCGGACGCAATGCCTCCAGGACCTCAGCTGTGCCGTCATGGGAGTTACTCTCTTATGATGGAGAGTGCACAGCTTTGTGGACCGAAGAACCGGATGGCTTCTACGATGCTTCCAATGAAGCGGGGCAGCAGATGAAGGCATTCGCGGAGGTCGAGGGCAAAGAGGTATTGGATCCCCGATGAATCAGCATCGCCATCACCGTCTTGGACCGCAAGATATTCGTATTGCAAAGGATTGAAGGCGGGATATTCGAATCGTGGAAGGTTCTTTTCAGGGTTCATGATTGTGACGACGCAGGCAGTGCGGTTTGCGGCCGAGAGAACGGTCGGATTCGGGACTGGCACAGAAGGACATCAGATAAAGATAACATCAAGGCAACTGAAGGACTCACCATTGTTGGCGGGCTTGGTTGTGGTCACTCTGGTGGCGGTGATGGTCGCAATCGTGGTTCAAGTAAAAGATATCTCGGTGGGAGAGACGGAGCCCCTCCTCAACTACATTAACAATCGAACCCTCAGAAACTTCCGAGCCTGCTTGGAATACAGCGTTTTATTCCGGGCTAACATTGTGTGAATTAGGGCACGAAACGAACGTCAACAACTGCACATTATCGCACCACGGTCTAGCGGGCTTTCGTTATTTATTCATTGCCAACCTTTATTGCTCGGTCCGTCCGCACAGCACCTTCACCTCACCTCGATCATCCTTTTGTCTAGGAAAACCCGAAAAAATCATCATTCCCTACTAAGCCATAGGAGGGAAGGGAGGGTCGGGCTGCCGTCATCATCATGGGATTAAAGAGTTATTTCATAGCAAAAAAAGCCCGAGCCGGCTGCCGGGCAGAATGAGAAACCACAACGAGGTCGACCACCTGCCACCGGGGATCCGATATTTAATCCACTGACTCCGAATCACGATGTACTCGCTCTACCTCACGCTCACTATAGTGCCAGAGCCCGCTCGGAAGCACGCTCGTTCCTGTCGACGACGAGCTCGATAATGCTCGAAGACATCAAGCATGAGATCATGGTCAACTGGCTCTATCAGCAGCAGTGCTCCTACCTCTGGGTAGCAAGCGGCAGCGGCGATATTGAGGGCGTGATGCTTCGAAAGTCAAGAGGTCGATATATGACCTGCCTGCCGACACTTGGGAATTCTCCCTTGGCTGCTGCCTGTGCTGTGCTCAACGTCCAGGTGAGAATGATTACCCAGAATATGTTCAGGTGTTATGTGCTGACAAGGGGCTTGGAATAATGTGCCATGTCGGTCAACTCACGAGTCATCAAAACGTTCCTACAGTGGTCTCCGGAGGCTATCGAGGTTCCTCTTAACGACGGCTTGCGCATCCAAATCCTTCCCACCGTCGACGATCTTCTTCGTGCCCGAAAACATCAGTTTGCGGCTTTTGTTGCCTCAGAAGGCTTGCTCGTCGTTTAGGATGACGATCCCCTCCATCTGATTCCCAGAGCCAAGCATATCGAGTCAGCGCTCATGCAGCTCGTATGGAAGGACGGCAATGAGGTTGACGACGAGGAGGAGAGTGCTCCTCCCATGGTGGAATGAATCGTTGAAGTCGATGCGGAGAGCGGCGAGCCGAAACGAGAAAAGCGACCGGTTCACTTGCTCAACACCTATCTCGTCAGCATCACGCTCTTGATCGTTACAGTATCCCTTAGGTCCGCCTGGAGGCAGCTCGCTATTGAAGTCATGGTTGATGGTAACTTTGTCCGTCTTGCTCTCGTCGTCCTGGCACCGGTCCAAATCTTCTTCACTCTATTCTTCGCTCAGGTCATTGTCGGCTGCTTGGCTCAGATATTTGGACCTATTCAACAGCTCTCGGTCAACTCAAAGTTTTACTCGGCCAAACTGCCGCCGAGGCTGCAGACCCCTACCCTGCCTCACGTTACGGTGCAGTGTCCTGTCTACAAAGAAGGCCTCGCCGGTGTCATTGCTCCCACAGTCAAGTCGATCAAGCACGCCATCTCCACGTACGAGCTCCAGGGTGGTGCGGCAAACATGTTTATCAATGACGATGGTCTTCAACTGATCTCCGAGGAAGACCGCCAGGAACGAATTGAGTTCTATGCAGACCACAGCATCGGTTGGGTTGCCCGCCCTAGGCACGGCGAAAACGGCTTCCAGCGCCGTGGCAAGTTCAAGAAGGCACCCAACATGAACTTTGCCCTCATGATCTCGTGCAAGGTGGAAGAAAAGCTTAGCCAAATCCAGAGATCCCCGGAATGGTCCCAGCATGACGAAGCTCAAGCCTATGAGCGCGCCCTCCAAGAGGTTCTCGAGGAAGATGGCCGTGCCTGGACTGACGGCAATATTCGGATGGGCGACTACATTCTCTTAATTGACTCGGATACCCGTGTACCGGCCGACTGCTTGCTTGATACTGTCTCGGAGATGGAGCAGTCCCTCGACGTTGGTATCATGCAGTTCTCATCAGGTGTTATGCAGGTTGTCCACACGTATTTCGAGAACGGTATCACCTTCTTCACCAATCTGATTTACAGCGCTATTCGGTATACCGTCTCCAACGGCGATGTTGCTCCCTTCGTTGGTTACAACGCCATTCTTCGTTGGTCTGCCATCCAGCAAGTCTCGTACGAGGATGAAGATGGCTACGAGAAGTTCTGGTCCGAGAGTCACGTGTCGGAGGATTTCGACATGGCTCTACGAGGCCTCTGGTTGGTCGAATTAGTCACGACTTTCCATTGTTGAGGTATTTAGACCTGGGATTGGCAACCCATTCCTCTTCTCTCCCTCAAGCCACCAATCAAGCATTTTCCCCATCATCGGAATCACTTCGTTTCACCGCCTGAAAAAGCACACACACAAATTACGCACACACAGATACCCAGATACCGCCACTCCGTAGCCTTGTCCGAAACTCGTTTAAGATCCGCACCATGACAGGACTACAAGACCGGAATCGAGAGTTTCTGCCTCACATAGAAGATACCAGAAAGGTAAGGCTGGGGTTCCTGCTAGGTATTACACATCTAGACTCACACGTGAAATAGACTAGACGAGCAGCACATTTTCACCACAAAGACGCTTGGATTTCTCATCCACCCAAACATCCGGATCACCTAGCCCACTGCCAAGATCGCAGACATAGGTACCGGTTCTGAGGCTTGGCTTCTCGACGTCGCCAAAAGCCTGCCGTCAACATGCCAATTCACCGGTTTTGACCTGAGGTCATCCGCTTTTCCTCCACGAGATACCTGGCCGTCAAACGTGTCATTCAACATCCACGACATGTACCTCCCCTTTCCAGCCTCAGAAAGAGGGACCTATGATGTGGTTGCCGTCCGGTTCATTAGCAGCGTCGCCGGGCGTGAGGAATGGGCTCGTTCCATTGCGAACTTGATAACGTTGTTGAAACCGGGCGGCTGGCTGCAGTGGATCGATTCCTGCAATTTTGCACTCTACAACTCTATGCCTGGCACGTCCCGTGCCGCGTGCCAGGAGATCTATGACGGCCTGGACCTCTTTCGCGACAAAGCTGACCCGGTAATTGGCCTCATGATGCAAGAGACGAAGAATCCGAGAAGGGAAGACGTATTTCGAGGACTTGGCTTGGTGGATGTCCACGAAGACGTCTTTTCGTCGGACAGATTGCAAGACCTGGAGGCGAACGCAAGGGATAAGGGGACCCGAAATATTATCGCTTGCTTTCTGGGATGTTTGGAGGGCTTGGTGACGGTTGATGGCAGTGGATGGACGGCTGAGAGAATTGAGAGGCTGAAGGAGGAGGCGATGAGGGAGATTGATAGCGGGGTTTACCATACACTCAATCAGGTGTGTATTATCGGGAGAAAATGTGAGGCTTAGTACTGTTTCACAGGAGGATTTTGGGTTGATGTACAAGTTCTGGGCCAAATCACCTACTTGCTCAGCATGATCTTGCCAGAGGCCTGCCATCCTCCGCACAGCTCCTCTTCCAGTACTCACAACAACCACGCCATGAGCCCAACGATACTTTCAATAACAATTGCACTCGTTGCAATTGTCGTCAAAGCACCAATCGCGCCGTTTCCTGTTTCTTTCCTGGTTTCCCTGGTGCCAGGTCCCAAAGGATTCACAACTGCACGTCCCGATCTCGAACTTCGAGGGAGCCGGGATGCCTGAGCAGCGCCTGATTCGGCACCCCGACCATCCGCAGCTTTACCGGTGCCAAAGCCAGCAGCACCGAGGACGGGACCGATGAGCAACTTGGGAAGTGGTATACCAAAGCCTTCGGCCACCAAAGTCAAGCCGACAGGGACTAGCCCTCGTATCACCTTTCGTTCGGCTGGGGATGCCTAAACCGCAGGGTATCAGTCTCTCTGTCGGGGACGAAGTATCGACGAGAAATCGGGGGTCACTCAAACCTGTTCATAGTGCCATTCCGCGTTCTTTGCAACCTCTGCAGCGTTGTGAGCTAATCCGGTGGCAGTAGGAACAAAGTGGTGAGTACCCCAGTGGGCGACGTGTCCGGAGATCTGAGAGCTGTCAATGAACGATGCTGAATAGGATGAGACATGGTGTCTCGATGTTGATTCCGGTTATTCAGTCCCCCTGAAGGAGCCAAATAGGGCGGAAGCAATCGCCATTATTGCCGTTCCAAAGCCCAAATGCCTATCCCAACATCCTTCCTAGGGTTGTGGGAAGGCCAGCACTTGTGACTCCCAGATTTTGGAGGATGCCAACCCACCGACCGCCGGGAACAATTCCAATCGAGGAGAGAATCCAGGCCGCAATAGATACTGTGTTTGGCGGCGTAACAATGTTAGTAGACACTCTATGTTCATGACTTCATAAATGGGTAGCACTCACCAGCCTTGACGCCAGCGGCAACCCATTTCAGGATGGATTGAACCCAGTACATTTCGGAGTATCTTCAAGATTTGCTTGACGGGAAAGGTTAACATCGGCTTTGATGTATTTGCACTATCAAAACTTCACGTTAAGTCGTACGAACTTTCGTGGTTTTGGTCACCAGTGAGGAAATTAACTGAGGAGTATGTTAGAGGCGGTAGCGTAGAGAAGAGGTCGAAGGAAAAGTTGGCGAAGAAGTGAGAAAGTGTCTTCACGTTGAGCTGATATAACGCCAAAAGCCTTCTGTAGGCGTCATTCCGTCATGATGGTAGATACGCAAACGACGAAAGCCGGCGATGCAATGACCAACGTCATGTCCCCGTCCGGAGGCCGGAGCTGGATGCAGGATCCCGAGTGAAGCGAGAGCCTTTCCATGGGAACTGACTCATGAAGTGACGAAACAAATAGCGGAATGGAAACACCGAGAGTTCCATATGTATAGCCAACAGCACAGCTGCTCCATAACCCGACTTCCCGCGAGGGATACGCATAGCCAGAGTGATAACGAGCAAGTTCTGACAAGGCGTCCACCAAAGAAGGATAAAGATAAATATTGTCATGTCTTTTGTGAATCCGAGTAACGCAACATATTTCCGCCCCAGACTGTTAGCATGATCGGCACTCGTCTGATGATGCCTTTTCTCCTCACTTCTTGTCCTTTCCGCAACCCGAGATCAAGCACTCAGCACTGGAGATTCCAGTAATGAGCAATCCGGCTCCTTGGACAGCTCCGTTGACAATTGCGGCACCGTATCCGCCCATCGCAGCACTCTGAGCAATAGAAAAGGCACTTCCAGCAACAGCATTGCCAAGGGCGGCCTGAGCTGCGGCTGCGGCAGTTCCTGGTTTATATCAGCACTTGATCACCGACCAGAACAGCATAAATGCGCTTCATGTGTAGGTGGCACTGACCAGCAACGGGCCCAGCGGCACCAAATCCCAGTGCGGCAAGAATGGGTGCGGTAACTATCGCGGGTGCAGCGACAGCGGCTAGCCCAGCAATGACAGGAATCAAAGGAATCTTGGGGGCATGGTCAGCTCTGGCACAAGCAGGAATGGGAGTAGAGAGTTCTCAGTGTACCATCTTGAAAAGGGTTGTGCAGTGTTCAGTGCGATAAGCTCTTCGTGTTTCAAAAATGCAGGATGAACCGGTGACTTTGAGATGAGTGTTGGTGTTCGTCTCAACGCCTGGAATCTCGAGCCCTGCGTGGAATTTTATAGAGAGCCAGTTTCTGTAACACCACTCGGCGTCTTCCTATACAGATGTACGATGCAGCTAGAAGCTTTAAGCAAAACCTTTCTGTGGCAAGGCATTCAACTGATGATGGCCTTCACAGGACAAGATCGGTTACTAGGACGTCAAAGACCTCTTGTCTTTCGTGGACAAAATCGATGACTTCACAAACGGAAACATGAGAGGCCTGCCGAAACATAGGGAAAGATGACTGCTTTCGTTGTTTGTAGGCAAACGCTGTAAACATGTTCAGGCCTGGGTAGAAGTCGTTGATGTGTCGGCCGCGTGATGACAAGAATTCTCGGTGTTTCGATTGGTAATGTTGGTACCTGCAGCGTAAACGCAAGATTCAACCGTCCTCTGCCTGCTCCTGTTCCCGGAAGTACGTAAATGACTCTCGGGTATAGCCATTCATAGGAGGTCGGCCGGGAGGCAAGCAACATCGGCACGGCCGGGAATGTGATTGGCACAGGTCTCGGATGTCGTTGATGACTTGGATCAATGCCGCATCACAAACAGCCGGGCAGAGGGTACAAACACTCAACTCCGGACTCCGTGGTCCACTCGGTTGACGGAGTGAGGCGTGCTCGGTGTCTCGTGTGATGCAGGGATGTTGACGCCTCGCTTGGGAAATGCCAAGAAACTCATCGACATCTGATCGAGGGCATTCCGGGGTGAGTTGACAAGGCACGCGGAGTAGGCGACACCGAGAGGCAGTCCGGAGCTCAGTCCCAGGGATGGCATTGCCCAAGCTGTCGGGAGCCATTGCACGCCATTCGACGCCTTACGCCTTGTTGACTCTCGCCTGGGTAACCCCGCCTGACCACCCAAGGACCTCTTTCCTGGTTCAGCGCAAACAAAGAGCAGCTGACTCGGTCCGGAAGTTGTGGAATGGTGGGTGAAGTAACGAACAGCGGCGCATTCTTTCTCGGGTAGGGACCAGAGAACAATTATAAGTCTTGTGAGACGCTCTTCAACTTTGAGACTCGCCATCCAATCTTCCCTCACCCAAAGTCACCATATTCCAGAATCCATTCTCATATATCGATCTTATAACGCAGCACTATCGACCTAGTCCACCATATTAGATAAACCATGAATCTGGACAGCTACTCATGACTCATCCCCTCGGACCAAGACGAGGACGTCAAGGCAGAGAACAAGGCTGGCGCGATGCTCGTGGCGCTCTTGATGCTCGTTGGGGTCCTCACGCTGGGCGCAATGATGTGGCACTGGAACAGCTAGAGAGTTGAATCGCTGAAGCGTTTCTGTAGGTGCTCAGACTACAACCCCGTCTTATTTAAAGGTATCAGTTGTCCTAATGAGAGGAAGATCCAGATTCGAAGACCAGCGACAACGGACGGGGCTGAATAGCCAACCGGAGATAATGTCGAATGAGAGCTCGCTGGTCATGAGCTGAGGGACGGCTGGAGGACGACTTGATTATATCTTGGATTACGGGCGGGCGGGCAAATTGATAACCAGGTCTGAGGAACTGGATGGAAGTGGAGGGAGGAGGACATTGTCGATTTCTGGATGATGGCGTTTTGGAGTTTCGAGGTTGAACATTCCTTAGGTGTAGGACCCGGAAACTCCAAACGGTCCTCCTACGGTCGATTGACGGTCGCACTATTTTAGACGTCTTATTCTCTAAACTAAAGATTTCCCGTTTCCTTTTCGGTAACAGTTTATATATATAGATGGTCGCTCTAAGGATAGACCGTCAATTATATGTTTATTAAAAGTAAGTAGTCGAAGAGCAGTTAGAAAAGTTAAACGTTTGGGAAAAAAGACAGTTTATGCGCTGAAACGTCCCTTAGCTAAGTATATTTAAACTTAGTAATCCCACTTCAAATCAGTTACGTACAAGCCATAATACGTATTACTAATTCTATCTAGCTAGCTCCGCACCTACACCTAGCGTACGTACGTACCCCAGGTATTGCCTAGTACGCCCCCATACAGCGTACTTAGTATTCTAATTTTTAATATACATATTTTTATATATACTACTAATTAATAATACGTGGATAGAAGGGAGTATATTCAATTGAAAATAGTAATAAGTATATGAATATGATTAGAATCATCCTTAAACTATACGTAAATTAATTTATAATATATTACTACCAAATAGGGCCTATCTAAGAATGAAAGAGCAATTATTTATATCGTCTTTAGTAAATAGTATTAAATACTCTATTTTGAAACTAAAAGAAAAAAGACTGATATGGACTGCTTTCGCCTCAAAGAACAACCCTGCAATTGATGTAAAAGCAATGATATTATTCCTGTGTAAAGCGTGATATCCAAGGAAGGATCAAGAAGAGTGGGAGCCGCGCGCAGATGGATTGAGGTAATCCGTCTAGGCGGACCCATTTCCTTATCTTATCCTTATCTTATCGCCAGGACCCACCTGTCTTTGATGCAATACTATATATATATATATAAATGATCCGTATCAAAGACTAATAACGACTTACTTATTAGATAAAGCATCCTTATTACGCAATAAAGTGATACGTAACCATGATGATAATAGGATTGATAATGATTGTTAGTACTGCTAGGAGCCTCTACCTAGAACCTTATATAGCGATTATAAGTAATTGTGTAAGATATGGTAGATAGATGATTGATTGATAGTTAGAGTTAACGCCAAAGGCGATAGTAAAGTAGAGCTGTCTTATATTATAATAATAGGAGCCTAATTTAATAAAAGTAGGCCTAACTATATTATAACTAATTCTAGTAAAGTAAGTCAACTATGATCTATAACAAACTATAGTATCTCCCCCTTTCCTAGAGAAAAAATTAGTTATTTATCTATTAAAGACTATATATAAGTAAAATAGGTTTACGTTAAGAAAGTAGAGTAATATATATATAAATTTTATATCCTCTATTAAAAATATTTATTATCATATGGTTGGTAAAAGCATGATCCTACAAGTGATAAGACAACAAGACTAGAAGCCACAAATCAAAGTAATATTAAGTGTAAGGAGGAAAAGGAAGCTGTCAAACGAGGGCATCACGGTTCTGGACATATAAGTCAGAACTGCTACTCGTTTCCGCCTTCCCTTTTCGTACGGTCTCATCGATAAGAACATGAGCCTCATTCCATCTGATGTATTATGGTGCCCTGTACCCAGCACCCCATTGCCCAGTGGCCAGTGCTCTGGTAACCTGTCCAGCTATGCCATGACACAGTTTTTTATTTTACATTTCTATTAATAAGTCCTCCTCTTTATTTTTATTTATTTTGAAATCTATTTTGTAAACTAGACGCATTTACTAATAATTAGGTTTGAAGAGATTATTATTAAGAGTAAATTGTAGCGTACGATACTTTATAGAAGTAATTATTTAATTTTTGGGATAGTTTAGGAATGACGGTTTTTAATAGTAGAATAAATAGTAATTAATAGAATTAGTTAATAGGAAACTATTATGGAAGGATTGGGATATAATTAATTACAGACGTAAGGTAAATAGGCGAACGATAGAAGTTATAATTTTATTAATTTTTGTTTGTACTTATTTTTAATTTTTTATACGTTTTGTCACAGGCATTGCCTACCTTATTCCTATATATAAGTGCATATGCACATGTGCTGCATTAGTGCAGCCAGCTAAGTACAGCTGTCTGGCTGCAGCACATTCACTAGTCTAGGCACAGACTGGCTGTCATATGACATAGTGGCTCTGGGTGGGTCCATGTAGTGGACCCACTGCCCCATACCCTACATAGTTCTCGTGCGCGCACAGGACTCTCTTCCTGTTCCTCGCACAACAATCAAAGTCTTACCATAGTGCTTGCTCGCGCCCCGTAACACGTTTATCCTTAATTATTTTATTTATTTTGACGTGAGAGATGCCAGCGGGAATATTAGTAGGAATAAATAATATTTAGCTAATATTGTAAATATTAATAGTATTAAGTAATTAGGCCTAAGTAAAATCTATTATAGTTAGAATATTAATAATAGTATTATTGAATTTATCATTAGTATTAGCGATATAAAAGATTACAATATGTATACGCGAAAGTATTTTCTTTTTCTAATTAGCTGTACGAATTAATTTAAAAATAGTATAACGAAATAAAATAAGTATATTATTGAAGTTATTTTTAACTTTGTGAATATAATTCGTTTAAGTAAAAGATTAATTAAATTGGAAGATTTGAAGAATATTATTAATATTATCATCTCTAGAGAATTTTGCGAAGTAAATACGAGATTTATCGTAGAAGTTTTATTATAGGGTAGTTAATTCGGGGGTATTTTTATTAAATTTAAATTTTTTGGCCTTATTATTAAAGATTTTAAAGTATTTATTGAAAGAAGGGTAGGCTGGTTTGTTTTTGTTGGTTTGAGGGCGCTTTAGAATTCTTTTAAATTCTTTTAAAGTAATAATAAGGTTAATAATTTAAAAAAGTATTTAACGAGCCTTATTTTTAATTTAAAATTACGCTAGATTTAGCTAGGACCGACGCAAACAGGTCAACCCGAATGCTTATTGCGAGGTAGTCGAATCCATTAATGACTGAAGATTCTAGGGGAGGAAGTAAAACAAGGAAACACGCAGAAGGCCTACGATTGTATGACTTGTCAAGTGCCAAGGGTAAATAACTTTGGATGGTCCCAACCAATAGAACCAAAACGCAGGTGACCATCGTATAATGCATTCGAACCGACCAGTCATAGCACCGCCGAGCACCGAGAGGAAGTTTTGCCCAGGAGCGTGGAAGGGCCGGGCGGCGCGTCATTCCGTTGAGATAGTATCGATTATAGCCGTGGCTAGAATTCCCGGAACAGGCTCTCCATCGCAATTGGTCCTCGCCATCTATTGCTGAAAGATTAAGCGTGTCTAAGTGTCTCGGAGACCGACCGAAACGCGATTTTACTGTAAGCGGCATCAAGCGCGGCCGCGGCCGCCCACGCAAGGTGCTGACAGGGGATAGAACAGTACGTCCTCTCGACGATGGGCCGATCACCAGCTACCTCACCCGAAATACGGTACGCTCCCGGAGTACACCGGCACGCTCGTCTTCGGGCGCCGGAGGGATCACCAGGAGCCAAACAAGGCCGGCGACAACGAGACCAGAGGGAACCCCTTCTTAGAGTAACTAATGGTTAAGTCGAAAATACTCTATTGGAACGAATACAGAAGAGGAAAGGTGCGAAGGCTTGTGCGGGATGGAGCCAATAGGACTGCGTGCATCACTTGCCATTCCCTTGCCACGCTCTCATCAGATTCGGCGACTAACTGCATACACATAACTGGGCCGAGGAGTACTAGGAACCAATCAGTAATGGTCTTCTGACCGAGTGCAATCTTGGTGTTACCCGTGTAAAAAATCTAGCCGCAGTGTTGGGACGGTCAACTTTTCTCGTAATCCGCCCAATTATATTCATCTTTTTAGCGCCGGCTCCCCACTCACCGTAATGCCTCCGTCCGAACGATATGGATACGGGAGGTTGTTGTTCAGTTTTTTGACCCTACCACGTGATTAAAAGACCCGGTTCATATCCTTCCGACTCCGATAGATAAGCTACCATATCGCCTGACTAGTAGTTGGGTCGGTGACGACCAGCGAATCCCAGGTGTTGTATGTTTTTTTCTCTTGTTTTCCCTTTTTTTCTTCCCTTTTTGCATGTCATGCTTCAATCGTTGTTTCCGGCATTGCATGCTTCATTTCCAAATGTTCGTGTTCAACATCAATTTCGTGGCGATAGGTGTTGCGAAAAAAAATGGTCAACTTTATTACTGTCTCGCCTCTCGAGACTTATGGTTTCGACGCTGAACGAGCTGGTTGAAGCGTAAGATGTGTTACATGCATTCGTACTTGAATGTTTTATCAACACTGTTGCTTCCAAGATGAACATTGGAAACAAACAGGGGGATGTATAACATGAACAGACCTATTCTGCTATCATCCGGATTTCGCTTGTCCACCCACCATCCACCCAGCTATAACAGTATAAGTACTGAACCATCCATTCTCGTCAACGCGAGCAAGACAGATAAACGCCCGGAACAGAAGGGAGAAATACACAGACAAACAGAAAACGAAGCGGTAACTAGCTAATTGGTTGCTTTATACCCAAGTAAGCTTTCCATCGCTGTTACCAGAGTGCCGAGTTCCATCGGCCAACCTCCGGTCCTTTAGCTATAACGTAAACCTTTCCCTTAAGCCAAAAGATACGCCTCATCACTGTTTCCCACGTGCCCTGCCTCATCGTACAACCTGACACTTCCCATTAGCTCACCTTTTGTGTATCTCGCTTCTTCCCCCTTTCACCCCACCCAGAAACTTGGCGAAACCAAAATTTAGGCAGGCCCCTGACTCCTCGTCTTCCTCTGCGTCATACCCACAGGCCTCAGAATCTTCCTCGCCGCCTTATTAACCTTATCCGCCGCCGTCTTCTTGGGTCTTCCCGGCGCCCTCTTCACCGGAGATGTTGCACCATCAGCAGCGCCATCACCATTCGTCTGCTCAGTCTTGGCCTTCTTCGCTTGGCCATTGACCGCCTCGTTATCATCGTCCTCATCGTATTCCTCCGCCTTCCTCTTCTTACCAGCAGCAGCAGCAGGAGCAGGAGCAGCCTTGACCCCTTCCTTGGCTTGTGTAGGATCCGAGGCTTTGGCGATGGTTTCCGAGGGGATGTTCTTCATCTCCGTATCGCCCTCCTCGTCCTTCTTTGCGGCACCAGCTACTTCGTTCGTGCCGTTCTCTCCCAGTGGCGCAGCGGCTACTGGTTGGCCGGGGTTGGTCGCCGCAGCCTCCTTTGCTTCGTTGACTTTCTTCTCGACCTTTCCCTCGGTAGACTCCTCCTTGGCAGCCTTCTCCACATCCGGAGCCGCCTCCCCGTTAGGCAGAACCGTCCCTGCGCCCGCGGGGTCATCGGCCAAGGCGTTTTCTATATCTTCTATATCGTCCGGCAAGCCGTCACCGGTGGGCACGGCATCCGAGCGAGGGTTCTCGTGAACGAGATCCTGTTCGGGAGCCGGGTCGAAGATGGCGTGGGTCGGGGCGGAGGGGGTGACGGTTTCGAAGCCGTGGAATTCGGAGCCGGCGTGGACGGGCTCTAGAGCCATCTTTGCGGCGACGACTTCGTCTTCGGTGGGGAAGGTCTTGGGTTTCTCGGCATCCTTCTTGTCGTCGGGATGAGCGTCGGTGGCGGGTTTGAGGTTGTCGGTTGCCGCAGTGGGCTTACTTTCGGTGGTGGTAGCGGCTACGTCTGCCATTGAGACGGGAGCGGAGGCCGAGGCGGAGCCGGTGTCGTCTGGTTTGGTGGTGGTGGTGGAGGGAACGGTGGGTTGCTGCTCAACTGTATGATGAACGCCAAGAGGAAGGAGGCTAGGTGTCAGTTTGACTGTAACTATTGTGTTTTGGGGGTTGCTCGGGAGTTTGATCGGTAGTTCGATTGGAATGGGCAATGGGAAATCGGGTGTCGAGGTTGATGTTGTAAAGGTTATTGTTGTCAAGGGCGGATGGCGCGTGGGCGAATCAGAAGAGGAGCGCACAGGGATTCGCCAATGCGCTCCGTGTAACAAGTAGATGGCGCGAAACCGTGTAGTCCCGTCTCTTTGATGACGAATTCGAAGCACCAGTCTAAATCCTAAATCCAATTGTTCTCATACAGAATATTGTGCTCGTGTCGCGAGGGCATCTCCGACTCACCTTTGTTGACTTGGGCGGACATCGTGATGTTGAAGAGGGCGATGACGTAGTTCGGGAGGATACCGCGTAGAGTGGGTGCGCTGTGTGATTTGAGTGGAGGAGGAAAGGCTCGGCGGGTCTAGAATCTGGGGAAATGCGCAGGGGTTCGTTCGACGTTGGGACGGTGATGCTGACGATGGAAGCAATTGCTGATAATGTCGATGATGGAAAGCACGCAAAAACGATGGTTGGTTGTAAAGTTGAAAAATGTCTTGAAAGTCGGATATGGAATTCAGTTGCAGGAGCATGGTCAGGAACAGGAAGATGGACAACATGGAAGGTCCGCGGTGGCTTCCAGGGTTCCCGTTATGGCTGGTGATGTGCACTGATCGACTGCGAGATCCCCCATTCGTTCATTAGAGCTCCTCGGGCTGACGAATCAGATGGCGAGAATAGTCGGAACAATAGGAGGGCCGGGAGCTGGTTATATGTACGAGTTACATACCTCTACCTTTTTGACTGTGTTATGGAGGCATTGATCACCACCACAAACTGGAGAACTGTACCCCTCCCCAGTTGCGGAACGGGAGGACCAGAGGATCAGGCATCAGGACAGGCACTCGTACAAGAAACGAGCCTCATCAACCATGACAAAGTTGAAGCACTTGGCGGCTGAACTTTGACCTTGACGTTCCAAAAATGACCAAGCCATGGCCTCCCCAACAACCTTGAATATACGCGCCGCAGAACAATCGCTCACAATCGTGTTTGACGTGATATTGGGTCGTCTTGCTCGGTGTTCGGTCGATTGTGTATAAGGGACCAAATACTTGGCTCCACCTACCGTGGGAAGCTTTCCCCGCCATGACGTGAGCTCCGAGCTGACACAGCATCTGAGCTCGGGTAATACTCTGACTCAACGCCTAACGCTCTTGAGGCCTTTGTCTGCTTCACCACGAGCTGAACTGAGCTGATCGAGCTGAATACCTTCCAGAAGGCTGGCAATCACACAAAAGGAGATACTGACCTTCCCAAATCTGTTAGGATTCCAAACCGAAGGCAAGCGTATCTCGTGGTCGAGATTCCTTGGCTGCTTTCTAAGGCTGCACACCAAGACCCATCCAGACTCAAGATATCGTGCTTGAGAAAAAAAAAAAGGTTATCAATGGCGTCAGTCAAGGATGCCAATGTGAACCGCTCTTGGTGTTAGTTGAACCGGCAAAAGGGTGAGCGCCAACACTAACATCGACCACCTCTTTCACTTTCAACCTTCCTGATTTCATCATAATTTCCACAACCAGCGACCTCCATAGCTTCATCCCAACCCCGCGATTCCACCTGCCGGCACTCTGACCGTAAATAGTTTCCATCCCATTGCGGCAGCCAAGCACGACGCCAAGATGGGCCAAGATGGGCCAAGATGGGCCAAGATGGGCCAAGATAGGGCCAAGAGAGATTCGCGTCACGTTCTTCGCCACGTGAAGCATTCCGTGGATGAGATCCTCCGCCAGCGCCAAGAGTGCTATCAAAAGGGGGCTGTGTACGTACCTGGTCGGTGCTGGGCGTTCTCGGCCGTCACATTCCTTCGAAATGCGGTTCCACCATGCGCCGCGGCGGCGCATGCATGGACGGCGCCGTCGACCACGGAAACCCCACTCTTGCGTGCCATGTAAACCCTAGTGCTCCGTCCGGCCTTCCAGAACGTCAAGTCGGTCACACCTCCCAAGCCAACGCCGAGCCTTGGTGCCAAGACCGATAACTTCTGAGAACATCTATGCCAAGAGGCTTCGCTTTATCGAATTCCCGCACTTGGAGAACTTGGATACTCCATTGTCTGAGGTTGAGCTCATCGAGATTGCCACTCCCTTCCCACCACTGCAACAGGGTCTTATCAAGCCCAGGCCGAATCTCACTGGAAGAACTGCTCTGCCGCGCCCAAAACCTTCTTGGCCGGGAGCATCAAAGATCTTGGGCGACTGGAATAAACTTCTTGGTGTTTGCTTGGCTGTCGTTATGCCCAGACATGTCGCTGCGAGGTTGACCGGTGGGTGGTTGAAGATGTTGGAAGTTGGTCCCAGCTTGACGGCACTGGGGAGAATCGGCGGAGAAGCAATCATGACGGCGATGCCCGCGTATGTACTTAAGAAAGTCATGTACCCAACTTCCGAATTGACCTGAAAACACCTGTTGATGTACCCCAAATTCCAACTTGGACCCCTCCTCCTCCAAACGAGGCAACACATCTGTGAGCCGTTCTCAGCTCAGACCGTCAACCATTTTGCAATATTGGCGACAACCCAGAGTGCTGTTCCAAACCCGTCAACCCAACTGCCATAATGGCAGAATCCCAATACCCCAAACACCCCTTCCTTCTCTCTGTACCAGAGGTCGAGAAGGCCCTCGACACACGAATCGACAATGGTCTCTCAACGAACCAGGTGCCAAAGCTGCAGGAGCAGTATGGCGACAACGAGTTGGACGTAGGCAATACCATTGCCTGGTATACCATCTTCATCAGACAGCTATGCAATGCCATGGTTTTGGTTCGTACCCCATTCCCCCAAATCCTCCCAGCCATCGTACCGGTAGAGCTCAATACTGACTTCTGAATATATATGCTAGGTCTTGATATTCGCCATGGCTCTGAGCTTTGGTGTCCAGGATTGGGTCGAGGCGGGCGTTCTCGCGGCTGTCATCATCCTCAATGTCGGAATCGGTTTCTGGCAAGAATATCGTGCCGAGAAGAAGATGGACGCCCTTCGCGCCCTCTCCTCCCCCAGTGCTAGCGTACTTCGTGATGGCAAGACATCTGTTATTCCAAAGTAAGTTGCAGACACCCGCCGAAAAGACAACCGAATAGTTTGCTGACCCATGACCGTACCACAGCGCTCAAGTAGTTCCTGGTGATATTGTCCTCCTCAAGATGGGTGACACCGTTCCTGCCGACCTCCGCATCTTCGAGGCCATGAACCTGACCTGCGACGAGTCCTCTTTGACGGGCGAAGCCGAGCCTGTCGAGAAAATTACGACCAACGATATTGTGGTTCCGGGCACCGAGAAGCCAGCACTCTCCGAAGGCGACCTTGGCATCGGTGATCGCATCAACATTGCGTATGCCACCACCATCGTTCGCAAGGGCCGCGGCCGCGGTATCGTTATTGCGACTGGCATGAAGACCGAAGTTGGCAAGATCGCTGCTTCCACGAATAAGAAGCAACGCAAGGCCGGTAGGTCGATGAGCACCAAGCATGGTCACCTCCAGCCGGTCAAGGGCGCTGGCTTGCGTACGTGGGATTTCATCGGCAAGTTCCTCGGTTTGACCGAGGGCACGCCGCTCCAGATCAAGCTGTCCAAGCTTGCGTATATCCTGTTCTTCTGCGCCATCTTGCTGGCCATCATCGTCTTTGCCGTCAACAAGTTCAACATCCCCACCGAAGTCATTCTGTATGCCATTTCCACTGGTATTGCCATCATCCCGGAGTCTCTGGTTGCTGTCTTGACCATGACCATGGTCGTGGCCACTGCTGTTATGAGAAAGGCCAATGTGGTTGTGCGAGATCTCTCTGCTCTCGAGGCCCTAGGAGGCGTTACCAACATTTGCTCCGACAAGACGGGCACGCTAACACAGGGCGCCATGATCGTCAAGAAGGCATGGCTCCCACCGTCCAACGTTTACACCGTCCGCGATTCCACCAACCCCAGCAACCCAACTGAGGGCAAGGTAACTTTCTCTCCGGATGATGGCAAGGCCAAGAAGGAGGAAAAGAAGCGCGATTATGACCAGGAGAGAACCACCCAGGCTATCAAGTTTGATGTACCGGAAAGCGAGAACGAGAAGCCGAAACAGCCCAAGACATCGGAGATCGATGCCGAGGTCACTCCTGAGCTCAGGTTATTCCTTCATGCGACCGCGCTCTGCAACCTTGCCACGGTCCGGTATGACGAAGAAGCTGACGGGTGGAAGACCACCGGAGAACCCACCGAAATTGCCATTCAAGTATTCGCCCACCGGTTTGACCACGGAAAAAAGTCCCTCGAGGCTAAGGGCTGGAAGCAGGTTGCCGAGTTCCCTTTCGACAGCAGCATCAAGCGCATGTCGGTCGTCTACAACGCGCCCAAGGACAACGAGCTCGAGTATTCTTCCGAGAACAGCATTGTTTTCACCAAGGGTGCCGTTGAGCGTGTCCTGGATTTGTGCTCCCACATTGGAACCGGCGACGCCCAGCAGCCCATGTCCGAAGATGTTAGGGATCGCATTCTGGACCAGATGACTGACTTTGCCTCCCAAGGCCAGCGTGTCCTTGCTGTGGCGTACAAGCCGTGGGATGGACAGTACTCTGCTCCGGAGGAAGCCAACAAAGGCGATGATTCCGTCCGTGCTCAAGTTGAGAAAAACCTGGTACTGCTTGGTCTGGTCGGCATCTACGACCCGCCTCGCCGTGAGACGACTGGTTCCATTCACACCTGCGCCGAAGCTGGTATCAAGGTTCACATGCTCACAGGAGACCACCCGGAAACCGCCAAAGCCATCGCTAGGGAAATTGGCATCATTCCTCGCAACCTTGGTGTGCTGCCGGCGGGCGTGGCTGAGAGTGCCGTCATGAAAGCCACCGATTTCGACAAGCTGTCAGACGAAGAGATCGACAACTTGCAAGAGCTCCCCCTGGTTATTGCCCGTTGCGCCCCTGAGACCAAGACGAAAATGATCGAGGCCCTGAGACGAAGGGGGGCTTTCATGGCCATGACTGGTGACGGCGTTAACGATGCGCCATCGCTCAGCAGAGCGGACGTTGGTATCGCCATGGGATCTGGTTCGGATGTCGCCAAGTCGGCGGCCAAGATCGTGCTGACTGATGACAAGTTCAACAGTATCGTTGCCGCTATCCAGGAGGGTCGCCGCATGTTTGAGAACATCCAGAAGTTCATCCTCCACTTGTTGAGCAGCAACGTCGGCGAAGTCATCTTGCTCATTGCCGGTCTCGGGTTCCGCGACCAGGACGGATTCTCCGTCTTCCCCATCTCGCCTCTTGCCATTCTGTGGATTAACATGGTTACCTCGTCCTTCCCGGCCTTCGGCTTGAGCAAAGAGCCCGCTTCCCAGGAAGTGATGAGGAAGCCCCCGCACGACCGCAAGAGGGGTGTGTTCTCGAACCAGATCCTGTGGGACATGATCGTGTACGGCATTCTTATGGGGACCTGCACGCTCATGACCTTCGTCATAGTCGTCTACGGCAAGTACGGCGGAGATCTGGGCAAGGACTGCAACCGCAAGTACAGCGAATCGTGCATCCCCGTGTTCCGGGCCCGAGCCGCCGTGTTTGCGCTGCTGACCTGGTTGATCCTGCTCAGCGCCTGGGAGTTCAAGAGCATTCGCCGGAGCATGTTCCGTCTCAACTCGGACAACCACAAGAAGTTCGCCGTGTTCCACGACCTCTGGTCCAACAATTTTTTGTTTTGGGCCGTCCTCATCGGCCTCATCAGCGTGTTTCCCACCGTCTACATCCCCGGCCTGAACAGGAACGTGTTCAAACACACCAACATCAGCTGGGAGTGGGGCGTCATCATCGGCATGTCTATCGTGTATGTTGTGGGTATCGAGTGCTGGAAGGCCATCAAGCGCCACACGGGCATCCTGGATGACCACAAGGTGCCCAAGAGCGCGTGGAGCCAGGGTGATGATGGTGGGAGGAGAGAGCGAACCATGAGCTTCTCACTTTCTAGGAGCTTTGGGAGGACCAAGAGCTTCTTGGCCAGGACCATGACCAGCTCGACGGCAGGAAACCCTGCTGCTGATGATCGACAGGCCTAAAGGGCGCATGTTGATGTCTTTGACGTTGTTGTCTTGATTTTGAGTTTTGTTTTGTTGTTGTCGTTATGTTTGCGACAGATACCCGGCCTCGGCTCGACTTGCGAGCACCTGGCTAACGAGTGGATGCCTGATGTTGGGTCTGATATTGCCCGTGGTGGTTGGATATTGTTATGGCCCTTTTTTTTTTTTTTTTTTTTTTTTTTTTTTTTTGGATAGTTCGATGTTGACGAAGATGAGGGATGCCATAAACGAGTGTACGATTTATTTTCTTGTCATGTGTTCCAGCGTTGATACCACGACATTCTGTGCCTTATTGTTCCGAGTGTTGTTTTCTGTATATAACGAAGAGGTAGTGAAGTCAGAACACTTTATGTAGCGTAGTTGGAAATGAACGAGTCGTCAAGAACATGAAACTTGCCTCGTTGTTGTCTTCTTGATATCGTCCAGTGGTGTGACGAGTACTTCATCTATGCTCGTCTCTTGGTGGTGTTTCTCCTCCAGCAAAAAAAAGGGGGGGCCGTTGAGACGTTGGGAGCTTATCGATAAGGGAATCAGCGTCACCTCAGGGGTAGATTTCAGTGCGGCCCTGGCCCTGGCAGGCATTAATTACAGGGCAGGCACCACGTAGCCTAGCGCTTCCCCAGCGTAACAGTGACCGGGTCCCCTGAGCCAGCCCGCGTAAAGGACACCTCGAACCTCCACTGACGCGAGCATCATCCATCATCGAGACATCGACACCCCTTCCTTCCATATCACGACAATTCAATTCCATCCACTCCTTCGTCGACAGCCGCTCGTTTCTCCAAATTCGATAATTCCGTAATAATCACTCACCATGGCTCCCACCAAGACCACCGGCAAGGATGTGTACTCGGTCATCCTGCCGACCTTCAATGAGCGCCAGAACCTCCCCATCATCACCTGGCTGCTCAACCGCACCTTTACCGAGCAGTATGTCACTTGTCTACCAATTGGCGTCAATGTAGTCTACTAACTTGCCTTCCGCCAGAAACATCGACTGGGAGCTCGTAATCGTCGACGACGGCTCCCCCGACGGCACCCAAGATGTCGCCGCCCAGCTCGTCAAGCTCTACGCTCCCCACGTGCAACTGCAGACCCGCACAGGCAAGCTCGGCCTCGGCACCGCCTACGTCCACGGCCTCCAGTTCGCCAAGGGCAACTACATCATCATCATGGACGCCGACTTCAGCCACCACCCCAAGTTCATCCCCCAGATGATCGCCAAGCAGAAGGCCGGCAACTACGACATTGTCACGGGCACCCGCTACGCCGGCGACGGCGGCGTCTATGGCTGGGACCTCAAGCGCAAGCTCACCTCCAAGGGCGCCAACATCTTTGCCGATACCGTGCTCCGTCCCGGCGTGAGCGACTTGACCGGATCGTTCCGGTTGTACAAGAGAGATGTGCTGGAGAAGCTGTTCCAGAGCACGGATATCCGTGGTTTCACCATGCAGATGGCTCTGGCTGTTACGGCAAAGTCCCAGGGCTTCTCGATTGCCGAGGTGCCCATCTCTTTTGTCGACAGAGTTTATGGCGACAGCAAGCTTGGTGGCGAGGAGATTGTGGAATACGCCAAGGGCGTCCTGCAGCTTTGGTGGTCCACGTAAACAGGACAAGGAGTGCGTCAACAACACAAGCAAAGGAAGCTACAAGATATATAAAAGCTAATGGTTGGGCTGGGCCGATGTACAAGTAAGGTTGGGATCTGGGTTGCATGGCGTTTTCGTTCTCGTTCCGCGTTACATATCTTTCTGGGGGGTTCACTAATTGACTGATGATAACGTCGAGTTTTGGTCATGAATCATTTGGATATCTCGCTTTACGCTACAACATAACAACAGCCTCAAACGCTCAGCAATTCCTGCCGCCCGTCACGCTAATAGTCTGTCCAGAGATGTACGAGCTCAGAGGTGAAGCAATGGCAAGCACAGCACTGGCAGCCTCAGTTGCTGAACCGGGCCTCCTCATGGGGATATCCGCAAAGGGGACCGGTTCGCCAGTCTTCTGAGCGTTCTGCTTCTGAGGAATACCCAAAGCAACCTTTTGACCATCAACCTCGATAAACGCACCAGCCTCCTTGTTGGCAGTCAACCGGGTCTCGATGTGTCCGAAAGCAATGGTGTTCGCCCTGACACCGAAGGCCGGACCCCATTCCTTGGCTATCGTCTTGCTGAGGCCGACCACGCCGGCCTTGGCCATGGCGTAGTTGAGCTGGCCGGCGTTGCCGTGCAGACCAGAGGTAGAAGAGATGTTGATGATGTTGCGTGGCTCGCCGTCCTTGACGCGGAAGAAGGGGGCGGCTTCGCGAATGAGCTTGAAGGGGGCCGTGCCGTGGAGGGCGATGATGGTTTCCCATTGCTTGTCGGTCATCTTTTGTTTGTACCCGTTAGCATGAACAACTCCTTTTCCCCCCAATAAGAGATCTTGTCCTACCTTGTGAATGACAGCATCCCACGTGAAACCGGCATTGTTCACGATAATGTGAATCTTGCCATTGCCAAACTCGGCAGCCTTCTTCACCAGCTCCTTGATATAGTCGTCCTTGAGAAGGTCACCGGGGACAGAGATGGCCTTGCCTCCGTTGGCATTGATCTTGTCCACAGTAGCTTGGGCTTTGGCGGCGTCGATGTCAGAGACAACAACCTTGGCTCCTTCGTTGGCGAAGAGTCTGGCACACTCGGCTCCGATACCTTGGGCGGCACCGGTGATGATGGCTACCTGGCCGGCGAGGAGGCCTTGTGGGTAGTTGAGGTGGCTGGCGATTTGCTTTATCCTGTCGGCCATGGTGATGGTTGTGTATAGTTCTCTGGTGGAGTTATGCTAGGATCACCATTGATATGTACTCCAACACCTTCAACAAGGGATAGAACCAAGAAGCCGAGGTACCCCATACCCCGCATATTTGATCTGAAGGTTGCAGATGTCATCCCATCGGCGCTTAACCCTTCCCATCTTGTGGTTCTCTTTCAGATGGAGATATTGGACATTGACTTTTTCCTCTTTTTTCTGAAATGCTTGACGTCTTGAATACCACACAGTTTTCTCTCAAAATGAACTGTCAACTTCCACCGAAACTTTTGTTGTTTAATAGGGATATCAATGGATAAACAAACATGACCGGATCACGGCAGTTGTTGCCCTGGCAATGTTTCTCCAGGCCATCAGGGTGTCAAGGCACGACCTGGCACGCAACAGCAACCCTGCCACAGCGTGGAGAAGCCGCCGTGCTGCCCCGCAACCCACTGCGGGAGCGACTCCATCCGATTGACAGTGACACAATCCGCGATCCTGGGGGGTGGGCAACCGTGACTGGATTTAGCTCCCAACATCCAAAGTCAACAAAAACACCACACAACACACCAACAGAGATGCAGAGAAACAAGACCGGCAGAACGCCCTCAGGGCACCAGTTCTCACGGCTGAAGCCCGCCGAGATCGATCCTTTGGCCGAATATGGCCTCCCCTCTAAGGGAGAGAAGAGGTGATGTTCTACTCTTAACTCTAGCTTACCTAGCTCTCACGAAAGCACGCCCGCTGACATCATCAACACCAAACCAAACAGACTCCTAAACCACAAAACCCAAGAAGCCTACTACTCCAAGATCGCCGAGCGCTACCTCGCCTTCTGCACCGACGCCGGCGACCGCGACTCTCTCCAAAGGCAATTCTCCCGTCTAGCCCTCGGCGACAGCACCAACACCAACACCAACACCTCAACACCGCTCCTCCCAGCCGGCTCGACATCAACACCGCCATCCTCCTCGCACTCCCACGACTCTCCAACACCACGACTCCCCCCACCCTCGGACCTCTCCCAAATCCTCTCCGCCCTCCGCAAGCTCCGCGAAGCCCTCGTCGCCTCCTCGCGTCTCGACGACTTCACCACACAAGTTTACCTCTTCGCCGTGCGCTTGGGGATTCTCTCCTCCTCCTTCGAGACCTACCTCCCCTCTTTACTCTACCTCCTCCGCGTCATCCACCGCTCCCCCACGCACCCCCTGACCTCGGTCGAATACCACGAAGTCGTCTCGTATCTTGTGTTGGACACAGCCTGTCGCCGCGGCGACCTGGCCGAGGCTTATGCGCTGAGGAATCGGTATAAACTGAAGGACCCAAAAGTGGATGCTACGCTCAAGGCGCTGGTGATGGATGACTGGGTCAGTTGGAGACGGACGAAGAGGAGCGTGGATGGGTACAGAGTTAGGTTGATGGAGTTTGCGGAGCCGGGGGTTAGGGGACATGTCCTGAAAGCGTTTGGGAGGGCGTATTTGAGTGTGGGGGTGGAGTATTTGGAGGAGGTGATGGGGATGAAGTGGGAGGACATGGTGGAGAGGTTTGGGGTCGGGTGGGAGTTGAACAATGGAAGGGTGGTGATTAGGAAGATTGGGGGGAGGACGCAGTGAGTGAGTGGGAGGCAGTTTGGGTGGGTGGCAGTTGAAGTAATGGGAGGGTTGTGATAAGGGGGATTAAGGCCAGGCAGGACACAAACGGGTGTGAAGCGGTGGGTGGTGAGAGTCCGAGGATGGATAAGAAGTGGACGGCTTGGGAGAGGTGAGGAGTTGGCGAGCGTGCTTTGTTTATGGTGCGATACATTTACCGGATACCCCTTTTTCCTTGCTATTTCGTCAGAGGTTTTGTACAAGTCGAGGTGCTGGGTTGTTGGTTGTGCGACTGCACTGAGCTCCTGGTGTATTCTTGTTGCCAGTTACCACTGCTTTCTTCATATCAGTTGCCGTCTTCACAAACATCGTATAACGGTACGTAATAAAAGTTGCTGTGGTATTATCATTCCATTATATCGTATCCTGTTCTCATACATATCCAAGGTCCGTCACCCCATCATGGCCATTAAATATTACGTATCCAACCATATTCACCCCTTAAAGAAGGGCAACGGCAGCCATGAGGCCACCAATGGCACCAAGACCGGCAGCGGCAGTCTGCCTGGGGCCGGGGTTGCTGCTGTGGGTACTGCTAGCCGCGCTGCTGGCAGCGCTCTTAATGCTGCTGGCGGCCGAGGACACGGCAGCGCTGTTGGAACCAGTGACGGTAGTGGCAGCAGCGGTACCGGTACCGGTGGTGACGACGACGGCGGTGGCGGTAGAGGAAGCGCTGCCGGTAGAGGTGGTGGCAGCGGCGGTCGCGCAGGTGGCCTTGGTAGGGAAGTTCGTGGCACCGTTGTTCTTGCAGAACTGTTTGTGGAAGTTGAGGGTTAGAAGCTGATCTAATGCGAGAGGAGAAGAGGACCGCATTAACGAGGTGTAAACTTACAGTGACAGCGAAACTGGCGGCAGCATCGATCTGGTCAGGCGAGCACGTCTTAATGAGACAGCATTGGATGTCCTTGATGAAGGTCTCGTCCGTGCAGATGCACTTGGGGTCGCGACCGCAGTTACCGATGCCGTTGGTGAGGTAGGGTGTGGCACATTCGGTCTGTTTATGGGTTGTCAATATTGTTAATTCCACTCTTCACTTCAACGGGGTACGATTACAGAGTATGGAAGGCGACCAAGGTGAATGGAAACTTACAGCGCAACTGGGGAGGTTACCAAGGTCCTGGGCAGCAGCGAAGCTGGCGAAAGCGAGGGAGAAGAGGGCAGCGGTGACCTTCATGTTTGCGGTGTTTGTGATGATGGTTTTGGTGGTTGGATGGGATGTTATTGAACGGAGGAGACAGAGGAGGATAAAACACAAGAGAGACAATACAACACGAACGGGAATGGGGATTCAAGTCATATAAAGATCCGGTGTCATTCTCCCCCAATTGGCGATGCCCATTGAAGGGACGGACACCAATCAAGGAACGCCCCCAGAGTGACAGCGGCGGCCGCGGGCCCCTGGCAGCTCGCCTGGCCACTCGATCCAAGCCAAGATGGAGGTACCTGACCGTAGTGGTACATGGTGGTAGACTAGTGGAAACCAATGAGAAGCTGAGGTTGAGCTAGGCAACGTGGTGAGAAACCGGACTGACGCTAAGCCATTGTGTTGAAACACTCCCTTTTTTTCACTTTGATCAGATGCTTGGGTGGAATAGAAATGTATTTGTATATTTACCCGCCCCTTCAACTTTGTAGAACGAAGAACGTGAACCGTGTTACCTAGAAACCATAATTGCGTATATCCGATGGTGTTGATGGAAAACAGGACCCAAAGGAAAACGAACCATGGAATGACGGTGACCAATAGAGCTGCTGATCGGGCCCGGAGTTACTCTCTCGAATGTCTCACCATGTAGGGATCTTTGACACCTGGAATCCGATCTTCGGTACCTGAGCTTGGCTGACCGACCGTCTGACTAGTGGCGGGCCCGTTTCTTTTCAAACCGCAAGAATTGCAACTATCCTCAACTATCGTTCAGCCACAGCGCATTTATTATATGAACTACATGTGGGAAAACTTATAAGCTTCCACCGTGTCGGGTTATGCCCTGTTCACGATCGCCAAAATGATGGACACCGACTCCGCTACAGCGCCAATAGAACGGTGGAGAGAGTCCACTAACTGAGTCCAGCTTTCAGGGGCTCCATGGTTCCGGGGTTCAATGCAGTCCCCAGATTCTTTTTCGCGGGTTGCTGATCATCCAGGGCTGAATCGATAGCGTATGTTGAGAAACCGCAAGTCGGTCAAGATGGCGGTGGTTTCACTTGAATGTCAAGCAAGAAGAAATGCCATGGATATTTACAAAGCGAACATAACTGGAGAAGAGCGGTACAGTAGAAACCCCTGCAACTGCATCCTCCAGAAACTGCATATACACCAAAATATGCCCTCTAACTGCATCCCCACGCGTGGTCACAAAATCCCTGTCTCTCACCAAAAGTCAGCTCCCTATTCTGCATATATGCTAGTTAGTGCATGAGTTTTGGAGGGCCCCCATAGTGCCTGAATTACACGCAGTTTCATGGGATTCTACTGTATCTCAACAAGTAAGACCAAAATCATCAGATCCGGCACTCTCGTGAGATTTTGGTGGCTGACATCTGCGGCACTTTTCCCGCCAAGACACAAAGACACTCGGTGATATTGGCCGGTAAGCTCCGAGCAGGCGTGTGAATAGCCCTGGAAAAGGGAACCTTGGGTTTCAGCAGCTAGCTGGAAGACCAGTCAGAGACAGTTCCCGTCTCCTCGAAATTTCCACTTGCTTACATGCAAGTAGACAAGGCCTCGTCGACATCATTGTTGTGTTTTCTTGCCGTCATCATAGCTCCAGTTTGACGACCTTGACGGCACGAGCCACGCACCCAGCAGGGAGTCTGTCTTGGTCGGGATGCCACTCACGCTTTGAAAGCTTCTCGAGCTCTTTATCTCACTTAATCCACACCCGGAATCATACCGAGGCGCAAGATGGGTTTGGGAATTCTCGAGGATCGAGTCCTCGAACATGTCCCTGGTGTGTGAAGATATTCATGGTTCCCAAGCCTTCAACAACTCAAACAAACTGTGTGCTAACCAACCTACCTACCAGGCACAACACAATACTTCGATGACCCAGAGAGACCACAATATGCCACCGACGGCACTCATGAACACCTCAAGTGCGACCGAAGCGGCCCAGTGCCCATCGTCCTCGTCCCTCAACCAACAGATGACCCAAACGATCCTTTGAACTGGCCGCTCTGGCGTCGCGACCTCATCACCCTCGTCCTCTCCATCACTTCAGTCTTCGCCACCGCTTTGGGTCCCATCCTCGCTGCCGACACCGTTCTGCTGGTTAGCACCCTCAAAGACGTCACATTCGTCAAGGCTTCCCTCCTGACTGGTTACTTCCTCCTCGGTTGCGGCGCAGGTGCCTTCCTGTTTGTCCCATCCAGTCGCATATGGGGCAAAAGACACTTGTTTGTCCTGGCCACGATCCTTTTGATTGTCACCAGCGTGTGGACAGCTGCTTCGGGCAGTAAAAGCTATACGAACTTCCTATGGTCGAGGATCATCCAGGGCGTTGCGGCCGCCCCCTTCGAGTCCCTCGTCAACGCGGCCGTTGGCGACCTGTACTTCGTCCATGAGCGCGGCAAGCGCATGGCCTTCACTAATCTGGCTGTCTTTGGAGGTGCCTTTTTTACACCCATTCTTGTCGGCAAGATCAGCAATGACATGGGGTGGCAATGGACTTTCTACTTCGTCGCCATCTTCTCTGGCGTGTGTCTCCCGGCTGTTTACTTGTTCTGTCCGGAGACCGCCTACCGTCGTGACCCGACACCACGCTTCTCGGCAACGAAGAACGGCGACGCCCCCAAAGATGGTGTTGACCAAGAGCAGGAACCCAAACAAGCTCCACCCCCATATCAACAAACCGCCAGCACAAGCACCTCCAGCACCGCTCCCGAAGAACCCACCGCCACCAAGGACGAAGAACAAATCCACACCTCATCAGAAGCCCCCATCGACACCACCGGCACTCACACCACCATCCCACCAAAAGCCACATTCCTTCAATCCCTCGCCCTCTTCAACGGCCGCAAATCCTCCGACTCCTTCTGGAAACTCACCCTCCGCCCTCTCCCCCTCCTCCTGCACCCCGCCTTCCTCTGGGCCTGCCTGATCCAAGGCCTTCTAATCGGATGGACCGTCTTCATCGGCGTGCTCATGGCCTTCTTCTTCATCTCCGTTCCCCTCTGGTGGGACGAAGTACAGACGGGGTACGCCTACACCGGTGCCTTTGTCGGCGCGCTGATCGGGTTCGCTATCGCTGGTGGGTTGTCGGATTGGACGGCGCGGTTGATGACCAAGTGGAATGGGGGTGTTTATGAGCCCGAGTTTAGGTTGGTGTTGGTTATCCCCCAGATGGTGCTGGGGTGTGCGGGACTGTATGGGTTTGGGATTACGTTGGATGGCATGTTGTTTGGCAAGTATCATTATGCGGTGCCGTTGACTTTCTTTGGACTGGAGGTTGCCGGGATGGTGATTGGAGCGGTGGCGGGGAGTCTTTATATTGTTGATGCTTATCGTGAGTTGTTCCATGTCCTTGGAAAGAAGTTGGTGGCCGCCCGGGGGCGTTGAAGACTGATTGCTGACTTAACTTTTTTGAAAACAGGTGATGTTGTGATCGAAGGGTTTACGGCCATGATCATCTTCAAGAACTTCTTCAGCTTTGCGTTGACGTTTAAGGCCTGGCCTTGGCTTATCCAGAGCAGTGTTAAGGCTGAGAAGATCTTTAATGCCTTGGGGAGTGTGCAGCTTGTTGTTTGCTTGCTTACTATTCCGCTGTGTAAGTTGATCGACCAAGTTGAGAAAATGGATGGACTACTTACTGACAACTTGATGTCCAGATATCTACGGAAAGCGCATGCGCAGCTTCTCCTATCGCCACGACATTCTGGAGCTTCTCCATTTGCGATAGCCGGCTGGCGGCACCATTATTATTAGTACACGATTTAATCTCTAATATGATACCCTCGTTTTTGTTCTGTACGAAGTTATGGGAGAGAAGATGTGAAGAGGTTGCTCATGATGGTTCTTGGATATGAGACGCTGGTATGAATCAAATACACAATCACCATATCTCTTACGTCCATCACCGTCATGTGAAAACGTCATCGTGATTCTGTTTCAAGCGGGTATCTGCTTTTCACTCGCTATAACATCCCCTTTTCTCGCTATCATACTCATAACAACATGTCATGTCATCATATCAATGTCAACATTAACATCAACTACCATTCCCCTCAACCCCTTTGACTTAAACCTTCTGAACAGACGAAGTATCGGAAACGCTAGTTCCCTTAGTAGCCGGCACCTGCATAACTTCACCGGTACCCTGCTTTCTCCTCTTAGTCAACCTCAAACCACCAAAACCCAGAATCAAAGCCTGCAGACCAAGCACAACACCCAGGGTAACCATAGCGCCAATGACACCAGCAACAGCATTGCTCATGCCACCCTTCTTGGCCTCACTCACGCTCGCACTCCCCTCAGGGAAGTAAGCAGCGCATTGCCCCGTCGTCTCCCCACAAGCATCACACCACTCCTTACTTCCTCCCTCGAGCGCAATCTTGTTCATCTCGCTGACAAAGGTCGTCCACGGCAACTCCGTCTTGTCCTGGCCGAACAAGGGGTAGGCCTTGGCGGGGTTGCTATCGGAGGCAGTGCCGTTGGCGAACAAGAAACGGACAAAGACCTCGTCTGCCGAAGGGGTAGGAGAACCAGAAGTGGTGAATAGCTCAAAAGTCATGGAGCTGGCGTAGTCGACGATGGCGGTGAAGTCCTGCGACACGGCAGGGAGCTGGGAGAGGCCGAAGAAGGAGGTGAAAGTGCCGTAGGGACCGAATTGGATGTTGAGCTTTTGGGAAGAAGAAGGAGAAGAGATGGAGGAGTTGAGGGTGGAGACGATGTGCGAGGCCAGGACGGAGCCGACGACGGCGCGGATGGGCGAGGAGGCGTTGTAGGCGAGGCCGAACTCGTGGATGTTGGCGAGGTCGGAGAGGGTTTGGAGGGTGGAAGGGGTGAGGAGGTTGGAGGAGGGGATGGTGGCGTTGTGGATGGTGGAGACGTGGACGTAGTCGAAGACTGTTTTGACGGTTAGCTACAGGCGAATGGGCTGAGGGGAGGAGTATAAGGGATACGTACTGCTGTAAGCGTTCTTGAAGGTGGCATTCGCGCTGGGGAAGGTCGACTCATAAACGGGCAACAAGTTCTGGTAGAACTCCTTGGTGCTCCCCAGAAGCTCGAGGTACTCCTTGCTCTGGAAGTACGCCTGACTGCTGTTCACGGCAGCCGGGCACCCGCTGTTTCCCTGCAACCAGGCACTAGACTCGGCCTGGGTGGTGGTCCCCGCCGCCGCAGTGTTGACGGGAATGTACTGGTATCCGCTCAGAGGAGCCTCGATGGTGGTGCCATTGGCAAGCTTCTGAGAGTTGACAGAGCCAGCGGGAGGGTACAAGCCCTGGAGGAAGTTGCCTGCGCTACCCTGGAGAACATTGTCGACGGGGGCAGTGACGGAGAGCTGAGTGAGATCGGCGAGGTCGGAGGAGATGCCGTTGATGCGGGTGGAGGACTTCTCGTCGATGTAGCGGGAGCGGTACCAGGAGCCGGAGAGGTAGACTTGCTCAGCACCGAGAGCAGTGAGCTTCGTTGGGGAGTAGGCCTTGGTGGTGCGGTCACCGTGACGGCTGAAGATGTAGGCACCGAGGATAGTCTCGGCAGCCGTAGCCGCGGGGATGGAGGCGAGGAGAAGAGCTTTGGTGTGCATGGTGACTGACGGGTGGTACTATACCGAATTACCGAGATGTGATGACCAAGGCGATGGACAAGACCTCCAGTGACAGGCTTCTTTTGTGAAAGAAGCTTGAGCAAGAAGAGAGAAACTGTTTCTCAAAGCCAAGGGCAGAAGAGTTTTATTTAAACCTAGCCTGGACTTCAAATCGTATGATAAGAAAGAGAAACTATCACGCCCGAGCACGCCGTTGCCCCTCATGTTCAACCACTGATCGACATGGTGGGAAGGAAAAACAGCATGGCAAGCATGGCCAACCCCACTTGGAAAGCTTGTTTTTGGGCATCGAACACGGATTTGACTTCTTTCTTTGTAAAGTGCCAGTGGACTGGACCAGAGAGAGTGGACAGCAGGTGCCACTGAGGAGTCTGGAGATGCAGGTGTTGAGGTTGGCAGGGGGTGGCCATTGGCCAAGGATAGAGCACTTCCTCGGGGGATTCTGTGTGCCTCCGTTGGAGTTATCGTGTTGTGATACGACCTTGAAAGCTGACTAGCTCGGGATATTTGTGGTGATGTACAGAGTGATGAATCATCACTTTGAGGGAAATTGAGAGAAACAGGTATAAAATACCAGATTACCGCGGAGAAACGATTCATCTGTAGTCAAGATATAAGCAGATCTGGAAGAACATAAACAAAAGACACTCAACAACATCCACATCATATCTGAACCGCAAATGTGAAATTCCATCAGATAAGCCCTATAAATTTGTCAAGGGCCCTGACTAACGGGTATTCTTCAGTGGTGGGGTATCTGATCGGGCTCCCGGCTCGCCCTCTTGAGATTTTTAGTGACCAGGGAATCGCCGCCCCCGGACTGCCGGCAGCGGAGATAACACTATCAGGTCCCGGTGTGGATCACGAACCTGGCTCGACCCGGGGACACATGGAACTCGCACCTCACAGTCTCGACCGATATCCGTCTTTGTAGCTGCTCATGGTTTGTCTGGAAACACTCTTCAAGAATCTTTGTTTGATTTGCCTGATATTTGCCTGAAAAAGCACCGAATTCGTGAACAGTAGCTGAGAAATATGCAATCATTTAGCACGCCTGCTCCGACCCAAACGCCTTGCATGGCCCGATGGTATCACAAACGCTCCGGTGTGACAAACTGATAACACTTTTGGAATCCTATGTTTTAGAGCTTGGACTTGGGCTTTCTTCCGTCCTTCAGGTTCTTGCTGATCTGGCCAGCAAGCAGGAAGTCGGGATACTCCATGCCTTCGTCAATGCCAATGTTGTTTCCTCCCTGTCGCCTCCAGCCAGCGCCATCAACGACGAGAGTGGTACCGTTGACGTAGTTGCCGGCATCACTGAATAGGTAAACGGTAGCGTCGGCAATGTCACGGCGGCTTCCCCATCTGCCGCTGGGAACGGCCTTGGTCATCTTCTGCTTATCGACAGCGCTGCTGGCGAGACGCTCCATACCCTCGGTGCCCTCGATAGCACCGGGAGCAATCACGTTGGCAGTAATACCGTAGGGGCCGTATTCGAGAGAGACGCTGGCCATGAGGGAATCCACGGCGGCCTTGGCAGCGGCCACATGGGCCTGCAGGGGCATGCCTGTGTAGTGGAAGGTAGCGGAGATCGAGATGATACGACCGCCAGTGAGACCATTGGGGTTGGGGTTCGGGTTCCTGGCAGCGGACTCAATGAGGTAAGGGATAGTGGCCTTGACGGTGTTGAAAGTACCAATGGTGTCGATGTCGATGACAGTCTTGAAGGCGTTGGGGCTCAAACCGGCGATGGGAGCAATGAAGTTTCCAGCAGCACCAGCGACGACAAAGTCGATGGCTCCCAGCTCCTTGACGCAACGCTCAGCGGCCGCCTTGAGGTTGTCGAACTGTGAAATTGGTCAGCGAGACTTGTTCAACCATGATTCATCCAAGCAACAACACTCACGTTCCTGACATCAACATTGCCAATGCCAATGACACGAGCTCCAGAGCGGACCTTGGCAATGTCTTTGGCAGCCTTCTCCGTCTTCTCCGGGTTGCGACCAATGATGCACGCATCAGCTCCCAAATAGACCATGGCGCGAGTTTGCGCACTGCAGATGGTACCGGCACCACCGGTGATGAAGAGCACCCGGTTGGCTGTGACCATGATTGTTAGCTATACTGTCTTCTCCGCACGAATTCATCCGGGACTTACCAAAGATGCCGGGCGCCCATACGGAGCTGAGATATTCTGATTTGGGGACACTCATGTTGGCTGATATTGACCGATGGAAGATGCAGTCACTAACAATTATTTGTTGTGATGTTGCTGATGGAAACAGGCAAGCAACCGAGATGGAAACAGATGGAGTATATAAGACAACCAAAATATCGAGATCCGATGCCAAGAGGACCTTCAACACCACGTCAACTGTTTCATTCGTTCCTTTGGCGAGTGCGAACTAGTGCATGGGGTCGGGGCGGGTGTTAGAGAAGCCCGGGATCTCCATCTTCGCCCCGTCCATGGTGGTGGACTCGATGGTGGTCACTCGGCAGTGTCAGAGGTACCTCGGCTAAGACCCACCTTCTCCAGACCGGCCCAGCCTTGCGGTCCCCCACCCCCCGCCGCGCTGTCTGTTTAGCGACCACACTGTGCGTCGCCCAGCAAAGTTCGGATGGTCTGCCGTTAGCGGATCGCATTTTGCCCCACTATAACATTCATCAACGCCTTCTTTTTTTGTCCAGCCTCGTCTTCTTTGATTCACGATATCTTCAACCTAACAGCCAGACGAAAATCATTGTACGAACCTGCACGTCCGAATTTTCGACGCGACTATAAACAAACCCCGAAAACAATCAACAACCGACCCTTTACTTCTCCCTCGACAACAATCCATCACCACCCTGTTGGTCATCCCACTTTCTCGTTTTCTCTGCGCATCCGAACCGCATCTACATAGGTTTGCGAAACATCACTGCGCACCTCACCTCACTCTCTCATTTCTTTGTCTAAACATACCACATCACCATTTGCCCACCATGGACACGGCAACTGACGTACCAAAGAAAAGGAGAGCGCTGCCCTTCAAGCGCACCGTTGCACGCACACCAGTCAACGAGCCACCCCCAAGCCATGCGCCAGAGAACAATTCTGACGAAGATGACCCTCTCGCCTTCTTTCGGCGATCCAAGGACGTCTTCCCAATGGTCCTGGAGGATCTGCAGCGGGCATCATCAGAAGAAAAGGTGAAGCCTTCCGAGTCGCCAAAGGAAGGACATGTCAACAAGAAAAGGAGGGTGTCGTCCAATGCCGAAGGTGACAATGAAGCACCTATCGGCGCCAGCTCTTCCAGCGTATCAGCACCAAGCAGAACGTCTGCATCGCGCGTTGACTCGGACGATGATGACTTGATTATGGACGTCAAGGGCAAAGGCAAAGAGATCGTACGACCCGACAAAGCCCGAGTACCGACTCCAAGAAAGCCGCTTTCAACCACACCACGAAAGTTGGGGACACCATCCAAGAAACGTTTCGCCTTTAGCGACGACGAAGACGACCACGGAAAGGATGACCTCTACTCCCCGCACTCCAAGCGTCGCAACCCCGACCGCTTCTCTTCAAAACCCACCGCGCTCGGCCGCAGCACCCGGGCCACTCAGCGCGGCAGCTCGCCGTTGGAAGGCTTCGAGACATCCTTCAACCTCCCCGGCGCCTCCTCCACATCCAAGCGGAGACCCTTCCAATCCGCCGCCCTCGACTCCGACAACGACTCGGACCTCGAAGTCTCCGAAGTCCGTCCCAAGAAGCGCTCCGCTTCTTTTTCATCCTCCCCACCACCAGCATCATCCGCAGCCGACCCAGATAATGAAGCCGCCACCGTCGCCGATAAGGCCGACGACGACGATGACTTCGCCAAATGGGTCACCAAAGCCGCCGCGCTAGAAGCCGACCAGGCCAACTGGACAATCGACGTTCTAGTCACTTCCCGAATGCCGCACACCAAGCCGCTTACTGCGCGGCGACGGATGAAGCAGGGCCTGAAGCTGATCCTAGACACGTGGATCCGACAGCAGGTGATCAACGGTTGCGAAATCCCAGAAGAGATATTGGGCAAGCTGTTCTTGACGTTTAAAGGGAACCGAATTTACAGCAACAGCACCATAGCTTCGCTGGGCGTCAAAGTGGATGCGAATGGCGTTTTGCAGCTGCCTCCTGGGGCCATGACTAGTAGAGAGGCTATGGATGGATATGTCATCCAGGGGAGGAATCCCGGGCTCGTGCTGGAGGTTTGGCACGAGGAGTTTTACGAGGAGGAACTTGCAAAGGAGAAGAGGCGGAGGGAGAGGGAGTTGGGGCTGATTGATGATGATGAGGAGGAAGATCAGCAAAGCGGAACTGGTGCGTCTGGTGCCAATGGGATGTCGCGAGGTGGAAGCGAGGCTGCTGAAGTCAAAAAGACCAAGATTAGGGTGGTTCTCAAGGCGAAGGACTTGCAGCCGCTCAAGATTGCGGTCTATGAGGACACGCCGGTGGGTACCATGGTGCAAGTTTTCCGGAAGCAGAGAGATATTAAGCCGGAGCAGACTGTTGTGATACAGTTTGATGGCGAGGAACTGAGGGAGAACATGCTCGTTGGAGCGATGGATATTGAGAGGGACGAGACCAACCAGTTCGAGGTCTACATCAAGTGATATTCGGCCTGAAGCACCTTGCTCTATGTACTTGCTTTGTGTCTAGTTGCCGTTTGCAGAATATTACCATTTTGGAGGAGTTGGGAGGCGGGATTTTCAGAGTATATCTTTTAACGATGGGACACAACATCACTGGGGAGTTTCTAAGGATTCGGATCAGATTCGCGTTTGCCAGGTCAACATGGCTTGGGGGCGCGAAGGTATTAGCTATTCATAATGATGCCCATACCTTATTTATGAAGTCGCTTTCTACTACAATTGCTGCTCTTCACTGTCTCTTGATTAGATAACGTAACTTCTACATGAAACCTCACCGGATATAGGGCACAGAAGACATCTTTTTTTCGTTTAGCTCCGTGTGATATAATCACAGGGGACACTCAGGATGTGGTTGTTTAGTATTTGTCAGAGAATCATGTAGTAGTAGCCGAATTCACTTTATCATGTCCGAACTCTTCACTATTTCCTCAAAAGCATTTGTGATCATGGCCTGAAATTCTGCCCCCCCAGGTTATGAAGCCCACTTCTGTCTGATCAGCAACTCAGTATCTACGAACATTTATGACGTGATTTTCGCTTCACGTTGCTAGACAAAACGCACACGGACTCGCTCTTTTTGTTGTAAAATGCCTTTAATTCTCTTCTCACTTCGTCCCCCCCGGGTATAGATCATAACCACACATTGAAAAAATCGCAAGGCGGTAGCTCCCCAATATCCCGTCTCCTCTTCCCATTTTTCCACACACCTTCGTAGATATCTCCAGCATGATTGATTGGATCGTCCATTTCAGATCCTCCAGACTTCAAAACAAAAGCATAAATCGACTCCTGAACGCCAGAACCCTTTTTAAGTGTAGCTCCCGAAATGCCACCTCCGTTCCCTTATGTGATAAAAAAACCGTCGATTTTTGTTGACTGAACCGTACACCACCCCGCGCGTGAACCATTCATTAGGTGAAAATAGCGGCAACAGCATTTGACACAAACGATAATTGCCTTCTCGTGAAAGAGAGAGCTTAGAATCTCTCCTTTTGCCTCGAGGCAATGATCCTGAGGTTGTTGTACACCTTGCCGGGCTGGTGACCGAGAATGAGGGAGACGACGGACTCGCGGGCCATGCCAATGTTCTCGAAGGCGCCGAGGATGTGGACGCGGGAGCCGGCGAGGACGATTCTGGTTTTTGTGGCTGTTTTCCATCTTGTCAGCATCTCTGTGCATTTTCCTCAATTCTCCTCCTCCAGTAAAACATACCGTTCTCAATCGCAAACTTGGTCTTTCCGTCCTTGCCTGCAATACGACCAATCGCACGTCCCAAAGCATCGGGGCCGAGGGTCTGGCGGACATCCTTGACGTCGAAGGACTGGATATAGAGCGAATCGAGACGGAGCAGGGCAATGGCGTCGTCAATGTCGAAGCCCATGGCGAAGGCGGAGACGAAATCGGCGCCCATCTGCAGGGACTCGGGGGTGGTGGTGTGTCTGCTGGAGCGGAGCTCGACGCGCTTCTCCTTGATGTTCATGCGGACTTGGAGCTTGCAGTGCTCTACGAGTGGGGGGTAGCTGATTGAAAACAGTCAGTCTTCCTTGCCGCCCAAATATTCACATGTTTCCCGTAGTTTCTCCCTCACATCTTGGTCCAGTTGGCCTTGAGAGCCGACATGCGGTTTGGCGGGATGCCGATCTTTCTGGTCTCTGCGCGGCGAATGATCTGGACGTCCTGGCCGGGGGCGAAACGGGGGCGGCCCTCCTCGTCGACAGCCATCTGCACATCTTGGTCGTTGGAAGGGGGAGCGGCGGCGCTGGGATCGGTGAGGTTGGCGGCCTCGTTGACGTCGAGAATGAGCTCGTCCTCTTGCTCGGTCTGGATGGGGATCTGGGCGGTGGGAGCCTCGACGGGCTGACGAAGTGCTGTTGGCGCAGGCATATTGGGCGAGATGTGATTATCGGTGGGTGATCGTCAAGGTGTTGAGTCGAGTTGTTTGTAGAAGTCGGCGATAGTATTCTCGGAAATCGGCGAGCCAAGAGGGATGACAGAATCTATCGAAGAATTGGCGGAGGAGAGACTGGTGACGGGCGACGGGAAGTGGTGTCGGGATGCTGGGTTGCAGTCGTGAATTACGGAGATCTGGGAGTCGAGGTCTGCCTTTTGCGCCGTCGGTCTCTTAGAATTTTGTTAGTGTTTATCGGTTTTGATAGCGCAGAGGGGAAATTCTTGACAAAAAGCAGTGGGCCCACAAAAGAGCGCCAGAGCGAAGCTTATCGATTGGCTGGACGTGGTTAAGGCCGCTAGGACCCTTGCCAATCGCAACGCCCATGCACTAACATTCACTGAGGAATCCCTGTAATCACAAGGTTAGCGTCATTGACGCACTTTCAGCAGCTTTTTCAAACTCCAGGTTCTTGGTCAGAGCAGCACCACCTATGTCATTCTAAACTCGGCCACCACCAAGCAACAACATCTTCACCCTCGAGAACCGACCATGGATACGACACCTAGCTGTCGTCACCACCATCGTCGCTGAAAGCAAAAAGAAACAGGGTCCCTTCCTCCGTCGACAGTATGAATTTCAACAATGTCTTCTAGCGCTACGACGACCCAGCTGGGCCGCCAGTTATGGTCTTCCATACGCGATCCTCACGTCACCTCGACTCTCTTCACAGCCGCGATACTGCTTCCAACATGTCAGCCATTACTTAGCCGTCACCGCGTTGGCCTCGGCCACTGGAATTTGTTTGGGACACATCAACAATACGGACAACAGCAGAGCACGCGACAATTTACCTCTTCCGCAAGTCGCTTTTTCTCCCCAGCAACAAAGTCGCAAAGACTACACTATCAACAGTCACAACCATCCCATAATGTCCGACGAAGCTGTACCTCCGGAGGTCTACTCCTCCTTGGGCTCACCACCAGCCCCTCTCCAACGAGTGCGGTAGAGGCGTCCGCACTATCCGGCAATGCCGCGCAAAAGGCAAAAATGAGCCACCTGGCTCGGCAGGCTCTGCTCTTGCGAAGGATACGAAACATCACAACCGCAACGATATGTATAGCAGGAAAGCGATATCAAAGTTCTGGCAAAGAGACCAAGGGCGACCATGACGAGACCAAGGCCGAAGCCAAGGCTTCTACAACGTCTCCTCAGCAAAAGTCCGAGCAACCACAGCAACTACCGCATACCGAGACGACTTCCGGTCCTGGTCCCCATCCGACTCCTGAGCATGAATCACTAGCAGATTCCATGTCCAAATACCTCCACCTTCCTCACCTCCCCCATCTGCCCCATCGACCAACAAAAGAGGAGCTTCTGGCGGCAGCAAGCGGGTTCTGGTCACGTCTCAAGGTCCGGTTCAAGTGGTTCTCCATCAGGAGTATGCGCCCCTGGAACGCCGACGAATGGGGAGCGTTTGTCTCTTTCTTCTTGTTCGGTCACCTGGTCTGGATTCTTGTGGGAACGACTACCTTCTTCTCCCTCATCATCCTCTTTATCAACACGGTGTTTGCCCAGGAAACGCTGGCCAAGTGGATCGGAGACTACCTGACCCAATCTGCTGGACTTACTGTTGTCTTCGAGTCGGCTATTGTGCCCAAGTGGGGAGATGGTGTCATCACTTTCCGCAATGTCTTCGTTTCTCGGAGACCTGGTCAGCTCAAGTCTTCCGTCAAGAAGGGTTCTTCCGAAGCTGCGGCCGAGGCAGCGGCTGCTAAACAAGCCGCCGAGCAAGAAGGCACTGCCGTGGAAGAGGACGATGGCAATTACACCCAGTTCGACATCACTATAGACACCGTGAACGTGGCATTGTCATTCCTTAAGTGGTGGAACGGAAAGGGTCTCCTCAAGGATGTCGAAATTAAGGGTGTCCGAGGCGTTGTTGACAGGACTTCGGTTGTCTGGGGCAACGAGGACCTCAACCCCCTTGACTTCAGACAAGAACATAACCCTGGCGACTTTGAACTGGATTACTTCAAGATGGAAGACTTGCTGGTCACCGTCCACCAACCGGGCGGTTTCCGGCCCTTCTCCGTGTCCATCTTCTCCTGCGAGCTTCCTCAGCTACGGAAACAATGGCTTTTCTACGACTTCCTCTCAGCAAACCATATGTCAGGCTCCTTCGATGGCTCACTTTTCACCATTCATCCCAGACAGATCCACGGTGTGTCCTCAGCAGACAACGGCCGTCACCACCAAGAAGAGTTCGGTTCTCCCTCGGCCTGGAAGAAATTCTCCAGACTACGGATTGATGGACTAAAGATCGACCACCTGAACCGCGGCGTCGAAGGTCCATTCGGTTGGATTTACGAAGGCAACGTGGACATTGTCGCCGACGTCATGTTCCCCTCGGACCCCGATGAGGGTCTAGGCAAGGTCGTCGCCGAGTTCTACGACAAGATGGAAGAAGCGGTAACCAGCAACCGCTACCTCAAGATCCTAGACGGCAACATCTCCCCCAACAGCCGTATCAACACCGACAACACCAACACCAACAGCCCTACCCTCGAAAGCGGGCCAATCCCCGACTCTGCCTCTGTCATGGACCTCACCGGCCACCACGACGAGCTCCCCACCTCCGAACAGCACTTTCCCCCCTTGATCCCTCCCGCGACCCCCAAGGAGCCAGCCCCTATCGAAGAAACCCCCTCCTACCTTGTAATGGACCTTCGAATCCACCTCAACGACGTCCGCGCCGCTGTTCCGTTGTTCAACAACCCGCACATGAGTTACGTCAACCAAGCCCTGGTGCGGCCCATCGTCGCGTACATCAACGCCAAGCGCACATACATCCCCATCAGCTGCCGGATTGTCAAGCGGCTGACGGACTTTGACGGGGCCTGGACCGTCTGGGATTGTGGCCTGATGGACGATCTGGGTGCTGAAGTCTACTCGGCTTTTGCAAGGAACGTAGAGGATCAACAAAGTCGGGTGAGGAGATTCAAGCGCGTGGGACTCTGGACAGTTAGTCTGGTCGTGCATGCGTTGTTAGCAGGCGTGGCGGGGGATTTGGTTTGAGCTGTCATTGAATATGACACTCACGATATAGACCTTTGGCCTGTGTTTACCAGGCGGATAGAGGAGAAGTCCTGTTTGTGACGATACGGAGTTGTACTATCCTTTCTCTCTCTTCTCTACTTTACTGTTGGGGGTTATCAAACCTTTCCAAGCGGTACTTTACTGTACTATACATACCTACATATATGGCTCTGAAAAAAAAACAGGCGCACGAAGAAACAGGCAGGCAGGCAGACAGGTTATGGTTATGGATAGGAGGGAGGGGAGGTGGAACTGTTTACGCTCTTAATGACCCGGACGGAAAGATGATTACTGGCTGGATTCATATAAAGGCGGGAGGCGGGGTGTTTTGAGTGTACGGGTTTTATTGTTAGTTGATGATGCACATCATCACCACCGGAGTTTTAGTGTTTTTGGTTAGGGTATAACAACATTGTTCAAAAAGTTCATATGGTGTTACTGGTTTGGATATCCACTTGTCTTGTGTAAAGTTCCGAGATGGTTACTGGAGTAGGGGTTGAGGATCAAATTCTTAACAGTGACATCGACAGCATATCTCACACCCATTTAATATGCAATCTAGGCTTTCAGAACGCAATGCTCGCCTTCACTATCGAATGCTCCATAAATCTTCCCTATGCTATATGGTATCTGCCAATTTTCCCCTCCTCCACCCCATTCGCGACTCGATCACTGCCCCAAGAGGCGTTCGTCCACCTTTTATTTGGCCTGACTAATGACGCCCGCTGCTCTCTAACCCATCCAATCCAAGACATCATGCCACTGAACCATGCGTCCGGACGCCGGACGCGCCATGACCGTTGCGCGGGCGTCGTGGTAGTCTATGCTTCTTTTTTCACGCCATCAAACACACGCAACCGCTACTTCTTGCTTCGCTGAACGCTCCCAGATAGGGATGAGGATTCTACTGGGTGATAAGGATGGTTCTACATCCTTTTAGGGGGAGAGAGGACTCGAGGCCTCTCTTCCACACGAAGCGGACGATCGTGATTTTTCGGTAGAAGCCTTTCACATGAAGTCGTCACTAGAAGATGGGTTAGCAATCAAATCCGAGAAAGGTATCTCTCCACTTCAAGGCAACTTACTCTCCGAAAGCATCCTCCTCGTAGGTGTCGTGAGCCTCAGCCATGGCACCACCACGGCCAACACCAGCGAGCGAGGTCTTGGTCTTGGCAGCCTTGCTCTTTTTGCCACCCTTCTCGGCAGCCTTCTCCTCCTTGAGCTTCTCGTTGCTGAGAGCAGTCAAGGTGCTAGCAATCTTCTTGATCTCGTCGCTCTTGAGGTCCTTGGCGAGCTGCTTGGCGAACTCCTGGAGGAAGAGGGTGTAGTGCGGCTTGGGCGAGAGCTTGCCGACCATGGGGCCGAGGGTGGTGCGGAGGGTCTCGAACTGGGTCTTGGTGGTGGGGTTGAAGAGGGCGAGGGTCGAGATGTCGATGGTGTTGTTGGGGTCCTTGGGGTCGATCTGGACAATGGTGCCCTTGCTGACGACCTTGCGGTCGTTACTGATGCCGATGCCGGAAAACAGGTCCTCGGCGTGCTTGAGATCGGACTCCTTCTGCTCGCGGCGGAGGCGCTCGCGGCGCTCGGCCTCGGTCTCCTCCTCCGCATCCGAATCCTCGGCCAGCTGGCGGGCGCGCTCGGCCTGGCGCTCGGCGATGCGCTGCGCCTTGGACTTCTTGTTGGCGGCGGCTTCGGCCTCGGCCTTGGCCTTGGCCTCTTCAGCCTTCTTCGCCTTCTCGCGCTCTACCTCGGAGTCCTCGGCGGCATCCCACGAGTCGAGAACGTCGCTCTCGTTACCCTCCTCATCGTCGAAGCGGCGGCGGCCGGGGGCAAGGACGGGCGAGTTGGGGGCGGAAGACTCCTCCTCTTCCTCGTCTGTGGTGATGAGGGGTTAGTTAGTCTGGGTTTCGAATAAGGTGGTGGCGCAACAGGAAAGTCGACGCGCAAGAGTTGTTTCTTTGGTTGGTTTATATATATATATATGGGCTGCCAGCGCTGGAGGCATATGGCAATGTGACGAAGACTATCGCAAGCAGGAGCAGGCATCAGGCAGCCTTGCCACAACCATCGACGGCTACTGTTCGCGGGGTTCGTCTGGCGCAAAGAGGGAAAAGGCAAGCAGAGCGAGGAAGACTTACCCCACTTCTTTCCAGGCATGTTTGCGATTTGGTAGTGATGATCTAGAAAACCGAACGGGTCTTTGCGACAACGATGTCTGGCGAGACGAGGAAAAGTTTGCGTGGTGGTTGTGTCCAACTGCAAAAGAGAAGCCGATCGCTGTCTGAGAAGTCGAAAAAGCGAGCAGGGTTCAGGCACCTTGTGGTTCAGGTAGTGGGCGAAATAATTGTTAGCGGGGTTGGAGGTGTCAGATTCTAGGGTGGCATTCTGGCTAGATGTAGGTTAGATGCCAGAGTTCCAGCCACCTGATTTAACAGGTCTTGGCAAATATAGGTTACCCCCAGAACCCTCCATACCAGAGCGCTCAAGTTAGACACACAGAATCAATTAATTACGAGCAAATCTGACAATTAACAATCTGATATATAACCTATTAATACAATAATTAGTATATTTAAATAATAAATAATAACCGAATTATAATATCCCTCTCAAAGCTTACTAAAACGAAAGAAAATGTTGCTTATTTTAAAGATAGTAATAATTAATTATAATAGGAGTTTATATTCTAGTCGAAATATATCCTTAATATCTTTAAAGACTAGCTTTAAAGAAAAATTAAAAAGACTTTCCGCACTGAAATAGCCTTATCCTAATTACTACCCCTTAATTAAGAAAGTAAAGACCCGTATTAATAATATAAAAATAGAGTTCCTATATTTTAACGGCGGTATTAATACCTAATTCGTTATTTATAAAAATGGAACTAACTATAAAGAACCTATTAAATACTACGACCGAAATGAAATCGTAATCGACACTTTTATTACCGAGGACGACTCTATTAATAAACAACTTTACAAATTAAAAATTAATTTCTATCCTGATAATAAAAAAGATTAGAAGGAATCTGTAATTAGTAATAAAGTCGTATATATTTAAATAAAATCGTTAATTAATTATAAATTATAAAATGGAATCATAAAGAAAGAATATAATATTAATAAATAGTATTAAAATTTTAAATAAATAATGAACTATCAAACGGTCGACGATTAAATTAAAGTAAAGAAAATATATTATAAGACTGTCGCTATCTTTACGGAAGAATCTAAGAATTAAATTAATTAGTTATAAATTTAATCTACTGCTATAAGTAACAGTTAGAATAAGGGAATCGGAAAGATTTTTATTGTTAGCTTATAGTATTTTAATTTTATTAATGTAATTAAGATTGTTCGCTTGGAATAATATAATAGCGCTTAGAAATTCAATAAAGAAATAGCTGCTAATACCTTCAAATATATAAAAGTTTATAAGGATTTTAAATGGTATAGCATCGATAATACCAGTTGTAAGGTCGCTGCTGGAAGAGGAAGAATTTATTGGAATACTTTTAACGTTAGTGAATAATCTAATATTGAATATAATAGTTAAAAATATAATAATAAAAATTATAATTATATTAAAGATAAGGACGCTCGTTACGAAGGCAAAAATAACAAGCCTAAGGGTTTTAATACTAAGAAAAGAAAACTCCCGTCGAATAAATTCGAAATTTAATTGTATAAGAAGAGTAATAATATAATATACAAAACATATTAAAAAGGCCATTATTCTCTTAAAAAATTATTAATATATTAATTTAAATATAAAGTCTTTATATATTAAGTTATACTCCTCTATTAAACGTATTATTAAAACTAACTTTGCGAAAAATCTAACGCTTACTAAAAAAATAACTAAATTCTCTAAGAAAGAAGAGCAAATTAAAAAGAAAGAATTAGTGTTAATGTGATTAATTGAATCGGACTCATAAAGTACCTTTCTAAATTAATAGAATATTTAAAGTTAAAAATAAAATTTAGTTTTTTTAAAAATTTAGTAATATTTAATTTAAATAATTTGTTTTATATATTTAATAAAACCATTCATTTTCTTCATTTTCGTTATATTAATTCGGATAATTTTTTGTAAGTTAGTAATATTTAAATAGAAATTAAAGGGTTTAAGGAAATTAATATTGTTATTAAGGGTAAAAATGGTCTCTTAAAGCTACAGTTAAAGGAAATCGCTTTTTACCTTAATTTTATTACTAATTTCGTTTCTTATTTTTAATTATAAAGGTAAAGTTTTTATTAGGATTATTGATTATTAAATAATTATTTAAAGAAGGTTAACAGTTTATTCTTTTATTATTTGAATACTATTTATAATTAAATAATTATTGAAATTATCACTCTTTTATTTATTAAAGCTTCGTTTGTAGCGTATTATTATTAAATTAATTTATATATGCGATAATTTTCGAAATAATTGATAGAAGTATAGTATTAGCGGTTCAGTTACTTAAATCCTTAAACATTCAACTATTTATAAAATATTAATAGAATACAACTATATAATATATCTTTAATTAAATATAATGTATATAGGATGGTAAAAATAAAATGATAAATTAGCTGCGTTTCGAAAGACCGAAGCTACGGCCTAAAAAAAGAATTCGCCGTCGACTTCCTCGACTTTAAATTAGAATTTAAAAGATCATATTACTTTCTTCTAATTATTTATCGATATAACGAGTCTACAAGAGTGTTGCACAGCGAGCAGTCGTGTAAAGTTGAAATACTATATTTGATAAGGAAAGTAGGAAAGGAAGATTGTACTAGAAGGGTGTAGTTGAGATAAGGTTTTAGGGTGCAGCGTACGGGCTAAGCAGGCTAGGCAGTTGGGTGGGTCTAGCCAACCAGAGGGGGTATATTGGCCTTAGCGCCGGCTAGTTATATACAACTAATTTAGTAATAGCGAGTTTAACCCTTGGGCTCTAGCCCTATAATATTACCCCCCTGTTCCCTTTTGGAAAATACGGTTTATAATATAAGGTACCGTAGCCTACCCTATAAAATATATTGTAGCTAAATATACGAAAATAATTAAAATCTAGTCAATTAACCGCACCTAACCAAATGCCTATTTAAACGGGGAAGAAATTAATAATATTAAGAAAAATATTTACATTGAGCCCCTAAATAAACGTTATATAATTATTTACCTCCTACCTAAATTGGTGACGATGCGCCTATCGCCTACCTTTATAGAATTATACTATAGCCTAGTACTAAAACTAAATTAAGGGATATTTTTAGATTTTACCTAATTCCGGAGCCCTCTTTTACTGTATTATATTAGTAATTTGTAACGGAAATAATTAGAATTAAGGCTATTACCTAGTATTTCATATCACTCTACTTCTTCTGCTAGTAGTTAGTTACTCTCTCGTTCCTTCGCTAAGGAATAATTTTAATAATTCTTATACCTACAAAATATAATACTTATTCTCTTTAATAGTACGTCTAAGTAGGCACTATTAATATAATTGGGCGGCGAAGGGTACTACTCTATAACCTACCTATTTAATTAGTAAATAGTATACCGTAGCAAACTAACCAGCGAATATAGTAGTATTCCTTTACCCCTAATATTATTAGGGTCGTTTTCAATAAAACCTTATTTAATTTAAAAACTCATCTTCTTAATTATTATTATTGTAACCGCCTAGGCCCCTAATTAAACTATTAATTCGAACGTTATTTATTTTCATCTTTTTATATTATTTAAATTAATAAAAGCTATTCCTATAATTTATATATTTACTCTCTTTCTTTTATTTATTCTTTTATTTCTAGGAGGGTTCGGTACTCCTCCTTATTTTTATTATAGAAGCGTTGATCGAAGTATCTATAGGATTTCCACTGTTATCGTTAACTGGAGGCTTCGATATCGAGGCTAAAAGAAAGGTATTATTATTAAACTTCCTAAAGTAGGGAAGTAATTAAGAATATTACTTAGGTACGTCGGTTCGATCGGAGAGGCGTTACTTCTAATTATAGTTTAAAGTAGTAGTAAACTAGTTAACCTTAGTGGCGTTAAATTAGGAATCTATACAAATATAGTAAAGTATTTCCTCAAATTGGGCGAGGAAGGCCGTAATAGATTCCTTAGAGCCGGGCTTTTAATATAATTAGTAAAGCTTTTGACCGGCTCTTATGGCTGCGTTGGGATCCCTATATATAAATTTGAATTTATCGATAAATTTATAGTGAGAACGAAAACTATAAATAATAAAAGTAACGAGTAACTTTTTAATAGCGGGTAATAAATAAGTAAATAAATAGTAAAACTACGTTTCTAAATCGCTAATAGCTAGCCTATTTATATAGAATTTTATTTACGCGCTTAAAACCTAGGTTTCGAAGTCCTTTTTATTACCCGAAAATTTTTCGAAGTAGGGGAGGATTAGCTTCCGTATTGGTTCGTAGGGAGCCGAGGTTTTGAGGTTGGAGATTTCGAGGATTAATTACTCAATCGAAGAGGCGAATTATCGTTAGTATTCTTAGGAATTCGTAGATTAAACGATTTGAGGGAGCGGCTATTATTGAAATATTGTGGATGGGGTAGGGAATTCTTTCGGGCGTACCTACGAGAGAATAATAATAGAAGTAATGAAGGTCGTTTTAAAACGAGGGTTAAATATAATGTAACGAGTCTGTAAGAGTATTGTATAGCGAGCAGTCATGTAAGGTTGAAATACTATATTTGATAAGGAAAGTAAGAAAGGAAGATTGTATTAGAAGGGTACAATTGAAATAAAGTTTTAAAGTGCGGCGCACGGGCCAAGTAGGCCAGGCAGTCGGGTAGGTCTAGCCAACTAGAGGGGGTATATTAGCCTTAGCGCCGGCTAGCTGTATACAACTGGCTTGGCAATAGCTAAGCTTAACCCCTGGGCTCTAGCCCTATGACAATCGATAATCAAAACTAATCTAGGATTACTACTTATTAAATTGAGAAGCTATTACGATAATTAATATTTTAATTAACTATATTTAAATATATAAATACTGATATAATATTAATGTTAAGACTGTCGAATATAATAATAAATTTATAAATAATAAAATTAAGGATAAATTCGCCCAGTATAATATAATTTTTAAACTTTCTATTCCTAATACCTAAGTATAAAATAAAAAGGTAAAATATTCAAGGGGTATAATTAAAGAGAAATACTATATAATATTATTAAAGTTAAAAATATTAGAAGATTTATAGCTAAAAATCATTTATACGGCCGTTTACTTTATTAATCGTTTCCTTCGTTACTTATATAATTAGAAATTTCCCTTTAAATGATTCTATATTTATATTACGAATTAATATATTTAATAAGAATTACGTAAACTAAATTTAAATTACCTTCGAATTTATAAGTATAAAGTATTTACTATAATAAACGCTACTTAAAAGAAAAAGTAAAGATTTTAAAAGTACAATTTAAAAGCGTAGATTGGGTATTTTATTAATTATTTAACGACTTCTATCTATTGTATATAAAATCCCTATATAAATTGGATCGTTTAGGTTAAAGATGTAATATTTGATGAAAATATTACTACCTATTTAAATATTAAAAAATTTAAAAACGATTTCAAAATTACTAAAGAAGAATTTACCGACCTACTTAATAAAATAAATAAACCCGCCAACTAACCCTCGGGAATATTTAAACTATCTTATATCGAAAATTATATACTACTAAACGACGTTAATAATAGTAATATTAAACCTTTCCCGTCGAATTTCCTTAATTAAAATTAAGAAGATTATTAAAGGAATTAAAAGGTTTTCTAAAATAAGAGTAATCGGTTATAGGAAATAATAATTTAGAAAATTTATTTATAATAAAATATTTATTGAATATATTATAGGTTTATACCCATCACTTTTATTTACCCCACTAATTGTACTTTATACTAATTATTCTATTAACTGAATTATCGATTAATACTCTTATTATTAAGAATTATAAGAAGTTACTTTTAATGTAGGTAGATTAGCCTAACTAATAATTAAAATAAATGAAAAGATAATTATTAAAGTGGAAATTGAAAAATTAATTATAAAATACAATCGTTTTAATAAGGTATACCGACGTAATCTTCCTCTAATACTTAAGAAATACTATAATTTTAATAATTATATATTATATATATTCGGTTAATAATTTAAGGAAGTAGAGGAAATTTATTTTAAAAGTTATTAAGATATAAAAATATAAATTAAAGTTGATAAAAGTATCCGTTATTTTAAATACAAATAAATCTTCGACTATATATAGGTTTATACTTACAAATTTAATAAAAACGGGATATTTAATAAAGTAAAAGCGAAGTTCGTCGTAAGGGGTAATTAATAGAAGAAAATAGGAGCAAATATATATACGTTTACTCTAATTAATCGATTATTTCGTACTATTATTGCTCTTGCTATTCGCTTTAATTTCAAATTTATTTAATATAACGTAATTAACCCTTTCGTAAATACTTACCTTGATAAAGAAATTTATATATATATACTACTAAGGCATCAAATACCTAAGAAAGTTCTTAAACTTATTAAGGCTCTATATAATCTCTAATAAATTCCCTTACTATAATAATAAAAACTAAGTAGGGCATTCAAATCGATAAGATTTAAAGCAATCCCTAAAGACCTATATATTATAATAAAAAACAATATTCTCATACTATACTACATCGATAACATCATTTTTATATTCGATAAAAATAAAATAGAAGAGGTTAAGAAGTATATAATAGAATTATAATTATAATATTATTTAATAAGAAGAAATAAATTCTAATAATTTTTAAGTATTAAAATTATATGTAATTGAAACTAAGGAAAAGTCTAGTTATTTTAAGAGATATATATCGATAACATTATTAAACTATTCAAATCCAATTACCGTCCTACCCTAATACTTATAGGATATAAGGAATTAGTTCCTTATAAAAGTACTACTAATTATATAAAAATATAAATGTATTAAAATAAGATAAATTCTTTACTATATGTAATAATTAATATTCGAGCAAATATCGGGTTCTTATTAGATAAATTAATTAAATATAATTACAATCCTAATCCTACTTACTTAGCGGCGAGCGAAAAAGTTATACGGTATTTAAAAATAATACAAATATAGGTATTCTATTTTGGTAAGAGTAATAAATTCGAAATTACTTTTAACGCCTCTCGTTTACTAATAATAAAAGTAACTACAAGAGTTCCTAAAAAATTTTAATTAAATTATATAATAATTTAATCTACTAGGGAATAACTAAATAAATCGTAGTTACTACGTTAATAGTAAAAATAAAACTATATATAGTCGAAAAGGTGGCTAAGGAAACCCTTTTTATAAACTAACTAATATTAATATTAGGGGTAAATTTATTAGAGGATCCTATTCCTACTCTATATTATAATAATTAATAAACTATTAGGGCATTCATAGAAAAAACGCCTACCTTCAACATAAAAATAAAGCACGTAAATATCTACAAATACTAATTAAAAAGAGAGATTTTCCGAAAAAAAAAAACTTTTAATATCGAATATTTAGAAATGAAGTTAATGCCAATAGATAGACTAATAAAGGCACTAAATATTCTAGAATATAGGAGATTTAGGGAGTTATTAGGTATAGTTGAGGTGCCGCTGTAAAGAAACGGAGGAGGAAATAATCTAATACTGGAAAAAATAGATTTTGACGATTTAAATAAAATATTAGGACTAGGGATATAAAACAACGAGAATAATGTGTAAATAGCTTCACTTTTGACCTCAAAGAGGAAAAAGAGGTCTGTAAGTAAGGAGGTATATTAAATTCTAGGGTGGTATTCTAGCCAGATGTGAGCTAGATGCCAGAGTCCTAGCTACCTGATTTAACAGGTCTTGGCAAATATAGGTTACCCCCAGAACCCCCCATACTAGAGCGCTCGAGTCAGATATATAGAATCAATCAATCACCAGCAAATCTGATAGGAGGACCAGCATAGGACTCGGAACTGAAACAGCGCTTCACAAGTTCTTCAAGGTTCTTCAACGTCTAGGATTTTAATACCATGCCAAGACCTTCAGTCTCAACTCCGGTTGCACCTTGAAGACTCGCATATGTTCGATGCTTTACTGCATCTCGAAGTCGTCTCTTTTTTTCGGACTTCTTGTATATGCACGAAATATTTATGGCTTCGGTCAAGCGAGTATCCGGTACCTAAGCCCTCTGCCATGTACCAGGTGCAGCCTCGAAGGACGGCGGTTTGTTAGACGTTTGTTAACACATGTGAAGAGAGGAATTCATAAACAGCTAGATAGAGACTAAGGCTTTAAGCTTCGACATGATATCCAATCCTTGGGCCACTGAGAAAGGCTCTGCGCCGTCAATATTCCGTACAGCACTCACGCCCCACTTCCGACGCGGGATAATATTTGGAGGCTTGCAATTATTCCTACCGCTCCTCGATCTCAAACTGTACCGACAACTATCACTAACGTCACAGCAAAGTTGAAATTCAACATGAAGCCATTCGCAACACTGCTCGAAGAAATTTTTTTAAGTTTGGAGGTCTGGAATCTATCAAGCCAATTCCCGATCTTGCTGAGTGTCCTATGACACAAATTTGACTGACGTTCCGTTTCCCTCCGTGCGCTATTACTGTCAGCAGAAGCTCCAGTACACAATTCAAGAAATTGCCATTTCAACCAACCAACCAACCACCACTGTTCCGAGTCTTGTGTGGTTGTCTTTGTTCTAGAAAATGTTGCGGAACTGCGCCCTGTCGCTTCTCAGGGGCTCGCTACACTTAGTATAAGGCTGGTCCCGAAAATGTTGCGGAACTGCGCCCTATCGCTTCTCACCCGGGAGGTCCCGACACCGCAAAACAAAACACTGCAAACCAAAAACATCCAGCTGACCATCACAATTAGATGCCCGGTTGCCATTTTGAGAACTGAGACGGAGATCCCCATCCTGGTTGATGATCTGGTTTCCGAGTTCCCTTCGTGAGCGGCCGCTTGTTTGCTAGTTAGTGAGCACGCGGCGGTATTCCCAATTGTCCGAATGCCGTAAGCTAGGGATCGCTTGTGTAGTGTCGGAATCCCCTATTGCTCCTTTGAGACAAGAGACGGACGAACTCGGTGATTTCAGTCAGCTCTCGTATTCCAAGGGCTCATCGATATGAGCTGCAACTAGCGGTAAGAAAGGATGATATAAACGTCGTGTGTCTCTTGTGCTGTCTTATGGACCACCATCACAAACCTCAAGCCAGATTACATCTATACATCACTCTTCATACTCTCGATGAACACCCCCAAAACAAATCTACTCTACGCTCCAGGACAAGCGGCGCACCTAAGCCGTGCCCTGATATCGACCTGCCACACCCGGCCTCTCCTGCTTGGTGGTCTTCGAGTGACCACTTCTTTGCATCCGACACAGACAAACCTCTCTTCACCACCACCTCGCAGCTTCACGACAACAAGCGTTGCTAGACTGAAGGACTTCTTCCCAGCCAAAGAGACGGCATACATCCGGCAGACACCACCTGCATGGCCTCATCATGGATGGACTGAGGAAGAGATGACCTCGGTTGTTCCCGAGCACCGGAAACCCGAAACTGTGGGCGACTGGCTCGCATGGAAACTCGTTCGGATCTGTCGGTAGGTTATTCCCCGAGGAAGTTTTTCCATTTTACTCCTCAAGAGCCTTGCAGACGCGGAAGCAGACGCAGAAGCAGACGCAGAAGCAGAAGCAGATAGTTCTAACATCGAGCAGATGGGGTACCGATATAGCGACCGGCATACGTCCAGAACAGCAAGTTGACAAAAACCACCCGACGACCGCCACCAGTGCGGATAAACCTCTGACAGAAGCCCAATGGGTACGTCCTGTGCAGCCCTGCGACATTCATGATGAAAGTCGCCATTAAGTAGCACATCACTTGCTAACAGAATTTCTCGATTTTATAGCTAGTCCGCTTCATCTTCCTCGAATCCATCGCCGGCGTTCCCGGCATGGTAGCCGGCATGCTCCGGCACCTGCACTCCCTCCGGCGACTCAAACGAGACAACGGCTGGATCGAGACTTTACTCGAAGAGTCCTACAACGAGCGAATGCACCTCCTCACCTTCATGAAGATGTGCGAACCAGGCTTGCTCATGAAGACGCTCATCCTCGGCGCACAAGGCGTCTTCTTCAACGCCGTGTTCATCAGCTACCTGATCTCCCCCAAAATCACCCACCGGTTCGTCGGCTACCTTGAGGAGGAAGCCGTGCATACCTACACGCGGTGCATCAGGGAGATCGAGGAGGGGCACTTGCCAAAGTGGTCCGATGAAAAGTTTGAGATCCCGGAGATGGCGGTCAGGTATTGGCGCATGCCGGAGGGGAAGAGGACGATGAAGGACTTGATTTATTATATCCGCGCGGACGAGGCGACGCATAGGGGCGTTAATCATACGCTGAGTAATTTGGATCAGAAGGAGGATCCGAATCCGTTTGTGAGCGACTATAAGGAGGGCGAAGGGGGGAGGAGACCGGTTAATCCGGCGTTGAAGCCGACGGGGTTTGAAAGGGCGGAGGTCATCGGTTGATCTTGGGCGGAAGGTTTTGACAGATGGTTGTGGTTTGGGTTCATAAAGCCAGGCGTTTTTGGACTACATGTAAGTTGTATTGGGCGTGTTAGATATCCCACTCTCTTTGCTGTTTGTGGCGTTTTGGTAGAAGATACTGGGTTCTATCTGTGCAGCTAGCTGTTCACTGTTCCAAGTGTGTATGTACTTTGGATCTTCATCCCGAAAGTCGTTGGTCTCTTATGAGGCAGTATATCAGCAACAAACCTGATATGTCAAGCTTTCTCGTTTCGTCCCCCGAATAACTGTCTGGTCCGAGTTCACACATCGCAACTTCTACCAAATGCATGGAAAATTAGTCGATCGTGCTCAGTTGAGTTCGATCAAGGATCATGTGCTCAGCCATGATCAACTGAATATATCGTGAAGACGAGTTAGGGACCTTCATGTGGTATGTTGACGTATAGGATGATAGCTCAAGACTTCCATTAGAGTGTCTATATTTACACACACGTCTAGGCATCCTCGAAAGCAATCGAAGAATGATGAAACAGTGGTATTTTGGAGCGATATATCGGTGTCAATAAGGGCTCGAGGAAGAAATGGTCGTTGAATGAAATTGCAGGGCTGTGGCTGTGTACAAGCCACTGAAGTGCAATTTGTTAGCGTGGTGAACTTTTGGTAACAGATCTTGCCGGAGATCTCACCATAGGCTGATAGCGCCGAGGACTAGACCCACCAGAGGATAGAACCGACGGGATGGATACGACTGCAAGGTACCAGCAAGAACAGATGAGCCAGAATAGGAACATTTCCAGGAACCGGAGGCTGAGGCTGAGGCTGAGCACCGCGATGGACGGGATATGCCCAGATGGATACTGACGGCGCGTTTCAGAAGAGCCGTTGGGTCAAGTGCCTTGGCAACGGGCATGTCAAGTTCACGATGTCGACCTGTTGCTTGCTTGTCCATGGTACCTGTCCGTGGTACCGGCCCGAACGAATACCACGGTACTCTTGGACGGCCCCAATCTCGACATGTGAGTGGTCCGCTGACGAGAAGATATTTCTTCACTAGGTAAGAATCTGGAAGGGTTGTGTTGCAATTTCACTCATGACACTGAGGGCCACCCTTCACAGGCACTTGACGATGACAGCGAGATCCAGGCATGCCAGGACAGGCCCCTCCACACCTTCCAGGCTCTGTGCCTGTGAGTGGACGGAATGCGAACCGGCAGAAGGAGTCCAGAAAGACAGGACAGGTTATCCATGCCCAGGAAGATCAAGTTGACATTGTTCCCGTCGTTTGGGGGTTCATGCCCAGGGATTCTCGCATTCATTGCAAAGAGAAGAATGAAGAACACAAGTTTGGGCATCAATGAATTGACTTTTATAAGCTCTGCAAGGTACCTCTACCTCTTTAAGACGCCAACCCGAGCGGCAGCCCCACCAAAAGCAGAGTGGGTCTACTCAACAGCAGCCTTACGAGCGAACCCAACCATTCAGAGAATTGACAGCGTCTGAACCCCAATCACCCCAACTTGTCCCTGCCATGCCCTGCCATGCCCTGCCCTGACCAGCGTACGACCCCGCGGTTGTGGTTTCGTGCCTGAAGTGGAAGCCGAGAAGGAAGCAGCAAAGCTTACAACCTTCCATTCCCGATTTCCCCTTCAATCTCGACTCTTCCCGAGTCCAAGTCACGGTTGTCGTCGGGGCAAACGAAGCAGAGGACGGACCCACAACGACATTCATACAAACATAACATCCATCGCATCCCCGAGCATCCATTCACTCATCATTCGGCTAACTGGGATCATACACTATTCGTCCTCCAAACGCAACAAACTTGTGATCCCCTTTCGTCGTCGGGTCAAAGGGTCCAGTCCACTCCAGTTAACCAGTCCAGTCCTCCACGCAACCACTCAAACCCGACTTCCTCACAATCACAGTCCTAGGCACACAGGCGCTTAACACGGCAACTGTACCTACTCTTTCGTCATCCCGATCACCCTAGAGGTATCTCAATCAACCAAGTCCCAACACTGCACATCCAGTGTAGCTTTCAGTTTGGACCTTCCACAGCCCAGCACTTGAGCCCGGAAATAGGCTCCGGATTCCATCATTTGGTCCTAATCGCCCGATCCCGCACTGCTCACGAAGCTATTATTGCCGGTGTCAGTCCCATCACTGACTGGTTGACCCGGTGTTCTCTGGTGTCGCAAGCTTGTAAGCACAGCCCCAACGCACCCACGCACCTAGCGCACTGCCACTGTCCCGGAAGGCTGACTCGAGGGAAACTGCCTCGCAACTCGCAGCGCTTCTAAAGACAGAAACACCACACACTCTCCATCCCGTCCGCTTGCCGGCGGCTACCACGCGATCCCCATGGACCAACACTATACCGACGCCCGTGGGCGATCGCTTTCGGCCGCGTCCACCGACGGAGGACAGGTCCACGATCAACAGCAACAGTCTCATATAAGGAACCACTCGCCGTCTCCGGCTCCCTTTCCCAATTCGAACGATGGCGTCAACACCGGTTTGGGACTCGGCCTTATCGATCCCTCTGCCTCACAGCCTTTCCAACCTGAATTCTCCTACGGCGGCCCGAACCCGTTCCAGCAACATTCGCCCTTCTCTCAGCCTGGTTTGGATTTCAACCAAGGTTATACAAGCCAATTAGAAAATCAGGACAACTCGTTCGGTGGTCTGTCGCAACCCGCCTATTCTCCGAATCTCATGGCGTCAAACTTTGGCGACGCCGACTACAGCCTTTTCCCCACGACCACGACCGCGGGCCAGTTCAACGGATCGCTCTTCATAACCGATAACCAGTCCCTCAACAATTCTGATCCAAACATGATGGCCCAAGGCTCTCACAGCCCGGAGCCGCCTCATCTGCTCAGTCCCGAGATGAACTCTCCGGCCTTTGCCCAGGGCCGTTTCCCCATGACAGCAGGAAGGCATTCGCGCAATGCGTCTCTGGGTCCAGAGGCTGCTCTTCTTCCAGGGCAGGACTGGAGCCATATGCCTCAGTTTCAGGGTCACCGACGCTCAGCCTCGGAGCTTAGTGATGTCTCCTCGGTAGCCCATTCGCCCAACCTTGGCGGATTGGATAGCTTCGACCCGATTGAGAACAACCACTCGCCTCTTCAAGGGCCGCAGGCCGATGCCCTGTACAATCAGTTGAACGGGATCAGCAACTTTAGTCTGTCGGACGACCACATCGGCAGGAGTCCGTCACATAGTCCGGCGGTCTCCCCTCGTATCCCTCCCCAGCAATCACCGGACGAGAACGATCCGAACCATCCTAGCCATTTTATGCTACACACACCAGCAAACAGTTTTGGTCCGCCAGCGACATACATGCAGCCGCAACAGGAGGCTTTCCCGCAACTGTCACTGGACGACCCATCTGGTATGCAGGCCCAGCAGAGCATGCCAGCTCCTCCGGCGATCAACATCGATTTCGCTCCAGCGCCCACTAAGAACGGGCTTGATCAGCCCAACAACCTGGACAATAATTCACTAGCCCTACCAAACAGAGGTACGTAGCCTAGAGATAATGCGATGGAAAACGGGACATTAGCTAACGATTTGGTGCTAGCTCGAGGGCGGATGCGACCACGAGCGGTCACGGACCCTTTCAACAATGGCGGTTACCGGTCTCCTTCTCCTTCGGGAGGCCTTTCGCCGAGCTCGGCTGCGGACCTCAGACCGTCAAACGCGCGTTCACTTTCGCCCATGGACCGTTCCGGAGCCGGCTCTATTAATAGTAGGAGACGCCAGTCCACGTCGTCAGTACCCAACAACGTGATAGCACTTCGTCTTGCCGACCCCAACTACAATGGCTCTGGGGAGAATGGGGGTGGCCCGAGAAGGGCTCAGAAGCACCCCGCTACTTTCCAATGCAAAGTATGTCCCAAGCGCTTTACCAGGGCGTACAACCTGCGCTCCCACTTGCGTACACACACCGATGAGAGGCCCTTCAAATGTACCGTCTGCGATAAGGCTTTCGCGCGCCAGCACGATCGCAAGCGTCACGAAGGTTTACACTCGGGCGAGAAGAAGTTCATATGTAAGGGTGAACTTCCTGTTGTTGGTCAACAGTGGGGCTGCGGCCGAAGATTTGCGCGGGCGGATGCTCTGGGTCGCCATTTCCGGTCGGAGGCAGGAAGAATATGTATCAGACCTCTTCTGGAAGCCGAGAACCGCGAACGGCAACGTCAGTATGCTGAGGCAATGCAGAATGCAGCCCAAGGCATGATGCAACACCAGGGCGGTATGATGATGTCGCCCGGTATGGACCCCAATGGCGACTTCCAGATGGACCCCTTTGTGCTTCCACAGGCGCTGTTGGCACAGTATCCTGCCCTGGCCCTCCTGCCCGCTGGGCCTGCTGCCATGGGTGATGGAGCAGGCTTAGAAGAGGATTTGGCAAGTAATTATGAAGCTAGCGACTACGATGATGTTGAGGAGGGAGGCTATGTTAGTGGTCCAGGGACAGGGTTCGGGCCCGGAAGCATGCAAGAAGGGTATGGGGAGTTGGGTTATGCGAGTGACTACGGCGGCCGTTAGTTTTAGGCAAAGCTTCGCAAGTTTTCAAGTGATAACCCTTTAGGGACAGAGAGGGCGTTGGGAGGTATATTCTTTTTGCCGCTGAAGTTCAATCATTGTTTGGGTGAGATGAGCTTGTACGGTGCTGCGCGGTGTGGTTATCTTTGTCTTATACATACACTTGTCTGTTTTGATACTCTTATTCCCAGCGTTTTCACAATTCCTCTTTTATTATTTTGGGTTTATTCTTGGCTATGAGACCTAGGCGGTAGCGGTTGCATGCGCGGATGTTGAGCGAACATAGGAGAGATTGTCTGATGCGGCCAAACCAATGCCACACTATCAAGATATACTCCTCGTTGTTCATATAGAGTTGTCGAATAAACCAACTACAATACCCATACCTTTGCAGACATTAATATGAAGAGCTTTATAGGCGCCCTCCATTAGTTGAATTCATCATTCGTGCTGATAGATCAAGTTCATAGACAATACGACTGGTAAACCCGTATTCACTTCCTTGTTCCCTAAAAGTAGTCTTATTCTGAGACCTCGCCCCAAGTTATGCAATGACTACCGCCCCGAATGTCATGACTGGTCACAAACCCGCCCATACCATGGCACATCAGCGCTGATACCAGCACTATATCACCATCACCATCCCTCTCACCCATCCACCCATCCACCCATCTAACTCTGCTGTATCTCCTGCAACAAAGTCCTCCCCCTCCCCGTCCCCGACGCCGCCCCAGACCCCTTGGACGACCTCAACTCCTCCATCCAATCCGCCACCACCTGATCCACCACCCGCTGCAGAACCTCCTGGTGACCCTTTTCGAACTTGGCCTTGACGAAGGGGCGCACGATGGCCGGACACTCGATTGTGGCGATCTCGACTAGTTCGTACTCGTAGTTTTCGATGCTCGTGCCGGTTGCTTTGTTGATTAGTTTTGTTCCTGGGGGTTTGGATTTGCTGTTGGGGTTGGGGTTGTTCGCAAGGTCGTCGGGGCCGCCTTTTCGGAGGCCGGCTCTTAGACCTTGACCTAGTCCCAGCCCTACTTCTTCCCTATCCTGCTGCCCTTCTTTCCCTGGTTGCTGCCCACCACTGCTCTGTGCTTCTGCTTGTGCTGCTTGTGTTTGTGGACTATGCTTAGGCCGATACCGATGTCTCACCTCATAGCTACTCCTCACCACTACCGCCCCCGCCCCAGCTGCCGCAACCGCCTTACAACGAACTCCGTACCCGAAACTCTGGAAGGTACAAGGTACCGAGACTTCTTTACTCCCCAAGAGAGAACCACCGCCTAGCCAGTCGGGAAGCGGGAGAAGGGGCACGGAGTCGGTGATGAGGTAGGAGGCCGGGTTGTAACCGTCGGGACCGGAGGGTTGGAAAAATTGGGGGTCGTCGGTGAGGGAAGGGGGAATGGGGTGGGGATAATCAGAGGGGGAGGGGGAGGGGGAGGAAGAGGAAGAGGAGCCACAGGGGAGGGGAAGGGAGATGTAGGATTTTAGGTAGGGGTTGGCGGTTATGAGGGGGGTGTACGCGTGGAGGGCGGAGAGGAGGGTGGAGGGTGGGGTGGGTGGGGGGAGGGGGATGCGGGTTGTTATTTTGAGGGGGTGGGACATTTTGTTGTTTACTGTTGGGTGTTGGTTGGTGTTGAGGGTTGGTTTGGTGATTGTTGTTGATGGTTGATGGTTGAGGAAGCGGTGGTAGGCTGCTGTGGTGATGAGAGTGCCAAGTCCGTACAGGACACGGAGGCCGATGCGGAGACCCGACCGGAGGAGGTGAACAGTGAACGGGGCCGGACGTCGATGCCAGGGTGACTGCAGTACCAATAGGTTGATGAAAGCTTCCGCTTTACGTCAATTTCAATGGAGGATGTCTCAAAGACAAGAGGTTGATATCAGGCTGTTGAGCTGGGCTGGCTGGGTCGACTGGACAACCGGAGGGTGCTTTGGGTTGTAAACAGGTAGGAGTGTGGGCGATGCCTGATCAGCGATGCCGACAAAGCGTGTATCACGAACTGATCACCAAAAATCTGTGACTGTATATGAGAGTTGAGATGCTTTGTATAGGTAAGCAAACGATAGGAAACCCAAACAAAAGACCGATGTGCTCTGTTTTAATCTTGGCAGCCAGTCCGAAACATAAGCACAGCTCACGAATAGGCAGCCATCGCGACCCAATTTTAGCGGCTGAAGTGGACGTTTTGATGTCGGATCGTTTGAGATGTAGGAGGGGCGGGACAAGCGAGTATGTAGTAGACAGCGCCTATATTGCCCAACCGGTAGCTAGAAAGCCTCAAATCGTGTCTTGATTTGCTATTCTGGTACGGAGCTCAGTCAGCTGTTGTTGCTGCGCCATCATCGCATCATTGGTGATTTAATGCTGTGTGGTTCACGCTGATGCATGAGGTGGTTGTTAAATTGGACTGTGAAGGAACTAACACTTGGACCTGGTTAAAGGCTGGTTGACGTGTTAACGCACTATCTTATCTTGGGGGTGTCTGTGGCTCCAATCAGGGCCCGGAGTCGGCCGGAAAGTCATCCGGTGTCTTGGTTTGTCGGACCCGGAAGATGAACGGTGTTCGGGGTCCAAGCTCCGGGTAGCTTACGGGCCGTGCCGAGGTTCCTGATTGTTCATGACGGCATCCATACTTTAGTCTATGGTGTCCGTTTGCTGAGAACGACGAGACCTCCAAGAAAAGTGAAGAGCGAGGTCGGACCGCAACATCAAATCTGTTTGCGAAACTGCAAGTGCAACTGAAGTTGTCCTCCTGCTCGCAAGGAAGGAGCTTCACAGACCTGAAGCCCTAATTCAGGGCTTTGCTTTTCCCTCTCTCATTGTGAGCTTCCATTTTCGCCGCTTGAAAGCTTCCACTTCTTTGTCTCTTGACTTCTCAGACACCAACTCTCCATTTCAGACATACCTCTACTCAACTGAGCACAAACAACACGACCACCCTCCCGCACCCAATTCCATGAGTTTAGATCCAGAAATTGCAACTTTGCAATGAGTATCCCAGACACAACTCTTCGCCTCCTCGGGTTGGTCGACCAACTGCAGGCCAAACAAGCGTTCATTTGACGCTCGATTCCAGAACAAGGACGGGAAAAGTTTTGGCGGTGAGCCCCATGATCCAATCCCGCCAAACCCGCTGAAGCTCAAGGCCTTCTGCATGCAGTGGACCGCTGTCGACAAGGCGGAGACAGCAGCAAGGGACATCGAAGTATCTTCCCCGCATCCCATGAACCCAAAAGTCCCTCGATCCCTCTCGCTATCCACCACTCATGACGCAGACTTGTTGACGGCTTCAGGTTCCCGCTGAAACATGCCGTCGAATTGCGCCGAAGAGGGTCTGTCGGAAACATGCCAGTTCATCCGAGCAAACAACAGGACGAACGACTCCTGAGTTACCCGAGAACAGGGAATATTCGCATTCGACTCCTCCATCATCGTTCCTCCCCTCCACGGCCACAGGGCCGTTATCAAGATGGAGCCCGCCGCAAGATGTCGCGCAGCGTTCTGATGCAGCCCAACTATCTCGCGGGCCCAGTGGCTACCAGGTCAGGAATAGCTTCCTGCGCTACCCGTCAAAGCAGCCACTCTTGTCCCTCGCAAACACCACTCGCTGTCGCTGCTCGGCCATGTGCAGTAGTTGGGTACGGGTAGGCGCTGTCACTGCCGCATGGCTCGCATGATGCGTGCTGCAAACTGCAAACTGCAAAGGCCAATTTCGACATGACTCCAATTGCACCTTTGCCGTAGAGGAAGGCCCAGGGACCGTCAATTCAAACTCTCATTCCACAGCGAAGAGCAAAGCTCTTTATATCGTCTGTTCCGGGATCATGACGCCATCCCTAGCACACATGGCTTGTCTCGAAATGACGGGCAGTTCTGGGATGATAGACCCACCAGCACTAACACTGGCCCTAAAAGTTAGCGGCTCCAGCCAACACCAGATGGAACCTACAAGCAAGAAGTCGCGGAGCCGCCCACGGCGCGATAGGCACACAGCGATAGGGAGGGGTCGTCGAGTCAATGCCTTTTTTTCCACCTCCTCAAAGCCAATTTCTCACCTAGACCGAAGCCCATTGGCTATCCGACTTGAGGCAATGGTGTGCACCAGCAGGTCAGCAGGTAGCAAGAGGCTGCCGCGACCGGCCTCGGGCTGCATCAAGTAGCGTCCAACAATCGGGCGTGATGCAGGTAGGGTCCGATTCAGTGGGCGACTGGTCTGCCTGGGCGGGGAAACTACAAGCTTATCTTTTCTTCGCCAACTTCAAGGTAAAATACTTATCAAAATGTTGAGGGGAAAGCTCGGCAAGAAAATGAGAAAATGGACAAGTTGAAACGGTGGGCTGTCATCAGCCTGGATCAACTGGATCATCCCGCCCTTCAACTTGACTGGAACCAAAAGCACCCCTCCAGATACAACAGCCAATAATGCTTCTCCCCAGCCATCCAACAAACACAGCCGGATACACCATTTTCACCTGGTGAAACAGGAAAGCATTGGTGCCATGATGGTGTCAACAGGGGTAAACCGCACCTCCAGACTGACAGTGCCAGACAGAGCCTCTGCTGGCCCACCTTGCTGCCAACTTCGTGACTCGGCCGCGCTTATCGACCTGCCTTCTCTTCATCATAGCCGAGCCGGGGGAGGGGGTCAATTGGAGCTGGGTTGGATTCGAACGAGTATCCCCGCAGATTGTAGCTTCGAAGCCGAAAAGAGTTGTGTTCTCTTGCCACTTCAACGGTGTGTTCAGAAGCTGGAGAGCGACACAGAAGAGAACCAAGGCCAACACCACTACATTCGTATATCGTCGCGTCCCTCACCGCGACTGTGTTACCTCTGCGCCTTACAGGAGCAAATGGTACCTCAGTGTACTTGTTGTCCTGCATGACTACTTGACGGTCTTGTCTTGCCGACTGTCGGCCTCTGTTTGGCGATCGCCCCTCAACCATCAAGCTGTTCAGCACGGCTTCTTTGCCTCCCTTGACTCCCAGCTGCGCCAGCGTAGGAGGCAATCCGAGAATAAGATTAACTGCGGTGTGGTCGCACAGCATAACCAGAAAGACGCATCTTCCCTCGTCCAACCCGTCTTCTCTTCACGATCCGAGCGGACCATTGGCTCATTTTGCAACGCCAATTACAGCCAGGCGACGAACCTCATTCCAGTAAGGAAAAAAAAAAAGTTTGTGCAAGTCAAAGGGGAAGTGGGTGGAGAGACTGAACGAGAGAACCGGAATCCCAAGAAACAGATGTCCGTCTATCAGAATACTATACCAGATTCTGTTTGACTGGTTGTTTGTTTCTTCGAGCTACTTGGAGAACGAGCCGATGGTGATTTTCTCTCCGGAGAGTAGCCTCTTTACGCGCCTTCTTCGAACCTCACCTAACAACTCTCGCCGTCACTATCCAACTTCTCTACTCGACATTGGCCTCCGCGCATCCACCAAAACGCCTCATGAATTGGTAGTTTTCTCAACGATCCAGATCAGTAGGCCCAACTGCCGATATGGCCGCCGCTCAAGTTTCGACATTCCGCGAGAGCTGGGCAATATGCAACACATATGAGTCGGGTACGGGGCCTTGTCCGGCAGGGCCAACATGGCGGTATGGGTGGAATAAAGAATTGGAAGAGACTGTGAGGAGCGATGTGATAAAGTCGAGGTTGAACATAGTTGCGCAACGCTGGGTAGAGTTACGTGGTCCAAGAACAGTGAGTTTTATATACCTTCAACTTTCGTCCCAACCTTGGCTGTTCTCGTCTCTGCCTTTGTGGAACTGCCCCAGGGGATCGCCTCTAAAACACTGGCGTGCTTCGGACTTCCATGGTGGCAAGTGGAAAATGGGGGCCTGGGGTGCTCCAAAACTCCACTGGCACCTCCGCCCGCACGTTGCGTGGTGGGGATGCTTGACCCATGTCGGCCCGCTCGATCTGGAAAGTCACCAGATCGTCTGGTCTGGTCATTAGCTCGTCCGAACTCTGGTTTATATATGCTAACCGGGCGCATCACAGCGAGCTGTAACGTCTCCCTCACGTTCCCATCCAGTCACCACGCTCGACGGAATGTCAAGACGATCCCGCCTCCCATCATCATTGTATGCCCCACAAGAAGAGGACTTGGGATGGTCTTCTTATACTCCCCGCGACCCGACTGCAGCCGCTCAGCGGGCGCAAAAGTCACAGCCCTCCCGGAGCAACCTCCCTAGACCTGTCTCCAGCAGTATCCCCCGACCGGCTGCGACAATATCTCGACCCGATCCGAAGCGGCTTGATAAAGACGATGGTTCATATCCCGACTCGAGTCCATGGCCTTGGCTTGACCCCGACGAGGATGACAATTTTCGACAAGTTGGAAAGAAGAGTAAACAGAAAAAGAAGGCCGGAGGAGGTGGTGGTGGCGGTGCACAGCAGCCCAAGCAGACAAATAATGATGGTGGTGAAGGTTCGCAAAAGGAAGGCGCCGATGATGGTGACGACGGCAAATCCAATGGCGGCGATGCCAGCAACGGTCCTGGAGGAGGTCCAGGCAAGTCCGGCAATGATGGAGACAAAGGCGACGGTGATAAAAAGGACGACAAGCTCAAGAAAGAAGCCGTCGACGATGATGACAAAAAGAATGATGACGAAGAGAAGAAGGCAGAAAATGCAAATCAATCGCCGCTCGACGAAGACTGGAATCAAGCAACCAGCAAGATAAGGCAAAAAGCAAAGCGAGGCGATGTTATTGGTTCTGTCACCGAAGATAAGCCTACCCCGCGGTCATTGGATGACAAGGCGAAGAGTCATGGCAACTCGGACAAATCCAATGGCCTTGATGAGGTCAAACTCAACACTGCAACCTCAATAAACGCCAATCGCGTCTCTACAGACAACGCGTCCATCGACAACCGGTCTTCAGGTAACAGCAGGATTGAAGAGACCAAATCTTCCGGGGAGCGAACGTTATCAGATAGCAAACCTGCCGGATTTCCCTGGAGCGCTCTTTGGGGCGGCGGTCTCAAATGGGGAGCGAGCAGCCACAAGGAGCAGCCGAAGACGCAGGTGAAGCATGAAGACGAGCTTGAAAGCAACCCGTGGTCAAAGTCCAAGAACACCAAAACCTTCCCAGGCTCTTTTGATGCCGCTGAAGAGACAAAGGAGGAACCTGCTGTAACTGAGCCAAAGTCGGAGAAAAAACGCGACCTGGACGAAAAGGGACAAGATCGTGATGAGAAAGCGCGCCGTCAAAAGGACACCAAGGACGACAAGGACGACAAGCAAAACGGCATTAATGAAAAGTACTCGGCAAACGAGAAGAAACAAGACAAGGACGATGAGAAGTACCGGGTCGACAACATGTATGCCAAGGGGGTAAAGAAGGATGAGCGCAAAGATGATCACGATGACGGCTTCGTGGTTTCCACCAAGAAAAGCAAAAAGTCAAAGAACAACACTAGCGCATGGGATGTGGAACCAGATGCATGGCAAGAGCCAGGAGTGGAACCGAAAATAGAGCCAAAGCCGGAGCTAACAAAAACCACTGAGCTCGAGCCTGAGGATGACTTTTTCGAAAGCTTTCCTGCTGTGAAGAAGAATGAGAAAAGCTCGACTCGGTTGGGACAATCATCCTCAAGGCTCGCACCATTCGCACCCACGCTCAAGAAAGCGAATCCAGATCCCTGGGAAGTCTTCGGCGCCAAGAAGAATAAGGCGAGGGTCGGCGCCGCCGAAGAGCCTATGGTTAGGACACGGAAGGCCGATCCGGAACTGTTACCGGCAACACGATCATCTCCCATTCCCGAACCCGAACCTGAGATTGAGCCAGAAGACGATGAAAAGCTGGAGCCAATCTTGCCCTACAAACCGCCAACGAAAAAGGCTTGGTGGGACGAGCCCCCAGCTCCACCGAGCCCCGTGAAGAACAAAAAGAAGAAAGGTAAGTACGATGTTGCTGACGAACCTCCCAGGGACCCAGATCCGGAACCGAAGCCCATAGAAGAGTCCAAAGTTGAGACCGATTTGCCAGTGGAGGAGGACGATTTCTGGGGCAACTACAGTAAGACGGTCAAGAAGGACAAGAGGAAGAGCAAGAGAGCTGGACTTTCAGAAGAACCGGCACCGCCGCCACCACCACCGCCGCCACCACCACCGCCGCCGCCTCCTCCGGTAGAACCAGCCGAGACTTTTCCGTGGGATGATGTCCCGATCAAGAAGACCAAGAAGGGGAGAAGGGGACAGACGGAGCCTGAACCACCACCGCCACCGCCAGTCGAACTTGAACCGGTAGCTGAACCGGACCCGGAGCCCGAGCCAGTTTCTGGGCCGCCCCAATTCCCTGAATCAGATGAGGAGGACGAGCACCCCGGCGGCTGGTTTTCCTCTTTTCTTCACAAGACGGATAAGAAGAAGATCAGGCAAACATCTCCCATGCCTCCACCTCTTGAAGAGCCAGAACCGGAGCCTGAGCCGGTCCAACCAGAACCAGAGCCGGAACCGGAGAAGGAAGAGGACGACCCTTGGGATTATCCCATCTCAAAAAAGGACAAGAGAAAGAAGAAGGGAAAAACCAGTGAGCCCGAACCACCACCGCCACCACCGCCTCCTGAACCCCCAAAGAGATCCAAATCATCAAAGTACGACAAGGAGGATGAATACGACTTCTGGAGTGGTTCAACATCGAAGAAGAACAAGAGGGACAAGAAGGGGCACGCCGAACGTGTGTCATCTCCTGAGCCGTATGTCCCTGAGCCAGTGGAAGAGGTCATCTCTGAGCTGGAGGACCCAGAGCCCGAGTTTGATGCGGAACCCGAGCCGGAAGCACAACCTGAACCCGCTGCTGTGTCGGATCGCGAAGACAGACTATCAGACGACGGATGGGGCTACTCCAAGAGAGACAAGGACAAGAAGAAGAAGAAGGGCATTGAACCTGAAGTCAAGTCAAAAAAGGAGTCCAGGTCAAGTCGAAAAACCGAGCCAGAACCCGAGCCCGACTCAAAACGGAAGAAAGCGAAAGACAGCATCTGGAGCTTGCCTAGTGACCCAAAGAAGGACAAAAAGAAGAGGAGAGGTGATTTGGATGAGGACAGCAAGCCGCTGGCTTCACCTGCACCAGACCCGCCTGATGTCTGGGATGACGACTATCAGGACAAGAAGAAGAAAAGCGCCATCTCGGACGAATGGGCAAATTACTCGAACAAGGATAAGAAGAAGGGCAAAAACGCCATGGATGTCCTCATGGGGCTAAACAAATCGGGCGATCCACTAGCTGACTCAGCTCGGCAATCACCGCCAAGCCCTCCTCACCGTACCGGTGGCTTCTTCGGATCTTGGGAAACCGACAGTGACCGTGACGACAACCGTAGACACAGAAAGCGGTCCAAAGACAGTTCACAAAAGCCATACAGCATCGAGGAGCCTACTTTAGACGACGTCTGGGGCGCTACCATGCCCGGCAAGCGCAAGAAGAAGGCTAATGCCGGCACCGACAACGAACCGGTGGAGATAGTGGAGGACCTTACCCCGGACCCCATCCAGCCGGACTCTGTGGAGGAGACCAGGGACGACAGATACAACCAGGAAGACAGCAAACCCGAAAGCAACAGCTATGGCAGCAGTTTCTGGGGCTGGGGCGGCTTCGCCAAGAGCAGCAGCAAATCATCCAACAAGGAGTCATCGCTTCATGATGAGCCAGCACCACCTCCGCCGCCACCTCCAGCGCCAACTCCTCCATTAGACGAACCGGAGCTCGACATCTGGGCCGATGACGATGACGAACCTCAGCCGGTTGTCAAGGCTGAGAAAGAGGACAAGAAAAAGTCCAAGGACAAGAAGTCTAAGGACAAGGAGCCCAAACTTAGCGAGAAGGAGCTGAAGAAGCTAGAGAAGGAGAAGAAGAAGGCCGAGAAAGAGGAAGCGAGGCGCAGACTCAAGGAAGCCAAGGAGTTGGAGGAAGAACTGAAACGCAATGCTCGAGAAGCAAAGGAGTTGGATGAGGCCTTGAGGCGGAAGGCTGAGAGGGAGAGGGAGTTGGAGGAGCAAGCTCAGCGTGAGGCTGAAGAGCAAGCAGCCCGTGAGGAAGAGGAGCAAAGACTGCGAGAGGAAGAAGAGCAGAGGCAACGAGAGGAAGAAGAGCGTCGACTTCAAGAAGAGGAGGAGTGTCGACAACGGGAGGCCGAAGAGCAAGCTCGGATCGCTGAAGAAGAGGCTCGCATTGCTGCCGAGGAGCAAGCCCGCAGAGAGGAGGAAAAGAAAGTTGCAAAAGAGAAGGAAAAGCTCGATGAAGAAGCAGCGGAGCTCGAAACACTTAGGCTCAAGAAGGAGAAAACGCCTCGGAGATTCACGACAAGAGAGCAGCGCCGGCTCGACATCCTCGCTAGCAAATTCGAGGAGATAGCGCGCAAGCGACAAGAAGAGGAAGAGGAGCGGCAGCGAGCAGAAGAAGAAGCAGCCCGTATCGCCGAAGAGGAGGCTCGCATTGCTGCTGAAGAACAAGCTCGGAAAGACGAAGAAGAGAGGATTGCCAGAGAAATAGCAGAACTTGAAGAGGAGGAGGCTGAGCTTCAGGCACTCCGGTTCAAGAAGGCAAACTCGCCGAGAAGGTTTACAACAAAGGACCAACAGAGGCTTCAGCAGATCATCAAGCAACGCAGAGAGAGGAAACGCCTGAAGCAAGAGGAAGAGGAACGCAAGCAACGAGAGGAGGAAGAGGAGAGGCAACGGCAGGCTGACGAAGAAGCCCGTCTTGCTGCCGAGGAACAGGCGCGGAAGGATGAGGAGGCCAGGCTTGCTGAAGAAGCGAGGATCGCAGAGGAGGAAGCTAGGATTGCGAAGGAGGAAGCACAACTTGCGAAGGATGAGGCCGAACTTGAAACCCTCACAAACAAGAAAGCAAAAACGCCTCGCCGGTTTACCCTCATGGACGGACGGAGGCTCGATGTCGTTACTAAGGATGTCAACCGGCGACGGGAGGAGAAGGCTGCTCGAGAGGCTGCGAAGAAGGCTGCGGAGGAGGTTCCGCCAGAGGCTGCAGACCAGCCCGGAGACGAATGGCAAGACGCGGATGAAGGTCAAGGTGCAAACAACGACGAAGACCCCGAGGCAGCTGCTCTCAGGGAAGCAACAGAGAGGGCAATCCGCCAAGCCGAGGAGGAGGCCGAAGCCAAACAGGCAAGGAAAGCGAGCAGAACCAAGGGCAAATCCAAGGCTGATCCACTCGACGACATCCAGCTCACTCCCGAGCAGGTTGACGAATTGCTTGGAGAGTCTTCGAAACGGGACAAAAGTGTTGACAGCCAACCTAAGGAGGATAAGCCTGATAACAACAACCACAACAATGCCGCGCCTGGCGGGTTCAGCCTCTGGGGAGCTGCCAAAAGGGGCATCTTTGGCTTTGGAGGAGGCGGCGGATGGGAAGACCACAATGAGCAGCCTGCTCCGGAACCTGAGCCGTCAGCCGAAGATGATAAGGCAGCTGAGTCATCCAGAATGGTAGAGGCAGCCATGGCTGCTGGTGGTGTGATTGGAGGCGTTCCTCCTGGGCTATGGGATGCAACCCCCAAGGCCGTCTCACCGTCGCCTGAACCAACTGCTGAGCCAGTGGTCTACCCCGCCAAGCCCACCAAGTCCAAGAAGGCTGCGGGGAGCAAGAGCAAGAGCAAGATTGCCGACCGCCTGCGCGTCTTCGAGTCACTTGACGCCGGGGCCGACACACCTGCTGATGCTGATGGTGGCCCACCAGCCGCACCGTCGACGCCACCACCACACTTTGGTCGTCCCCCTCCCCCGCCCGCGCCATATATGGTGCGCTCGCCACCGTCACCTGCCATCTCACCCGTTGTCGCAGTTGCCGTATCTCCGCCAGCGCAGAGGGAGGAACGACGCAAGTCATCAAGAAAGAGCAGAGACAAGGACAATCACGACTATTACTTATCGGTCCCTCCACCATCGCCGCCGCCTGTTGCGCCGTCGGGCGCACCACCTGGGGGTTTCCCCGGCGGATTTCCGACCGACAACGATTACCGACCCAGTCGCGACATGCATGGTGATCACCATGATAACGACCCCGATAACCACCGAGAACCTGAACTTGTCGATTCTGCAGCCGAACGCGCAGCCGAACGAAGAGCAAAGAGACGATCGAAAAGAATCTCGCCGGAAGGTGTCGAGTTCGACTTGCCGCCTGCGCCGCCCTCACCCCCACCTCTCGCGCCCGATGCGCCAATTGACGACGAAATGGCAGAGTCAAAATCGCCTCGAAAGGAGAGGCCCAAGATAAATCGCCAAGGCACAGCTTGGGGTATGGATGGAAAGAAGCCATCATCGAGGCCCAAGGTCGAGCGAGAGCCAAGCGCAAAGAGGAAGACTGCGCACATCGAGACGCCCGAAAAGCCACCACGGTCCAGAGATAAGGAAGCGCCAGCACCGACGGCGCCAGCTCCGATGCAAGCGCGCTTCGCTAGCGTGTTCACCAGCACCCCTCCATTGTCGCGATCCATGTCCCAGCGCGAGAAACGCCTTGGTCCCAACGGCAAGCCCATCGCACGCAGATATTCGGATAGCACAAATGCCGTCGCAACCCCTCCTGCCCCTGCTCCTCCGCCAGATGATATCTCATCGAAGGCGGCAAAGGTCTTAGGCGTCGGTGCCCGCGGTCTCGGAGTTGGCCTTGGCCTTGCGAATGGAATCCTTCCCAATGGCTTTGGGCGAGGGGCTCCTGCTGCACCTGCGCGCAACAAGCAGGGTAAGTTTTTGTGTTGCCGTTTGTTGTGAGACAAAGATGTCGCTAACTCGTTTGTGCAACACGCAGACTTGAACGACAACACGCCTGTGTCAGGTGCTATCGATCCCGATTTCAGCCCGACCAAGTCGGAACGACGCAGGGCAAAGGTATGCGACAGCCCAACATTCGCCGCGTCGCAATCGAATCAGTCAGTTGCTAATAACAAGTCACAACAGCAATACATGTCCGAAGACGACCACGTCATGTTCGAGATGCCCGATGCTGCACCCCCCGCTCGTCCCCCGGTTCGCCGCGTCAGCACCAGCAACGCCAACAAGAAGCCGGGCTTTAGCCTCTTTGGCGTCTTTGGCTCGAAGCAACAGCAAGAACCGCCACCACGCCCCGAACCTCCTCGTCGAAGCCGAACAGTTCCCACATATCAGACTACAGATGATGAAGGTGGCCGACAGCCCGCAGCCGCATTCGTCCCCGAGACCGACGCCGATCGCGAAGCCCGCAGAGCCGCCCGTCGCGCACGCCGTGCAGAGAAAGAGGCAGCCGAGAGAGGCGCCGCCGTACATTCTGCTGAAGAGGCTCGTCGCCAAAAGGATGAAGCCCGTCGCGAACGGCGCAGAAAGCAGGAGGAAGAGGAAGAGGCTCGGAGGCTAGAAGAGAAGGAGGCCCGTCGTGCCGAACGAAGAGCCCGTAAGGCCAGAGAGGAAGAGGATCGTCGTGCGAGAGAAGAGGAAGAACGCCGAGCTGAAGACCAAAGGGAAGCTGAGCGCGCCGAGCGGAGGAGGATACGAGCCGAACGAGCTGCTGCCGAGGCCGACGCCGGACACCGTGACGTCAATGGTGGTAGACAAGATGAGCGACACCGGAGCAGTCGGCGCATGCCTCCTGAGTCTGACCGTGAGCACGACCGCGACCGCGAAGATGACGAGGAACGGCGAAGGAGGAGAGAGGCCCGCCGCGCTGCCAAGGCCGCTCAGCTTGCCGCTGAAGCTGCTGCCGATGAGATGGACAGGGCCAGGAGGGAGCGAAGGCCGAGGGAAAAGAGCACTGCCAGACCCGAACCGAGAGATGCGCCGCCAGATGAATACGTCTATCCAACATCAAGGCAGCAATCCAAGGCTCGAAAACATGGGCAAGGACAACATGATGGATGGCCACACTCGGGAACCACGTCCTGGGTCAAGGACCATGCTGACGCTCCTGCTCCTCCATCGCCGCCCAGACCTCCAGGTACCTTTGTCGACGACCATGCCAACGGGCACGCCAATGGCGGTGCACCACCACCGCCTCCTCCTGTTATGCGTCACGAGCTAGATGAGGAAGAGGCTGCTCGGCACGCAAGGAGGGAGAGGAGAGCTCGCAGGGAGCAGAAGTATCATGCCGCTCAAGCGGCCGCTGAGGAAGCCGAGCGCGAGCGAGAGCGCGAGAGGGAAAGGGAGGGGGCATATGTTAGTGCGCATGATGATGAGAGGAGACGGAGGAGGAGAAGACGCGGAGATGAAGAACGACCTGAGCGTGCCGAGCGCGAGCGCGAGCGCGAGCGTGACCATCCTCGTGAGCAAGACCACAGAGATCGCGACCCCAGAGACCGTCCCGAACGCAGTCAACGCGAACAAGACCAACGCGAGTACTACAGCGCCCGCGACGACAGGGAACAGCTTCCCCGGCCTCGGGAGCGGAAGCGTGGAGAACGGGCGGCCGATTACGATGACCGTGACCCCCGGGATCCTCGCGAATACCGCGATTCTCGCGCGGAGAGGGGAGAAAGAGGAGACCACGGCGGGGACCGGACTGGATCCGGCTCCGGCAGTGATGGGAGGGAGAACAGGAAGAGTGGTGGTGGTGCTGGGTTTGGGGACCAGAGTACCACGCCGAGGAGTAGTTGGTGGAAGAAGATTGCTAGGTTTGGCTAGTTGATCTTGCTTTCCCTTTTTCTCTCCATTTGCTTGTTGCTTGTTTGTAACGAATTTGGTTCGGACTGGAGTTCTATGTTTGGGGGTTATTGTTGTATGACTTGATGGCTTAGGGCATTACCACCATATGTGGATGGGATGATTGTGGGAATTGGGAGGGGCATGGAGTTTAACGGATTTCTCTGTTGGGTCGGTTTGGAAGCAAAGGGCCTGGTGTCTGTCCCCCGTCCGGTCGCTTGTTACATTTCTTGTCCTGAAGTGTCATGATATATACGGATGATGATGAAGAGATGAATGATGATGCTGTTCAACAACAAGATACTACTACGGATACAGGTGTATGGAGCTATTACTGCAGGACAACTGTTTGAATTGTATCTGTCACTGTGTCATTGTGTTGTCACCGTTACTCTCTACTTGTGCGATTGTTGCTGTGCCGATGGGTTGGTATTGAGTAGTTCATCTCGTCTTTGTTCTTATCTCGAGAGCTTGTGCTGCGTCCTGTCCTGGATGGAGTAATCACACTAAGAAGTGAGAAGAAGAAGTACGCACATGCTGCCTACTTATTGAATTCACGAGAGACGAGAGATTGGAAACTGGAGAAACTGGAGGCTGGAATTTTGTTTTTTTTTGTTTTTCACTGAGAGAAAGACCTAGTGTACGCTGCTAGTGTTCCGACCGGAGTGAGCGGTGAACTTCTGGAATATATCCACGGCCCGCCATTACGCAAGGGGTGTTTTGAACCATGTGGAGTTCCTTAAATCCACGATTGAACTTTGAGGGTCAGAGGGTCAAAAGAGCCCCTAACCACAACATTCTTAAAAATCTGAGTAACCATACTCGTGGAATACTTCGATCATTCTCGAGTTGAGACAAGAACTCTACGGCGAAGCCGTTGCCATACCACATTCCGCACCGAACGCAGCAATAAACCAGCCGCCTCCTTCCCCATTCATTTCTTCCACTCTTCCATCAAATCCCAAAACTCCCAAAGCAATCCCAAAGTAGTCAAACTCCGCTCCGAAAGAAAACATGAGGGGGCTGAGAATGGGATGCGTAGATTTCCACCATGCAAGCCATCCCATTCAGCTTACCACCCTGCCACCTCATAAACTCCATAGGCCTCCATTAAAAGTCCATTCAGGTGTTCCCCAGCACGCCAACACTAACCAATAGGGGGTGACGGCTTACACCAGTCCCCTGGACTATCACTACCGTAGCTCCTCCGTAGTCACTAAAAAGATCCACGGATCGACAAAGCCAAGACCGGGAAGAGACTAAGGGGTCCCTCAATTCAGCTCAGCTCGGAGCTCATGCAGGGACAAATCGAGGTTTTTCTTCTTTTCTCGTGATCTTCTTCGGGGGTCGGGGTCAACAAATTCAAGTACAAGGCCAAGGCCAAGCACAAGGGAAGGTCTCACAACAGCACGAGACATGAAAGCACCAAGCACGAAGCACGGTAGTGTAAGTAAGCATGTCTCAAAATCATTGGCGGCTCTCGTTCTTTGTATGACCCCCAAAGTATATCAACCGAGTCGAGTGCCATTCATTCTTGTTTCCACGCGGGACCGGGCACAGCTTGTTGGGATCTTACACCAGCCATTCTTTAGCCAGGTACAAGTGAGCGATATGTGTGATGTGACCGGGGAAATGGGTGATCTAAGTGGACTCCTTGACATGGGGTTGTTTTTTCAGCTACGCTACGCAAAGAAGAACGCGGTGTGGAATTTTATCTCTGCCAATATTTCCACCGGGACATGTGCATAGGCGGGAAGGGGAAGGGGGAAGAAGATCTCAGATCAGATCCGGCATGGAACTATGGATCTGGGTACCTTACTAGTCAGCTCCACGGTTCGGGGACCTTTGAACCGGGGATCTTTGAACCGGGGATAGGGGATACAGGTACGGAGTTTCTGTTGATCACACAGATTCACAGATGGCTGATAACGCTACCTACGTTCTCTCGGGGGATATATAACTCTCACAACGTCCTCCCATCTCTCTGTCTCGTCCCTCCCTTTTGTTGTTTCCTCTCTAGCCCACTCACCATCTTCAACCCCCAGGCCAGTCCAACCAGCCAGCTCCGGCATTCCTCTCGAGAGGATCCAGGACGAACTTCACATCCATCCATCCATCCATCCATCCACCTTAATATTTAATACCCTTAATTCCAATAAACCGTCAAAATGAAGTTCACCCTCCTCTCCACCGCCCTCACCCTCCTGACCGTCACCGCCGTCGCCCTCCCCACCGGCTCCTCCTCCTCCTCCTCGGAGAAACTCGACGAACGCTCCTACGTCAACGCCTCCTCCACCGCCACCACCTGCCCCCACCACCCCTCCTCCCCCTCCTACTGCGCCGGCACCAAGGAAAACGCGACCCTCGCCACGACCTACATCTGCGGCGACTCCCGCCTCGGCCCCGTCGTCCTTCCCCAGTTCTTCCTTCCCTTGGACCCCATCCTGGACATCTACGACCGCTTCGGCGGCCTTTGCCCGGGAGCCTTTCTGGAGAAGTGGTTCAACAAGACCGGAGGCGGGTGGTGGGATTACCCGCCTCAGAGCGGGTTCAGCGTGGATGATGAGGGGGAGATCATTGCGGCCAACTTGACGCTGCAGGTCGGGACTTTCCTGGATCGGTTCGGAAGTGAATATGGCGCCTTTTTGGCCCCGGCTGCGGCGCCGTATTTGCAGAGGAGTTTGCCGCCTAGTAACTTGAATGGGGATGATAAGTGAGTTTTGTTTCCTGGGGTTGGTCTTTGAAGGGAGAGAAATGCTAACGGAAATGATTAGGTTCCCATACAACTACCACGTCTACAGCGTCATCAAGCCCTTCAAGGTCCTTGCTGGACCCATCGCCCCTTGGTTCGGTCAGCCTGGTCAGGGCGTGCAGTACCAGACTACTGTCAACGTTGCGACGCTTATTGCTGATGGGTATCTGAAGGCTGAGGATCCCCAGAAGTTGGTTCCTAAGCACTACTAATTGGGCAAGGTGGTGAAGATGGTGAAGATGGTGAAAAAGGGGTCGTGGATGGATGGGGGCTTCCAATGTCCTTGTTTGACATGGTTAACGGTTTTGTAATGGATAATGTCTGGTTGTATATACCCAGGGGTGAAGTGGAAACGGGGATCATGGAGAATGATGATCTGGTTTGGAGTATTCATCACAGTGTATGGTGACTGCCGTGACTGCCTATAGAGCGATCAGTGAGTGAAGACGTCAGACTTCGTGGGGGCTTCTTTCGATATATGTAAGACAGTGAGATCCGCGCCAGACAGAACGGAAACCTTGAGAGTGTTCAGTTCACCCTCTCAAGCGGCCTATACTGAAGGGGAGGATTGCTGCTGCCGATTCTTTCTTCTGCACAAGCCCTCAAGTTTCATATAGCAAGGTGGAAGATACCCAGTGGCGTGGCTGAGCGAGTTGTGGTCCTTGTCACTTATGAACTTGATGATGATGTTGTCATGTTGTTCTGTCGGTAGCTTGTGTCGGTAACAGCTCGATGTGGGATTTGATGCGGTACCGTCTGTCCTCAACCCAGTGGTCGAACCACCAACCACTCGCTCTTGATCGTGCAATATTTTTCTTTCTGTGTCCCGTGTCTCTCCTTACAGGAAGCTTCCAAACAGGGCTTCAAGTCTGTATGTCAGTCATATCTTATTTCCCTTCCTCTCAACTTTTTATCCCAACTTCCAGCTCATTCCCCGGTCCCGTGCCTGCCTCCCAAACCCGCCGCTGACCAACTGAAGCCCAGTGCCCCCTACGGGTAACACTGATAAGGGGTATATGTATTACCTCGACCGCACCACATCACAACGCCCCCTGGGGATGAACGGTGCCCTGGTAGTGGTGTTGCCCTTCCCCAATCTTCCCTTCCCTTCCTTGAGCCCTCCGCTAAGGCGTTCGAACCAGGGTGGTGGCACTTCCATGAAGTTTTTTTTTGCAGTTTTTTTTCATTCCTGTTTTCCGGGAGACCGACATTGCCTTTTGCTTCCTGTCTGCTTGCTGCCCTGCTCTTGACGTAAATGGCTGGCTTTAATTCCCAGTCGGGAGTGTGGCTCCATCCGCCACACGCAAGTAGTCGTGTCTGGAACTGAAGGGCCCAAGGAGAGAATGAATGACTTATAGATGTGTCTGCATAGAGATGTGTGTTGATAACGGTTTTTAATAGTGTCTTTGGACGGGAGAAATAGAATACTAGAGGAAGAACACAATGGTAGTAGGTGGTCTCATATGCAATGCTCATTGTCTGGACTACCAGTCGGCTGGCCTTGTCAACAAGCATGAAAGCGTTCAAACCCAGCAACAATCGTTTGAAAGGCCCTTCTACTCCAGACGAGTACAACCACGAGTAGACAGTAGGTCGACCATGGTCGTCACCGTGACCGTGGCCAACCAGCAGAATGTGTAGAAGGAGGACTTGACGGCCACATGACTACCAACACGGACACAGCTCATGTCAGGCATGGAGACACTGTCCTGGTCAGCTCCACTTCAGTCTTGATTAAAAAGGAGGAAGCACCGATGGCGACATAAGACAGGCTGGGAGTGGGTATTCAAGAATAGGCATTAACAATACCAGACACCACGCAACGCGATGCGGACTAACTACTACTAATGATAAAGATAACTGACAGACAAAAAGGCCTGCGGTGCTACGGTGCTGCAGCCCCCTCTAGCCCGTGATCGTCCCGTCTCTGGCCGGACGGGAAACCGGTTCCGCCTCTCGATATAGGTATAAATGCTGGCTCGTTATTAAATGATATTTGGCGCCACCTTGCCGTCGCGTCGTGTGCGTGTCTTTTGGACGTTCTCCGTCTATTTCTTGATGCCCTTGCTGTCGAGGAAGGCCTTGAGGATGTTGACAAAGTTCTCGAGAGCGGCAAGGTACTCCTTGAGCTGAGCGTTGACCTTGTCCTGGTCATCGCCGAGCTTGCTGTAAAAGTCGGTGCGGTAAGGGCAGGCGCTCATGGCGGCGCTGAAGATGGGCTTGATGAGGAAGCTGTGGTGGGGCTTGAGGGTGACATCGTAGGCGGCGCGGAAGGAGGTAGAGAGCTCCTGGTCAGCGGCGGCGACGTTGTTGGCGAGACCCTTGCATGTGAACTCGAGACCTCTGGAGGATTGCTTGTTAGCATACCGTTCCTTCTTCCTGGAGCCGTCTATTCTAATGTTCCCTTACCTGACGAGCCAGAGGAGGGCCTGGCCGGCCTTGTTCTGCTTGGCCTTTTGCTCGTTGTTAACAAGGTCCTGGAGAGTCTCGGACTCGGTCGGGGTGGCAAGAAAACGCTGGCGGATTTTCTATAACAAATGAGAGCACATTGTTAGCTAGCTGTACTCGGCGTATGCTGGACAGGACAGTTGACGCACCTCGACATTGCCGAGCATGTCGCTCTTAACGGGGGAGAAGGCGGTAGAGCCGAGGACATCGAAGATGGAGACTAGCGACTCGGCAGCCTCGAGGAACTCGGTGGTAGGGATGGCATTCTCCTTGTCGGCCTGGACGGGGACGTCGGTGAAGGAGCGCTTGAGGGTGTCGAGGTAGGTACCTCCGGGGGGGATCTGGACGGTAGACATGGTGGTGGTTGTTGTGTGGGTTGGTGGTGATGGATGGTGATGACGATGAAGATGGTTTGGAGAAAGAGAAGAAAGACAACTTGAATGTTTAGAAACAGCAACGGACTCGACGGGACGAGGTGGGAAAGGGGGTCCCAGGTCGGTCACTGGCGAGTGGAACAGTGGAACTTGAAACTGTCACGATCCCCAATCATTCGACCGTGCCCCGCCCAGAGCTAGGGGACAGGTACCTAAAGGCGGCTGTGCTAGGCTCGCTGGGGCAAAGAGTACATGCCCTGAGACACGGCAAGTTTCCCCTCCCCCGCAAATCTGATGTGTCCCAAGTTCATCTACTGAAGTCGATGTTCCATTGGACACGGAGTTGAATGTTTATGCGGGGTTACAAAAACAGAGATGGAATGGAAACGTTCAATATGTCTGATTGACAGGTTTTGAACACGAGAGACACATTGAGAGCCCTTGATGTGGTGTTGATGAAAGCTTCTCCTTGTTGGACTCGTAATCCTTATCGATTAGGGAGGAGGACCCTTGTGGTTCAGGCCACCGGTAGGCACGGGATGCCTTTTAACATGACGAGGATACCGCGGACTGTTAGCTATTCAGTGTCTGTCTTCCCATTGGTCAACGTAGGGTTCAAGACCCACTATTTACGCTGGAGCTTTCCAGTGGACTCGCGTTCCTGAAAGTCTCGAACTTTGTCTTTGACTCTGAGAACTTCCATGACTGAAGACACTCTTTCCTTCCATGACATCGAGGCGCAGTTGTCTTGTCTTGGACCCTTAGGGTCTCTTCAGAACATAACAATTTCTTTGATCGACATCCTTAACTGGAACCGGTTCAATTCTTTGAATTTGACGGAACAGCATGCGGTGCACACACACACATGCATTTACGCACACAGGCCACCCGGTCGCATCAATGCATTGCAGCAACACAAGAATTGCTAGCATGACGTCATTCCGAAGCGGTGTTAGTGATGAAGCCTCCCAACATGCTCTTTAGCCTCTTCCTTTGATGTTGTTTTTCCACTCTTTTAACCCGGTCTGTCTTTGCGCCTCTTGTGTATTGGCCTTTTCACTCGGCCAACCACAAACACGGGAAGCAAGAAAAGGCATGACCAAGTCGGATCAGAGATGCCGAGGGTTGGGGAAGTCGCATCACTCGCATGTTATTCCGCCCTGAACCGTCCCTCTCCATCTTTTTCGGCACCACCTGAACACCCTGGGCACACGTATTTTCCGTATTCTCGAACCTGTTATTCTCCGAGTCACCTTGCTTTCTCGACTCTCGTCATCCTCACCCTGGTCCAGCGGGCTTCCCTTCCACTCAGCATCCTTGCTGCGCTTACCGTTCCGCTTCCTAAAAGGAACATGATGCTACGGCTTCCGTCGTTATAAACGCCGGCCCTACCTATCATCCAGCACCCTACGTACTTTAGCGCTCCCGTCTTGCTGGCCAAGAACTCCTTTGATACCCTTTCGATTCTTTACCAAAGTAAACATTGTCTCTCCAGAGTGTACTTCTGAGGACCAAGCACTACCACAACAATGACTACCGAGCTGGCTGCAGGTGGTCCTGCTCAAAGCGGTAAACACGAGCACAAAAAGAGCACCAGCGAAAAGCTCAAACATCCCATTCGTGAGATCCGCGAGAAGCTGGCCAACAGCAGTTTACACGAACATCTGGTCCATGAGAAGAACAAAATCGGAAAGTTCAAGAACTTGATCAATCCCCAGCATCGCCATGACGAGGCCCACGAAAAGGCCTGCGACGACAAGCGAACAAACATCTGCCTCTCCCATCGGTTCGAGTCCTTCTTCCCCGAGCGTGATGGCAACAATATCAAGTGGTATGTCGACGGCAGAGACTACTTTTGGGTAAGTTGACTTCCTCTGATCATTCAAATAACTCCAGCTTACAACCATTCTAGGCTGTCTCGGTAGCTCTCGAAAAGGCAAAAGAGACCATCTACATTGCCGATTGGTGGCTTTCTCCCGAACTCTTCCTGCGTCGTCCTCCCGCCTATAACCAAGAATGGAGGCTCGACCAAATCCTCAAACGCCGTGCTGAAGCCGGCGTCAAGATCTATGTCATCGTATACCGCGAAGTCGAAGCCGCGCTTACTTGCAATTCTGCTCATACCAAGCATGCCCTACAGGCCCTCTGCCCAGAAGGCTCACCAGGACACGGAAATATCAAAATCATGCGCCATCCCGACCACAATGTCTTGGAAAACGTTGCCGACATGACCTTTTACTGGGCCCACCACGAAAAGTTCATTGTCATTGACTACGAGATGGCCTTCATTGGTGGCCTCGATCTCTGCTTCGGCCGTTGGGACTACCATCAACACAGCTTGGCAGATATGCACCCTGAAGGCGTCGCCAACGAGATCTGGCCCGGCCAAGACTTCAACAACAATCGTATCATGGACTTCAAAAACGTCCAGGATTGGAAGCAGAATGAGCTGTCCAAGGCAGACCATGGCCGTATGCCGTGGCATGATGTCGCCCAGGGAGTGGTGGGTCCCTGTGTCTACGACATTGCTGAACACTTCGTCCTTCGCTGGAATTTCATCAAGAGAGACAAGTACAAGCGTGACAAGCGCTATGATTGGATTGAGCTACAAGGCCGGCAAGGGCAAGAGGAAGATCTAGTCGGAGTTCAGAGGCCCAAATTCCCCGTGGGCGAGTACGTCGTTCATCCACTCACTCCCCTCACCAGCAAACCTATCGTAGACCGAGGCACCATACACGCCCAAATCGTCCGCTCCAGTGCTGACTGGTCGAGCGGAATCCTTACCGAACACTCGATCCAGAATGCTTATAGCGAGATCATTCGCAACGCACAGCACTACGTTTACATCGAGAACCAATTCTTCATCACGGCCACTGGAGACCAACAGTCACCCATCCACAACACTATAGGCCGCGCCATTGTAGACGCCGTAGTCCGTGCTGCTAAGGAAGGCAGAAAGTTCCGCGTCATTATTATCATCCCTGCTATTCCTGGATTTGCGGGTGACCTTCGCGATAATGCCGCTTTGGGTACCCGTGCCATCATGGACTACCAGTACAAGTCCATCTGCCGTGGAGAGCACAGCATCTTTGAGCAGATCCGCAAGGAAGGAGTTGATCCCAACCAGCACATCTTTTTCTTCAACTTGCGAAGTTACGATCGACTAAACAGGACCGCTGCCGAGAAAAAGATGGAAAAGGAAGCCGGACTATCATACCAGGAACTTCAGCGAGCCCAGGCGGAAGAAGTCATGACAGAGGGAATCCACGGCACCAACGACCCCCAAGGTGGCCGTGACTCTCACATGGGCAGCCGAAGAGACCAAAACGGCACCCCGCAGGAATCCGAAGACCAGAAGCACAGCCGTGATACGAAGAAGCGGTTCGAGGAAGCTAGGAACAAAGTAGAGAAAGAAGGGACCGGCGGCGATGAAAACGTGAGCGCATATGTCAACGCCGACGGCGAGCTGGATGGCAACATCAACGGAGGCCACTTCAACGGCAGCAACCCGAACGCATCAGAAACGAATAGCCCTCCTAGGGGTAAAGATAACACCCGCGCCCAATCCAGTTTTACCGTCGCCCACCACGCCATGGCCCGCACAGGATCCGTAGCCGAAGTCACATGGAACGGCGACCCGGAAGACGAAATCAACAACTGGATCCAGGAGGAGCTCTACGTGCACGCCAAGGTGCTCATCGCCGATGACCGCATCGTCGTCTGCGGCTCCAGCAACCTCAACGATCGTAGCCAGCTGGGCTATCACGACAGCGAGCTGAGCATCGTCATGGAGGACAAGAAGACGGTCCAGACCACCATGGACGGCCAGCCGTTCGAGGCCGGGTGGCACGCTACCTCGCTGCGTCGGTACTTATGGCGGGAGCACCTGGGTCTCCTGCCGCCGCAGGACCTGGACGCTAGTAATGATCCGAATGCGCAGCCACCGGGCGATGACTCGCCCAATGATGCGTGGGAGCGGGATGAGAGCTGGAAGCTGGTGGAGGATCCCCTGAGCGATGAACTGTGGGAGATGTGGACGAGTAGAGCGACCAAGAATACCGAAGTGTTTAGGCACTTGTTCCATGCTGATCCTGATGATCATGGTAAGCTTTTCCCTACCTACAACCCCTCTTTTTCTCGTAATGACTCACTAACCATCAACAAAAAGTCAAAACCTTCGACGACTACAACGCCTTCCTCCCCGCCAAGGGTGTCAAACCAGGACACATCTTTGACCGATTCATGCCGCCCACCGACGCCCGGAACAAGCTGGAGCAAGTAAAGGGGCATCTGGTCTGGATGCCGCTCGACTTCCTCAAGGATGCGGACATGGCAGAGCGCGGGCTTCAGGTGAACTCGTGGACTGAGAGTGTTTATACTTAGGTGGGCGTGCCACGGTGGGTGCGATTGAGGGTTATTGACTGGATTGAGAGAGTGTATGTTTGAGTACTGTGGAAATGAAGGGGGGAAGCTTGAGGAGGTATGTTTTATAAGTGATGTCTTACGACAGACAGGTTCTCATAATGATGATGAATGGTCTACAAACGGGAAATGGATGGGTTGGGTGGCGCGCGGTGGTATTGTTATCATTCCTAGGTGTAATATTGTTAGTGAATATGAGTACAATGACTGATAATGTATCTGGAGTGTACTCGTAGTATGTTGGTCGCTTTCTGAATGGTTAAGGTGCTGAAGAGACACTGGTGATTTAGCAGGACCAAAGGACGGCAGGGTGCACAGGGTGAAGGTCGTTAGTTTTAAGGTACCACCACAACTACAAACGGAGAGCAAAAAAGGAAACCCAAGGCAAGAAAACATGTAGTTCGATTCGAGCAGTATCAACATGCATGATGTTGCGATGGTGGTCAAGGAGAAAAAAGTTGCAAAAAACATACAACACCAGGGATTCGCTGGTCGTCACCGACCCAACTACTAGTCTGGCGATTGGTAGCTTATCTATGGGAGAGCGGACGGGATCCCGAGTTTTCTACCATCTATGGTCGTATGTACTTGTTATTTTCCAAAGCAGTACCTATAAACACAAATGGGATCCGTCGGTTAATGTTAACTACAGAAACTGTCATTGAAGCTCATTATTCAACACACCAGGTAACATACATCACGACAAATACCAAATCTGCTAACAGATGATTAAACAGAACAATCAAACAAGCACTCTATTACGCCAGCCATGATATCTCCAACAGAAACCATTATTCACAAAACAAAATCAGTTATCAAACCCGCCCCATCCCTCATCCTCCTTCTCCTCCACAGGCTGCTTGTCATTCCCCGGTAGCCTCTCATCCGCCAACGAGTCCTTGGACCTCACCCTTATCGCAGGGCTCACCGTGCGCTGCTCCAGCTCCTCGATCTTCTCGATGATCCGCTGCACAATCTTGAGCGCCTCCTCGTCGCCCTCAAAGTCCAGCATGCCGACCTTCTCGGCCTCGTCCACCCAGATGTCCAGCACGTGGATCTTGAGTCCGGCCGGTATCTTTTTGGCGAGGAGGTGGAGCGGGTCCCGGTTTTCCTTCTTCTTGGGTTTCTCTTTCCTGAGGGATTCGTGTTGGGGCTTGGCGTCTTCGTCGTCTTCGGATTCGGGTTCTTCTTCGGACTCGCTGCTGTCCTCCTTGACGTCCTCGTCCAGCGCAAACGGCCACTCGGCGAGCATGTCGAGGATCTGATCGACTCTTTTGGCGTCCCACGCGCTCTTCTCCTTTCCGCTTCCCTTCTTTCCACCCTTTTTGGTTTTGGTAGCAGTAGCAGCACTAACATCCTCCCTCCCATCCTGCGCGCCCTTCATCCACCTGAAAGAAGCACCCACCACCCGTCTGACCAGCAACAGGAACTTCTCCATGCGCAGCACGTCGATCGACGTCCACTCGCGCGACATGGTCGCCCAGAACCCGCGGAGCCACGGCACGACGGATTCGCGCGGGAGGATGTAGATGAGGTCGGCTAGCTCCTGGGCAAGGGTCTGCTGGGGGATGGCGCGGTCGCACATCCACATGGCGTAGAAGAGACCCTTCCACAGCTTGAGGATGTCGATGGGCGAGAGCGTGGTGGCGATGTGCTTGGCGGAGAGGAAGGTTTGCAGGGAGGTGAGGGCTGATTTGCGGATTTTGCTGTCTGTCAGGCGAGGAGGGAGAATGTCAGTAGTGAATGGGTAAACATTGAGTTGTTGGGCAGAATCCGATTGATTGTATGTAGGAGTGGTAGGAATTGTCAAGAGGTATAAGGTAGGTATCCCCGGTGGTGATGTAGCTTGTACTACTACAATCACATGGCAGCGATTTACTGGTGGCCGGTGGGATGTAAACGTACCGCTCGAGGCGAGGTTCTTGATGAACGGCATGTTTTGCGACGCCATCTTGACTGATTTTGTTGTGGTGTTTCCACTCAACTCTCTTGTTTTGACGGTTTGTTGTTGTGTAAAACTAAACGCAAATTGGGTATACGCTGTGTGTAAAAAGACGAAGTACTGGGATCGGTTTCCTAGAGGCGACGAGATGCTGCTGCAGGGCGGGCTGGAGATGATGGTGGATGGAGTTCAAGCCGATTGAAACGAAATCTTGTCCGCCCGGCAGAAAAAACTGGTGGACCTAGGTACCGTACCTCTAAGCTTCGAGAGGTGACGATTGGAGATAAGCAGCTGATAAGACCCCGCGGCAGGCATTTGGCTGTCCAGCTCGCCAAGATGCGGAGGAATGCGCTCGCTTTGTGATTGGTGAATGACAGTTATGGTGGGGTAGATGTCTCAATACGGGAATGATCAGTGGTCACAGGTGACAGCCGAGTCGATGGCAGAGTGAAGCATGGCATCCAGTCGCCAGCGGCCATCGTCGGCAGGACGGCAGGGCGGCAGGACGGAAGGTCCATCACGATGATTTCGATGATCCGTCCATGTCGATTCCGGCTCCATCCATTCTCCTCGTCTTCCCCGCCTTGCCCGCCCACCCGCCTTCCGCTATCCGGATTCGGGATCTTCTCCTTCCCGCTTGCCGGTTCCCCTGATCCCCAGACTCTGTCCGGACTTCTTCTGGAATCCTGCTTCTTTCGTCCAAGCACCGGACCTAACGTCGTCCTCACCGCATCAACTGTCATGTGGTCCAGAGACTGTGCTTTCATTGAAGGAATTAGTTTGAAAACTGGCGGTCTTGCTAGTCACTTTGATACTCTCAAACTCTCGGTGTTTCTCAGTCCTGCAAATGGTCATGTGAACTTGGTGCTATCTTTGTCTAGATAACGTATTCCAGCGGGCCGTCAAGCCTATCAAATTCACATGAAGTCAAGGGGAACCGAGGACCAACCAGTGTCGTATTTCAGGGCTGTGAACCGTTGACCAATGGACAAAAACAAGATCCAGTGACAATCAGGGGTAGATCGACGCTCTAACCCCGCGGATACATACCATTGGCGATGGCGGCGGCGGCAGTCTTTACCCCGGATTGCGGTCGGGTTTGTCCGGGGCGGGGAGAAAAACTTGAAAAAGAGGCTTGTGACAAAAAGGAAAGCGCGGGGACGTATCTGACATTGTATCGTCTTATTGGAGCGCTTGCAGGTGGAAATGCGCCAAAAGATAAAACAAGCTCTCTCAGCCAAGTAATATCTACATGTGTTCGACCTATCTGACCACTTGGCGTCTCTTTTAGTTTTGATTATCGGGGTTGATTCGGAGACATATCGAATGGTTATCTTGACGGTATGGTACTTTATCTGATACGAGATTGTTGTGTTGTGTTGGAAAGGGGAGACGTCCAAAACCCGGACTTTGGACGAAAACAGCTTGATTAGTGTAGCGGTCATCAAAATCTCCTACAGCTTCCGACAACCCTGGTTCGATCTTTTCTGACATTTTGACCGTCATGAATCGCTTCTTTTTTGTTCTCCAGAGTCCAAGATTGCCAAAAGATTGTCCAGTCCCAAAATAGCCGATTCTCCACAGGTACCACGCACGTGCCAAGCACAGCCTGTAAAGTCGCAGGTGGTGGAGGATTCTGAGGTCACTGCAATGTTTGGTCTCCACGGGCAGTGGTCCCCACCGTTCGTGCTTGGACGGGACGCCGTTATGTTCCCGCCATGCTGCAAGTGCTGCAAGCTCTTTGTGCAGTGGAAGCACCTTCCGCATTCCTCGAGGCTCTGTGTGCGTTGCTTGGCGTTTGGGCCCTGATCCGGTCGCGCGCGCAACGTCCTCGAGGGGGGAAGAAAGTGACCAAATTGCTTATTTTAGTATAGTGGATTCTTTACATGGATGGGCATTTGTACTGCAGATTTGGTATGTGGAACCACCAAGACTGGCCAACTCCAAACGGGTATAATATACTAGAGTGCTATATAGAGTAGTCAAGCTACTCTCCAGCCACTGTATAGCTGGCTGAAATCGATATTTTTATTATCTTTACTATAAATACTATAATTCGTATAAAGTACTAAAAACTCCTAATATCGATGACAGCGAGTTTAATAATCGATAAAATATAGCCACTACCCTCCAGGCAATATCAATACCCTTAATAGAGCTCTCAACAGCTATCATAGTATCCCCAGCACCCTTAACAACTATTATAGTACTCCCAACAATTATTATAATATTTCTAGCACCCTCAATAGCTATACTCCTAGTAGTCCTAGTACTCCTAGTACTCCTAGTACTCCTAGTAGTCCTAATACTAATACTCCCAGCAATCCTAATACTCCCAACAATATTACCCTTATTAATCCCAGTCTTAATATACCCTCTAGTCCTAATTCGACTCCTAAAACAATCTCCTATTACTTTAATAATTAAAGGATTTACCCCGCTATAAAGAAATTATTATCGTAGACGATATTTTTATATATAATAATAACAAGGAATATATCGTTAAAACGATTAATTATTATAAACTATATTAGTTTGCTAATACTCCTATTTTTTTTTTTAATAATATTAAACTAGAGAATAACCCTATTGCCTGCGCGCTAAATAGCAAGGCCCCCGTCGAAGTTAGCGATAACGATAACGCTTAAGATTTAATACCTAAAATACAAAAGCGTACGTAGCGGCCTAATAACAAGGGTACTAATTAAACCCCTAAATTTAATAAGAAGTAAAATTCTAAATATATTTAGACTCTAGTAGCGTAGTATAAACTTATTAAATTCACTAAAATTGCCTTCAATTAGAATAAATTCGAAATGATAAAGTCAGGTAAAGGGTTCTTGCGTAATATATACGAGGAGTAGGCAGTTAATATAATTAAATAGATCCGTACTAACGAATTTAATAAGGAGAATCGAATAATTTTTATAGACTCCGTTACTAAATAATAGAAGAAATTGAAAAAAAGACTAAAATAATAGAATAGATAGTATACAGTCGTACTAGCACCTCTTTTAACTTTGAATTTAGTAAAATTTAGTATTTTAATACTTATTAGGATTTATATATTAAAAAGTAAGGTATTAAAGAGGGTAATTAAATAAAAAGGAACATATTTATTTTACTAGGAAATAAGAAATATAATTTTTTAATAGAAGTACTATATAGAAAGACCGTTATTAATTTATAATATCAGTCTATAGAAACTACAATAGGAAACGATTTTGAAGAAACTAAAATAAAGGCGCGTCGTTAAAAAGTAAGAGAGTAAGCGAATGTTAAACGTAACGAACGTAAAATTAAAATTAACCCCGACCTCGCTTTTAGTAAATTTAGTAATAAAAATACAGAGGCGTTCCCTATTATTAACTATACAAAAAGAATTTAGCCCGTAAGGAAAGTAACAATAGGATAGGGTAGCGCCCTTATCACAAAATCGATTAGTTAAGTAGTCAAAACCTTAGGTAACGCGAAACCCATTAATACCGTTAATATAGAAACGGCCGTAGCGGACTTCTAGAAGAACTATACGAAGGATCTATCGCTTAATACAATATTGGATATTTCCGAAAAATTTAAGAATAAAAAAAAAATTATCGTTTAGAATACTTTAGAAGCTAGGTTTAAGTCCGCTAAAGTAAAGCGATTTATTAGAATAATTAGAAAGGAGAGGAGGGTAAAAAGAAGGGCGCACTATAATAATAGCGGTAGTAATTAGAAGTAGAGGAGGGGTGGCGTATAATATAAAGTAAAACGTATAAAATCTTAAAATATTTAAAAATCCAAAAATTTAATATATTAATTATTATCAAATTTATACTCAAGGTTTATAGAAACTACTTCCCCAGATTATTTATAAATAACTTACTATATTTAATAACTTATATTTACTAATATAAACTATTTTATTAATCTGAATTTTTAATATCGTATTAATTCCTGTCTTAGTAAAGTCTTTAATACTATAAATTCAATTCTATAATTATAATCTATATATTTATACCTTATAATTTATATTTATAATTTATACGTTCAACGCATCTTTTTTACATTTATTTCTATATTATTTTCAATTATAACTCCTTATTTTCAATTAATCCTTCTATAATAACTAAATACCAACTACGACCTTCAATTGTAAAATTTTAACATTATCTTCTACATACGTATTTACTCTTACTTTAGCGGTAGCAAATAAAATTATAAATACTTCCTCCTCTTTATATAATTTTTAATTATATTAATAATAGATAAAACTATATAGTCCCATAATAATATATATAAAATCGATTTAAATTAGTAATGGGTATTCTAATACCGATTCCCGTAATAACCTCGCTATACGCTTTAACTAACCGAATACTTACTCAACCTTAACGCGACTCTAATTATACCACTTATTATATAACTCCTTCCTAATTTTAGGAATCTTATTGCTAAATACTTCGATTTAATTTTAAAAATAGTATCAGATATTAGAGAATAGGATTCTAATACTTCGTTATATTACAAACCCTATATTAGCGAAGTAATACCGGTTAAAAGGGATTTTAAAACCGTATTATAATGCGAATCTTAATAACTTCGAATTTTATATAAACCTTTCCACCCCCGCTAATATATAAGAAAGGATTTATTAAATCGAATAATAATAAATACGTTCTAAGAAGTAAATCCCTTTCTATTATACTAGCGCTATACTTTATTAGTAAATACTTTTATGTAGATATAAATGCTGTCGATAGTACCGATAGCGCTAGTAAACTATTATTTTACTAAGTTAAATTCGATTTTTAGCGAAATATAATCGTCGTCGAATTATACTACATATATAATATAAAAGCGTATAAAGGCGAACAATATAACGTTAACGATACGGGAAATAGAGGATTGGCCGATCTTAAAGAAGTATACCGCTTACCATTGATTTTTATTAAAAACTACAATCTATAAGAAGATTATAACTTTCAAATTTAGAATATAATATTTATTATTACCGATACCGCTATTATTACGCAGCTATATCGTTAAAACTTTATACTCCTCCTTCATTATACGAAAGAGTTTAAAGAAGTATTTACTAGAGCCGTTAAAAAAGTATTAAGTATAATCATTAGCGGTTTCTAATCCACCCTCGTTATATATATCTATAGTATTATTATTTATTCTACCGCTAAATAATATAGAAACGGCGGCGATTACCTATATTAAAAAGAGGATTAAGTGATTCTTCCTCTATAAATTGTAATCGGGTTTAACTGCTTCTTCTAGTAGTATAATAACTAATTTATTAATATCGAAGGTTATTTTACTAGATTGCCTATATAAATTACCGCTATTAGTAAAATATTACGGCCGCTAATATAAATGGTATATCTCGAGCTACATAATTACGTATTATATAAGCCCAGTTACCTATATTCTATATGAGAAATCCACCCTCGCCACTCGAAATACCTATATCCTCTCCTCCTTTTACGTACAAAACCTATTTTAAGGGAGGATAAGGAAATAAATCCCATCCTACAATAATTCTACTATGAATAAAATTAACTTTACCTCTTTAAGAAATTATTAAACCTTTCTAAGCACTTGTATAAACTCTATACTCGAGGTACGAGGTGGGTTTTGTGTATATGTCCCCCGATGGATACGAACTGAAAAGGGCTCCATTTTGCGGTCAAAAGAGGGAAAGTCAGTTCCTCGCTAAAATTAAGCGAGTGTATATATCCCCCTCTGCCCTCTCCCCCAAAGGTGTACGCTCGACCGGATCAGGCCCTTGGGCAGTGGAAACTCTGACTGTCTCGAAATATTCAATCATCTGGCATCACGATGCATGGCAACTTGGGGTTAGTGACAAAGATTTACTCACCGTCTCCTCCCTATTATGGATCTGGGAAACCAGGCCCGACAGGTTTTTCAAGTCACAAGAACGGTTGGCAAATCTCACAAGGGCCTCAAGGGGAAGCTCAGCTATCCCAAGTCCGACTTCCGAGCAAAGTCCAGTGTCATTGGGCTCCAAGTGGACCAGATGGGGACCTTGGGGTGGACTACTACAGTGGGCATCCTCCACATTCAGTCACGCATTGTTAGTCCGTTGACGAACGTCTTCACGATGCTTCCAAGCGTTCCAGGCTCGATGAAAATCCACGTTTATCCGTATAATTAGAGGGCCAACAAGGTATCGCGCTGGATCCGTCTTAGGAAGCTGTCAAGTGACGGCCCTTATCATGCGATTCATCATGCCTCGGTCGCAAATCGGCCGGACCCGGTATGGGCTTCACATGCCGCCCCCGAGTGGCCTGTATACTGTGAATCTGACCTCATACCAAAACTACATAATGTCATAGTCCTACGGGCTGTTTGCTCTGTCTGTTCTCGTAGATTCCTACTTTTGAAACAAATCGGCTTGATTCTCGTCTGTCTTGACATCCTACTACTACGGCACCCTACCGCCTAGACACACCATCCTACACAACAACTACCCACAAGACCAATCGCACAGTCCGTGTTAGTCACGACTTGCAAACCTGGACCAGAGTGCTACGATCCCCAGCTTCTAGCCAGAAAGAAACCAGTCATCTTCCCGCCCTTCCGTACAGGCTGAAGAGCTAAAAGGAGAACCGCTTACCGACCGTTGAACCTTCCTTGTTCGACCCGAACTTCTGGCCAGATCCGACCGAGTCTGCTGATTGTAACCCCCCGAAACTTTGGCCTGTTCAATCCCCCGTCCGTTGTCGGTGTATCAACATACCTCTACCGAAACCGCCTCATATACAAACAGACAAGATGGCGCCTGCCTCGAGTTTATTGCTTGCTGCCGCTCCCGCTCCTCACGCCCACACTTCCTTCTCCTCCCACCACACACCAACGTCATCGTCAAATCGCACAACCATTACCAACACCAACCCTACCACCACCTCTTCTACTCCCCTCCTCAGAATCCAGACCATCGCCAAACACATGGCGCTGCCACAAACAACAAGTTTCCCCGCCCAGGTGGTGCCTCAAGCCCCCGAGGATCCTCTCTTTGGGTTGGCGAGAGCTTTCAAGGCGGACACAAGTCCCCAAAAGGTTGATTTGGTACGTTGCTTTGCGTCGCGTGGTGCAACTATCACAGCAATTGCTAACTTGCTGCTTCCAGGGCATTGGCGCGTACAGAGATGAGAATGCGAAGCCGTGGGTATTACCAGTTGTCAAGAAGGTGAGTTTCACTTTATTTCTATTTCACTTCCATCTGGCCATGTGGCGCAATGGAGTTCCCGTCAGTTCCATCGTGAGAACTGTCAATCCGGGGAAGCCTGTAGGCGTTTGGGCGGGATAGGGTGGTCCCCGCCCTGAAGCTAGGCACCTTGTGCGACATACAGAACCCCTCATTTGGACCCCTCCTCCACCTTCCAGGGCACTTACAGCTCTCCCTGCACTATCGCCATCATCACCGTCGTGCAGCAAACAGAACACTAACTTCCTAAAAAAAACAGGCGGATGAAATCATACGAAATGACCCCGAAGCCAACCACGAATACCTCCCCATCGCCGGTCTCGCTTCCTTTACCAGCAAAGCCGCCGAGATCGTTCTCGGTGCCTCCGCTCCCGCCATCGCCGAGGGGCGCGTCGCCTCGATCCAGACCATCTCCGGCACCGGCGCCTGCCATCTCGGCGGTCTCTTCCTCTCGCGCTTCTACAACCCGTACGGCAATGCCTCCAAGAAGCCCACCGTCTACCTCAGCAACCCAACATGGGCCAACCACAACCAGATCTTCTCCAATGTCGGCCTCCCCATCGCCCAGTACCCTTACTTCGACAAGAAGACCAGGGGCCTCGACATCGTCGGCATGAAGAAGGCCCTCTCTGACGCCCCCGAGCGCTCCATCATCCTCCTCCACGCCTGCGCCCACAACCCCACCGGCGTCGACCCTACGCCCGCCCAGTGGCGCGAGATCGCCGAGATCATGGCCGCCAAGGGCCACTTCCCCTTCTTCGACACCGCCTACCAGGGTTTCGCCTCGGGCGACCTCGACCGGGACGCCGCCGCCATCCGGCTCTTCGTCGAGCTCGGCTTCGAGCTCGTAATCGCCCAATCCTTCGCCAAGAACTTTGGTCTCTACGGTGAACGCGCCGGCTGCTTCCACTTCGTCTCCGCCCCTTCGTTGGACGCCGCGTCCGTGACCACCCGCGTGGCCTCCCAGCTCACCCTACTCCAGCGCTCCGAGATTTCCAACCCGCCCATCTACGGCGCCAAGGTGGCCTCGATCGTGCTCAACGACCCCGCGCTCTTCGCCGAGTGGAAGGAGAACCTGCGCACCATGTCGGGCCGCATTATCGACATGAGGAAAGCTCTGCGGGCCAAGCTCGAGGAGCTGGGCACCCCGGGGACGTGGAATCACATTACCGACCAGATCGGCATGTTCTCGTTTACCGGGTTGAATGAGAACCAGGTGGCTAAGATCAGGGAGGAGTTCCATATTTACATGACCAAGAACGGGCGCATCAGCATGGCCGGTCTAAATACGCGGAACGTGGATTACGTTGCGGGAGCGGTAGATAAGGTTGTTAGGGAGGTGCAGTAGACCCTGTTTACCTCTCTACTTTATTTTCTGCTCCAGGTCTTTATTATTCTTTGGACATGTCTCTTACTTTTTCTTGTTCTCTGCTTTTCCCTTTTCGTCAACGAATAAGCGGTTGTCAGGTTGTCATGCTGTCTGTCTGCTTGGGGATAAGCGAAGATTACAGCTATCTTTTCTTTTATCATTACTACGGGTTGTGTTTGCTGGTTGTTGGTGGGATATTATATGGTAACGAGGTCCAAGATGCCTCATGGGTATTACTTGCTGCTGAATGGCAACAGTCACGGGGAGGTTGGGAGACACAGTACCTATCGATACTTAAGAGGATTGATAGGACAGAGGCACACTAGATATTTACGTGCTCGAATGGTTAATCAAAATATTTGGTTTGTTTTTGGTCCTTGCGGACTTTCTGATCCGTCAAACTATTGTTCCTTTCTTCGTCCCTTGACTTGTGTGTGATGTGACTGGTAAAGCCTTTGGTTCCACTCAGCCCCTGACATGAAGTAAACAAACTGTAGGAGGATATCCACAACTGAGGACGGGTACGTACGGTCATGATCAACATTACTCACTATATGGAAGACTGGCTGATCTCTAAACTGACACCGCAATGCCCACCAATCTCACTTGTGTACCGGCCCCAGAACTGTGCACAATCCCGTATAAACTCATCAAACTCGCCTATCCGTTCTGCCACGCTGCTCTGGGATAAGGCAACTAGACGGCCGATGAAGCACATTCGCAGATGCTGTAAAATGCTAGGGAACGCAGGGGATCTGGTGGAAGTCTATGTGTTTCTGTCGACCCTGAATTCTTTGTAACTGTTTTGGCGTACCCAAGCCTGTAACTGTCTATATGGGCATCACCAAGTCTTATAAGCACAGAACGGACAGACGAGTTTGATGAGTTTATACGGTATAGGCTGTATCTAAAGTGCTACACAAAATCCGCTGTTATCGCTTGCAACTCATCACCATAATCCCTCGCTAAGTTACTCCCAACCCCAATCCATATCCTGCACCGTCTGCGCCCTTTCGTCTACTTTTCCACCTTTCAACCGACCGGTGAGCCCTTCCGCCCAGTGACCATCTTCCTTCTCCTATACTGCCGTGACACAACGATCCAAAATTCCTCACCAACCGAACGTGTTTCCAACGGTGATCCTGCCCGTTTACCCGGATGCCATACCCCCAACACGCTCCATGGTTGAAAGCATCCATATCGGGTACTTCAATGTTCATGCTGATGTATTGGTTAGCGAAATTCTGAAGACGACACCAGAGACATCTGTGGGGTTGGGACAGGGGAGGAAGTTCGACGGCCACGACAAATGAGACAGAGCCACTCGTCAACCGTCCTTGCTCGATACAAGTAGGAAGGCCCCCATTACCCTGAGAGGTAGACAGCATCGCTTGATCCGGAGTGTACTGTGTATATGTGCTTTGATGTCGGGAATCTTTCAATGACAAAACCCACCGATGATTAGTTATTTCGTTCCGCCATTCGCATCAGCCCTTCACGAGTTATCACTTCCAAGGAATTTATAGGAGGCACAAAACCTCTGAGATCGATAAACAGCCTCTCGTCGTCAGCGTCCCGAAGCCACATCAAGGTGTGTGGCCAGAACCATGCCATCGTCGCACCATGCCGTGGCCCTTCGCCAAACCCCATGCCTATGATGGGGCCGAGGTTTAATAATATGGGTTCGTAAAGTCCCGCCATGTGCCTATTCATGTCATGATTATTGAGGATAATACCTTCGATGTATCTGTATAGTCGATAACCGAACCGGAGCGTGGGTTTGATCAACCTGATCAGGAGTGGATAGCATGGGAGTATCCCCAGACGGGGGTAGCCGAAGCAGGGGCATGGGACTAGGTCTACTAGGTCGTGGTACATAGTATGACCTCGAGGTCGATCTCGATCTCCTCGAATTCTATCGTCAACTGCCAGCTCCGTCCGAAGTAACGAGTTGAAAAGTATTTGCTCAAGGACCATGATGTTATGGTTGCGTTCGACGAAGCTGGACACGGTGTCCGGGTTGCGTACGGTGAAGCGCCCGCGTAGGGAAAGGTAGTGCGTAGTTATCGGAAAACTGAAATTGTCCACTGTTGCAAATAGGTAGAACGCCAGGACCTGGGCGGCAGTGAAGAAGACAGTGCCGGTTACTTTCGACGATGGTGACTTCCACGCATTTGCAATATTCACTGTCGAGCATACATGGTGAAGGATGTTCGAGGATATTTGACTAAGCGACATTTTGAACGGGATGTTGACACAACTGTTTTGGAAAATCGAAGAGAAGTTGAAGCTGGCCTTCCTGTAACAGGAACGCGTGCGTGGGCGGTCGGAAGCGAGGGCTTCGATAACGACGAGAGTATAGTAGTCGTGGTCACCTGCTCGTAATCGATTAGATTTTGATCGGCAAAGATCTCCTTGGAAGACACTTACAGGCACTTTTCACTTTGATTCAGCTTGCTCCGAATGCTGGTGTCCATGTGTACTCGGAAGAACTTGATCTACCACTGCTGGATGATTGACGGCGGCAGCAGCGTGATGCAGAATGGGATCCGAAATGGAAGGAATAAGCAGAACCAGATGAGAAGAGTCCAATAAGCCCCGAAATAACAAGCGTTCCCGGTGATGAGGATGGGGTCGACGTCGAGGAGTAGATGATACTTGGTACATCTGAACAAGTCAAAGTTGACACGGCTTGGTGAAGGGGGAATAAGACATGATTTATCAGATGAGGATTATGAGTACTAGTTGGGCAAGCGTCGAGGAAGGAAGGGACATGTGGTTTCTGATGATGGCAACACAAGAAGCTCCTGCACTTTGCAGGTTGAGGGTAAGACAAACTGGAAACAACAACTGCCAACACAGTCGAGTTAACGCAGAAGGATGTAGTCAGTGGGAGAAGTAACGATGGAGTAAAATCAGTAAGTGGCTTCCATTTCAACCCGAATTTTGATCAAGCGCTTGCCGCCTATGATCCGAATTGCGGAAACCAACGATCTTAAATGATCAGATCCCATATAACAAGGAAAGCGCAGAGTCCAGTAGCAGCAAAGAAGGTATACCGAGCTGGACTGGCCCTGTTAGTGCTCTTCTTGAGCTCCTTGTTACCCCTGTCGACGCCCTCCGTGGTTTCGAAGGACTCAGCAACAAGCTGGTCAATATGCGCCGATTGAGTCGTGAGGTTGCTAACCAGCATGTTTTGTAGTTCGGAAATCTCGAGGAGTGATTGTTCGGCGGCCCTGTAACGCAATTAGCCCCTGATACAAATCTGGATAGTCCTCCTTTCTAGACATGCTCCATACCTGACTTTGTCCAGCGTGCTTTCAAAGTGCTTCACCATATCCTGATTCCCTTTCTCGAACATTTGTATTTGTTCGTCCGTCAGGTCTTCTGTAGGCAGCGACGATTTTCTCTCGTGCTCATCCACAGGCAGATGAGAGGCATTCCCCTGGGCCACGCTTCCGGACCGCCTCCGTGAGCCAAAGTCGTTTCCAGCACCAAATCCAGCACTGCTCCTCGCCTTGGCCAATACGCTCCTGTTCTTTTCCATCTCCCGTGTTAACCTGGTCTCCATCATAGCTTGCTGTGTCCTTGCTGTCTCCTGCAGGCGCTGCCTCAAGTACCAGATAACACTCTCGCGATGTGCGCCCAGCTGACGGGCAACGGCCTCGGCAGCAGCATGTTCTTTGCTCTTTGAGCTTCCTACCGGGCCACCGCCAGCAGCCCAGGATCCCAATGCGCCAAGCCCGCGGGCATATTTCTTCTGGATCAGGGCAGTCTCGGTGCTCTGGCGCAGCTGCTCGGCGTCCTCGAGGGCGCGAATGCGGGCATTGAGGTCGCGCAGTGTCGCTTTGGCATTGGCATCGATCTCCTCGCGGTCGCGATCGCTAAGGTAGACTGGCTGGGAAGAGCCGTTACGAGCGGATGTGTGAAGGTGTGTCTTGCGCGGAGCAGCAGTCGAGAGGTAGGCTTGGCGAAGATTGCGAAGCTCGGAGTGTAATTGGGCGACAAGAGTGGTCTGAGCATGTACGTTAGGATAGTTCCGTGGAGATGTCAGGAGTGGAGGGAATGGCTTACAATTCTGTAAGCCTCCTTCAGGAACTCGTCGGCGGTATCAGTAGTAAAGGGCTTTGTGGGAGGTGCATCGTGGCCTTTGAGGAGCTCGTTGAAGGTGGAGGTAAGGTCCGCCATGATGTCTTGAAGTTGGGGGCTTTGTATTAAGAATTATGGCTGATATAGTGTATTTAGAGAGCACCTTGTCATGCAGGTCCGGAATTAGTTCCCGAGGCCATCAAGGTGTCACGATGTCAGAGGGAAGTTGAACTTGGAGACGGGACGATCCCATGCTGCCGCTGCTGTAGCTCAACGTGGCTGGAATGACGCCAAGCGATGACGGAGTGCATCGACGACGAGCAGTGGCTGATGCTTGATGTGGCTTTGGCATCAGGCGTAAATTCCGTGCCTGCCAAGAACACCAAGATGCCAAGATGCGCGTCTTGCCGTTGTGGGGTGTCGTTGGGCCCCGACCGGAGCGGGAAAACGGCAAAAACGGCACCGATGTCGTCAAGCTCGGTGTTATTTCCGCCGTTTCGGCAACTTTTGCATTTTCATATCATTCCTACAGACAAACTCCAATTCAAGATTCCAAAACTGATAGAATCGATATTGCCGCAAAGAGAGCAGTGGTACAAAAGTGGAGAGTTGTCGTATCGAGGTATTCGTACGTTGATATGAACGGACGTTGAGTTAATCTGTTGACCACGGGCACGGTGTCAAGTGTAAACATGACATCTCCATTGAATGCTTTGTGCTCTACTTGGGGGGTTCTGGGCGCCAAGCTTTCTTTCCCCCCTACTCGTTAAGTAGGGGGTAGCGAAAATCTAGGACAGGTTTTTATTTTGGGACATCTGAAATGTTAGCGTTCACCACAGAAAATTGTTAGCGACAATCGCGATGAACCATTCAACCACGAAACCATTTTTTAAAAATCTGAAAAAAGTCAGGAAGCAAAAGGAAGTATTCAAGAAGGCATCCTCAAAGTTGCATCAATTTTGAATGAGGCGTTGGTGAGAAAACGCGAGCGCTCTCTCTTTTGCTGTTAAAATGTCGGTTCGGTTTGGCGGTTGGTGCAACTAAGAAACGACGACATTGGTGGTTGATAGAGATTCCGGAAGCAACCAATTACTCAATTTCCTAGATGAAGTCTCCAAACTTTGAGATGCAATTCCTCTATGTTGGGTATTGCTTCCAAAATTTTCCTAGAATTTTAGAAAATAGTGGTGGTTGAAATGGTTCCCGTTCAATGCTATACTAACAGGTTTCTTGGTCTTTTGGCGCCAGTTCAGATGTCCCAAAATAAAAACGTGTCCCACGTTTTCCGTGCCCCCTACTTAACGAGTAGGGGGGAAAGAAAGCTTGGCGCCCAGAATCCCCCAAGTATAAGTCAAACTTACATTGCCCAGATTCATCTCTTCAACTGCTGTTACGGGGCTGGCGCCCAGAGGTGTTGGCCTAGCTTGCACTCGTGTAAGCCAAGCCTATGCTTGCCATGGGCTTGCCTGCTACGGGCTTGCCTGCCATGGACTTGCCTACCGCGGGCTTGCCTACCGCCTGTAGTCTTTTGGTACATTCTATGCCCCACCTTTATTATATATTTAGCTATGGCTCTGTGCTGTGCTGGCACAAATCCTCATTTTTCCTCTTTATCGATAATTACAAGCTCTTTTCAAGGCCTACCTATATATATACTATGTAGAACCCTTATATTATTATCAAACCTCTTCTTCAATTATTTCTCTAACTCCCTCAAGCGGTTTTATAGCTTACTCGCCGCCGCCTATTGAACCCGTGTCTCTCGAGACCCCGCCTGTTTATTACTCTGTATTTCTCGATATTCCGTTCGTCATTTCCAACTGCCAAAAGAGTCTCCTATTCCTGACCATTACGCTTGCCAAATTTTTTCTCCCTAATTCATGACAACAACCATAGCTTTTATTACTTAGTTTTAGAATGCTAACAAACGCCAATAGTAGTTTACTATAGCTATTTAGACCTTAATCGGAGAGATTAGCCGTCTCTAAACCTCTACCCCGAAGCCCATTTTTCTACATTTCGATAAATATTCTGGGAATAAGAAGGAATTCGATACTTAAATTTATACAGCCAAAACTAAACTATACGTTAATAGTCACGCTATTAGTAATTTAGAAACCTAATTCCATTACTTCTACTCTAGCTTTTTACCCGACGTCCGCTGGATTTTATTTTCCTTTACTTAATTCTCGGCCAACTATATACCAGCCAAATTATTAAAGAAATTCTATATTAAATACGGGGAGGTAAACTAGGATAAGAAGGCCGGGCTCGAATTTTTTATTTTATAATAGAGGTCTCGAAAATCTATCTTATCCTTCTTTATTCGTTTCAAAGAAATTCTTTACTGGGCTAAAACTAATATTTAATTAAATTAGGCTATTATTAATTCCTTAATATCTTTTTTAAATAACGAATAGTTCGGGCGCTTCCGTAGACGGCTAAAAGCTTTAAATAATTATTCGGAATTATACACTTACTTCTAGCGTCTTAACGGTAATAATTTTTTAAATTCAGCGCCTAGCACCGCCTATAATAATAAAGGGGAGCCGATGGAAATTGGTATTACCCGGACTCGGCTTACTACTTAAATAAGGAATTCTAATAGCCTGGCATCTAATATATAACGAAAGAGGTAGAAGAAGAAGGGTGCTTATACTACTTATGGTTTACCTTCATATTGGGCTAAGGAATATACGGCTAAGACTCGTATTTAGTACGTTCGTATCGACCTAAATAGGAGCCTAGAGGAAGACAACGAGATTTACAATAACGATAAATATTAAGGAACGAGAATAGTTTAGTAATACTATTATCAGGGAGGGCTCTAATTCCTAGACCCGGTGGTAATTCCTACCGAAGAGGTAAGAGTAGCCCTTATATACCCTATTTATACAAGTTTAATCGTTAAAAATCCTATTAAAATATATTGAAACTTGCCATTACTAAGGATGGTTTCTATAAAGAGATTAGCAGGACGGAGTATCTTTACGGATGGATAGAATTAGGCGTTACGGAATTAAAGTTTACGGAGCTGGCCCGCTATAGGTTTGGAGGTGCCCAAAACACTTGATTTAGTATGGCGGCTGCTGTTGCAGCTCGAAGGTATTGCTAGTACTAACGTATGCGTAAAAATAAGATATCGAAATTAAAAAACTTTCCTAGGAATTCGTTTTATTTTATAGTATTTTTATCGTTAATTATGTACTTAATTATTATTCTCTTATATAAACCTAGGTATTTGGAAGACTAGGGAGCGGTCGGCTCGAGGGTTCTAGAGACGTCGTCTTAGGATATTGGAGAGTACTAGTTCTGTCTTTTATGTATCTAGCAGTTCTTTTCTTTAGCTATATTAAGGGGGGAGAAAGGGAGTAATATCATGGGGCTGGCGCCCAGAGGTATTGGCCTAGCTTACACTCATATAAGCTAGGCCTGTGCCTACCACGGGCTTGCCTGCCGCGGACTTGCCTGCCGCGGGCTTGCCTGCTGCCTGCAGTCTTCTAGTACATTCTATGCCTCACCTCTATTGTGTATTTAACCATGGCTCTGTGCCATACCGGCACAGATCCTCCTTTTTCCTCTTTGTCTATAATTACAAGCTCTTTTCAAGGCCTACCTGTGTGTATACCACGTAGAACCCTTACAACCGCACAACTGGCAATCGATCATACTGAGAATGACACCTGGTCAAAGGAAAAGACACAAAGTGATCCATTCGCTCTATACGTTCTCCAAGTGACCTCGCACAATCGTCATGGCCTCCGGACTTCAGCTACTATCACGGAGGGCATTACAAAAAGAAGGTTTTATCATGTGATAAGTTCCTGTTTGTATCTTTTCAGTAAATTACATATTAGTGTTAGAGTTAGTTGGAGTTAGTTAGGGTTAGTTAGGGTTAGTTAGGATTAGGGTTAGCTCTGGGGGTGCAGGGGACCGGTGAGAGGCCCCCGCGTGTGAATGTCTTATCAATCGAACATATATTAGTCATATGCTGGTCATATGTCTGTAAATTACCGTAATTACACAAAGGGTACGGCCGGTACTTTTTCATGAATAAAAGTGGAATACGCACGGACCTTTCTGGTGCCCCCCGTTACCCACCCCCCGGACTTCTGCCCGCCGTCCGGCCAGTACGGATCGACATGATTGGACGGATGCTGACCGAGTTGTTAGTGATAAGCCCAACCACCTTCCTCCTCTGTCAAGCTTAACAATCCTCCATTTTTAAGTCAGACACTTTGCGACTCGTACATCCATCTATCTATCCAACCCCTCACTCCCCTTCCTCTTTTTGTCCTCGCTTTTCAAACACAGATTGGGTCTCGCTGCCAGTGTAAAAGTAGTGGCGGTGAGTTTTAAAATCCAGCATAAGTATTCTGGGTCTTTCGTTCCCTTCATAGAAGCATCAGACATCCTGCTCTATCTCTACCTAGCCACAACCTAAAAACAAACCCGCGCGGGTTTCAAGACTAGAACCACCCATCATGAGTGGTTCCCGTCCTTCATCAGTCTCCTCAGAGGCCTCAGTAGGTCGAGGTGTCGATTCCTCCAACTCAACACTGCAAGAGCAGCAGCCAGCAATAATAGCATCCGCACAAGAAAAGGACATCCCAACAACATCACCTAGCAATGATTCTCACTACCGGCCGGGCCCCCCCATAGCCGGGAACGAGCCACCGGACAGCCAAGAAGACCCCCGTCCGGGCCCGTACCCGAATCCAAACCCGGACCCAGACCCCGACCTATTATCCTCCTCAGACACCAACACCAACCCCGACCCCGACCTCGACCCCGAAGCCAGCCTCACCCGCCTCCCCTCCGGGCCCGCCTACACCGTCTTCCCCCCCTCCACCCGCAAATGGATCGTAACCATGATCACCTTCGCCGGCTTCATCTCTCCCATGACGGCCAACATCTATTTCCCCGTTCTCGACGCCGTCGCCACCGACTTGTCGGTCTCCATCAGCAAAGCCAACCTGACACTAACAACCTACATGATCATGCAAGCCTTTTCGCCCACCTTGTACGGCGACTTCGGGAACGCGGCCGGTCGCAGACCGGCTTTTATTATATCCTTTTTGGTTTACATTGCCGCCAACTTGGGATTGGCGCTGCTGCAAAAGAATTACGCGGCGCTGTTGGTGTTGAGGATGGTGCAGAGTTTTGGGTCCAGTGGGAGCTTGGCGCTTTGTTATGCGGTGGTGGCTGATGTCGCGGTGTCGGCGGAGAGGGGCAAGTACATGGGTTTTGTAAGTGCGGGGACCAACGTCGGGCCGTCGTTGAGTCCGGTGATTGGCGGGCTGATAGGGCAGTATCTGGGGTGGCACGCCATCTTTTGGTTTTGTCTGATTTATACCGGGGTGTGGCTGGTGCCGTATGTTTTGCTGGTGCCGGAGACGTGCAGGAATGTGGTGGGTAATGGGTCGGTGAAGCCGCAGGCGTGGTGGAATATGACGGTGGTGGATTATGTGAGGGGGAGGAGGCATCCTCCGCCTGCTGCTCCTGGGTCTGAGGAGGAAGAGGAGGAGGAGGAGGAGGAGGAGGTGATGCAGAAGGCGAGGAAGACTGCGAGACCGAAGTTGAGGTTTCCGAATCCGTTTAATACGCTGAGGGTGGTGTTCAACCCGGACCTGGGCCTGCTGATTTCGTACGGAACGATCGTTTACCTGGTTTTTATCCTCATCTGCGTCACGCTGGGCACCCAGTTCGCCGATCGGTACGGGTACGACCAGCTCGAGACGGGACTGTGTTATTTGCCGTATGGCATCGGCTGCACCGTCGCCGCTGTCGTGCAGGGCAGGATCCTGGATTGGAATTATCGCCGCTTGGCCAAGAAGACGGGCATGACGATCGACTACAAGCGCGGCGACGACCTGTCCAAGTTCCCGATCGAGAAGGCCAGGTTGCAACCTGTTATTCCCATCTTGGGTGTTGGTGTCATAGCGACGATCGGATACGCCTGGGCACTCGAGACTACCACGCATGTGGCCGGCCCGTTGGTGCTGTTGTTCGTTGTCGGCTTGTGTGTCACGGGGAGTTTCAGTCTGGTGAATACCCTCGTCGTGGACTTGTACCCGGAGGCGCCGGCGACGGCGGTGGCGGCGACGAACTTGGTCAGGTGCTTGTGCGGCGCGGGGGCGACGGCGTTTATCGATGCCATGTTGCAGATGATGGGCGTGGGCTGGACGTTCACGTTTTGGCCGCTGGTGGTGGTGGTGTTTAGCCCGATTATTTATCTGTTGATGACGAGGGGACCCGGGTGGAGGGCGCAGAGGAAGGCAAGGTTTCAGAGGGAGAGGGAGAGGAGAGAGGAAAGGGAGAGGTTAGCTAATAAGGAGAGTTTAGAGAGCTCGGATAGTTCTTCGGCGAGTGTTAAGAAGGCGGAGGACGGTGAAGGTGAGAAGAGGGTGGAGGATGGGATACAGGTACCCGTGGTTGACGGGAAGAAAGGGGAAGGCTCAAGCAGCTAGGCCCTCCTTTGTGGTATTTTCATTGTTGTGATACCTTACGTTTGTGCATGTTGAGCGTTTGAGCGTTTGGGTGTTTGGGTGTTTTTTTTTTTTTTTTTTTTTTTTTTTTTGTGGCTTGCTGTTCTTGATGATGATACCACAAAGCACAGAAAATGGATGGCCTTAAATGGATAGAAAGGGGCTGCGCACGCATGGACGATGAACGCCATTGAATGAAGGACGGGGAGGAACCCATAGAGCGAGGAAGCATGAAGATACGCATATAGATCGACGGGCAACTACCTTAGCTACCGTCACCAAAAGTTATAGCATTGCCCTTACAGTTTTAGTCTTAATTTCGTAATCCCGACGAGTTACCTGTTTACGTTACTTCATATCTGGTATCTGGAAGTCAGCCTCGGTGTAAGATATGGTTTCACTCTCCAAGTGTCTTGCGACCTGCAACTGTCGACTTCCGCGGACTCTACTACAAAACAAGAAAGCAGAAGAAGAAAAAGTCCAGCAACATTCTGGATACCTGGGAGCCTCTTTAGACCCAAATATAGACGTGCAAAAAAGAAAAAAAAGTTGTGCTAGAGCCGGGATTCGCACCCGGGTCTCCGCCTGAATCTCCTTGCCTCCCCCTTTTCGGGATCGGTTTGGGAGGGCGACGAGTTAAACTACTACTCCACTCTAACTGTTTTTGTGCTGTTGTTATTAGGGGTCAGATGTCGGTGCTTATAAACCGGCGTGCTTGGTGTAAGTGACGGGTAGGTGCCGTGTTTGCCTGAGGTGGTGATGGTGGTGAAGTGCTTGTCCCCGCCGGCTGGCGGCGGTGGTGATGCCAGCTGGTAAGGTTTCGAAAGCTTCATCTTGTCATTCAAGGGCGTCAGGTCCAGTGTACTCCGGTACCGTTTGCTCTGTGCCCAGCTGGCTGGTAGTCTTGAGTCCATTCGGATTAACTAGAAAATAGGTGTGCCATGGTATTCTGATTGCCAGTCGACAGCCAGCTCTCCCCATCATCATCAACAAGGAATCCAACAACTAGCACAGCCACGAACGCATTCTTTTCTCAATCTAAACACATCTGAAACGCAAAGTCTTTCGCTCTATCTACCATCTTCGCTTATCAACAAAGGGTATCATCAATATTATGTACTTGAACCTGTATCTCGCCCATATCTCGTCCACTCTTCCAGCTGAGCCGACCAGCCCAGACCCGCAGCCCTCCTCATCAAATATCAACCACCTTTTCTCATAACCATCCTATCCCATTACCATCCCGCTCACGAAAACCCATCATAGCCTCCTACATTAGCAGCACATTTTCCCATTTCCCATTAGCCTTCTTCGTCCACTCAGCATCATCACTCCCCCAGCACCAGGTCCCTCGTGGACTGAACCTCACGCTGCTCCAAACGCTTCCCATGATGTTCAAAGCCTTCCAAACTCTCATCCTCACCGCCGTCCGAACCGTCTAGGCCCTCAGTCGCTCTGTCGTCGTGACCTCATCCCACCCATGCGGCCCCGGCGCTTCGAACACACCCCTCTTACTGAGGGTCAGCCCAAGGCCCTTGTGTACCTCCACCTGGAAGGGGGCAAACGGTCTGGCCTCGCCGTCAATGCTGATTACGCCGTTCGGGTCCTGGTATCGGGGGGTCAAGCGGAAGGCGGACACTTTGCGGTAAGAAACCAAAGGGTTGTCGAAGAAGTGGCCCGATTCGACCCCGAGTTGGAGGTTGATGTTCTTCCAGAGAGAGATGTCGCCGTCGGTGGTGATCACGTCTAGCAAACCGTCGTTGGCGAGGGCGGCGGAGAAGAAGTTGGCGTCTGGGGCCATGTAGGCCATCTGTGGGGGTTGTTAGTATGACTGAAAGAGCAAGAAAAAGGGTGTGTGTGGGGCGGAAAACGCACATTACCGCAGTAAAAACTGCCCAACTTTTCATGAGGAACCACCTCCCAATCCTCGGGCAACTTATCATTCACCGTCCCGTACTTCAAACCCGGCATCCCGTCTCCCTCTCCCTCCCCTTCTCCTTCCCCACTAGCCTCCCCATTCCCAACCTCACTCTCGGCCCCCTTCACCCCCCTAGCATAATGCCCCCTAATCTCCTCCTTCCCGACCACCTCCACCTTCATCGCGACATCACACGGATACGTCTTCTTCCTGATCGCCAGCGTCAGAAACCCGTACGTAAACCTCGCCGCCCCCATCCACCTCAGATGCTCTGTAGTAATATCCAAATCGGCAATCAGGCCGTACGCCTGGCTCAAAAAGCTCGTCAGGCGCTCTCCATCTTGCAGCGTGACGCTGCACAGGTCCAGCTTCGTCGGCACGCCCTTGACGATGGCTAGCGCCGCTAGCGAAGGGCGGTGCGTGCCGTAGAGGTTGCATGACATGGCGTTGCCGGAGCCGCAGGGGATGTGGCAGACTGCTACTTTGGAAAGCGCCCTTTTAGCGTCGGGACGCTCGGAGAGGCCGTTGAAGACTTCGTGTGGTAAGCCGTCGCCGGAGCAGGGGACTGCGATGTCGTACCCCGAAATATCCAGGTCCTGAGCGAGAGTGACGGCTTCGCCTGAGTAGGTGGTGCGGATGACGGTCAAAGGCATGCGCGCCGCTTCGAAGATGGGGCGGACTTTCTTTTCGAAAATCTTGTCGGCGCCGCCGGGGCCGGCTTGGGGGTTGACCAGGACCCAGGCGCGCTTGCGGCGCTGGATGGGGGAAGGGTAGGCGAGGTCGAGGACGCGGGCGACGAAGGCGTCTAAGGTGGCGGCGGAGGGGGGAGGGATGGAGGGTGGTGAGAGAAGCGGCTCGCGCTCATGGGAGGTAGCTGAGGGGAGAGGGAACTCGAGTTGGCGGACGATGAGTTGGTGTTTCTTGGGAGAGGTCTCTTCGGCGAAGTCGATGCAGAGGTAGTTGCGGTCGGGGGTGATGTAGGCCCAGAGGATGTTGTAGAAGGGTACGGACCCGGGAGGGAGGCGGCGCGGAGGGGTGACTGTGGAGGAGGGGAGGAATCGTGTTAGTATACTGTCGAGAGGGATGTGGTTTAGGAATCCGGTTGAGCTTGAAGGTTGGGCCTCTTCCCAGTGGGCGTTTGTGTGACTGTAATGAGGATTCTTGTGTAAGAGGGACTTGATGTTTTTATATACCTGAACAACACGAACGTGACTTCTTGGTGGCAGCGGCATGTTCTGTACATGCGTTGCGGTTAGTCTAAGGACGAACGTAGGTCTTATGAGGAAGAAGAAGAGATGTCCAGTCAAAGAAAATGTGTATGTAGGAGTGATCAGGTGTGTGAAGTATATGGAGGGTTGACCTACCTTGAATAACCAATTCATCCTTCTCGCAAGTGAGTGTGACCGCAGGCAGTTCGAGAATATTGACATTCTTTCCCGAAGCAGAAGTAGTAGCTTGCGATGTCAAGGCCTGAATAGACGGCTCTTGTGCGCTCGCCTTCGCAATGGCTGCCGCGTGTTCGTCTTGTAGTTGTCGAACGTCCCCCATATTTTCCTCTGTGTGTTGCGATTCTCTTTCGACTTTCTTTGGTGTATATAGTTCTGTTTGTATCACGGTGACGGTCAGGCAAGAACCTCAATGGATCCTGTGCCGAGGTATGCGCAGAGGAGTGTACAAGTGGAATGGATGGATGCGGGTGCCTTTTTAAGCTTAACGGCAACGCGCGGATCCCGGCAACGGAGCTGATGATGATGGGCCACAAAGAAGCCAAACGACAAATTCGAAACCTCCAGACCAAAACACTGAAGATGTTGAAGAGTGAAAGTAGAGATCGGATGAATGACAGACTTGTTGCTGACTCGGGTCGCACTCTCGGACGAAAGCACCGTTGACACTCACTCAAAAACAGTGCTTGGCTTGGCACTTCGTTGTTGAGACAGGGGCAGGGGCAGTTTCTGTCAGGGGTCAACTGTGGACCCCGTCATCGCTGGCTGCTGGCTGCTGCACCTAAAAATCGTGCATCCATCAACTGCAGCAGGAAGCATGCCCGCCGTGCCCGCCGTGCATGGCGGGGTGGCAGGTGCTGACGGCGACTGGTAGACTGGACGAATCGCTCCCGCACCGCGGTTGGGCCTATCCGGGCAAATGCCCGAGACCCGGCACCGCTTAACCGCTAAGCGACAGCACACCCGGCACCAGATACGCCGGATATTTCGGAGATTAAACCGTGCCTACTAGACATCTTCGTGCCTCTACGTAGCCCATCACAGCTAGGTAGGTACTGAGAGAGAACACCGCTGAACAGATAATGCGGTTTGTGTATATACCTGCACAAAGAAAAAGTTGATAAAAACTCCGGCGTCCAAAAGAGTCCATGCTCCCTCGCCTCGCCCCGTCTACATACCTTCCTATAGGCAACCAAGTATGCAAATCAACCTAACTTTTGGAATACCTTTCTTTGCCCCGGCCGGATAACCCTCCTGCTAGTGAAACTCTGATCCTTTTAGTCAACTCAGGCAGTCCCCGCTAGCTGTATCAGCCACTCATACCCATCTACCTCGGTCCATCTCCCGGCACATATGAAGTAGTGAATGGAGATACCTCAGGACCTCTGATAACCTAGTTCTACTCCCCAAGCTTTGACTCTGCGGCTCGTTGGCTTTTAGGCTGGCTGACGGCTGACTTCAAATCTCGAGGTGCGAAAGCGCATCGCTCACGTATTTCGACGGCGTTGATACGGGTTCGGCTGGTGGAACTTCCCGCTTGTTCAGGTCCGACTCTGCCAATATGTCCATAACAGCCCACCAGTCCTGCTTCCTCTAAGAGCTGAACTTGGCCTTGAGCACTTCCTTGACCTTGGCCGACTGAGCATCGTCAAGAGACTCGACCGCCTTCTGAAGCTCAGCGAACTGCTCCTTAACACGAGGGTGCTCGGGGTTGAGCGCCTGAGCAGCGTTCAGGCAGCGCAGTGCAAGAAGGTACTTCTCTGTAGAATTTGTTAGTAAGAAATCAGGTAGCGGGGCTGTACCAAAACTTACTCCTGCGCATGTAAACATCGAATCCAGCAATCTGGCCCTCAATGTTCTTGGGGCTGAACTGCAAAATGTTGTTGAGGAACTTCATGGCATCGCCCAAAGGATCCGTCGTGGCAGCGAGCTTGAGGCCGTTCGGGTCGTCGTCTTTCTTCTTAGGTTCCTCGTCCTTCTTGGCCGTCGCCTTGTTGGGATCTTGCTTGGCAGTCTTCTCAGCGGCCTCGCGCTCGGCCTTCTGAGCCTCCTTGCGGGCCTTCTTGGCAGCCTTCTTCTTCTCAGCGGCATCATCTCCGTTGGTGGCCTCGCCAGTGCCGTTGGTGCCATTGGCGGCAGCCTGCTGCTTCTCGAACATATCGAGGTACAGCTTGACAGCGTCAAGAGCAGCGCGGAAGTAGAAGGGGTGCTCGCGGATGCTATCCTCCCAGCGGATCATGTCGACATAGGCACGGATCTGACCCTTGCGAAGGGAGAAGCTGTGGAAGTCGAACTGGTCTTCTTGCCAGATGTCGAAAATGTTGTTGATGGTGGTGAAACGCTTGAGGGCCAAGCCGGTGTTGCCGCGCCGTTGCCAGGCCTCACCGTCCTCAGTCAAGAACCACATGCACTGCATGTCGGTCAAGTCAGCGAGGGGTCCGCCAACGGTCTCGGCCCTAGTGAAAAGACCCATGGTCTCGAGAGCCTTCTCGTTCTCGTTGTTCCGTAGCTGGTACTTGGCGGCCTTGGAGTTGATGTAACGATCCTTGGTATCGAGCGAACGGGCATGGTCCATGGCCTCGGAGGCCTTGGCGGTATCGCCCTGGTGCTTGAATATCCTAGCCTTGGTCATGTGGAAGTCGACGTTCTTGGGATCGAGCTCGATAGCCTGCTCAACGTACTCCATGGCCTTGGCAAGGTCGCGGCTGAGGTGGTAGTTGTAATGCTGCGCCAGGAAGTAAAGAGCAGCACCGACACCCTTGGAGCTGTCGCCGTTCGCTTGCTCAGACCCCTTATGCTCCTTCAGATACTCCTCGGCGAGGGCGAGGACGGCCTCCTTCTTGGCAACATCAGAGTAGAGGTGCTTCAGGTTGGCGAACACCGAAGGCACACCCCTGTCCAACATGTTGGTAAGATAGCTCTTGGCAGCAGCCTTGAAGCTATCGCCAGTGAGGAAGTTGAGAGGCAACCTCTTGGCGGCATCCGAGCGAGGGTACTTGGCAGCATACTCGTCGTAGATGGCCTTGAGGGCAGCCTCGTCCTTCTCGTCAATCTCCAAAGCCCCAATCAGACCCTCGTAGTACTCAGGGTGCTCGGGGTTCCTGTCCAGCAGTGCCCGCCACGCCTTTGCCGCCTCCTCTTTCCTGTTGAGCTGACCCAAGTAGCGCGCCCGCATCTCCATAACAGCCAACCTGTCCAGGCAGTTCTTGCAGTCGGAGTCGAGGTGCTCGAGCGCCCGCTGGATGTCGCCCCGCTCGGCAATAATGGTGTTCTTGTAGAGGAGAGCCTCAGAGTGCTCCTGGTCGGTCTTGAGGGGAACGTTGGTCATGGACTTCTCGTAGGTGGTAAGGATGTTCTCGGCCTGTTCGAGGCTGCCTTCGAGCTGATAGGCGATCGCAAGAGCAGTCCAGTTCTGGCGGAGATGGGGCTTGGCCTTGAGCATGGCGAACCTGCTCTGGACGTAGCCCTGGTAGTCGCGGATCTGGACCTGGAGGACGGCGAGGTCGCGCTGGATCTGTTGGGACTCGGGCTCGAGCTTGAGGGCGAACTTGTAGGCCTTGATGGCCTCGTCGAAGTTCTTGTGCTGGCGGTAGAGGATGCCGTAGACGTGCCAGCAGATGTGGGACTTCATGTCGATGGTGAGAGCCTCCTTGGCGAGGGCAAAGGCCTCCTCGGTCTTGCCCTGGGAGTTCATAATCAGAGCCTTCATGGACATGGTGTCGCCATGCCTGGGGTTCTTCTTGAGAATCTGCTCGGCGGCCTTCAAGCCGCGCTTGTACTGCTTCTCCTCATAGTGGCGGATGACGGTACGAAAGAGGTTGGCCTCTCTCGTGCTCAGGGTTTGCGGCATCGAGGAATGGACTGCGGGGTGGGACGATGAGGGACGGTTGTGTTTCGGAGTCGAAGATGACCGCGGGGTTGGGTTGCGGCGGGGGAACGGTTGTCGCGGAGTGTGTTGTTGTTGAGCTCGGGAGGATGTAGAGGTAAACTCGCGAATTGAGTCGGAGACTGCCACTATGTCAGGTCAGGGATCAGTTCGTGGGGGAGGGGGACGAGGGGCCGGCCGAGAGTGGACTGGTGGTTTTGGTGAAAGTGGGTGTCGCTGTTCGGTGTCGGGGAGTGGAGCGGAGCCTGGTGGGACAACTCTCTTGCTCTGACAGCCAACACAGAGGAACACAGAGGGTTTGCACCGCACAAGTACCGGAACCACCTAAGCTTGGGAAATGTGTATACTTACACTCTGCAGCAAAAGGAAATACGCGTGACGGCCTTATGTGCTTGACAGACGTGACTATTCCAGTCCTTGTCGGCGTCGACGTTGCACTTTCCCCAAACTGCAAGTGGGAGTTTACAGCTGACAATTTGATGAGATGGCGGCGGCAGGCGCAGAAACAAAAAGATACTTTCCGCTGATTGGCCAACAGTCGGCGAAGCTCTCCCACTCACCTCCCTATAAGTGGGGTCAACCCTTTATGTAGCTAAACTCCGGCTCGGCCCTCTCGGTAACGACACCGAAGACACGGAAGCCTCCCGCCAGGCCCCGCGACAACTCCTTCCGAGACAATGAGGCATTCTTACAAGCTTGAGTGTAGATGGTTTCGCTTTTTTCTTCCCATATCTCTACAATTACAATCATTCCAGTCATATCGTTACAAACATCCCAATACGCCATACCCAATGCTATACAAACACTTCACTTACACCTCTTCCCTTTATACCTTCCTGCCTTCATATCCCAACCTCACCACCATCATCATCATCACGCCAACGGCAAATGCTTATCCCTCCTCCACTCCCCCAACGCCTGCTCCCACGTCCTCCCATCACTCCCACACCTCTCCCCCACAATCCCCCACGTCCTCGTCCGAACAATATTCTCCACGCCCTGCTCCATCCTGATCACGCTCGCAAGTTGCTCCGTCCTCGGCTCCCTAGGGAAAAACCTGGCCGAGTAGGGGTCTAGCCGCTCATTCACCACCCTCTCCCGATCCTTCTGCTTCTCGGCCTCCCGGATCGCCGCCTCCGGGTCGTCCGGATCCGGCGAGGTGGCCACCAGCGCGCAGTAGCTGAGAACTTGCGACCGCGCTTGCCACGAGGGGAACAACACTTGGTCTTTGAATTCTTGGCACGCCGAGGGGTCGATTTGTCGGGATAAGGGCCGCGGAGCCCGTTGGGTGGTGGAGGAGGGGTCGAAGCCCGCGCGGGAGGGAGTGACGAGGGCGTTGAGGTTTTGGGTTATGGTGTCGTCGATGGCGGAGCGGGAGACTCGTAGGAAGTCTAGGGTTATTAGTGAATGAATGGTAAATGTAATGTTTGTAAGGAGATCTTACCTCGTAGGGTTGCTGTCGAAAAGCAGAACTGGGGAGTCAGCGCCGGCGCGGACGGCGTGCTTGTTGGCTGGACCATGGTGTTCTTGGGCTTGGGCTTTTCGGCTGGAGGCGCTGCAGTCTGGCCGGTCGTTGCAGCAGCTTCCCCCTTTTGCGCTGTCCAAAGAAGGTTCGCCACTTTGTCGCTTTTTGCTGAATGTGTTTACTGAGGGTATCACGAAGGTTTTGCCCTTTGAAGTCGAAATGCGCTGATAATCGTTGATATGGTAATAGGGTATCGTACGTTTAACGATCTGTCAAAAGTCCCAATGACGATGGAAGCAACTGGTGACGATCATGGAAGCGGCTGGGTGGGGAGCTGCTGTGGAGTAAGCTGGGGTAGCTTTTGGAGCCGGTGCCAACCAGCTGCCAGCTGTCCGCCAAGCGAGTTATTTTGTCATGTACACACCATGCCGTCACCATAGCGATATCATCTCACCTCTCTTCGGCGTCGTCCATCAATCACATCGTGATCCCACGGCTGAAGAGTCCCAAATCTCCCGAGAGACAACCCACTTGCTATGAGATTGGTTATGCACCACTCTGAATCTCCCCTTTCTTCCACTCGACCCTCTTTCTATTAGCTCATGATCACATCCTCTCAAATACCATCCGTCACCATCCCCAACTTCACCAAGTACCTCTACTCTACCTATCCTATCTACTACCACAACCCTCATCGAAATCCCAAAAACGCCAGGGGATTCTGCACGTCAACCTCAAAGGCTCAGAAAGAAAGAAAGAAAGGGAAAAAAACCCCTTCCGACCCCACTCCCAGATCCGAAACCGACGCCGCTCGCCGTTTAACCAACACCGACCATCTGCGATCTGCCCGTCTTGCGTCTTGGTTTATTCCGATCGATATCCCCCAGATTTTGCGTTATCGTCCGTCCTCCTCTGAGGGTCCAGTCCGGTCCCCCTCTCGTTCAAGCCTCCAATCCGGGGCGGGCGGGCGCCGTTCCCTCAAGGGCCTCAAGGGGACGGACGCCATTCAGCCATGCAGACATGCAGCCATGCAGACATGCAGCCATGCAGCCATCTCCCCCCTTCAAAAGAAAAAAAAAAACCCTTCTTCCCGACAGCCTCTTCTGAACCGAACCCCCTTTTTTTCTGAACGGGCATGAGATTGGAAATTACCTGCAGAAAATATCAAGTGATGTTTACATACTAGCCCATTAGTCCTATGGTCTCAGCCAGCCATCTTTTTGTCTCTGGTGCACCTTTGGTGTCATTCAGCAAGCGCCCCACGAACGCCTCAATTGGTCCCGATTGGGAAATCCCCCAAGAGATATTGGCGACGATGTGATTGCACATTGCGGGAAGTTAGTCTAACAAAAAAGAGGCGCCGCACCTGATGTCGACGCCTCTCGTCCGACGCTCGGTGAAAAGCCACCAATTTCCCTTCGTTTTTTTAGTTCGATGTGCTTGCTTGCTGTTGAAGAGAGAGTTGAACTAGTAGTTCAACACTAGTGCTGAGTGCCGAACATTTGTAGGATTGGTACCTGACTAGTACACGAGGTAAACCAGGTCTTACCAGGCAACCTTTCTTTTGTGATCCCACTAGCGTGGTTGGTCGGTTGGTTTGTTTTTCTTCCTTGGTTAGACTCCTTGTCTGGTTGCTCGGCGAAGGTGGACGTGGATTGTTTATAAGCTACACAATTGTACGACATGTCGTCGATCTGCACATCTCCTTCCCCTTTTCGCTTTTGCTTCATTCATTTTACCTTGTTTACCCTTTCGTACGTAATTTTGTCCAATTCATATGTTTTAATGTCTATGTCCGGAGTCAACAACAAAAGCCATGTTTCATCACGTCAGACCTTCAAGGATAGAGCTAGACGATGGCCTCAGTCTCGATAGCGGTCTGGGCATGGCGTCTCAGCCATCCTCGCCCATGACCCCAAAGCACCTCGCATCTTTTGAGTATATGACGAGGAGCTTGTCGCCGTAAGTCAGAAACCTACCCTTGGTCCTCAATAATTTTACTAAAAAGCTGGTTAGCACGAACCCATTCAGCACAAACCCGTTCAGCGATGATGCTGCCGCCGGTCTAGACGACCTCTTCCCTGGCGAGGGAAGCCAACCATCACCAGTACCACAACCGAGCACCCCATTGAGGGGACTCACTCACCCATCCACACCAAAGACTCAACCACAACCACACACCAGCCCCCTCCTCACCGCAGACCGCCGGGTAACCAGGACCCTATCACTCAAACTCGGTCCAGTACCAAAAAAGCGTCGCCAAAGCACCACCCAACTCGCCGAGCAGCTTCACCACGCCATTGATAAGAACGATACCGGCGCAATCCTCAAGCTCATCAAAGAGGGCCGCATCGACCCCAACATCCAACGGCGGGGATCAAGCCTACCACCCCTTCATGAGGCCCTCGCCGCTCGTTCCATCGATGCCGCCAACTTCCTCGCCCTCTCAGGCGCAGACCTAGAAGCAACCAACAGGACGAAAGAGACAGCCATCATCACCGCCACCAAGAACGGATTCCCCAGTGCATCCATCACCTTACTATGCGAACTCGGCGCCAAGGTAGATGCTGTTGACACATTCGGCCGATCAGCGCTTCACTACGCAGCAAGCAGCCACGGTTCGGCTTCGTCTCCTCCATCCTCTTCGTCTGGGAAATCCAGCGAGGATGACAAGGTAGAAACGGTCAAGATCCTCTGCTCCCACGGCGCCAACCCAAACCTGCCAGACGAAACAGGCCACATGCCTCTCCACCAAGCGGTCCATAACATCCACCTAGCCGCAGCCAGGCAACTCCTTGACTGCGGTGCCGACATCAACGCCGCGACCAAGAGTGGAAGAACCCCTCTTTACTTGGCCATCGCCAAACGCAGCACCGACATTGTCTCCCTTCTCTGCGAGCGTGGTGCCGTCATCAATCGCTGTGTTGGCGATTCCATACCCTTGCTGGCCGCCATCACGGCGGGTTGTACCGACATTGCTCGGGTGTTGATACAGGCAGGTGCTGCCGACCCTAACCTGTCTGGAGGGAAGGGGAACTTTCCCTTGCTTATGGCTTCGGCACTGGGGAATGAGGAGTTAGTTGAAATGCTACTGGCTCATGGTGCTGACGTTCATGTGGCGAGCAGCTCGACCGGGATGACGCCGTTGCATGTGGCATGTCAAGGTGGACATGAGGGGATAGTGGGCATGTTGATCAGGGCCAGGATGCCAGTGGATGGTGTAAATAACGACGGACTGACGCCTCTCGCGCTGGCGGTGGAGGGTGTCCATGATGAGATTGTGCAGATGCTGTTGATGCATGGCCGTGCGGATCCGAATCATACTTATGCTGAGCAGTCACTGCTCTGGAGGGCTTTGAAGCGACTGATTGCTGCCGCCAACCTCGCCTCCAGGACTACAAGCAGCCCGGGGACCTCAACAGCGGTAGCTCATGCCAAGTACGTGACGGTGACTGCGATTGAGAGGATCATCCATCTTCTGATAGCGTCCGGCGCCGATGTCATTGCTCCGCAGGGCGAGCTCGGGATCACTCCGCTGCATGAGGCTTGCCGACTAGGGCTGGACTCGATCGTCGAGATGATGCTCTCCCCACCACAAGGTGCCCACGCATCCGCCCCGTTCCACAGCGAGAAGCATGGTCACAGTGGTATCGTCGAAACACATCTCTGGTCAGGCCACACACCCCTCTTCTTCGCCGTTGAAGGTGGTCACTTGACCACAACCAAGCTCCTAATCGAGAAATACCACGCGGATATCAACGCCCGAACAGCAGTTGACGCAACCGTGCTATGGGCGGCTATCGGACACCCACATATACTACGCTACCTCTTAACCCTGAAGCCTTTGCAAGGACAAGGGGTTAACAGAACGGGAAGTGTCCGCAAGCGGCTAAGGCTGATGAGCTTTGGGCGCAGTAGCGAAGATGGGACATTGGGAGCAGAAGGATTTGGGGTGAACCATAGAGATCATGGAGGAGCAACGGTTCTTCATGCTGCCGCTGCGGCGGGTCAGATGGAAGATGTGAGGATACTGCTAAGGAAAGGGGCAAAGCAGTTTGCTGCTCATGAGGTGTATGATGATTTGGCGGGCAGGAAGGGAGGTACGTACCGACAAGGAACACCGGCTGGGATTGCCAGACAAAAAGGCCATGATAGGATTGCGGAGATGATAGAAGGCTGGCGGTAAAAAAGGGTTTCTTGGTGACTTGGGGGCGCGGTCAGTAAGCGCATTTGGTTCAGCGCATAGTCAAAGCACCAGTTTCAATATGGTATTCCCCGCTTCCCTCTCTTTCAGATCATCGGTAGTGACTAACGGCAAAGCTTTGAACCTGACAGTGTAGATGCCCTTTGATGTTGTGGTTTCCGTGTAGCTTGCTCACACATCATTTGCGAGTGTGATAGGGACAAAAAGTGATTTGCAGCTCGTCGATATTGCATCTCTTGGATATTTGAAGAGCGAACCCTGGGGAATATTGGCCAATAAAGCACTCACAGAGTAAACAACACTGTCTGGCCTGTATACCTTGTCTCATCACGGGAACATGTCGCATCTTTCCCGAGCCATATGGACACGGACGCGACTCCGTACATCGTCTAGCACTCGCCTAAGGGACAACGGGTGTTCCCGTCGACACTCGTTTATCCATGGGTGCTGGCTTCTGGAAGCTCCGGGTGGAAGAATACGAACTGGCAGCCCGGGCCGCGATGCATGGCCAAAGCACGCAGGAGCACGTAAGGAACCATCTGTGACGCTTTGATGAACACCGGTATTAGAGGGACATATTGACCAGCGCCACGGTACCGGTAAATGGTTGAAGAAGGTGAAACAGATATTGGATGTGTCTTTGTTGACAGGGCAATCCTTGGCCGCCGCGACCACACCACCAAGCCATCGGGTCTTGGTTAAGCAGTGCCGGGAGAAGCAGATATGTCGTCTGTTACATTTGGGTAAAAACAAACGAAAACCATGAGCTCAAATATGGCTGTATAGCGAAGGGGGGCTACACGGACGGGATGAGTAGCCGCTAGGCGCAAGGTAACCGCGGTAAGCACATCCGCTTCAGACGGGCCGCACAGCCGAATCGACCACACGAAACATGATGCATATCTTCCGTGCCCGGCTCTCTACCAGCCCTTCACCGGCCCTACGGTAGATTGACCCACAGAACACCCAGTTATGTAGCGTCTCGATAACAGACCTTCCGAACTGCCATGAATGACGGATGGAAAAGCCAGGACAGAGAAATGGGGGTTTGTGTTTTGAATCAACAAGCACAACTCCTCGATCAGATCATGTCCCCCGGTATGCAAAAGCCTGAAGGCCGCATATGAGAAAACGGGCCAAAGCCGTGCACACACCTTGATGGGCACGAATCGTAGTTAAAGGGGTTCGTTTGGTCAACGGCATCCAGAGAGGCACAAGAGAGGCATCGAAAAGGCTATATGCCACGTTGAGTTCAGCCGGAACCCAGCAATTTGGCCGAAGACATGTCCGTGGCCTCTTTGATCACGGGAAGTATGCAACACAAATCAGGGGATAGATAAGGGGAAATGACGCCTGTGTCCAAGGTACGGCTACTCCGAGTATCTTGACAGAAGCGTCGAAGGTCTGAAGCAGCCGTCCACCAGGAGCTGTGTGACGGACCGGTTGAGATGCTGAAATGTAACCGCTTGGGGCAGCTTTCTCCGTCTTGAGGAAGGGAGATGAGGAGAAGACACATGGCAACTTGCTTGTATCGTCACTATCGTGTCCTGAGGGAGAAAGAGGTGTGAAGGCATGGAAAACTATTGGCGGTCCTGGATGCAACCACCACCGCCTCCATACTCAATCGCTAGGCGAGAACCACGACGTCCTGAAGACAGCCAGAAGGCCGGATAATCTTGCTCGACGTGGGGCGTAGCCGCTGGCGTTTCCAAGATCGACATCTTGATGTTGACACCCATTGCTATTGTAGCACTTGTCATCCTGGACGGGTTCACCCCGTTCCGTGTGGTCCGACCTGCGCATGTGGGTTTGGACTTTGGGCCAGTGGGACTCCACGATGGTTGGGTTGGAGCAGCTTGCTTGTGAAATTCGGAGTTGCAATCTGTTTACGAGAGAGAAAGCATGTGATCCGTGTCTTAAGTTGTCTCTTGACTGAGAAAGTATGGTTGACTCGGAGTTTAACTACCTTCCAGGTTAGTTTCCATCAAGCCGAAACAAAAAGAGGGCCGCAAGAATACTCTGAGATGATGAAGAGATCATGGTGAAGAAGCCCTGACCTTGAAGATCGTACCGCGATACAATCTTTTTGCATCTTTGGTCGCGAGCCCCCGGCAAGGCAGGTGTACCTTGCTTGGGCTGGAGTAGGGGAGTAGTAAGGTACCGTTACGGTCTCCGCTTGCAGTGCACCTGCACCTGTCAGAAACTGACCGAGGCTGATTCTGGAAGCTGCACGACGTGGTGCCTCATCTAGGACAAAGGCAACATGGATTCAACAAGGGCTGCATCACGGATGCCGTCGGCGTGCAGAGGTACGATGAGACGATGAGGGCTTTGCCGCGTTGCATGGCGCTTAGACACACGACTGGACCGCACACACAAGAAAAAGAAGGTTGTACTCGACAAAGTGATCGTCGTTTGAAGGCAACAGGGGGACTGTAATCATCTGTAATTGTTGCTCCGATGAGCCGTTGAAGAGAAGTGAAATCGGAGGGATCAAGGGAGAGGGGAAAGACTGCCGTGGGGTGGAAGTGGAAGCTGTGTGGAACTGAAGTGGAAGGTCGTGACTTGTGTGCCCCTGGTGCCCTAGAATTAGGTACCTCGATGGCTCCTTCCTTCCGCATCGTACACCAGGATCAAGATCAAAACAGCACCTGCCTTTTGAGTCTCCAAGTGGTCCGTCTCCTGGCCGCCGTGGTCGGAAACTAACAGACCATCCGTCTCGATCTTGACGGGAGTGATCAAGATCACATCACTGTGCAGTAGTAGCAACAGCCGGCCCGTTTCCTGTCAACTCTAACTGAGAAAAGCACTCACTCAGCACGGACAGAGGGCCGGACAATCATCTCGGCCCCAGCCCCGGCCCGTCAAGCTGCGAGTGACGGGACTGACCGTTACCCAAGAATTAATACATAGGGCGGTCGACAAGAAGAGCGAATCTTCATGATGGTGCGCATCCGGGCTAGTTTCTCCATCAAATCTTGCAGAGTCGGTCCCTATCTGGCAATGACTTGACGATATTAATCCCGGGGACTTGCTATACGGACGATCATGGAGGGATCTTGGAGGGAACATGAGGGCACTTGGACAGAAGGAGGGACGCTTTGGAGGATGGGGGAGCACGGTAGCACAGGCGAGCGAAGATTCGACAGAGGTTCCTGGCGAGTTCTGGCGAGGTTCCTGGCTGGGCGCTCGCTAATCGGAAAGCCTCATGGAGATTGATGACGGTCTCGCTCGAGTGGATCTGAGACTGCGAGCATCACACTCACCCACAGACCGTCCCTCCAAAGTCCAAACCGTTCAAGCCGTATTGTGTCGATCCATGGATAGCAGTCAAGTGGCTCTCTCAGGGGGTAAAAACAGTTGGAACAGTTCCGCGGCCTTCTGCCAGTTGATCCGGGAGTGTCTGTGAAATTGTCAAGTGCCATAAATACTCGTGAAATTACTCTTCTCCTATTTCCCTTCATCTGGTGTCAATTGACGTGTGGATTTGCCAAAGACTGCGCCTCCTTTTGACGGGACGAGCTTCCCCGAGTTCGCTTGCCGTGCGCCCTTTTGGCTATCCAAACCATGCTGACTAACCCAGTCTAACTCGGTCTGTTACTTCAACTCGCTCAGATGCGGCAGGCGTTGCGTGCATTCGTACCTGACACACTTCACCGTTCCTGAGTCCCTGTTTTTTGGCGGACAAGGAGGAGGACCCACGGACCCACTAGTCCACTCGGCTTAAATTCCCACTCGCTTGTGCCCGTGGTTGGCTCCAAAAGAAGATGCAGAAGGTACAGTTTGTGCCAGGAGGGAAGGAGACGGGAGTTGGAGAGACGGGAGACGGAACAAAGAGTGGAAAACAATGTTTTTCACTTGAAGTTTATGTTGATCTTTGCTAGCCTACACTGGATAGAGTAAAGACTTGCGAAGAGTCAAGGAACTTGCCGCGTGTCTTGCACTCCCATCTTCTCTCCGCATCACAAGTCCCGCCCGTTCAATTCGCGTCTCTCTCCCACCTCGACGACGAGGATCATGGAAGAAGATCCACATTATTCTCTCCAAAGGCTCGTCGACCCTGGACAGGGGCTACATAGCGTCGTACTGTACACCCTCCTTCCTCCTCCGCCAAAACGACGAGGTTTTGGACGCCCCTTGGCAACCCGCTTAATCGAATACCAAGAACAACCTCGTGGAAATCCCCGGTCGAACATCGGAAGAAACGGGGTTAAAAAGATTGCGTTAAGCTTCTTTGGCACATTGTGTCTCCATCCTCAGGTCCCATCTGCACCTAAAATCCAAACTGGGGCCTGCCAACGGTCTGGATTCCTATTTTAGCGGAGCCAGGATCGTGCGCAAGGGAATGGTGACCCCTCTCTCCAAGAGAGCCCACACCAACCCACCACCCCCTCGTATAGGTAAGCCTCGTTAGGAGCATCTGCCATTGACATTGACCTTCCCCCCTGACGACTGTACCTAACACCACTTGAACTGCACTCCAGGAACAAGGGGACCTACATATTGTCTTTCCACCACTTGTCTCTCACTTTCAGACCAGCATATTATCGACTAGCCCCAGGGGTCAGGGGGAACAAGCCAAGCAATTCCGTCTCTTTTGTCCACTGCAGTTCACAGGAACTGGAGAGTAGGAGACCGTGAAGGAGAGAGACAGAGAGACGAGGAAAGGGACAGAGAAGGGGGAAAAAAGACACACACCCACACCTACACACAGTACGTACATACATACACATACATATGTAGAGTCTGGGACATGCAGCTTCTGCTTGGATGCTTGGGCGCTGCAGCAGTCTGTCTGGCCGTCGTCGTATCGGCTGCATTCGCTGAGAAGCGCGCATTGCATGTTTCCACAGATTCGGCCCATTCCCAAGATAACCTTGGATGAGTCGAGGAAGAGCCCCCCATTCACCAATCCATTGACCACTCATTGACCATTCACTTTCGACCGCAACAGGAGCCCTTTTTGTAAAGTTGGACGGCAAGGTACCATACCACCTTACCTTACCACCGTACAACCACCTCCTACACCCTACACCCTACATCATACACCCTACACACATTACACCTCGTACCTACATACCTACATACATCCCACACTACATACGCCTACCTGGTAGAAAATAGGCTCGTCAAGTAGGTAGACTACCAATCCGCAATCCGCTCAGGAAACCCGGGCCAGGAGAGCCAGGGTCGCGTCTGCCCCTAGCCCTCCTAGCACTCCCTCCCACTCCGTCCCCCGGTCGCTTCTCCTGGCCCTTGCTAGGAATCGGTCTCCATTAAAATTCTAATTAAATTCCCAGTATGGCTCAACGGAGAACTGTAGAGGCGATCCAGTCTCGACCGTCTACCCCCCAGCCTCAAGACTCCAGTCTGAGCGAGCCGCACCCCGACCAGTCGGCCCAGGACGAAGGGAAGCATCGACATCATCTACAACAAAAGCTCCGATCGCCTGCACCCCAACCTGATCAAGAAAAACCACAACCACTTCCAGGTCCCTCACCTTCAGCGTCACCAGCACCGGCACTACTAGTACCACAACCCTCCTCCGCCGGATCAGCACAGGCACAGACATTGTCATCCACTCCAGGGACAGCCACAACAGCTACATCAACAGCAACAACAACATCAACAACATCTACTCCGGATCTACAGCAACCAAGCAAAGACGCGAGCTCGGCTACCACTTGCACGCCTCCGGTTGAGATAGTCGAAACAGGGGCTGGACAGAGCATCACCACCAGCACTCACCAAGATCCCCGCGCGCCCTCGGAAACCGCTCCTCCTTTGGCCGATACGGTCTCCGGGCAGCACCAGCAGTATAACCAGCAACAGATCGGAGCACCGCACAACGGCAGTGCACCCCGTGTTCTAGTGCCCACGCCCATGTCCCATCCGCAACAACCACCTAGCCCACCTACTCCTCGCCAGACACCGACCATGAACTATCCCGCCCCGTCTCCGTATCCGCCTGCGGGCATGCCCCCGGGTGCGCAGTACGCCTACGGAGCGCAAGCGGTTGCCCATGTTGACCCCTACCGAACGAACCAGACGGCGCTCCCGAGCATGCGGACGTTCGACCATGTACAGCAACAACACCCTCAACACCAGATGCCCCTACCGAACCATATGACGGTCTCGATGGCCCCAAATCAGATGAGCTACTACGCGCCGATGCACCCAGCATACCAGATGCATCCGGGACAGAGCGTGGTACACTATGCCTTGACAGGCCTCACGCCGGATCCGCGCATCGCTCTGAGCGGAGGAAGGCACAAGAAGGTACCTATACACTGCACTGCTATAGCCCGCCGCAATATAGCCCTCACATGCCACCCTCCCCTCTTCCCTCTCTTCTCATCCTCCTCTTCCTGGGACCCATGCTCGCTCGCGCAACACACTAGAGTGCTGACCGATGTTGTTTGTTGCGTTGCTGACAGGAGATCAAGCGCCGAACCAAGACGGGGTGCCTAACGTGCCGCAAGCGCAGGATAAAGGTGCGTCACATTCTCTTTCGGATCCATTTCCTGATTTGCCTTTTTCGTATTCTGTCCGATTTCTTCCATCTTGGGTTCCTTTTCGGACCTACTGCAACGAGGCGGGGGATGGGGTAGGATGGGGTTCGGGCCGGACGGTGTCGAGCCAGGGAAGCGACGCGCGGAGGGAGTGGGTCGTCATGTTGCAATTGGGGCATTCGGTTGAAGAAGCGCCATGGTTCGATGTGACGATAACGGGTGTGTGCAAAAGGCGCGCTCGCTCGCTTGCTCGCTTGTGGTCTCGATCGTTGGGGGTTGTTGCAAGTGCAACTGGGGGAGCGCATGCGCTGGGGGAGCAGTTGGGTTGTGGTTGTGTTGGTTGGGTTGTGTTGCCTTGACCGACGGCTTGCTCGCTTGACTCGGGTGTCGGGTCTGCACTGAAGCGAGCAAGCCCACGGCAGTGTTCACAGTGACGGCTGCCAACCCGCCATTTGCCTGCCCGCCTGTCACTGCCCGCTTGCCCTCGCCTACCTCGCTTGCCTGCCACAGCAAGCGCAAGCGACGGGAAGCAACCGCAACTTCCATGTTTCGGTCGGCGCCGACACAAAAGTCCCCGCGGCGAGCGAGCGATCAACGCACCTGCCGGTTGTTAGGCCCACCCTGAGCTCCAGCTATCTGCTATCCACTACAAAAGCACCTAGAACCTCATCCCTGCAACACTCTCGAGCTCCATCATCTCATCGCTCTACAAGTTGCAAAGCCGCAACAAACCATCATCTTCCCATTATTTTTCTCACCAGCATCAAAGTACTCGACATCGTCTAACTCGGATTTTTCTCTAGTGCGACGAAGCCCATCCCGCCTGCAACAATTGCAAAAAATCGAAGCGTGATTGTTTGGGATACGACCCCATCTTCAAGCAGCAACAGCAGCAACAACAGCAACAACACCAGCAGAATCTTACTGCCCAGTCGACTCCCAAGTCTCAACACTCTGCTCCCGCTTCTCTCACGTCTACTCCGACTGTTCCATCTTCCAGCGTCCCTCCAAGCCCATACCAGTCACAGGCTCAACCTTACCAGCAGCAGTCTCCGCCGCCTCATCACTATCACCAGCAGTCACAGCAACACCTCCCTGCTTACCAACACCAACCACACCCTACCTCGTACCCCCCATCTCATTCCTCCAACACACCCTACGAGTCTCCAGTGTCGTCCACTTCCCCGGGGTTCGATTACGGAAGTGCCATTGACCCGGCCCTCTCAGGCACCGACACGCCAAGCGCTTCCGGAACGCCTACACCAAACTCGCAGCTGGCTAGGCCTGACGACAGGAATTTTGGGACTGTGGGTCATTTCCAAGGCGGAACTCCTGCTGGCTCCCCTTTGTCGGCTTCGTTTGCGCACCAGAGATAATCGAGTCTCGCGGTGTCGAGGGATCCGCTTCAGAGCTGTACGACTATTTTACCCAACATGACTGGCTTACCCACCAACAAGAAAACGGTGGATGATCTTATTGCGCTGGGGGGCGCAGAACCTCCTATTATGAACTCTCCGCCATCACAGGCCGTCATCCAGGAGATCAAAAAACTGTATGGAGAGATATACGTTACGGGGCTATCGTATTTCTTTGAGACGCAGTGGTACGATTTGAAATACGACAGGGGCATCCTGGCGCACCATTCCATCCAAGTCCTACTTAATAACCAGCCATTGATGGGTCTTTTTGGTTCCTTTGTCGAACACATCTCCCAGCCCCGGGCGGACCACAAGTACGCTTCCCAGCTGGAGGAGTGTATCGTCTGGGGGTTAGCAAAGCTACCCCTCTGTACTAGAGGTAGAGGTTTGGCTCTCCCCGGAACTTCAATTTCTTCAAACCCAATTCCGTCCCTGGATGATCCATACGAAGCGTTAGGCCGTGTGCAAGTGTTCGAGGCGTTCCTGTTAGGCAACAACTCCACGTTGACGGAGAATCCGCTTTGTAATCCTATGGTGCTCGGGGATCTCAACACCTCACGGCGCAATGAGCTTGAGTTCTGGTGGTATCTGGCTGAGTTGGCCATTAGAAAGCCCAACCGTGACCTCCAGAACCTGCGACGCCTACTGGACGGTCAGGAGAACCGTGATTTCCTGTATAGCCTCGCCGTGCTTCGCGAATATTCGCATCATTGGAATCCTGCCAACATCGAGCAACAGTTGCCGTCGCAGTTGGCCGAGTCGGACCCGCGCTGCAGGCTTGCGGTGGCGGCCAGGTTTATTCGCACCGCCATGGAAGAGGGAACCACGAACGTGGTGAGGCGGTTTGCTCAGCTTGCGTATCGTGCGTACGTTCATCCGGGAGCCAGTTTGCCCGCGAACGCGGCTTGGCGCTACGAACAGGAAAGCGATTAAGTGATTGCAAGTCGGGAAATGGATGGCATGGTCATCGGCTTTGGGGGTCTCTTTCGTTGGTGATAGAGTCAGGCTAACCACTCTCGTTGGGGGTTGATGCCATTGAAGATAGATAGCCCGCTCGAGCGTTTCTCTCTTCATCTTTAGGTGGTCTCTCTGTCTTTTTGTTTCTTTCATGTCTATACTTGCATCGGATAGATGGCGTTCTTAAAGGTTTTTTTTTTCTCGACTTTTTTTCTGTTCACTCCTTCTATAGCATCTGGGAGGCTTCGCCATGGATTTCTCATTCAAAAAATTGGGATGCTCTCTGTTTTTTCCCAACCGTTTGTTTGTATCAAGTGGCATTCTTTCTTTCTTACAGCATTATGAGAGCGACTAAAATTGGGGCGCGGCTTATATAAAATTCAACACCACTTAGTTTTACTTGCTGATACACGATAGTCTGAAGTTTGTCTTTCCTGTCCTGCTCTTTACTTAAGCTGACTTGAACGTGAAATGTTGTCCTGGATGATCAACTCTGGCTTATATACGTAGAGACTAACCAAGTCTAGCTCTATCCTGACTTACATCCCTACACACACCAATTCCCTCATTGCATATCCCTCTGCTCCGGCACAATACTCCTCAACTTCCCTTCCTCAATCGCCATCCGCACATTACTAATCGCCCACTCCTCCATCTTGGTCTCCGTCTCGACCGTCCACGTCCCCATGTGCGGCACCAACATGACATTCGGGTTCGCCAGCAAACCCGGGTGAATTTCCGGCTCGTTCTCGTACACGTCCAAACCAACCGAGTGCACCTGTCCAGACTCCAACGCTTCCACCAGCGCCGCCTCGTCCATCACCGCTCCGCGAGCGGTGTTGATGATGACTACCCCCCGCTTCATCATCGCGAATTCCTTGGTGGAGATGATGTGTCTTGTTTCGGCCTGTTTGTTTGTTTTTTTGTTAGCCCCCAACCTATCTCATCCTCCATCATCACCCCTCGGGGCATCAAGCAAAAAAAAAAAAAAAAAAAAAAAAAAAAAAAAAACCGAAAAGAAAGAGAAAGGAAAGAAAGAAACTCACATTCAAAGGCAAATTCAAACTCAAAACATCACTCCCCCCCAAAAGTTCCTCCATCGTCTCAACCCACTCAACCTCCACCCCTTGGTCTCTCAACTCCCTCTCCCCCTCCTCATCCCTCCTCCGATTCAAGTACCTCACCCTCATCCCAAACGCCCCCGCCACTTTTCGCGCCAAACACTTGCCAATCCCGCCCATGCCCAAAATCCCCAATGTCTTCCCCCTAGGATCCCTCCCCAGTCCCGGCATCCTCACCCCCCTTTTTTGTGTCTGCACCTCTTCCTCGGTCCCCCCGCGCCACTCCCCCCTCCTTAGCGCCGTCATCCCCGCATTGAAATTCCTCATAGCCCCCAACAACAAAAAAAGCGCACAATCGGCTGTCGCCTCGTCCACCGCGCCGGGGGTGTTTGACACCTTGATCCCGCGCGCGGTAGCAGCGGGGATCGAAATGGCGTCGTAGCCGGCGCCGACGTGGATGATGAACCTAAGAGAGGGGGGCAGGGCGGAGAGTAACTGGGAATCGAGGGGGCCGGTGAGGGAAGTGGAGTCGAAGGTGCGGTAGGCTAGGAGGCAGGAGGAGAAGGCGCCCGAGGCACATTCTTGGAGGAAGGACGAGCGGGAGGTGGATTTGGGGTGGATGATGTCGGCTATTTGGGTGATGCGCGACCAGGCGGCGTGGGCGCTGGAAGGGGAAGTGTTAGTATGGATGGAGTTGGACGGGTGGAGGGAGGTAAGGGAGGTAAGGTAGGAGGGTGGGAATGGGAATGGGCAATGGGGACCGATGATGAGGTGAGGTGAGATGATGAAGTGTTGTAGCTGGCTGGAGCCTGTAATGAGACAGTGACGAGATAATGCTTCTTGCTGTTGCTGGTGTTGAGCGCAATATCTCGTTCTCTTGTCACCGTATCGTCTTGAATGGTTCAAAGCAAAAGTGTGAAAACTTGATAACTCACTGCTCAATAGTACCCAGCAACAAGATCTTAGGCTTCTGATGCTCTGCGGAACCCATTTTGAACGTCTTTTCACAATTCTCTTGACTCTCGATCGTATTGTGTTTTGTCTTGTTCAATCGTCAAAGTATCCGCTTAGCTGCCGTCTGAAATGGGATTTTCAACACCGAGTATCCACGGAGTTTGGTATCCGGAAGTATGATGCTCTGCAGACTATGTCGTAACCGGAAAACTGGCTAGAAGGAACTCGTCTGTGGCTTGAGGTCTTAAGACCGTTTGTCGTCGTTCAAAAACCCGAAACCGGAGGCGTAAGAGGGCGTCAGGGTGTGTAGGACCAAAGCCGGTGACGTATATACCGTTGTGACGTTCCGTTCGCTCGAGTTGGTGTTACGGAAGACGAAAAGAAAGCTTCCGAGTGTGTGGGTGTGGGTGTGGGTGACACTCGTGGAGACTCAAGGTCTTGGAAGTAATTTTGTTGCATTTAACACCTTCTCTCCCTTTCACAAAACAAGATAACCTTCAAAAGTTGCTGGAGCGTTAATAACAAGTCAACTAGTTCGACTTTATATATCGATCAACAACCCAAACCCGGACCAGCTTACCAAATCGAGTCAAAACAAAAGAAGCAACGATGATCGCGGGGTTATCTTCGACCGGTGAAAGTGGTAAACTACATGACATGCTACCAAGAGAGCCAATAGCGGGGTAATGGCTGGGCTGATAACAACCTGGAAGAAGTTAGACAAGTCCAGTGAAAAGAAGTTTTATGCAGAACACTTTTTTGGTAGGAAGGCACGCTGCTAGGTCCCGTTGCAGGCACCTAGGTAGTCATGTAGTATATAAAAGGCGGCGATGCAATTATCGTGGCATGGAACGGAACGGACGCCGAATGGTTGAATAAAACCACAACATGCAAGATCACTATTTGTTGTGAGTGGAAGCGTCCGTTCGCGGGCGGGAAACCAAAGACGAAGCGTGAGGGGTACTCGGATGATTGGAGAGCCAAACTTACCCGCGTGGCTGCTGCGGCCGTTCGTCGTAACACGCAGCAACCCCTTGCTTCCCCGAGAGGAACAGTGTAGCAATAGAATACATAGCGATACAAAAAAACAAACACAAGTCACGTAACAGAAAGTGTGAGTGTGAGCCATAACCACATATTATTAACTTCGGTGGCTTCTTTGGTACCACAAAAGACATGCCCAAAAAAACATTGTCTTTCTATCCCGTATCTAATTGTTCCCAGGCCTCGGTTGACGGGCCTTTGATATAACCTTCTTCTCTTTATCGTCTCCTTGCACTTCGTCAGGTGCAGCACCAGCTACTAACGTTTCGAAAACACACCCGTCTCAAATGCCTTGAGGGTGTGTGTTGTGGGATATCATGTGCCAAAGCCAACGCCGTACTTTTGTTGAAAATTTGTACCCGAACCATCCCTAATATTCCTTTTTTGAAAACCCCTAGTGAAAGACCCCCATATTGAACCCGGTTTTGTCATGCAAATCATGCCTGTTGAAAACGATGCTTTGTGGAAATCCCAAACATGCCGCTGAGAATGTTTTGTCCATAACCCAAAGTGTTGAAGGAGATCCTCAGTAAATTACCTCCCCCTTCCTAGCCAAATACGGCGGGAGAGGGCGGATATATGGTATTGAAAAGGAAATTAGTAGCGGTAGCTGTGACTTGGTTAGCATGTTGTTCATCAGACACGAGAGAGAACAGGGAATAACATACTGGTCGCTCTTGTAAGGACCCTCGGAGGCGAGGCCGAGGTACTCAGCCTGGACGTCAGTGAGCTGGGTAAGCTCGACGTTGCAGTGGTCGAGGTGGAGACGGGCGACCTCCTCGTCGAGGATCTTGGGAAGGACGTAGACCTGCTTCTCGAGCTTGCCGGTCTTGCCGAACTCGACGTACTTGTTGGAGAACTCCTCGTCGTTGGCCTTGAACAGCATGATCTGGGCGAGGACCTGGTTGGTGAAAGAGCAGGACATGACGAAAGAAGAGTGGCCAGTGGCGCAGCCAAGGTTGACAAGACGACCCTCAGCAAGGAGGATGATGTGGCGGCCGTTCTTCATGAGGAAGCGGTCAACCTGGGGCTTGATGTTCGAGACGGAAGCAGCGTTGGCCTTGAGCCACGCGACGTCGATCTCGACATCGAAGTGACCAATGTTGCAGACAATGGCATCGTTGGGCATGGCCTCGAAGTGCTTGCCGACGAGAATGTCACGGCAGCCGGTGGTGGTGACGAAGATCTGACCAAGAGGAGCAGCCTTCTCCATGGTGGTGACCTGGTAACCGGCCATGGCAGCCTGGAGGGCGTTGATGGGGTCGACCTCAGTGACGATGACGCGGGCACCCATGCCGGAAAGGGCCATAGCGCAGCCCTTGCCGACATCACCGAAACCAGCGACGACAGCGATCTTGCCAGCAATCATAACATCGGTGGCGCGCTTGATACCGTCGACGAGGGACTCACGGCAGCCGTAGAGGTTGTCGAACTTGGACTTGGTGACGGAGTCGTTGACGTTGATGGCGGGGACAAGGAGCTTGCCCTCCTTGAGCATGCGGTAAAGGTGGTGGACACCGGTGGTGGTCTCCTCCGAGACACCGAAGCAGTCCTCGAGCATCGCGGGGTACTTGGTGTGGACGAGGTGGGTAAGGTCACCACCGTCGTCGAGGATGAGGTTGAGCTTCTTGTTGTCCTTGAAGGCAACGAGCTGCTGCTCCAAGCACCACTGGTACTCCTCCTCGGTCTCACCCTTCCAGGCGAAGACGGGGACACCGGCAGCGGCGATGGCAGCGGCGGCGTGGTCCTGGGTGGAGAAGATGTTGCAGGAAGTCCAGGTGACCTCAGCACCGAGAGCAGTGAGGGTCTCGATGAGGACGGCGGTCTGGATGGTCATGTGAAGGCAGCCAGCAATGCGGGCGCCCTTGAGGGGCTGGTCAGCGGCATACTTGACGCGAGTAGCCATGAGACCAGGCATCTCGTTCTCAGCGAGCTCGATCTCCTTGCGGCCGAAGGCGGCAAGGGAAAGGTCGGCGACCTTGAACTTGTGGGCGGGAGCAGACATGTTGGGTGGATATGGGGGTATCTGTTGATGAGGGTACAGGTTAGAATTGGTGATGTTTTGAAGGAAGGACAGACAGATGGGGGGCAGGAGCACTCACGATGAGGGGGATGGATGGACAAAAAGTGAGAATGCTCTTCCTGGCAAGGGGAGAGCAATGGATTTATTTAAAGGAAGGGAGGGGGTGAAAAGTGGATATCAAATGGCACAGCTCAGCACAGGCAGAAGAGAGGACACGGGGGAGCAAGGGAAAGGGGAAAGTCCAATGGCACAACTCACAAGCAAAATGTGCAGAGCCTGAACTGCCTGACTGACAGAAAGCCAAAACTGCCTGTGCAGACTGTGCAGAAAGTGGGGAGGGGTCGACGGGGTTCAGAAAAAAATGAGAACCCCGCGGATCTGTCGAACCAGCAGCTCTGTCGGTGTGCATCAGACAAGGAGCTAGGCCTAATTGAGCTTGTTTCCCCACCACAATGCGAGTGCTTGCCCCTCCTTTGCCTGCCAGCCGTTCTCGTCGACGCGGCAATGAGCTTCTGCCACCAATTCGACACCACGTTGTTCTCTTTCAGCTGCCTGTTATGGCTTGCTAGCGCTGATGCCGCCGGCCCGGGCGGATGGGCAAGGACATTCATTCACTTTTGTTTCGGCCGACACGTTGCGAAGACATCGGGTGAGTTTGAGGTTGAGTTCAACAATTGTTATCGGTGATCATCGTATCCGGCCCCGAATGCGGTGCCCAAAGCCAACCTCCCGTCAACAGGGTCTGCTGCAGCAAAGCGCGGACATGGCGTCCAGCAGATGTCCAACCAAAGCCATCCCCGATACCGATGAGACAACCATTTCATAACAATTCAGTTTCGGACTTTCTTTCTCGGAGGTCTTCTCTTCAAGTCATCCCATCCCGGCCGCATCTTTTTCATGATTATAGGCAATTCATTACATATACGGAAAGCTGAAAAAAGGCTGGCCCCTTTAACATAGTAGAAGATAACGGCTTATCGCTTGATTGACGGAATCTCATGTCTGATAATTCATCCAACGCGTCCCTCCTCGCTTTTTTGGACGCATCCCTTTTTGTTTTCTCTAGTGCCTCAATGCCTCCCCCCACGTCAGATCAGCAAGGCCACCACAAGATACTGGATGTGATTGCAGCTCTCCCTCCCGTCCCGCTTTACGTAGGCTGCATGGCCAACCTTGCCCTAGACCTTGCAAGGTAAATAACACGCCGACAACCCGGAACGCCAAAACCAAATGCGGCTGAGATATCGTGGCCACCGTCCTCTATCGTCCCATCAAAAAACACCACCACAACCCCTGGATCCCCATTTACTCGGGGAGAAGGTTGCCCCGGACGGCGAACATCTTGGCCGTGATGTTGGCCGTGAAGGCATCCACTTGCCTGGCGTACTGGTCGACCTGGCGGGCGTTGAGCATACCCTCGAGTCTGCTGGGCTCCTGGGGAAGCTTGAACAGCCTCTGCCACTCGTCCTCGGGAAGGGGCTGCTGCTTAGCCGCCAACCGCGCCGCGTTCTCAGCCTTGCGCTTAGCCTGCCATTGGGTGATCTTGAACTGCTCACGGGTGAGCTGTCTCTGGTAGTACTGGTGGTTGTTCAGGTCGGTGTAGTGCGACTCGATGCTGTCGAGGAGCAGGTCGCACGTCTTCTCGAGGAAGGGGTCGATGGAGAGGTCGAGAGACTCGAAGCCGGGGTGGGCGGGGATCTGGACGGGATCGCGGCGGATGTCGTCGAGAGATGCGGGCATGGGGATCTCGGCGCTCTTGGGGGGAGCGGGTATTTGGTGGAGAAAGGAGGTAAGGAGGTGGGAGTTGTGGACGTTGACGGGGAGCTCGACGAAGATGTCCTTGTAGGTGAGCTTGGAGTTCCGAAGGCTGTATCATGTAAGGTCAGTCATGTGTGCTTTGTGACATGCGATATGCGACCTGCGCCCCAAAAGATTGGCGACGGCAGGATCTCGGCGGTGTGCTGACCTCTCGGTGGTGAACTTGGCCTCCTTGTAGGCAGTCATGAACTCGGGGGAGAGCTTGAAGGCGCGAAGGCTGAGGGCGCCCTGGGAGCTCCTGCTAACATCGTGGACGAGGGCGACGGTCTTCTCGTTCTCCTTCTGGTAGTGGTACTGGTTCTCGATGAAGCTCATGTTGATGAAGTTGCCCATGGTGGCGCTGGTGTACCAGCCGACGTTGTTGGCGTCGACGTTGACCTCCTTGAGGTGCCTGATCATCTCGTTCTGGTAGACGATGTTGGCCTTGGCGCGGGGAGCGGCGGCGGCGAGGGACGAGGCATCGCTGTGGCTGTCGCTGCTGGAGGTGTCGACGGTGGGGAACTGGAAGGTGTTGGTGACCTCAATGACACCGTTGTTGTCCATGCCAACGACGGAGCCGGTGGCGACGGTAGGGAAGCTGGTCGAGCAGTGCTTCACGATCTTCATGACCACCTATGGTGCCGACGCTGGTTAACAAAGGGGGCCTTATGGCGGGCGGCAGGCATGGCGGGGCTCCGGCGACAGGAGAAGACGACGACGTAGAAGAGAGCTATCTCCAACTTACAAGGGCCTCGACCTGGACCGACTTGATCGGCGCATCCTTCTGAACTTCGGCCATGATTGCGGATTGACGGGACTCGATTCTCACGTGAAGACGCGACGGTGTGGTTGGGTATGCCGTTGCGGTGGTAAGGCTGCTGCTGGGGGAGTTCGTCAGTCGTGGAGGACTTGAACTTTTCGCAACTGAATTCTCTCGCTTCGTTTGTGGGCACCGCTGGGCGCTGGCCACCAACCGGCTGCACTGGGGTGTCCTGCCGGAAACAGACTGCCAGCAAAGATTGTTGCCGGCGGCTGGCAGGTGGCGGGCGGTCGAGACTCAAAGAAAACATGTCGTGGCCTGTGCTTTACGATTGTTTGGCTGTGACTTTTGTTTTAGGCAAGGGACGTACCGCGGAAGTACCTCTCACCTTCAGCTGCGAGGAACAGTGCTCACTCGGTGTCTGTCGCACTGCCGACTGTGTGGTCTCAGAGCTCAACCCCACTGACCAAATTTGGTCCCACTTGGACATCTCGTCGACTTCTGCAATGATGGAGTCTGGGGAGAGCATCCACTCTTGACGAATTTCCTCACGATGCGGAGAGCACTCGAGCTTCAATGAGAAACCCCTCCTTCAAAGCCCCGCGCGAGGTCACAACTTCCACAACGGGACTCGGACTTTGGTGGTGGTCGCCAACTCGCCATAGTGGTGATCCGTGATTCGACATGGAGCAAGCAACATCCCACGCTTCCCCCACGCCGAGCCTAGTTTCGCTCCTCGCCTTCAAGTTCACGTCATCTTTAATATACGACACCGACGTCTTCACTGGACTCCTCATCAGACCCCCCCTTTTCTCTCAACTTTCACCCTTGCAAATATTCTCATCACGACTTAAAAGTTCACTTCAGCTCTCAACTTGAAAGACAAAGCAAGAGTCTATTCTACTAGGTATCGATGCCTCTAAGGATGTCTCTATTGTCATCACAATCATCATAATTCCCTTCGATGTATGGTTACCACATCGCCTTGTTACCGTCATTTCCCACCTAAACGCCAACCTCGACGCCCAACCCGTTCCCAAGTCCCAACCGTCATGTCCAGCGTCCAGCACCGGAGACAAGTGTACCTTGCCTCTATTACCTCACTTCCACTCGGTGAGATCCCAGCTCTCAACGTTGTCTCGGATGGTCAATCGATGGCGATCAATCTGCCAGAAGGAATACAGCGACCTGGTTGCTCCGGCCGCTTTTCGATGCGCAGGGCCAGTGCCCCCCTTCTTTGCATCTTCTGGGGATCTCCAGATGCAAGTTGCAAGGTTGCGACGCTCCTCATTTGGCGTGCCGAACCAATACCTGAACCGTCACTGTTAGCTTGCTGCTTGCTGCGGAGGAATATGGCTGTTTGTCACTCACTTCAAGAACCCTCCACTCGCAGTGGCTTCAGCATGGGCAGCCTTGTCCAGCTCACCCAGGTCCGCATAGTTCTCGACTGTCGACTCCAACACTTGCGACCGGAAAGCGACAACAAAGAAGGAAGTCTCCTTCCACGTGTGGTTACGTTTTTGTGCGAGTGCGCGAACGTGTTCGATGATCTGGTCCCAGTTGAAGGTGTCGCGGTATGGCGCAGTTGCGTAGTCCTCGCGAAGGCACGTCAACTGAGTTAGGGCAAGTGCCAAGATCTGGTTCTCGATGTCAAGGGTTGTGAGGTCGAGAAGGTGTTGTTGTTCGGTGTAGGGTGATACTACAATGTATCGCTCCTTATCCGGTAGCTCCTCGGGTGTGGTTTGAATCTCAATCTCAGAGATGATGCTGGAAGTCTTCTCAGTATGGGCCAGCACATGATCGGCCACAGCTACGCTGACGGGGCCTTGGGATATGGCCATGGTGTCGAGAAGCAGATGGTCAGGCTGATGCAGCAGAAGGGGAACGAGATAATGCGACAGCGTTCGCACGAGGACAGGGACTTTGGGTGAAGTGATCTGGGGACAGCAAGAGAATGGACTAATAGGGATGAACAGGGACGAACCGGTACGAACTCTGGTGACATACCGCTCTCGAATCGCGAGTTCATATGGATGTGATACTCGAGGGATGCGGCCGACCGCGCGCATGCACAATTGCTGATCGCGCAATCGGTCACAAGGGTGGTGCCATATCAAAAACCCCAAGCTGACTCGGGCGGATCCTTGGTCATCATAACCAAGAAAACTCAGAGTGAAACAAATTGCACATCACTTTCGGGCACTCCTGTTTGAAGGTCTGGAAGGGACGATGGGATTGTGCGGAAAGGATGGGTGCCTTTTCCATTCAGTTTGGCGCTTCACCGCTGACTTAGTCCGGGGTGGCCGGTTCCCGCAATGATGGGATTGCAATTGCGAATCTGACAGCAGCGCTTTCGTCAACAATGGTCAGGTACACAAAACCATGAACGTGGCAGTCCCGCTGCGATTTTGGCTTGTTCTTTATCTTGTCCTTCACTGAAAAAAAGCCTTTGTGGTGCCGACTCGAGTCCAAACCCAAGTCAAACTTTAGCCGGGCGGCCAGTCAATGTGACAAGACTCAGTCGATAAGGGCGATTCTCGAGTCATGAAACCTCCGGCAGCGGCTTGATACCTCATTTTTGACCATCAGATATGAACGAAGTCTTGCTCGTCTCTGCAGCGCTGCGCGGCCAACGGCGATTTCGGAATTCGGACCGGCTACGGACATCAGATAAGACGGAATTGAGCCGGGATAATCGATAATGGAGAGGTCGAGCATACCAAGATACCAGCCTGTCATCCGAAGCATCTATCATTCCTTTTTCAACCACACCTTGGCCACCTCATACGACCCGAGATAGAGACCGCTGCCGAACGCCGCCCACGTCGTGCGCAACGCGCCGCCCCGAAACAGCCCTCGGATCCCTCGCTCCCGAAAAATCTCCTTTGCGACCTGGAATCCGCTTGCGCCGCTTTTGCTTTTGCTTTTGCTTTTGTGCTGTTGTCGACCTTGACCATTCTCGAGGAGCACCTTCTTCTCACCAGAGGAAGAGGACTCTGGCTGCTTCTGCTTCTGCTTCTTCTTCTCCCCGCCGGCCGCAAGCATCATCCGCGTCTTGACCACATCCATAGGCGTCGTCACAAACGCAGCCAGGGAGCCCGACACGGCGGCGCTCAGTCCGGTGACTAATCCCGTTTCGACCAGACTTCGACTTCGTTCGACTTCGGACCGATTGTCGTTCTCTAGAGGTACCCTGCCCTTCTTCCGATCCCGATCCCGATCCCTAACCTCCCAAATTCTCGTTCGAACCCCCTCAAATAACGGAAACTGCAGAGCCGTAAACGGCAAATTCCTCGCCGCCAGCGCTGTGTACCCCGAAAACAATCGCCTCCATACGCCGCCTGAGGTGTGGCGGAGCATGTTGAGGGCTTCGAGGGAGGTTGATTTGCTCTGAGAGCTACCGGGGCCGCTGGAGGATCGTCGAAGCATTTGCGCGTTTTGCTTGATTACTTCGGCAGGAGTGAGGACGAGGCAGGAGGCTAGTTCGGCGCCGGCTGAGGCGAGGGAGTGGGTGAAGGGTATTGGGATGGATGTGGGGAGGGTGGTGGAGAGAAAGGATTTGGAAGATTCGTAGGTGTAGAAGAAGACGCCGGCTGTTTTGTGGATTGGTAAGTGAGTGAGTGAGTGATGACTAGATGGTGGGTTCATGTGGGGTAGGTCATGATGAGGAGGAGGAGGTGAAAGAAAGGTAAGGTAAGGGAAACTCACCAGCAGGCAAAGTAGCAAAGATCACACTGCCTATCCCCTGGTATAACCCCTTGAACAGCGCTCGCTTGGGAGGCTGCACGCCTAGTGCCCCCTTTATCGCCGAGTTCGCTTTCTGAGAAGCGTAGACATCTTGGTAATCGCGGCTTTGCATGCGGGTCTTGATGGTGTCGAGGGGGTAGACGAGGAGATCGACGGTGAAGGCTGCTATTGAGCCGGCCTGGTTGTGTAAGTGAGTGAGTGATGTGAGGCTGTCGATTTTAAAGGATATGAAGACTCACGATTAACACCTGATGCGCGGCACTGTCGCCCATCTCTACTCAATAATTCAATTTTTTAAGGAAAATGTGAGGCGAGGTGAGGTAGCAAGTAGCAAGTAGCTAGAACAGAACCTCCAGAGTCTAATCAGAAAGTATCAACGCGGCTTTGTACTACGCAGCAAATGCAGACACGTGTGAGATTTGAGATGAGATGAGAAATAGCAGGCAATTAATCTAGGCCCGTTCCGAACTCTGTCTTCTGGATGGGATCGAAATCTGTCATATGCAAAAAGGGACGGACCATGGGATGGGATCGTCAATCGGTTCGATGACATCATAAGCATTGGATATGGGCTGCTGAGTCAGCCGAAAAGGGATGTGTGTAAGTGTTAGAGACACAATGTCAAAAAAACGCTGTTGCTATTTAACAGATGGAGAATACTTCAAATGAAACATCTTGAAACATTCTTGAACTTTGCTAAGTGTAGACGGAAAGATCACCAACCACTATTACTGCATCATAAACGGTCACGACATTGATGTTTGAAAGGAAGCGCTAACAGCACAACCACATTCGGTCTTTTGTGGTCTCCCTTGAGGAAAAAGGAACCTAAACCCCAAAGCCTAGTCTGGTCTCATCAAAGTCCTTCTAACAAGAACTGCGCGTCGAGGAGAATATGCCAAAAGAATCCAGTGCAGACAATGAATGGCCATGTCTTGAGTATGTCTGTGCTACCGAGTCTGTACCCAGAGCTTGAACTAGCTAGCCCGTGTAAACCAGAATGGCAAGGAGTATCCAACTGCAAGGAGTATCCAACTGCAAGAAGTAAGTCGTAAGCCGGCTTGCGTGATGCGCTATTTGCCCTCTCAATTCTGTACGGAAAGTGGATTGTGCTAGGTAAGCATGGATGAGCATGGGCAAGTGAAATGTGTACACAATAGTTGAGGCATTGGCAGTTGTTGAGCATGATGGTGACGGTTCCCGATAGCAGAGACCAACAAAAAGATTTCGGCAAAACAAGCCAAAGAGTTAGGAAAGCGAGGAAAAAAAAAAAAAAAAAAAGGGCGTGAAAATCAACGTACGACAATGGTTGATCGAAAAGTAAGTAGATGTGATATCATTCCATTTTTAACTCCACTACTCCATCTGGACACCGTAACCAAAAAACATGATATCTTCGGACTGAAATCTGCTCATACACTCATCATCATTCTATTCTATAATTTTTTTCGACAATTTTTTTGCTTTGCTGACAAACGCTTAGTTCTTCTCCTTATCCTCCTTGAGCGAGACAATACGGTTAAGGATGATCTTTTCATCGGTGCTTTCCTTGTCAAGAGCCTGCAAAATAGTCTGTTAGCCACAATCGCGACATGTGTGTCGGACAAGGGAGAACTTACAAAGTAGGCAACACGCATAGCCTGGAAGCGGACACTCTCGGGACCGCCCTTGCCCAGCTCGCTCTCACCAGCCGCCTCAGGCCAAGGAGCACGGCGCTTGACCTCATCAAAGCCAGACTCGATGAGGGCATCAGGGTAGACGACCTCGCTCTCGGGGTTGATGTCGCTCAACCAGCCGCCCTCAGCAGCAGCGGGGTTCTCGGACTTGAACAGGGGGTTGTAAACGCGGACCTCGCACTTGCGAGAGCCATCGGTGCCGACCCACTGGATGAAAGTCTTGGGCTTCTTGGTCTCGCGGTCGAAGACGGCGCGGATCTCGGTGACCTTGCCGGTGGTCTCGTCCTTGGTGAAGCTGGTGGCCTTGATGGGGAAGGGGGCCTGGAGAAGGCCGACGGTCTTGCCGGGGGCGAGACGGAAGTAGTCCTTGCTGTCGACCTCGCGGAAGTCGGAGCGGTCGATGTAGACGGTCTTGGTGAACTTGATCTTGTGGTCGCCCATGGCGGCGTTCTTGGACGAGAAGGGCACGGTGAGCTCGGAACCGTCGAACTCGTCGGCGTCCTCGATCACGACGGGGACGGGGTCGAGCACGAGCATCAGGCGGGGCACGGTGCGCTCGAGGTAGCGGCGGATGGTCTGCTCGAAGCGGACGATCTGGATGATGCTGTTGGAGGTGGTGACGCCGAGCTCGTTGACGAACTCGAGGATGGCGCCGGGAGGAACACCTCTGCGGCGAACGGCGATCAGGGTGTACAGACGGGGGTCGTCCCAGCCGCGGACGATCTTGCGGTCAACCAGCTCCTTGAGCTTGCGCTTGGAGAGCACGGTGCCGGACAAGCTGAGACGGCCGTACTCACGCTGCATGGGCTCGTAGACGCCGAGGGACTTGTTGAGCCACTCGTACGAGACACGGCTGAGAACGAACTCGGTGGTGCAGAGGGAGTGGGTGATATCCTCGAAGCTATCGCAAAGACAGTGGGTGAAGTCGTAGGTGGGGTAGATCTTCCACTGGCTTCCAGTCCTGTGGTGAGGCTTGTCAAGGACTCTGTAAGCGGCGAGATCCCACATCTGGGGGTTGCCGTCGGTGATATCCTGCTTCATGCGGAGGAAAGCTTCCCTGGGCTTGTATTTCCCGTCGCGCATGTCGCGGAACTTCTGGAGGTTCTCCTCGATGGACTGCTCGGCGTGCTTGCAGCGGAAGCGCGGGCTGGCGCCCTTCTCACCTCCGCGCTGGAGCTTGATCTCGTCATCGTTGCAGTGGCAGACGTAGGCCTTGTCGAGGCCAATCAACTTTTCGGCCAAGTCGTACAGCTTCTGGAAGTTGTCGGACGAGTAGGTGATCTTGTAGGGGGTGAAGCCGAGCCAGCGGACGGTGTCCTCGATGGCGGTGAAGTAGATTTCCTCCTCGGCCTCGGGGTTGGTGTCGTCGAATCGGAGGTAGCAGTTGCCGCCGTGGTATTTGGCAAAGCCGAAGTTGATAGCGATGGCCTTGGCGTGGCCGATATGGAGGAAGCCGTTGGGCTCGGGAGGGAAACGGGTGAAGACGGGCTTGACGGGGCGCTCGTTGTAGACGTCGTTAAGGAAGCCCTGCTTGAACATGGCCTGGGTGTCGATGGGGGCCTCTTCGGGCTTGGGGGTCTGCTTCTTGGGGCCGGCACCGTCCTGGGCAGCGGGCTTCTTCTCGTCCTTGTTCTTCTCCTTGATGGCCTTCTTTGCGCGCTTGGCCAGACGCTTCTTGAGCTCTCCCTTGGAGACCATCTCGCCGGTCTCCTCGTCGAGAACGAGCTTGGGGGCGTTGGGGTCGACGGGGCCATCGGCCAGCTGCATCTTGGCAGCGGCATCTACTACGGCGTCGGTCATGATGTGTTTGTGTGTGATGTGCGGTTTGCGACTGGGCGGTGTGTGTGGCGGTCGTGGGCTGTCGCAAAGTCTCTCAAATGTCGAGATGCGATTGCGATGCGCAGAAAGACGGGCGGGCTCTCTGGAGGGTATATGGAGGACGGCGACAGGACCTGCTATCGCAACGGGATAGAGTCAGCCGGGGTGATTGTCGGTCGGACAGAGGATGGCTGGGCGGGCGGTGATGTGTGGTGGTGAGTGAGTCAAAGGACGACGGCAACACTCGAATCAGACGGCGACAAGTTGGAACCGCGATAAGTTAGGCGGCTGTCTGGCAAAATTGTCTGAGACGGGTAGACACGACGGGCGCCAGCGAGGGAGGGGTACGGGCCAGAACGTCCAGGTACCTACAAGGGGCATGAGAGTATCCCTAGCGCTGTACCCCGCCTCAGCCCGCCTACCTATGCTAGGGGCGGTGACACGAGATAAGATAAGGACTGGTACCTTATCTTTCCTTCCTTCTATCCCGTCGACCTTCCGTCATCCCGTACAACATCAACAGCCATATAGATGACCAACTGACAAGTGGAATGACTGACCCAGTTGTTGTTCCTACACCAAACCACCAAGCGTTGGATGTCATGATGGAATTTTCACAGAAATGGCAAGAAAGTGCTTGACTCAACAGGGGCATCCTTTGGGCTTGAGCTGGTGAGTCCAGACGGGTGTTATAGCAATGACACCGGCGTCGGTTTCCCTCAATGGGCCTGTGCGGTCGGAAGGTGTTCAACGTCATTGGCCCTGCCTCTCTTTACCTCTCTACTCATACGAGTACTTATAAGCTTATAAGGACTATGTAGCATCAACTCTTCTCCATCCTCACTTACCCACAACTTATATCTTTTCTGCACAACCATAGACCATTTGCTACCATTCATGTCCTCCGCTCGACTTTTATCCCGGGTGTTTCAAGTCTCCCTACGTAATCAAAGTCGACGTTCACTCACAACTCGAACTGTTCCAACCATCACAAGTACACTTACCTCACAAGCAACGAGAAGTATGGCGTTCTCAGCCCGTGTAGCGGCCCATGAGATCCCCAGCATCCATGACCTCTACAGCAAGGGCGTACTCCCCAAGGAGGCTTTCTACGCGGCAGAGTCCAAGCAAACGCTCCCCGTTGTCGTCAACGGCGGCCCTATTGCCTTACCTATCCCGTCGCCTGAGCTCAACAAGCGCCTTGCCATCCACAACGGAGACATCACCAAGCTCCAGGTTGACGCCATTGTCAACGCCGCAAACAACTCCCTCCTTGGTGGCGGAGGCGTAGATGGCGCCATCCATCGTGCCGCCGGTCCCCAGCTGCTTCGCGAGTGCCGCACCAAGCGTGGATGTGACACCGGTGACGCCGTCATGACTGAAGCCTACAACTTGCCCTGCATGAAGGTCATCCACACGGTCGGCCCCATCTATTCATCGGCTAACCACCAGGAGTGCGAGAAACTCCTGATCTCCTGCTACCTACGCTCTCTGCAGACAGCAGCAGAGGCTGGACTCACCACCATCGCTTTTCCCGCCATCAGCACCGGCGTCTACGGTTACCCGAGCAGAAAGGCAGCTCAAGCAGCCCTTGGTGCCATTCGTCATTTCCTGCTAGACCCCAAAACACAAAACACAATCACAAAGGTCATCATTGTCACCTTCGTCGACCAGGATACGCGTGCCTACCACGAATGGCTACCGTGAGTTATTATCGACACTCCTAGTGTAGAACCAGCAAGTTCAGTGTCAGAGACATGAGTGAGCTAACAAATCACCTCCAGGACCTACTTCCCTCCCTCAATTTCCGAAGGTAAGAGAAATTCTTCCCATACATCTCAGGGGTGACGAACCTACAAGCTCACCAAAAGCAAAAGGTGAAGATGGCAGAGACTAAATGAACTTCCAGCCCTGATGGCCACGAGGTGCGTTGTCCCTAATTTGCCCCGCTGGCATCCTCAACAACCCTTTCCTTGGATGTTTGAGGACTATACCCCTTTTCTCGACGCAGTAATCGAGGAACACATAAGGAATGGCTTCAGAAAAGCGAACGAAGGGTTGGTGGCAGTGCCAGAACAATTCCGGAAAGTAATCAAACAGAAAATCATCTGGACGCGGATGGAGGCCCAGGCGGCTCTGCAAAACCGGCGAGTTGACTCAGGAGGAGGAAATCGACAGGCCTCAGAAGTAGCTGCAATCGAAGAGGAGATTGTAAAATCGGTCAAGATGTTTGCGTCTTTGTATTAGCAGACATGCAAGTCCGAGGGAATCAGGAACGCCAGTGGGGGACAATAGTTCTCTCTGCTCGGTTTTGTTTAACACTCAGCGCGGTCTTGGTTCGATAAGCGGAAGATTTGGTTTGCTAGCGACTGGCTCTTTTTCTGGACATCCTCGTCTCATTAGTTACCACTAACGGTATAACACAATCATACAATAGCTAACAATTACAAACAGAAGTCGATTCCCCCAAAAAAAAAAGGCCAATGTGTCTAACTAATTAACCAAGCATAAAACGCAGAATATACCACAAACCCAAACCAAATCACTGACCCGGTCATGTTGCGCCATCCCAGGTAGTCGGCCCTCCCGACTTACATAACTGAATACAACCTGATTTCACCCCCCCCCCCCAAGCCTCCATCCTCCATCCTCTATCCCCTTCCACCAGCTTCGTACCCTCTCAACAACCAGTCATGTCTCCTTCCCATCCTCATTACAACGGCGACCTACTCTATCCCATCATCCATATCCAAATCCTCCCTCTGCCCTGCTGTTTGACTCCCCTCATCACCAAAAACATCTCCCAGACCACCCCACCCGACACTTGGCCCTCCAGCATTCGCACCAGTACCAGCCCCTCGAGCACCCCTACCACCCCGAGCACCCCTCGGAGCACCAGAAGTACCCGTTCCACCCGTCCTACCTCTCGGAACATTCGGAATACTCATCTCAGCAAAGGGAGCTCTACGCCGCTCATAGATCCCCGTGCCCCTTCGCCCGGGCGCTGCTCCCGCTCCAGGATTGACAACATTCCCCCGTCTAGGCGCCGCAGGTGCCGCAGGTGGAGAACCACCACCATCACCACCACCATCACCACCAAAAAAGTTCAACCGCCCCAAAGGAGCAAGTAACCCCCGCATAGCAGACGTCGGCGTCCTCACTTGTGTGGGAGAATCTCTACCCCTCGGAGCCCGAAGCTCAGGGGACGAAGGCGTGCGAGCATTGCGAATGTCGCCGTCGGTGGCAGGGCGTCCGCCACTGGGGCTGCCGAGGCCGCCGCTGAAGCCAAAGAGGCCGCCGACTGCGTTGAGGAAAGAGGGCGGGGGAGTTTCGTTGGGTTGGGCTTGACGGCGAGATCGGCCGCGGGGGCTCTCAAGAGGGGAGTGACCGGGGGACCGGCGACGGGGGCGAGGGCCTTCCATAATGTGACGTGGCGTTTGGGAGTGTACGGGGGGAGTCTTTTGGTAAGCGGGGGGAGGGGTGCGGTAGGGGGAGCGGGAGGGGGCGCGCATGTGGGGGGTGCGGAGGGGGGTGGTGCGAGGAGGGGGGTTACGTTGGGGAGTGGTGGTGGTAGTGGTGGTGGTGGTGTTAGGTTGAGGGGGGGCGTCCATGAAGGGGTCGGCGAGGTTGGGGTCGTTGGTTACGAGGCCGGTTTCGGATTCGGAAGAGGAGGAGCAGGTTGAGCAGTAGGAGGATGAGGAAGAGGAATAGGAGTGGGAATGGGAATGATGGTGGTGGTGGTGGTGGTGGTGGGTAGAGGAAGAAGGCGCTGCTTGCCTTCTTCCTCTGCTGCGTCCGTTGCCGCTGTCGCTGATTTCCATCGGATCTCCGGGGCTGTAGCCAGGCTCGGGGCCCTCGGGGATCTCGGGGCTCCTGGGGCTGCTGCCTCCGCTATAGCTCCCTTCGGGTATCAACTCTTCGTCTTCGGAAGCACCTTCCGCACCAGCACCTGGTGAACCACCAGAGCTACCACCAGAATCACCACCAGGACCACCACCGGATTCATCACTAGAATCATCACCAACACCATCATCAGACCCAGAACTAGAAGAAGAAGTCCAAGCAGAACCGGTAGCAGAACGGGAAGCACCAGCCGCAGGAGACGTAGACGGAGCAGCACCAGCAGCACCAGGAGCACGAGCAAATCTCTGCGGCGGGAGGACCTGACTCGGGCGCAGCTGTCGTTTAGTAGCGGGCAACTGTGGTTCATCGTCATCATCATCGTCCCGTCCGCGCTTAGCGCCGGCCGCTGATGGTAAAGGTCGTGACCTGATTTCCAGATTTCCAAAGTTATGGCCTGAGAAGGTGATTCCTTGCCCTGGTAGGTTGTTGCTAGCCCGAGGTGGTGGTTGTCCTCCTGCCCGTGGTCTAATCTGCAGCCCTGCAAAAGCGTGTCCTGACAAGATTGCTTCCTGCTCTGGGTTGTTAGCCGACATGACTCTTGTCGTTGGCCTTGGTGCCGGTGCCGGTGCCGGTGCCTGTGGGAAAGCTGATCTTGGTGATCTTCTTGATTGCGGGCTTCTGAGGGTAAGTCGTGATAGTGACAGGTCAGAGTCATAGTCGGTGCCAGGGCTCCTCGCAGCCTTCTTCTTCTTCTTCTGCTTCTTCCTGTATGGCTTCACCCTCAACGTCCCCGTGCGAAGTTTCGTCGTGATTCTCCCAAAGATCACATGGAACTTATCCCACAGCTGACGAAACATGAGCGGCATGTTAAACACCTCTCGCTGAGCGATCTTCTGCAGGCGCTGGGACCGGTTGCGGAAGACGGTGTCCCCAATGGAGGGCATCGTCTTTGCTATCTCGTCGAATTCGCGCTGCGAGAGGGTGTTCTTGTCCAGGTAGTTTCTGGTCCGCTTGAGAGAGTGGAAAAGCAACGTGATGCTTGTGATGCTCTCATTGATGGACGAGAGGAGCTGGTTATCGAGAAACACGATTTGCGTCCAGCGTGTGATCTTGGCTGGGAGAGACAGGTTCATGATTCTGTGCACTTTGCGCCCGTAGGACTCGATCCGCTGCTGAAGCTTCCAGAGCTGAACTTGGAGCCAGCTCTTGTCGAGGTCAGATAGCTGCAGATATTCGACCGCCATGCGCTGGGAGTGCTGGAGCTCGGCTAGCACTGAACTGCGGAAGTCTTGCAGGGCGGAGAGCAATTCCTGGGTGGTAGAGCGTGCGTTGAGCTGGGTGACGCTGACTGCGGCATCTCCGGGCATGCTCGACAAGGCGTTGTCTCCGATCTTTTCCATTTGTTCTTTCACCTCTGCGTCACGGCTAGACCACCGCTTTTTCTCCTCGTCCCAGCGGCTCTTGGTCCTCACGCCCACCAGCTCCTCGTCGATGAGATGGCTGAGGTACTCAGATACCATGCCATATCCAGCGGCCCTGAACGCTCTCACTGCCAAATTGAGCCATTTACCCTTGGATTGGCCGAACGTTTCGTACCAGTCCTGTTTCCTCTGTTCCGCATCGTGCGGCACGGTAAAAGAAGGTCTTCCGGCGGTGGTGAACCTCAGAGCCCTGTGGCCGTAGATCGGAACGTTGGTGTCCCAGAAGCTCTGCTGGAATAGTCGGTGGACGTCCTTGAGCTGGATAAGTGTCCCGACCCGCGATGTGGGCAAGACAGCGTCGCGGAGGTAGTTTGCGCTGTTCGCGTAGTCCTTGTCGTCCGGTGGGTCTGGCCATTGCCAGAGGCTGATGTCTATGGGCCAGGTACGGTAGGGATAGAATCTGGCGATGCCGGTTTTGTGAGGCGGTTTGAGGGTGCCGCCCCATAGCTGTGTTGGTTGTCTTGTCAGCATCTACATATCTCGGTGGTATCGTGTAAATGGTTAAGTGACTAATGGCCACGGTCACGACGGGTTGATAGGTAGTGATTTGCTTACTTGGTTCTCAAATGCATAACCGATTTCAGCTTTCCCCTCGTTGGCCCAGAAGGGATCGTCCCAGGCTCGACGAACTTCTGGGTTTAGAGTGTCTGTGGTATTGCAATACATGGCAAAATGGGCGGCATGCTATCAACGACGGACGGTGCCTGAGTCAGCTACAAAGCGGCAGGACATTAAAAAAGGATACGGGGCAAAAAACATACAGCCAGCTCGTGAAGAATGACAGTCGCAATGACGAGTGAACAATTCTGTTTTTCGACGACGGTGTACTCCGGAACAAGCAGAGGCCACATGATCTCGGCTGCAATCGCGACTTCCAGACGAAAATTGACAGCGTCGCGTCGATGGTATGGCTGCGTCTCACCGAAGAGGTCGTCTCCGTTCAATCCCCATTTATATGCAAGCGTAAATTGATGGCTTGACTTGATGCTGAAGCTTACTCTTTCTTGGATATATTCGAGGGCGAGGCTTGCCCTCATGTGAGCGCCCTGCTTCGTGAACCAGTCCTTGGGCTCGTTGGGGTCGATGTAGATGAGTCTTTTGTCCTTGTGCTTCTTGCTTTTGCGATGAGGGGGAACTTCGATCCCGCAGAGAGAATCCAGACATGCGCGCCAGAAGGGATGGTCCATCTGCAAGACCCGGGTGACGAGCTGGAGGGCTGGTTGTAGGGCTTTCCAGAGTTCTTCGTCGTTCTGTAAAGATTTCAACATTCATATCCTTCTACCCAGTAGTATGGTGGGAATACACCTAGATGCTGCTAACGTACCACAGAATATTCGCCTGTCTTGCCGCAAATATTGTATCTCGGCCGACCGCCCTCGTCCATATTCAGCCATTTTTGGTCTCGTGCGAGCAAACTATAGACAAGTCAACTCTGCTGCTCGTGCCAATCGCAAGTTAGGGGTCAATGCGTACTCGTGAAGTTTCCCATTGAGGTTACTCTCCTGAGGCTCAAAGTCCGGGTGCAAAGGCTCAGCTTTCCAATCGATTCTCTAAACCAGTGGACGTCAGCTGTTCTAATCTCTTGATCACATTATCGGGCAGGGTAACCAAATGTGGTTGAAAATACCTCTTTGGTCGTGAATCCATAGAACAAGGCCCTTTGATAGTCCTCATCATCTGCATAGACCTCTTCTTCTACAAATTTGCTCTTGAAAGCGGCAATGTTTGCATGCGAGTACGATGCCGGACCTTGATCCAGATTCTGGAATTCGTGCTCGAAAGCCTCCGTTATCGGGGACATGCGTGACCGGCCGTGTCGAGGACCACGGAAGTCATCATCGGGGAAAATGCCATATCGCAGGGCATATCTGGTAGGATTGTGCGCCCTGTCACCGGGCAGGAGAGCTGGTCGCAGCCGAGATGTTGCGTCACCCTTGATGACAGCCGTTGAACCGTCCTGCGGGACTATTTTTCCTGGGGGGAGTGTGACGCCCTCGTGTGGCCAGTTGGAACGGGTCCATCGTGGGACAAGAAAGGGAGCGTTCGGATCCTGCGTTGCCTCGAGGACTGTGTCATAGGTGTTCTCCTTGATGGTGTTGATTGCTCCTGAGAACGGTTCCCATTTCCAGTCCCTGATGTCGTCGTCGGACTCGTCGGCGTTCATGTTTGCGAAATTTGGTGGTAGCAATGACGGAAAGAGGAAAAAGCATGATGTTGAGCAAACGAAAGACGTATATTGAGTATATCATGTACATAACGAGTAAACTTTCCACACAAAGAGTTTGTTGCTGGCGTCGTGAAGCTGGCCATTCTTGCCCTTGTTCGATTCCGCTTCCGGCACGCTTTGACAAGCCATGAATGAAGACAATGGTGAGAGAGGCTCAAACAACGCATCTGGATGTATCAGGTATCTCTCTGTCAATGTTCTTTGGATTCATGATTTGGAGTTCAGGACATGAAGATGTGAAGGAGGAGAAAACAGAAAGAGAGGTACGTACCTCGCATGTTGTCGTTGAGTGTGGACCCAGCCCAGCATCTGTCAAGTGCCAAGCTTGCTTGCCCAGCTGTCAGCTGTCAGGTACCGCCGTGGTTCATGCACGCACTGTACCGGCACCGCAACTCCTCTCCACTGCAGGTCGGGTTCTCCAATTGTTAGTGCAGCTGCTAGCGTACCTCTAGTGCTACTGTTAGTGTTAGTGCAGTTGTTACTTGTTAGTGAAGCTGTTAGTGTTTATCTCCTCGATCTCCTAACAGTCAACACGGCAACGCTCGAGAACCGCGCATCAACATTACATGTGCAATGAGTAATGCACGACGGGATGTAGATTAAGATTGATCGTCTCTGCGACCTTTCGGATTACTTGCTCTCGTATTTGCCTTTCCAATGCTTCCCAGAGTCGGCATCCGTTCTCTGCATCGACGGACCATGGTACCCCATGTTTACCCCCCTTTTCTCGGAGTTTTCCCGCTAACAGATGCAACTTCCACCTTCCGCAACGAGAAGGTGACTCTGTCGTCCCCTGTCTTCACGCCTTTTTTACTCTCCGTCCGAGTTCCAATTTCTCTTCAACTTCCAGGGGTTTATGCACCATGGCCGGGACCGCCAGGCACAAGTCCTCGAAATGGTTCCTAGTTGCCGGATTCTATCCTGGCTGGCCGGGCTCGAGCCGGGGACTTATTGCGTGATATGACAAGAGACGGCGTTGAACCGCTAGACTAGTTCTAGATCGCAAGGTATAAAAGAGTCATGATGCCTCCAGAACTGGAGGTTTGGCTCTTGGGCCTCTTGTTTACGCGCCGTCAAGCCTTTCCCAAGTATCAAGATGCGTGGACACTTCTGGGCCGTCCCGGCCGTACTGGCCGCCGTCATTGACTCGGCCGCTTCCAAGCCAGTCACCACCACAACGGCCAGCCCAACTGTCCCTACCAGTGAGCCTTGTGCCATTGTGAGCAGCTCATGGGCTACCCAGAAGGCCGCCAACCCGGCAGGTGAGTTGAAATATCGACAAACTATCTTCGAGAACGTAAGCTGACAGACATCAAGCTACCCCGACTGTGGCAGCAGCTCTTGCTTACGAGTGTCTGAACTCGATCCCTCTCGGAAAGGCTGCCGCCATCGAGCTCGTGGATTCGCTCAGGCCCTACCTCGACTGGCAGAGTGACTCGGCCTACAAGGCCAAGCCGCCCAGGGAGTACCCTTACCCGGGTTACGATCTCTTCGGCGCTCTTGACAACGTCAAGGCCAAGCTGCAGGCGGACAAGTACGCCAACGAGTACCAGTTCCAGCAGGAGCTGTACACCACCGTCTGGGGCCCCGGCCACGACGGCCACTTCGTCTTCTACCCGGACGCCCTGACGCGGGTCTTTGAGTGGCGCCGCCAGCGCTCCCTGGTGTCCATCAGCGAGGATGGCAAGTCCCTACCCGTCATCAAGGTGTACGAGGACGTCCTCGCCAACCCCAAGACCGCCTCCGTCGTCAAGCTGATCAACGGCATCGACGCCGCCACCTATCTGGCCAAGACCATCGACGCCGCCGGCTTCAGCCAGGACCCCGACGCCAACTACAACTCCATGTTCTACCAGAAGGCCACCTTCGCCAACAGCGGGTCTACCGGCTACTTCGCCAACGGCGGCCGCATCCGGTACATCTACCAGGGCGCCAACACCACGCTGACCTTCGCCAACGGCACCAGCTTGACTCTCGAGAACCAGGCGGCCGTCAAGGCCGACATGACGGGCGTCACCTCGGGCGCGGCCTACTACGCCAAGTTCTGCGACCCCAACGGCGTCTCCACCGTCGCAAGCACGGAGTCCGCCGCCGCCGCTCCCGCAGCGAACGTCCCCGGCTATCCCAAGCCGGTGATCATCACCTCCGACGCCGTCGTATCCGGCTACTTCCTCGAAGGCGCGGGTTACGAAGACGTAGCCGTGATCGCCCTCCTCGCCTTCGAGTCCAACTCCATCGCCGAGTTCCAAGCCGTCGTGCAGGATTTCATCGCCGAGGCCGTAGCAGCCGGCAAAACAAAACTAATCGTCGATTTCCAGAACAACGGCGGCGGCTACATCCTCCAGGGTTACGACTTCTTCCGCCAGTTGTTCCCCTCCATCGTCCAAGACGGCTACTCCCGGTGGAAGGAAACCGATCCCTACAACGCCATGGCCCAAATCGTCAGCGACCGCGTCGCCGGCATCAATCCCTATACCAACCCCGACGGCGACCTAGTAGAGGACTACGAGTCCTCGTTCAACTACCGCTACGACCTCAACCTGACCAACCAACCCTTCCGCTCCTTCGACGCCAAATTCTCCCCGCATGTCTACCAGGGAACCAAATACACCAACCTGATGCGCTGGGACCTCAACGACAACCTGACCACCACCAACTCCACCTACGGCATGGGCATCGAGATCACCGGCTACGGCTCGCTCAACCCCTCGGCCGTGTCCCAACCTTTTGACTCCGAAAACATCGTCATCCTCTACGACGGCGTGTGCGCCTCCACCTGCACTCTCGCCTCCGAGTTTTTGCGAGTCCAAGCAGGCATCCAATCCATCGCCATGGGCGGCCGTCCCAACCACCGCAATCTGATCCAAGGCGTCGGCGGCGTCAAGGGCGCCCAAGTCCTGCAGTATCGCAACATTTACTCGTACGCTCAGAAGTACCTCCCCCTCGCCAAGACCGAATCCCAAAGGGAAGCTCTCTCCCAGTTTTCTGACCTACCCATCAACCGGAGTTCCTCGGCGGCCGTCAACGTGCGCGACCAGATCCTGCGGGATCACGTCAACGACGGCACGCCCGCGCAGTTCGTGGTGGAGGAGAGCGAGTGTCGCTTGTTTTGGACGCTGGATATGGTTAGGGATGTGAGCGCTGTGTGGAAGCGGGCGGCGGATGTGGCTTTTAACAAAGGAAAATGCAACGTTGGTGGGATTAAGCCTGGTAAGGGCAAGGGACCTAAGCCTACGAATCCGGGTCATGGTAATGGTAATGGTGGTGGACGGCCGGGAGCCGGTAAGGGCAATGGGAAGGGTGGAAAGAGATTGTCGGAGATTGTGAGGGAGGAGGAGTCGAAGATGGGTGTGTCGAGCTTTGGTGGAAAGGGAGGTAAGACGCAGCAGCAGATTGAGGATTGGGAGGCTGTTTATCGGTTGCAGGTTATTCCTTGAATCGGGGTAAGATGTTTTGGATATGAAGAATTGGATAAGGGAAGGGGACGGTGTTGTATATATGAAGAGGGGAGTACTTCTTTGTATAAGCGAACTGCGTACATAGTGATACCCAAAGACAATGAACAGCACGATGCTAACTTGCCCATTGTTGTGAAGTGTGAATAGAGAGGTGACTCGATGTATCACTGGATACCGAGCAACAAGGATCGCTTTTTTACCTTGTCGAACCTGCGCTGCTTCACATTGTCATTGTTCATCAGGGGACGAACAAATGTGATCGTCAGTGCTGGAGACGTGATGTTGAAACTGAAGTGTCGTGTCGCCAAAGATCTGCCCGGTCTTTATCTTGATGTGTTAGTCACGTGACGTCTTCCGGCTGGCTCAAAACACAGAAGAAATGCATCCAAGATATCACAAGATTCAAGTTCAAAAAAGACAAAGCACATTGCACAAATAGACATGCGTTGTTGTAATCAAGTGTGACTTTTAAGTCGTCTATCATCTAGAACATCATGCATCTCTTTCGTAATATCCACGTTGGGTATCCTCCTTTTTTCCTCCATACGGGCCACACCATGAAGACATCAGAATGGACAGGACCATCTCGGGGGTCTCCAGTCCCCAACCGTTCCCAATCCTTGCCTCCCGGTCACCCAGTAGAACGATACGCTGCAACGGTCGTCACGCAAGAGAAATTATGATCTAAAAAGCTCATAACACCGAAGTAGACGCAAAACCCACGATGCCTGACCATGCAAACCGGACCCAGAAAAAGCAACTTTTGATCTCCGTTGACAAAGTGAAATCAGTCTTGTACCACCCATCAGCAACGAGTGATTTAGAAGTCGTCCTCGTCAGAGAAGACCTATTGAAAACGAGTTAGTGAACCTGTTGACAGAACATCAAGGGACAGTGGATTGTTAAACGTACCTCCTCACCACGCTTGCGGCGAGCCATACGCTCCTTCTTCTTCTTGCGGAGCTCGGCAGAAGAGAGCTTGGCCTTCTTCTTGGTGGAGACGATCTTGTTGCCCATGGCATCGAACTTGTCCTCCTCCTCGCCATCATCCTCCTTGAGGCGGGGACCAGAGCCCTGGCCCTGGACCCAGTTGTGGCCGGAAGGAGTCATCTTGCCGTCCAAGACAGCCCAGACTTCCTCAGTCAAGTCCTTGGTGAACTCGGCAGAGTGAGTAATGATGATGACACCACCCTCGAACTTCTTGAGGGCCTTGGAAAGGGCACCAAGAGAGTCACGATCGAGATAGTTGGTAGGCTCGTCAAGGACGATCAAGTGAGGACGCTGCCAAGAGCAGGCGGCAAGGACGACCTTGACACGCTGACCACCGGAGAGACCGCGCATGCGGGAGTGAGAAACAAGCTCGGCATCGAGACCGAAGTTGGCGCAGTGAGACTCGATCTCCTTGCGGACAAGGGGACGGAACTGACCGGAGGCGAGGGCCTCCTTCATATCGACATCGGCAACCATCTTCTGGTGAGAAGCGAGAAGCTCGTTACGGGGCAACCAAGCGTTGTCAGCGGTCATCATGGGGACCCAGCGCTCGTTCTTCATGCCAATGTTCTCGCCGAGGGCGAAAGAGCACTCGTACTCGTAGGAGTTCTTGAACTTTCTACGGCTGTGAATGCCAATGACACGACGGGCAGTACCCTCGACCTTGAAAACCTTGTTCATGGCCTCCTCATCGGCCTCGGTGATGATCTTGTTGGCACGATCCATGGTCTCACGATCCTCACCAGTCTGGAAACGCCACTGGATGTACTCGGAGGGAGTCTTGTCGAGGTGGTTATCGATATGGGCGAAAGCGTGCTGCTTGATGTAGGCGATACGGATGTTCTCGTGCTGGTAGATCTCACCTTCGGTGGGGATGAGCTCACCAGTGAGGACGTTGATGAGGGTGGACTTGCCGGCACCGTTGGGGCCAATGACGGCAATACGGGAGCCGAGCGAGCACTGGAAGGAGATGTTGGAGATCTGGGGCTTGGCAGTACCGGGGTACTGGAAGGACATCTTGGTGGCACGGAGAATGGCCTTGGCCTTGGTCTTGACACCCTCAAGGAAACCGGGCTCGGGGAAGGAGAACTCCATCTCGGAGGCACCGAGCTCGTAGTAGGACTTGGCAGAGGGGACACGAGAGACGAAGTCCTTGAGGTTACCACGGTAACGCTTAAGCTTGAAGCGCTCGTAGTGGATAATGTGCTGGCAGACGTTGTCGAGGAAGCCAGAGTCGTGAGAAACGATGATGGAAGTGCAAGGGGAGCTCTTGAGGTAATCCTCGAGCCACTTAACGTTCTTGACATCCAAATGGTTAGTAGGCTCGTCGAGGAGAAGAATATCGGGAGCCTCGAAGACGGCACGGCACAAGGCAAGCTTCATCTTCCAACCACCGGAAAGAGCAGAGATGTCGTTCTTGATCATGTCGGTGCTGAAGCCGAACTCAGCGAGCTTGGCCTCGACATCCTCGCGGGAGGTGTCGACACCAGCCTCCTTGAGCTTCTTCATGGTCCAGTCAATGGTGGTCATCTCAGTATCCTCGGAGTCAAGGTCGTGCTCAACGAAGACGGTCTTGACCTCGGACTGCTTGGGGAAACCCTCGACCTGCTCGTTGTTGATGGCGCGCATGAGGGTGGACTTGCCGGAACCGTTGGGACCGCAAAGACCGTAGCGCTGGCCACGCTTGAGACGAAGGTGGGTCTGGTTGAGAAGAATCTTGGCACCGTAGGCAAGGGAGAAGGTGCAGTTGCAGAGATCCTCACCCTCCTCGTCGTCAGCCTCAGCCTCATCGGCCTCAGCGGCACCGGGGGTAGCCTTCTTGCGGAGGGCATCGGTGAGAGCCTCGGACTCAGCGTCACCAACGATGACAGTGAGGTAGGGCTTGACGGCCTCAGCCCAGATGGAGGACTCGGTGGCCTTCTCGTCGACAAGCTGACCGGCAACGGCGGCAACGTACTCGACAATGGGGGCGAACTTGTCGAAAGCAGAGGCGTACTTGCTGCCGAGGATCTCCTTGAGGTGGGCGAGGACGATGTTGACATCACCGGGGTTCTGAGCCTCGGGGATCTTGCCGTCAACAACGTTACCGACACGGGTGAGGGTGTCGAGAGCCTGCTTGGTCTTCTCACGGGCCTCGGGATCAGCGAGGTTGTCGTAGTTCTTCTGGAGACCGGGCATCATCTTGGGCAAGAAAGGAGCAACGATGTTGGGGTCGTCGACGAGCTTGCACATGTTGTCGACAATGACAGCGGCCTTACGCTTGATGGCGGTGTCGCGCTCACCGAGACCACGATCAAGGAGAGGAACCATGAGGGCAAGAGTGGGCTCGGTGACCTCAGTGACGAAAGTGGTGGCACCGAGCAAGTGAACGGTCTCGGGGACGTTCTCGGGCTTGGCGATACACTTGATGAGCTCGGGAATGAAACGCTCGATATCGCGGTTGACGATAAGCTGGCAGAGCTTCTCCATGGTCTGGTAGGCGCGGTCCTTGACCTCCTTCTTGGTATCCCACATGGCCTCAGAGACGACGGGGATGAGCTCGGGGACACGGAGACCGAGCTGGACGGGGGCGGTGCGGATGAGGGTATCGATGAAGTCAAGGGCGGTCATCTTCTCGGGCCACTTCTGGGCGTTGCGGATGGTGTCGATGAGGGGGTTGAGGGTGGCCTTGACAGCGTTGGGGTTGATGGCCTCGGCGATGGCAAGAGCGGCAGCAATGGCGGCGTTCTTGACAGCGGTGATCTTGTCACCAGCGGCAGCGAAGACGCTGGGGAGGAGGGAGATCAGGTAGGGCTCAACATGGGCGGAAACCTCGCTGTGCTGAGCGATAGCCTGGATGGCAGAAAGAGCCTTCTCGCGAGCGGTGGCATCCTTCTTGTTGGCGAGCTGCTTCTTGAGCGCCTCGACAGTCCTATTGGTGATTCACATGTTAGCACAGGGTTCTCCAAATTTTTGGTGTCTGTGTTTGTGCGTTGAGGGGATTGCCCGACTGGGACACTGGTGCCTGCATCGAATGCACAATGCTCATTCGACGTCGGTTCCTCCAATTCGGCACCGTAGTGCTGGGAGGCCACCACTGGTGACCGATCCTTCGGAGAGGCATTTGTGGTCCATGTCTTTCAGCACCAAACACAAAGCGAGGCCCCACTCCACTTTTGGCGGGGCGGGCACGCTTCGAGCGCTAAATGCGATGCTGAAATTTTTCCCAGCGCCAAGGCAGGCGCCATGGGAGGGCAATCGAGGGGCTGATGCGACCCAACAAAATTCAAGGGAAAATGTGAGGGAGTCTTACTTGACGGGGGTATCAAGGTCCTCGATGCGACCGTTGATGAAAGAGGCAACAGCTTGGGAAGCCTCCTTGACGGCATCGGCCTCGTTGGCGATGGTGAGCTTCTGCATGAGCTCATCAAGAACCTTGAGGCTCTGGGCGTTCTCCTTGGCGGACATGATGACTGATTTGGTCGTGGAGTCGACTGAAAAAGTTGTTGTCTAGGTCGGAGATCAAAAAAGAACAAGTGCCGTCGGTCTGATCGAAGCAAGCGACTTGAATGGAAGAGTCGTGGAGGTTTTCGATGGAGGGTCGAAAAGGATTCCTGACTCGAGATCGGCTCTTCTGAAGAAGTCGCGCGAAGAAGTAAAAGACTGAGTGGAGGGCGTTCGCGGAGAACGAAACAGTCGGGTAGAAAAGAATGGAGGTCAAACCTGAGAAAAAAGGAAGAGGGAGGAGGGCAGTGGATGGGGCCGGGGGACGGAGCAAAATATTTAACCAAGTCCCTGTGGAGTGGTTTTGGCTGGGCGGCGGATTTTGCTGCAGGCGGCGACGGATGTGCGCACAGGCTTTTTTCGGTAGTCGCAACCTTTTCCAGCAGCAAAAAAAAGCTTGGGTCGGGTGTGGTGAAGTGGTTGAGGGATCCACTTGTATGGCGCTGGTGGAGGGGGGTAGAGGGGCTAAAGAGGGGGGGTCTGAGTCTAGGAGGCGGAGCGATTGGAGGGGCGTCGTGGCCGAAAGAAGTTTTTTCTCTTTCCCTTCACTCCGTCCGTCCAGTCTCTGGGCCAGGTTTTGCTGCAGCCTCTTTTCGTTCGCCGGCCAGGCAAGAACGGGAACCTGGACAACGTGGCCAGGGTTTTACAAACCCCCCAGCCCACGCAACCGGGTCCAATTCACTGACTTCACGGATTGGCATCACCAAATTTGGGATTTTTGCCTCTCGTCGGCTCTGCTACTATTACTTCATGTCTCTGGGGCAATCCCAGTTCTTCGGTCTGAACTCGGGCACTCTTGGCACTCTTCCAACTGAAGCAAAATGATCACAAGCGTCTGTGGTTGACAAGAATTCAACGACTCCCTCTCTTTGCCCCTCCATTGATTGGCTCCAGGCCCAAACACGCTACCAGACATCCCTGCTTATCCTTGACGATCCCTGCTTATCTCTTTATCAGACGCCCCCACCATTCCTGATTTGGCCGTCGAGGAGGGCGGTGAGCCGGAGCGTTATGCAAAAGTTTGAGTGCTGGCCAGAAATTCACACTCGCCGTTGCCTCTGCATTGATTATCATCATCGTTCATGTCTGTCCGTTATTGGAGACCCTTCCTCGGCAAAAAGGGCCACGGCAAAAAGGGCCAAGCACTTCGAGTCCCAGACGCTCAGCATCAAACCTGTGTGGCAAGTTGATGGGGTTTGTTCGAGCGCACACTCCATCGCCAACGCCATGGCCGCCTTGGTGGGGCAGCGGTTTGAGCATCTGGATGGGAAAACAAGCAATGACAAGTGTCTCCCTGCTTCTTCACTGCAATCCATACCACCACCTTTGGTGTTTTTGTGTGTACATCGTACCAGGACAGTTGAGGCGCGGCGGACTGTACAATGCAATTTCGGGGATAGGCCTCACAGAGGTTGGGGAATCACAAGCAGCACAGTGGACGTGGGATGGTGGGTGAGATGGATGATTTCGATAGAAGACATCAGCAACAGAAACCAGATCCGGATGCGACACACTCATCACCTTTGATCCGTATTCTGCCCAGAAAGTGTACAAATTGGTACCCTTTACCAGCCTCAGATATGGTTGCACGCCGACGAGACTCATAAAGGACCAGTCCTTCTCTTGTTCTTTCTTTGCCACACAGAGTACTATGTACGTTTCCTCGTTCATTCGTTGCCTTGACGACAATAATCCAGCTTATGGTACCTGTTGAGATTTGCCCACACAAGCCATCTGGCTAGAGATATCTTTGCCTCCCTACAAACGTTGCCACCGAGGCCAGTCTCTGCTGTCTGGGATTCTGACAAAGAAAAGCCAAAGGGTAAAACTTCGAGAACACTCCTCAAGTTGTTAGAGAGACGGGCCTCGTCCGTTTGTCATGTACTTCCCGGTACCTACCTCCTGCCTATCAAAGGTCAGCTCGCATCCCACATGTGCGTACGGGACCCGCTTCATGCCATCCAGCGGGCAGCTGCGACACCTCACTTCTACCGACCTGAAGTCCATTCGTCCTCCAACCCCAATTTCCCATTACAGCACATTTTGGCCCTGCTTCTCTTTGCTGGACTCCGGCTGTGCAGCCACGTCTCTCACCGCATCTTTTCCTTCCAAACATCGTCCCTTTCTTACCATCGCGAATATCGATGATGCTCATGATGAACACGTATACGGTACCCCTCTCTCTTACACATAGACACCCAAGTCGGGTCTGGCCCCTCCGTTCCCGTCTGCCAAAATCCGGGGCATACAACGATGCCTGCTAGCTCACGATAAACAATGCAGTGTCAACTTTTCTATGGGTCCTTGTTAAGGCACTGCGGCAGCTGTGGGGAAGGTGGAAGGGGGGGTCGGGAGATTTCTTTTGCTGCTGCGTGTTGCATCTTTGCATGCTGACCTCAGACACTGCAGCAGTGCAGCGGTCTCGTTGCCCTACGGTCCCGTGGGTCCCTTTGCACATTTTTGTCCCTGGCAGGCTGCCGCGGCGGCAGGCAAGTGCGTCTCGGGCGGCAGGGCCTCTTTGTGTGTGCGTCTGTGTGCGCGGCACTGCGGTTCAGGCGTGTGCCAAGACCTCAAAGAGATACCCAGGGCCCAGGACTAGATGAGTCTTCGAGAATGTCTTGGCAAAGCCTTGTTGAAACTTTAGCCCAACGGGCTTTGTCTCGACCCCCCCAAGAACAAACTGACAAACGAGATGTTTCGGAACTTCCTCTTCCAGTATTCCTTCGATACCCGTCTCAAGCCGCAAGTCCGACCCGTGCAGTCTCGCCACCACGCCCGCCGTGCGCCGGAACGGGTACCATCACCGCTCCGGCCGACAACGACGCCATCCGGCTTTTATCAGGCAACATCAGGAGTGTTTGCCCCGGTATAGATCCGGCTTGGCCGAGAATATCGGGCGGTTGCGCCGGCGCCGCGAGTTGCGGTCCCGTGAACCATCACGAGGACTTCTCATTCGAAGAGCGATGGTGATTCACCTCTTCCTGTTCGTGTCGCCTTAATCTGGGTTTCGACCGAGGTGTCTCTCAAAGTCTATACTACCGGGTCTGGACAGCAAAGATGAAGGTTATCAAAGCTGGGAACTCATACGTAATCAGCCATCAAGGTCCTCAAACGACATACTTGCTGTCATAGGAGGCAATGCCTCTGACCTCTTCAAAAGAGGATTGGATAATCTACTGCAGCAGTCATCATGGACGCAGTTCTTAGACTAGACACTTGCGATTATCCACGAGTTGCCATGAAAGAAAAACCATTTTATCTACTTTCTCAGCAGATTAGCTTGCCCATGACACTACCTATCCATGACCGGCATATCTATCCTCTTGAGCGCCAGCCAGACGGATAGTCTCCTCTTCAGCTCTCTGGTGAATACCTTCTTACAAGAATTGGTGAAAAAGTTCCGAAGAATCAGTTTTGGGCTTCATTTGCCAAGAGACCGAGATATCCTGACGAACGCCTGCCTGCTGGAGTTCAAAGTTGAAGTATTCCAACCACGGAACATATGAATGACCGCAAAAACATACGTATGTGTATGTCACCTCAGGACTGTCAGTAAATTGTCTGTCTTCGATTATTCAGCCCTCTCGAAACAGGCAGATTGGTATCGTTCTGCAAACACCCTTATCATACACCCCCCCCCCCCCCCCAATCCACCTAATTATACAGTCTCTGATGTCTCCTTATGTCGTAAAATCATTAAACTTCCTTCTCTCGTTCTTTCATTCCTCCCTGTATCCGCAGCATCAAAAACCTCCATTCTTCAGTTTACTCCTTACTCCTGATGACTCTTACTAGCCGCCCCCTCCTTCTTCATCCACTCGCAGCCGGTAAGCTTGCCCGCCGTCTCCTCGACCGATCCGTACCCCGACGCGGCCGGGTCGCGGCCCTCGGACGCCGCTTGTAGAGACGCCTTGGCGTGCGCCTTGTCTTGCTCGCCTGAGGTGGTCCAGGCGTGGGAGCCGGTGATGTTGCCGATTGCGGCCTGTCGCCGCAGGAAGCAATTGTTAGTATCCCAAAGAGCTAAGCTAGGTGGTTTAAAGGGCAGGCAGGGCAGAGGAGGGCAGAGGAGAAAGACGAACCTCAGCAGCGCCCTTGATGTACTCGGCGTGTCCGGCGATCATGCCGGGCTGGGGCTGGTTGGCGTTGGTGTTGGAAGAAGAAGGGTTGGTGTTGGTGTTGGTGTTCTGGTTGGAGGAAGACATCTTGGTGGTGGTTTTGGCTTTTGTTTGTTGACTGAGTGTATTTGGAGTATTGTTTTGGTAGTCTTTGATGTATACTTTGACGGATTTGGAAGAAGAAAATTGCGAATTGGGAAGAGGAGTGTTTTGTAGTTTGCGATTGCGATGCGAACTGAACCGCCGCTGTGGAAAGGGAGGGTCTAATGATGACGTCGATTCGCTGACGTCACTGGGTACCTCTACGGCATCGGCATCTGCACCCCTGAGGCTCTCCGACATCAACGGCACCATTCCGCTTCTTTAGAGACGGAGTGACATTGAGATTTTCGGTATTTCAAATCGAGGAACTGATATAGATCGATTTGAGATCATCGTGGTTGTGTTTGGATGTTTAAAGCATGGGCTAAGTTGCGGTCAATCAACATGGGAAGCAGCCACTTCATGCACGAGCTAGGTCTAGATCTAACTAATTCCCTCCCGTTCGAGAGGTTCACAATAATCGTAGCTCGTTCGAATCAATCTGGCGGTCTCGCCACTCACTTACATATACCTACACGCCCGAATCATCCTGGAAATGCTTCGGCTCCTCATAATCCCACAGATTCCTCGGTTCCCCATGCCACTCCCTCCACTTCCTACACTTCTCCTCAATAACCGGCTTATCCTTCTCCATAATAGCCGGAATCAACTCCTTGTTCTCAATGATTTGCATAGCCAGACCAGAGGAAGCATGGAAGGCGATGTGGCAGTGGAGGATCCAGGCGCTGTTTGAGTTGAGGGTTAGTCAGTAAGTATGGAGAGAACAAAGGTCAAATCGAGCAAGGTAAGGTGGGGAAAGGGGGGGAAAGGGAAAAGCAGAGGGAGAAGAAAGGGGGATGAAAAAAAAAAAAAAAAAAAAAAGACACATACCCAGGGTTATCAGCCTTAAAAGCAACAACCACATACCCGCTAGCCGGCAAAAGCACCACGTCCCTCCTAGTAGGATTGTCACAATCCAGCCTCTCATTCTCGCAATTCAACTTGTCGGGGGTAAACCACCTCCCTTCGCCAATGTGACTAATATCCGGATCATCATACCAATTCTTGCTACTCTGCCTCAACACCGCAAAGTCGTGGCCATGCAAGTGAATCGGGTGCGCAGCGGGGAAGAAGATCCTTTGTCCCTCGGTCGGGACCTTGTCGGGAGCGGTGATCACCATCCAGATCCATTTGTCGTCGTTGGGATCGGTGGTGGGGAGGGTGACGATGTCGAGGTGCGGTTGGGTGATGAGGGAGTCGAGAGAGGAGAGGGCGAGGAGCGTGGGGTCGGAGAAGTTGATGCGGAAGGGGGCGATGTGCATGTCCCAGCGGGCCTGGTGGTACGTTAGTAGTAGGACAAAAGGGAAGGGAAGGGGAAAAAAAGGGGGGAGGGGGAGGGGGAGAGGGCGTTGGTGGTGAGATAATACGTACGTAAGCCTTGTCATCGGGGATATAAGGCGTGCTGGTGTTGGGACCGCCGGACATGGTCAGGCCGACGTTGAAGATGTAGCGCTTGTTGGGTGGGAGTGTTGTTTGGTTGACGACGTTGGGATCTTGAATCATCGGTCAGAACCAAGGTACCATTTATTCCTCCGGACACATGCATCGAACTCACCGATATTCACCGGATTCCCAACCGTCCACGGTATCTTCGGCACCAGCTTTTCCAGTGGCTCATCCGCACAGGTAGTCTCGTACAGAGGCGGTTCCGACATGGGATCAGGCGCCTTTTCCATGGTCTGGAAAGTCCTGTTATACCTGATGATACCCATCTGCTCATCGGGACCGTAGGTGAACTTGCTGCATTTTCGTGCCGGGGTCACTCTCATCCAGTAGTTGCCGTATCTCTCGGCTTCGTACGGGTTTTTTAGGCCGTGAACGAGGACGTGGTATCTTTGGCCTTCATGTGTTTCGCTTCAAGTTAGTACATGTGCCTAACGAGACTGGTTGGAACAAGAAGGGGGAAGGAGAAGGAGAGAAAAGACTGAACCCACCAATACCAATCTTGAGATTAGTAGTATTATACGGCACGATCGGCACAAAATCCATCTCAATAACCTCCATCGTATGATTATCAATCGAGAAAACAAACGTCGTATCAACCGCCGTGTTAATCAGAATCAGCAAGTGCTTCTTCCTCTCGTCCAAATAAAGCGTATACTTCTTCTTCTTACTCCCAGCAGAGCCAAACTGTCCCACCCCGTTAATCAGGATATTCGTCATCGACGGCGCCACGCCCGATTTAAGCATAAGCGGCCAGTCCTCGAACACGCTGCGATGGTTCCAGTCTGTTAATAACAAAGGCTTGAACGCTTCGTTCGCCTCAAAGTTGGCTGTCGAGGGGCCGTAGATGGTGATGGGACCTAGCAGGCCGTCTCCGTATTGTAAGGAGTAGTGGCTGTGGTACCAGGCTGAGCCGTATTGCATGGCGCGGAACCGGTAGGTGAAGGTGTCGCCGGGGGCGATGGGACATTCGGTAATGCCGTTGACGCCGTCCATGTGGAAGGACTCTAATTGGCGGAAGCCGTGCCAGTGGACCTGATGGGATTTGTTAGTGGTGGGAAAGGGAAAGGAGGTTCAGGGAGCTGTGAAGTGGGTTGAGAACTTACGGATGTGCCGTTCCAGCGGAGATTGTTCTTTACGGTTACCTCTGTGGTCCTGTCAGTGACAACAACCTTCGTGATGGGTGGGAATGTATGTGTACGTACCAAGCCAGTCCCCCCAGCACGCCTCTGTTTGCGATCAGTCAGCATGGAGCTATTCTGAAGGGCTTCTCGAAGGGGATGGATGCTACTTACCAATCCAAGGCCCTGGATATGTGCGGTTGAACACCTTGCCATGTTCCATCGTGGTACCATCCGGGGAAATAGGTTGCTCCGAGACTTCCAAGTAGAACTTGAAGATGTGTCAGCTCTGATACCTCAAGACAAGTGTGGATGATGATATACCAACCTTTCTAACCTTCCCCTTAGGAATCTCCCACTCATTCTCATAATCAGTCATAATATCAATTCTCTTATCCTCATACTTATGCTTCAGCCAGCACGTCCTATTCTCAGGGCCATAGCAAGGCTCCCAATCCTTCATGTCGGGGTAATGGCAGTTAAGCCCTCCGCCGGGGCCTCCTTCCTGGGGACTCTTGGGTGTTCCGACGACGGGGTGGTCGTTCACCATGTAGGAGCGTTCTTTGCCGCCGGTGTAGAGGGGGACTACATCGTCGACGGCATTGTTGGAGCTGGGGGGGAAAGGGTGGTGATGATGGACATCTTCCAGTGCGATGGGGACTTGGGGACGCTGTGATGAGAGATCACTGCCGTCCTCTGGGGAAGAGAAGGTGAGGAAACTGAAGACCTGCACGACGCTGGTCCACACTGAGGCGAGCCTCATGGTGGGCGTCAATGAAGGTTTGGGGCGTTTGAGTCAAGGACAAGAAGATTCGTGAAGGATGTGATTGATATAGCTTTAGGCGAGAGAAGGGGTATAGGAAGCGAACAAAGTTAGACATGTTCTCCGAACCAAACAGCTCAGCTTTGAAGCTCTTTATAAGCTTTCACCACCTCGTCTACCAGATGTCTCATCCATAAACATGGCGGTCTCGCCTATGAGCTGTGTCAGGTAGCCTCAAACCGTTAGCATAGTGCTTGTGGGGTAGGCAGACGCAGAAAGGTTACAATGCAACCTGTGATATAAGGTAAACTATTGAAGCTACCTGTTCAGCTTCCCCGCCGTCTGTACCTAACCGTCAGTATGTCCCAGAAGTGATGGGCCAGCGTGAGGGGTTGTGGGTTTTAACGTAATGATCGACTCTCACAGGTAGCCATGATTCTCGCGGTTTCAATCGTTGACCAATGAAGCATGAAAACACAACACAAGTTCTCGGATACTCTAACAATGAATTATCGTGTGTCTTGGACCCTTGTGCCAGAGTGTCTTGCGCGGCTCATGCTAGAGCCAACCCGGTCATCCACTCACTAAGAAAGCAGCTGTAGCTCCATTGAGCGGTAGCCCGATGAAGAGGCGGGCTGAACCGTAATGTTCCAGAAAAAAGTAGCGTCTAACGCCTCAACAAGCATGTCTGAGGTGTGATATCCCATTGTGGACAGCTGAATCTGGGGTTTGTGGCTGGCTGGCGAGTCTCTCTCCCCCTTCACAGGTTTCTGCAGTGATCAACCGCGTTATTCCCGAGACCATGGGTGTCAACGTCAAATGGGTGTATAGGAGACTTGATTCAAGCTTTAACGCCCACGCACTCAGTAATCTCCAGAGCATCCTCATTGCCACTCGGCTCCCAGCTCTTGATAGACCTGCTGTTGTATTGCAGATTCGGATTTCCCTTCTCTTCGGAATTCTTGTCAAGCTCTTGCTTCTCGGCAACACTGGCTCTGACCCACTCAGCATATGGCGGGTTTCCCGGTAGGATCATGTTGTCGGCAACCAAGACGGTGCCTGGGCCGACAAGACCGAGTCTCTCACATCGCTTGAGATCACTGGTGTAGCTTGGCTTGTGATGGTCAAAGAAAGCCATGGCAAGCTGGGACTTGAGCGCGCCTGAATCGTAAAGACGTTGGATACCCTCAGCACCAGTGCCAACAGTGATTCTGACGACATCCCTGAGGCCAGCCAAGTCGACGAGACTTGCGGCAACAGCGGCAAAGAGGGGGCTTTTCTCGACGCTATGGTATTGCTTTCCGCCAGCCTTTCTCAGGGCGTCACCGAACATGATGGCAGAGTAGCCGACATAGCCGCCCAGCTCGAGGATGGAGTCAGGCTTATAGTCGGTAATGAGTTTCGTGACAACAGCGCCTTTGGTCTCGCCAATGTTGATCAGGCCGGTGACAGAGCGGGCAAAGTCGTCGATGGCCTGTAGGACCTTTTGTGGGTTCCCGCGCAGCTGGTCGATGTCGGGACGGCTGTAGATGGACTCGAGCAGGGCAACTTCGCGGCCATCACTATGCTGTAATGCTCATGTTAGCCATGCCGTCACAGGAGGGAATTGAGCAAAGTATGACTACCGACAAATTTGCCGTCCACCTCCCAGCTAAGGTAGACCTTGGAGCGGTCCATGATACGAATCTGCGTTGATGTGCGTAGACTTTCCCCTTGTGGTGTGTGTAACCGTTGAAGCTTTCACTCCTGTCCCGAACTTGGGTAGGTGGAAATGTCTTGACGCTGGAATGAGGAGTAGAAGCGGATTTGTACCTCTCTCTAGAATGTGATCCGAAGAGGTGCATGACACAGAATGCGGACTTTTACCAATCTCGTCTCGCGGGTTCTGCGGTACACGTGTACGATCCTGGAAGCAGCAATGAGGAGTTGTACGCAACACGGAGCTCTCAATGTGATGGTCAGCGCGGGGGAGTGCAGCCGCAGCTCTGAAGGAAGCAATTGACTGGATGAAGTTGCCAACTCGGTAGCTCTCCGTCCAGCCCCGTGATGTCGCCCCAGCTGAGCCCGACAAGGTACGGTCTTTCGCTATCTTCCATGGCACGGGGACAGATCATTCAATGATCATCATTGATTGTGACTGCTGTAGCACGCACTTGACAGGACAGCAGCCGGGACAAGAATGGACAGTCGACCGGAAGTAGAGGGAGCTGAGAGCGAAACCCGAATGGACAGAGGCGTGGTTAATGAAAACCGATGATGATATGCGGGAGTTGCTGCTTATTGGCATCTGGCATGTTGAGTGGTGCGGGAGGAAGATAAATCCGAATGGACTTGCCGATTGGAAGTTGAGGCCGACTGGCCGAGAAAGGAAAGCGGAGATGAAAAGGTACGTACCCACCGGAACTCCACCCCTCACTCTTGCCTAATCTCATTGGCCAATCTTCACTTGCAGGCGGTGATCGACAGCAGGGTTAGGGGCTGAAAAGACAAAGTGGCTGTCGCTAAGACTGCGACAAGGTTATCGCCCCACACCGTAAGCAAAATCCAGCCGACTTCGGAAGCCTTAACAATTAATTTTGACTATTTCCAATTGTTGCAAATAAAAAGATTTTACTAAACTAATTGGGAACTAGTTCGGAACTAATTATACCTTAGTACATTTAGAATGTACTATACAAATACTAGACTTTAAAATAATAAGTATAAACTAGTTAGGAATTAGTTGAGAATATGTCTTTGCTTAATTAATTTAATTAAATAAAATAATAATTTATACTTTATTAATCTTACTATATTTTATAGTTACTATAGTATAATTATATTAATATAATACTTTATATTAGAAAATGGATTAATAAATAACTTTTATATAGAAAATTTAAATAAATTCTTTTTATTTATAAAAAAGTATATAATAGAAACCTATTTAATAGAAATAGTGAAAATACTACTAATAATTTACTAAATAAAAAGTTTATATTTTAGAAGACTATTATAATTATTTTTTATAATAAATTTAATAATTAATAAGTATATAATCCTAAATAGTGCCTTTATTATAAAGATATTAATTTAACGCCTTTAGAACTAGTTCTGAACAAGTCTTCTTATAATTTAAATAATATTAGAAAATTAATAATTAACGTTATATATATTAATTATATTAAATATTTCTTTGGATATATATATTATATTCTTATATTTTCCTCTTAATATAGGTTTTTAAATTGCTATTATATAAAGAAATTTAATAAATTTCATTTTTAAAAGAACAAAATATAAAAAAAGAGTTTTCTTGTAAAATGTAATTAAATATGATAAGAAAGATTAAAAATATAATAGAATTATAGTTAATAGGTATTATAAATAACGATTTAAATTAATTAAATAATTTATATAATATATAATTTTAAATAGCGCTTTTATTTTAATAATTTTACTTTATCACCGTTAGAACTAATTCGGAACAAGTTCCTTTATAAGTTAAGTAATTTATAAGATTAATATATAACGGCGTTTATATTAATTATAGTATATCTTTATTTATTTATATTTTTTCAATTATAATTCTCCTTATTATTAATAAAGTTAATTTTGTTACTTGAATAGGAGATATCCTAATATATTTCATTTTTAAATAAAAAGAATATAGAAAAATGTTCTATTATATTGAATTAACAAATATAATTCTTAAATTTAGAAATAAAATACATATAGGTATTAATAGAATATTATTATTCTTAGTTTTATTTAATTGAGTAGTGTATATAATATATAATTTTATATAGCGCTTTTATTTTAATAATTTTACTTTATTATCGTTAGAATTAGTTCGGAACAAGTTCTTTACTAATTAAATAATATTATAAGATTAATATATAACGCTATTTGTTTTACTTATATTTTATTTATTATTAGATATTTTTCGAATTATGATGGTATTTATTTGTAGAAAAGATAATTTTATAGCTTATATATAAAAAACTATAATAAATTCATTTTTAAGGAATAAAGGCTAGAAAAAGAAGATTTTTAATAGAAAATAATTAAATAAAATGAGAAATATCAAAAATATAATATATATATATAATAAAGGAGTAATATAATTGAAAATTTAATTTAATAAAGTAATTTATATAATATATAACTTTATATAACGATTTACATTAAGAATATTTATTTAATGGTTTAAAACCAGTTTAGAATAAGTGCTAATATAATTTAAATCATGCTATAATACGAGTGATTAATACTAAATATATTTATTATATTCAATATTAAAAAATATATTTCAATAAAATTATTATTTTCTTTAGTATTAAAACGGGTTATTAAATAAGTTTTATAAGAAGAGTTCTAAAAAATGCTTATTTTAAATAAAAAGGATTAGAGAAAGAAGTTCTTTTAAAAAATATAATTAAATATAACACGAAATAGTAAATATATAATATATACATATATATTTAATAGGAATTAACTTTCAGAATCTTAATTAATTTAATAATTTACATAATATATAGCTACTATTAGAACTAGTTCGGAACAAATTCAATTACAATTTAATTAATATTATAAAATGAGTATTTAATTATATATCTTTTATATTTTATATTTATTATTATACTTGAAAGGAATTATATTATTATTTAATATTAAATAAGTTTATTTTAAATTATTTATGAGAAGAATTCTCTAAATTAATTTAACATAAATATATTTTAATTTTAAATATATTATGGAATTCATAATTAAAATTATATTTAAATCATATCCAAAGGTATAAAAATATAAAAAAGGGAATTGAAATATAATATTGAAGGGTAACTAAACGAATATAATTAATACAATATAGAATATTAAACAATCTTTATATTAACTATATTATATTAATATACATAAAGTTATTTTAAAATGAATTTAATTTTTAAAGAAATTTATATATATAAAAAATTAATTATTTCTATAATAAAGGATAGATAAACACTTATTAATATATTTTGATTTACCATATATTTTAAACTATAATAATAGTACGACCAAATAAATTATTATTTATATTATTGTTTTATTAGATTAATTCTAAATTAAATATATATTAATTATAAAATTAGTAATTATCGATTTGCTTTTGAATTTAATATTATTTAATTATATATTACATGCAATATTATATATAATATCACATGCAATATTACGTATATAATTACGTAATATAATTAGCGTGATACATTACCTTTGGTAGAATTCTTGGGTATAAAATCCCTCTTCGAATTTTATTTCTAAATTTAAACCTTCTCTTCTTTTCTTCCTATATTAACCTTATTTCGATTCCGGTACGTGTGACATCTTTCTCAGATTCTTTTCAGATTTATTTTAGAAATTCTTTAGATTCTTTTCACTTTAATTGAAAATACTAATATTTAATAGTACTAATCCAATACTAATTAAAGACTAATTAGAATTATAGCCCCTAACTACTCCAAATATAACGTTTACTAGCGTTATATTACTTTGGAGAAGCGTCCGGAGAGTTTCCCTCCTTTTATTTTTAATAATATAAATTTAATTTATTATTAGTCTATAATTAATTTAAAACTAATTCTTGATTTATTTTAGAATAGAAAGGTTTAGATCGCTATTAGCAAATTCTTCTACCGTTTTGAATAGCCCGGTAGTACTATATTAACCGACGTTATAAATTATATTTATTCATAATTTATTAATTACCAATCCCTATTTAATATTATATTAATCTTATTTTTTTTTTTTAATATAAGTGGAACTTAACTTCTAATTTACGTAAGTACGTAGCAAAGTGTAAACTACTTAATAAGACCAAAGTTATTATTAAGAGTAATAGCGTTAGTAGCCCCTCTTTAAAAGAAAATTAGGAATTTATTAGTAAATAATTAATTATAATTAGTCTTTAATTTATTCGAGATTAATTTAAAATAGACTATTACGTTAATTTAATAAAATTTGTCGATAATAATGACGACGAATCCGAAACTAATTCGGACGCTAATTTAGCCCTAGCCCCGCCTTCCCAACCGAAGAAGGGGAAAGGTTTTAATAAAGAAGCGTACTATAGATAAAAATAACGAGGGTAGTAATAAGAGTAGTAAGGACGATAAAATAGTTCGTTTTCCGAAGAAGAAAGCGAAGATTTCTTTTTCCCTTTAATTAATTTAGAATAAGAATAGTATAATAAGTAATCTAGATTTATTTAGAATTAATTACGAATTAATATAGAATTTAATGTATATTTAGTTTTCGTACTATTAAATAAGGAAGGCCTTTATTAAGAACGTCCTTAATAAGCCTATAATTAAGGATATAAAGGTTCAGAAGTATCCGGGGTATATCAGATTCGGTATTTCGTATAAAATTTTTAATTTATCCCGGACTCGTTTAGAATTAATATAGAATTAATTTAGGCACTAGAATTAAACGTCCTCTTAAAAACGAGGAGGAAGAGTATAATATATAGAAGTATTTCCCTTTTAAGCCGGAGGCTAAAGATAACCTTAGCACTCTCTTAATAAAGAACGCTATTAAGAAGTAAATTATTAATACTTTTTTAAAGCTAAAATTAGTAATAAATTTAATTAGGTACAATCCTAGATTAATTATTATAGTTTAATTCTTAATTATGACCGGTCAAATTCTTTAATATATTAATTTTATATTATATTTATAATTGCTAGTGAATTTTATATACTACTATATAATACTAATAAGTTTTTAAGTATAAATTTAATAATATAGTAATATTTAATTGGAAAGATTAGTTCGGAACCCGTTAAGGACTAGGAAA